TAAGAACTCTTTAGGAAGTTAATATTCGGCGTTATATATAGTTAAAGTAACCCGAGATCTATCGATCCGCTCCTACTCGATTAGTTACTCTATTTCCCGGTTATAGACTTCGGTATATACCTAATATTTCTAATTTATAACCCGCGGACGCGTTAATACCGGTAGGAGGATCTCTAGAGTTAGTTTCCCGACTATCTTATCTACTAGAATAACTTTAGTAGGCTACTAGATTCGGTAATTTATATAATCTAATAATACTTAATAATATATAAACTAGGCTTATCCGATAATTATATAGTAATAATCTAAACCGGTAATAAGGAATAGTATCTAATAAAACTATTATCTATCGATCTAGAGAGTTAGAACGATTATATAGGTAATAGCGTTTCTATCTTTCCTATTATATCCCTCTATTTTTACTAACTAGGGTAAAGGTATCTATAGAATATTCTAAATATCTTAGATAGTATAGGCTAATCCTTTATTAATAGCTATATAGGATATTACTCTAGTATCGAGTAAAGTAGTTATATAGATTAACTAACTATTAGATATAAGTATAATTAGAAAAGTAAATTATTCGTTATTTCCTAATACTATATATAAATCTAAAGATATAACTACTTTTATAATACTTATACCTAGAAGAGAGACTTATTCTAGGCTTAGGCTTTTCCCGTCTTAGAGGGTTTAGAGATCTCTTCTATATAACTAGGATTAGGTACTAATATCTTAGCTACTAAAGTAGTATATTTCTTACTAGGATACTTAGAAGATATATATCCGGTCTATCTATATCTAAAGTATCGTCCTTTCTTTATATAGCGGGTACGGGTCTCTCTATCTAGACTCTTAGCGTTAAGTACTAGGATTACCTTTATCCCGCGAGGCGTAGTACTAGATAATACCGGAGTTATAGTAGTAGTCTTATTATTAGACTTCTTAGAGAAATATACCTTCGACGCTCTAGATAGATCGGTACTTTTATTATTAGTAGTCTAGCTATATCGCTAAGCGGAGATCTAGCTACTTAGGTAAAGAGCGTTATACTTCTTTCTAATCTTATAGCTAAACTCGGTAAAGGATATAAGGGACTTATCGATTAAGTTAATATCGATAATCTTCCGAAGTCGGGGAGTTAAGCGGTTCTAGAGGGCGTACTTCTTCTAGCGCTTACCTATAATAAGTTCGCTAGCGTCGAAGAGATAAGAGAACTAAGATAGGAAGTCGCTAAATAACTAGCTACCCTATATCTCTAAGTTCTAGAAATCCTATTTAGAGTATATAGCTTTATTATAGTCGCCGAAGATAGATCTAAGATACTTAAAGAGGTCGTTATAGTTCTAGTATCGCTCGGAGGCTATATCTATTATATATTAATTAATATTCTATTCGGCTATACCTCTATATCGAGAGTAAGTATAGTCTAAAGCTAAGGAATCGGTAAGATCTAGTCCTATACTATATAGCTTACGCTCTATCGCGATCTTCTAGTTTTCCTAAGTTATTTTCTTTCTATTAGTAAGTAAGGATAGATTAGGGATCTTAAATTTATATATAGTATATATAGAATTAGAATAGCCTATTATAGTAATATCTATAGTAGCTTTATACTATTTATATTAGTTAGTAGGAGATATAAGGTAGCTTATTTTAATTCGATCGGCGGAGATATAGATCTACTAGAGGATTATCTATAAAAGCTTAATAGTAGTAGTATTAAGATCGGTATATTCCTCGGACTTACGGAGAAGCTTATTATTTATTATCTTCTAGTTTATTAGTTTAACTATCTTAGCGGTAGCTATAGCGAGCTATCCGCGTTATTCCTCTACTTCGTTATTAAGATAATATAAGTAGTCGACCGTTACTCGCTATATATCCCGTATTAAGTCGAATATAAACCTAGGTTTATTATATACTAAGTCGATAAAGTTCTTACGGCTAAGTTTTCTATCGCGTAAATACTCGAGTAGATTATCTAGCTAAGGCGTAATCTAAATAAAATATATATTATAGTTTTTATAGGGAAGATCGTTAGGTCTAGCTAAGAAGCTCTATCGATATATACTACGCGACTCTTCCTAACCGGGTTCTTTATTAATACCTAGGCGTACTATATTAATAGATACTATTATATCGATCGTTTAAAGGGAAAAGAGAAAAATAAGGGAAGGTAATATATAAAGACTTAATAACTTATAGTAAGCGCCGGTCTATCGTATAAAGGCAAAAAGAATATTAAAGGTCTTAGTTTTTATATATCTCCTAGGTAGTATAGCTACGAGAACCTATATATAGAAGAAGGAAGATAAAGTAACTATATCCTATATAATAAAGAAAACTAAGACGAAGGGGAAAAAGGAAAGAAAGAAATAAGAAAGATAAAGTACTACCTTAAATACCTATCGTAGGCGGGGCTATAGTAAGATAGTAGAATCCTTATAGAAAGTCCTAGATAGAAGATTCCTCTATAGAAGTAAACCGAAAGGTAAATAATCCTTAGGCTCTAGCGTATATATACGCGTAAGGCTTCTATTAATAACGTATAGGTAAATATCTGATCTTATAAACGTAAATATCGATTATATAATCTCCTCCTTAACTCCCTAAGTCTATATCTATTAACTAGCTAACTAACCTACTAGTTAATACTAACTCGCTAGTCGGCTAACTAACTAATTAGTAAACTTACTAGTTCACGGTAACTAACTAGTTAACTTATCTAACTAACTCTATACTCTAAGTCTGTTCCCGAACTAGTTAACCGACTAGCTAGTTAACTATTAACTTATTACCTATATATCATAGCTTCTGCTATATATAATCTTTAAGGATAAAGTTACTATTATAGGTTAGTTTAAGAACCTACTAAAAGACTAGCGGATTAAGGTCTTAAATAACGGCTAGACTACCGATAATATAGGCCTTCGCTAGCTATAAAAGTACTTTATCCTATATATAAATTTATATATACGAGGCCGGTTTTAGCTATTAATTCTTAATAGCTATAGGAGCTATCTTATACTATAATTCGACCGAATCTATATAGAAAATAATATTATTCCTCTTTATATACCTTTATATTCTTCGTATCTACTATAACCGCTTAATATTAGGTACTTTATAGTCCTTAAGTATATATATAGTCGCTTTATAAGTAATCTTATACGTAGAGGATATAACTATATCGATAAGTTTAATTTCTTAGATAATTACTAACGTACGCGGCTAGAGACCTTCTAATAGCTAGCTATTATTTAGAATAGCTTTATAGCTAGTAGTCTAGTACTAGTCGATATAGAAAGAGTACTTTCGAAGCTTAATATCTCTCTACGAATACCTATATTACTAAGTAGCTAGCTAATAAGTAGATCTAGCTAATTTATACTAAAAATACCTAGAACCGTAATTTAGCTATAAAAGTAAGCTTCGATACTTAAAGATCTACTAAAGTAGCGGTCGAATAGCCCTCCGAGCCTATTAAAGACTATACTAGATTAGATTATTAAGGGCTACTATATAGCGCTATATAATACCGCGCTACTAGCGTAAGAAAACGCGAATCTACGCGTAGCGAATAAGAAGATAGTAAAGAAGCGTAATCGTTTAACTAGATATATACCTTACGAAGAGGGTTTAACTATCGAAGAGGGCCTATAGCTAGTTACGTAGCTAGATTTACTAGCAGAAGTACCTACGGTAGAATCGTATAGGCAGGGCGAATTACCTATTCAGGCAGACTAACCAGCGAAGAGAGCCCCGCCTAGGTGTAGTAGGTGTAGAGAGATTAGCCACAGGATTAATTCATGTAAAAATCGCTATATTTAGCTAGATTAATAGGTGTTGGTTGAGAGAATCGATTTTGAAATTTTCTAATAAGTTTGGGTATCTCGCCTGGCCGGGTGTCTCGCTTGGCCGGGAATTACGTTACTATCTAAGATCCAAATTCTGTATCGTTAACGTGCTCTATATATTATATATACTTTATTAACCGAAAGATATAGGAGTAACGTACTATTTTGTTTTCCTTATTTATCATTATCGCTTTTACTAGCATTAGCTTTATTTATGCCCAAGTTGTTAGTGTGAAGGGCTGTAGCAGAATTGATTCAATTGTACTAGGCCAACATGCTGTTTTCAACAGTCTTAAGGAAGGAAAGAAGAAAGGATAGGAGTCGGTCGCGGTCCTCAACAGCGTCGATCCTATCTCGGGTAGGACCCCGCTCAGACCCCTTCTACCTAGGTGGTATCCGGAAGGCCATAGCATATGGTCAACCACCGGGCTCTGGCCCGTCACAGGCTCATAGACTTTTATTCAAACTTAACTGCGTGGTATCAAGAATCCTAAGAGCTGGAGAAAAGAGAACGAAGAAGAAGCTACAGTAATATCCCAAGTTTTGAGGTGGTGCGCGTGGTGTGCGTGGCACACTTGGTGGGCGTGTCCCTGTCCTCCCATGTCCTATCCTCTCTTTCATCCTGAGTCCGTCCAGTCCTGTCGTATTCGCAACAACTCTTACTATTACTCTTAGCTCTATTGGGCGCTCCGGACCTTCTAGCCTTAGCTTTACCTTACTTGTTGACAACCAGAATGTTACATCCATTTGAGTACGTTGATGCGTTTTTGGATGACCAAGGATACACTTCTTATGTATATTGCGCTACGAAAACCTTCCACTTCGTCTCGTCGGTTTTTGCGAGGATCTTGAATCTGACGATAGAAAGGCGATTGCCTTGTCGCCTCAGGTGCCGCTTGTGTGGGGATGGATGGAAGAGGCTGGGCCGTGCATTAAACCCACCCGAAAATGCGGGGTTTATACTTAGCTTATATGTGTAGGTACATCAATCGATTAGATTATCCCGTCACCTCCAAATTGTCGTGCCTCGGCCTTTCGGCAAGAGTACAATATGAGATTTGATGCTCCTTCTTCATCTTCACGTTATATTGAATTTCACCGTTGCCATACTAGCCAAGATCAAGAATTTCAAGTTCCAGAATGTCCGCCCAAGCTTCACCCAGCGATGCCTATATCCTCGGAGTGGGGCTGACTCAGTTCCTCAAGCCCCGTCGAACCAGAGAGTATCCCGAACTGGGTTATGAAGCCGCCGTGAAAGCGCTGATTGACGCCAAAGTGAATTACGATCAAGTGCAGCAAGTAATTGCATGCTATTGCTACGGCGACACGACCTGGTATGAAACCATACCGCTCTTATGACAACCATATACACTTCACAACCGTTCGAAGCGTTTCATCTAATTAGCTTTGACTTTGATTCCTAGTGGTCAGCGAATTGCCTATAGCTTGGGAATGACAGGATGTCCCGTGTTGAATGTCAACAATGCGTGTGCCACAGGCAGTACTGGTCTACACACGGCCCGCCGTCTCATCCAAGGGGGACTCGTGGACTGTGCTCTGATTGTCGGATTTGAACAAATGCGACCGGGTTCGATCAAAAGTGTATGGGATGATCGTCCCAGTCCCCTCGGACCCTCAACCAAGCTGATGGAAGATACATTTGGGAAACATGACGCACCACGAAATGCGCAATACTTCGGAAACGCCGGCCAAGAGTACACGCAAAAGTATGCCCTTTCTTCCGATCAAGCCCGCGTGAAGAATCTCATGCTTCACAGGTGGCTGACTCTTCCTTCTGCTGTTCCTAGATACGGGGCCCAACCGGACGATTTTGCCGAGATTGCTCGCATTTCCCACGAGCACTCTCAAAAGAACCCTTACGCCCAGTTCAGGCAAGCGTATTCGCTCGACGAAATCTTGAAATCGACTCCGGTGTACGGACCGCTCACCAAACTGCAGTGCTCCCCAACCAGTGACGGAGCTGCGGCGGCGGTAATGGTCTCCCAGCGCTTTCTAGACGCACGGCCATCCTTGAAATCCCAAGCAATCTTGATCGCGGGCCAGGCATTACTGACAGATGGACCCGAAGTCTATTCGGGCAGTGCAATCGACTTAGTCGGTTTTCAGATGTCGCGAGAGGCAGCGAGACTGGCGTTGCAGGAGGCGGGTGTCTGCATTCAAGACATCAAGGTCTGCGAGCTCCACGACTGCTTCTCGACGAATGAACTCCTTCTTCTAGATGCGCTCGGATTTTCCGAGCCCGGAAAGGCGCATGAGATGGTTCGCCGAGGAGACATCACATACGGAGGTAAAGGTCCTGTGGTCAATCCCTCGGGTGGGTTGATCTCGAAGGGGCACCCGCTTGGTGCTACAGGAATCGCTCAGTGTGCCGAGCTAACTTGGCAGCTTCGTGGCTGGGCCAACAACCGGCTGGTACCTGGTGTACATGTCGCACTTCAACACAACCTGGGCCTAGGAGGTGCTGTGGTAGTGACGATCTACAAGCGAGCGGACGGGAAAGTTAGTAATTCCGTTTCAGACGAGGAAGTGAAGCATGTCTCGGGACTGGGCTATAATCCGGCAGTAGAGGCACACTATATACGTCCACAGGACGGAGAGCGTGTGAGAAGTAAAAGTAAGTCTCACGACTACCCCTTGCGTGGAGTGAATGACAAGCTCGCGTCACGGCTCTGAGGGAGGAAAGAGATCAATATCTGCAGCGACTGCTTGCTTGTCATTTATTATTTGTGAAGGCACCTTTGGAATGGATACTCCATGAAATAATACACATATTGACCTAGGCAATTGCTGTAATGTTTGGTAAATCTATGGCAGCAACCAGAATGAACCGGGGGAATTTTGCCGAATCTCAATTTGAAACATTGAGATGCTGCAGATTACAGTAATCCCCCAGCGAATTCAGATTCGGTAGACATCACTTCACCTCTTGCAAGTAAGATACTGACAGCGGCGACCCTGGGAGCCGAAAACCTTCGGTGCAAATGACTTTTCAGCTGTCCATTTCTTTTGCCCATCAGTTAGAGTCGGCTTCTTTGGTGGAGTAAATGGATGCAGCAGAGACACGGGCGAGAGAACGATTCGCGGGCTTGATCGCGCACGCCGCACGTGGGTCAGTCATGCACCCGTTTTTTGTGAACGCGAGCATGCTTCTTCTCCAGCCACCGAATCCTTGCAAGATACTCATGTGGGTGACCGAAAAGCACCTTGCCGACAGGAACCAACAGGCATCGGCAATGACAGGTTTGAATAGCATAGTGATCATCCACCAACAAGGTCAAGAGGTCAAAAGCCTCCAGGACCCTGGATCATGAGCCCCTTAAACACGACCGAAAGGTATGTGCGGGTACAGGCTAGGCGGCAGATGAGCGAACAGTGGATCTGAATACCGTTTGCGTCTCCCGCCTCGAAAGGCTTCCTTGGCTTGTGATGATATCTATTCGTTTCTGGCAATCACCGAGCAGGCTCGTCCGTGGGCTTGTCCGAGCGAGCATGGGTGAGGTTTATTTTTTGCTTGGCTTCCCCCAGCTTCCTTTTCGCACCCTTGACCTTTCGTTTGGTCCGTGTCCATCCTTCGACTCCAGCTAGGATGGCATAGGATTTGGTCATCGACACTCGCGACAGATCGGCACCACGTTCGTGAAGCGAACGGTGGAACGCGCGAAAGTTGGAAAGATGAGGACGATAATGACCGCTGGATACAGTCAGATCAAATTCCCTACCACGCGTTGCAGGGTTCGGGGATATTCATTTACCTCAACGGTGCAAAGCCACGGATCTGTCCATTCCGGGTCTTGATCAAACCCGCGGCAGATATCCTTCCTCCTCGTAAAAATGAGCTGTGCTGGAAGGCTCCTGGCGCCTTAATTCCAATGTAAATTCGGAAAGAGGTATCTGCCACCTACAAATTATAACCGGTCAATAACGGGCCTTGAAAGCTGATCGAAGGGAATTAATGACTCACAAAAATCCACATGCCGTTCTTGATAGACAGTCCGCCAGCAAAATGGTCATAAACCACAGCGGGTCGGATTTTTGAGAAATTCTTCACAGCCTTGTCCAGTTCGTAATCTTCCTTGGCGGATACATTCGGGTTCTTGGTGTCTGTGTTGCTGATGACCACATCGGAGGGCGGTACGTCCGCAGAGGCTGGAGCGGGTACTGCTAGCTCGTTAGTGTGCTGAGTAGAATCCTCTTGATTGCTGGCCTCATGTTCTTCGATTCGAACCACCCCATGTAAGCTATCCTGAAACCGGCTACTGTCCGTTTCAACAAGCTCACCATTCTTCGCCCACCTCAACAAACCTGCGTCGTCGATCTCGACCAAGTAATTGAATCGCTCGCTTGGAGTCAAATAACGAACTTGGTCCTTTTCCAGTTGCTCCCGGGTGCACTGTGGAAGCTCTACATTCTTGCCCTCCCCGTGATCCAGCCAGTAGAAGAAATTTTGGTTGGATGGCGATTCCTTCCATGCGGCGTGGTAAGCTCGCAAGTTGCTGCCATGACGGTGCTTGGAATCGACCATTTCCAGGAAGTATTCCAGGCCCATCATTTTGTGCGGGCAAGCCGAGGCCTTTGCGCCTGAACGATGGGAGGCCCCATCATCTGTACCATCCGCTGCGGATTCTTCGCTTCCTGTTGCTTGTTTTGCGATGCTGATTGCCCGCTGCCAATTTTTTTGTGCGGTATTGAGATTGCCGTCGAGATCTTCGTCGGATTCAGTTTCGTCATCCTTTGTCAATCCCTCGTCTGAACTGATTTCGGGTGGTGTCGCATTATCAATGCGCTGCTGACGGGCAATATCTAGGGTCTAATGGCACATGTAATCAGTAAGATAGACAAATATTCCCCACCGGTGCAAAAGCAGGAGGATGGGGGTTTTCACACGCACCTGGAGCCATCGAGAGGGGGCAGCAATCCCACAGCCACCGAGTTCGCGACGAGTGCGGTACCCACGGTAAGTTCTCTGAAGGCACACGATAATCGATGAGTATTGCCGAGACACATATCAGAGGTATTGGGCCTTTGGTGAGAACTTCGAGGACTAGGTCGTACCTGAATCGTACGCGCTGCTTGCTCTGGGTTAGAAGCGGGCGTGACGTCAGTCGTGGCATTTTGATGCGTAGCGGGCGAGTTGTGTGGCTCTTGCTCTACTGAAGCTGGCATCATAGCTGCAGTCATGGTCGATGTGACGAGTCAGAAAGGGTTCTCGAGAAGGCTGCGACCGTAGAACCATAGGCACCTGCCATGTTAGTGCTAGAATCTGGGAGCCTACTGTTGGAGTCTAATCACCACGACGTGGGGGCCTCCTGCCGATGGAGTCATTATGCTTATCGATAACCACGGTCCTGGATAGTATTAGATCCGAGCTATGCATGTGGGCGATGACGCACAGCCACTTGTGGCGACGCATGACTTGATAGTATTGCCTTATGCACAAGGCAATCAACTCATGGCCAGGGACTATGTCAGCCTGCCAGGCGGACTACATTTGCTAGACGGTAGCTTATCTTGTTGACCCGCGATAGCGACAACAGTAAACAAGGCCTCCTCAATAAACGCACGCTCCAAATTAGGACCCGTATCAACACCCGCAATCGGACAAAAGGTTCACTGGAAGGACTGTGTAGTTATTATGTTGTTGCAGCGTGAACCTCAAGTCTTCCAATACCTGTCAAGACGCTGTACCTTGATCTCTGCTCTTGATCTGGGAGTGGTTCATTAGCAATGCCAGTGCCCCTGTACTGCAACAGATTTCGAGATTTTATCGCTCCGCTTTTTATACCCGACTAGTTCCATCCTTTTCCTGAAGACGGCCAATCCCACAGTCTGCTTCTATTCTGCTCCGTCAATCATTCCAATCTTGGCTCTCACCTGGGAGCGTGTACAACCTACATCAGCCTCATTACTTCCATGTTGGGAATTATTCGTCATATGCCACTGGTCTAGCAGACTTGCATTGCCTGTGAGCTCCGATTGATCATCCCCAGTCGGTCGCATTGCTCTTTCCACGTCCGACTGCACTCTTTGAGGGAATTATCGCCGGGCACCCGACTTGCCGGAATTGGCAGGGTTGAAGCTCCATAGCTCCATCGTGCCTTATCTTTCAGCACTCCGACTGGAGCCTTCGAGGTACAAGTGACACCAACGGGCACAAGCTTACCAGGTACCAGTGAGTCGTGACTGTACCGGAATGGCGGGACTTGGATGCACCACGTCACCGATCGGGGTTAAGCCCGGATGTCGCTGCTCCACTCCGTCACAGCTGGTGCGGCACATGCCGACAGGTGGTGCGATCCGAATGTTCTCGTGTCTCATCTTGCTACAACGTCGTGTCTGTGCTGTGCTGCGATCTTCAGCCTCCCAACCCCTCCCATACTCCCACGAGTGGTCGAGTACCACAGTCGTACCGCCTGACTCCGCGGGTCGATGCGCTCGACAGCAGCCCAAGTCGACGGTGATCGGCTTGACCCGCACGCAGACGACTGTCGCGGACGTTCTCGACGCGCGGGGGTTCCAGCGTGTTCATGCACGGAAAGCGATCGGTCGCGGGGGGATCCCTGTGGATGGGCCACAGGAGAGCCCCCATCCTACTGATCTTCAGGTGCTGTCAATCGGTCGCGAAGACAAGCCGGGAGGTGGTGCCTCACCCGTCCAGGTACGTTGGTGACATGACCGAGTCACACCTCACCGCTGCATTCTCTGGTCAAATGTGTTCTTCCGAGTCCCTCGTTGCCGTCGCCCGGCATCATGATTCATCCGGCGTAGAGCGTCTCTACTCTCGAGAGACTTTCTCGAGGAGGCACGGGTATTCCGAGCGAAGGCTTGGCAATATCGGAGATGGGACGCATGGCTCATCCCAGACGGTCGGCATGATGTCGGAATTGGCACACCGTTTCTGTTCTCCGTCCGGGTTCATATCCCCCATGCCCACCTGCACTGGTTGACTCAACATGCCTTCACATTCCAGATTCCCACCTCACACGCTGATCTCAAAGGCGAGGACGACATCACGATCTTGCGCGACGGTGATGCCGAGCGTGTTCTCCCCTACAGTGCAGATGACTCCCCGTTTCCCGAGGTTCGAGCAGTCGTCCGGCCCAAGGACGATGCCTCTGTCCCGGTCAATACTGTCCGGATGTGGGTCATTGGACTGTTATTCACGATCGTAGGTAGCCAGAGAACCTCGTTGCCCGTGGAGGAGGTCTTTCTCGGAGACCTCATCATACCTTAACTGATGCATCTCCTCAGATCGGATCCGGATTGAATCAGTTTTTCAGTCTCCGTCAGCCAAGCGTGTCCATCAATTCGTTGGTCGCCCAACTGCTGGCCTTTCCCGTCGGACGTCTCTGGGCCCGGTGGATGCCCATCGGCATCTTGAATCCGGATCGACATTTCAACATCAAAGAGCATGCCCTCATCGCCATCATGGCTAATGTCTCCTTCGGCTCGGCTGCCGCGACCCAGGTCATACAGGCCGCCGTCAAGTTCTACGGCATGCGCTCCGACGGCGGCTTTGAAGTCCTCCTCTGTGTGACAACCCAGCTGTTCGGCTTCGGACTGGCGGGACTAGCTGCACGTTGGCTGATCACCCCGGCCTCGATGATTTGGCCGCAAGTGCTGTCCAACGCGGCCCTCCTGGCCACCTTGCATTCGCGAGAGAATCTCTTGGCGGATGGGTGGCGCATCACTCGTCTTCGCTTCTTTCTCGTGGTCTTTCTCGGGGGTGCGCTCTGGTATTTTGCCCCCGGATACCTCTTCACCGGTCTCAGTACTTTCAGTTTCGTATGCTGGATTGTCCCCTCCAATGTCGTGGTCAACCAACTATTCGGCCAGGTCACTGGCCTCGGCATGTCCATCTTGACCTTTGACTGGGCGCAAATTGTGTATGCGAATGGCAGCCCACTCTTGGTGCCCTTCTGGGCAGGGCTGAATGTCATGGGCTCGTTTGCTATATTCTACTGGTTGATTTGTCCGATTCTGTACTACACCAATACCTGGTATTCGGCCTATCTACCCTTGCTCAACTCCAACACGTTCGACAACACAGGTCACGCCTACAACACTTCCCGGATCATGGGCCCTGATGGCACGGTGAACCAAACGGCATATCAAGCGTACTCGCCCATGTTTTTACCGGTGGGCTACGCCATGACCTTTGGGGTAGCCTTTGCCAACCTCACGGGGATCTTTGTGCACATCATTCTCTACCACGGCCACGACCTCTGGCGACAGTGGAAGGGAACCAACGAACGCGATATTCATGCCCGCATTATGGCCACCTATCGAAGAGTGCCCTGGTGGTGGTTTGGCGTCGTCACCGTGGTCATGTTTGTGCTGAGCGTGGTCACAAATGAAGTGTGGCGCACAGAACTTCCCATCTGGGCCGTGTTCCTGGCATTCGTACTACCCACCATCTATTTCATCCCGGTGGGAGTCATCAAAGCTTTGACCAACATTAGTAGCAACCAGCTCAATCTATTGTCCGAGTTCATAGGGGGATATGCGATGCGCGGCCATCCCATGGCGAACATGATTTTCAAATTTTACGGCTACGTTGCCATTCAACAGGGAATTGAGTATGTTACAGCTTCCCCCCTCATTCCGAGTGAAGCTCTTGTTCGGCGGCGAGTCCTGATCATGTTCCAGATTTGTTGCGGATATGAAGCTTGCTCATTACATGCACATATCTCCCCGCACCGTCTTCGCTGCTCAAGGTATCGCAGCTCTTTTGGGTGCCATTGTACAGTGTGGTGTCACCGTGTTCATGATCACGACATTCGACGAGGTCTGTACACCTGATGCCGATGGTAATTTCACTTGTCCGCACGGTCGCGTGACGTATTCGTCATCCTTGATTTGGGGTAAGTCATTCCTCCAGGGCATGAACAAGTCACGCTTGAGGCTTCTCCACATGTTCAATTGACTGACCTTGGCTTGCATTCTTTGTTTGTCTGTAGGTGCCATTGGACCAGGCCGGTTGTTCTCGCCAGGTGAGATCTACGGGAAACTCTTGTGGTTCTTTCTGGTCGGCCCTGTCCTGGTGATCATCACGTTTTGTTTGGGTCGACGGTGGACAAACGTCAACTATCTTTCGTGGCCTGTCGCTTTTGGAGCCATGAGTCTTGTGCCTCCTGCGACTGGGGTCAATTTCTCCTCTTGGTGGGCGACTAATGTGCTCTTCAACTGGTTCATTCGACGTCGCAGACCAGCTTGGTGGTCAAAATACAGTACGTCTAGACTCTTCAAAGAAAGCTGGAAGTTGACGAGAAGAAGATTCTGGCAGTGTACAATTATGTTGGCCAATTTGACTAATACAACTTGTCTAGATTACGTCTTGTCTGCCGCACTGGATTGTGGTGTCGCCGTCTCTACCGTCATCATCTTTTTTTGCATTTCACTGCCCGCTGGACCACTCAAGTGGTGGGGTAATACTGTATATACTCATACTGCCGATGGGCAAGGCACGCCGTACAAACGTCTTCCCAGTGCAGGCTACTTTGGGCCAGAAAAGGGGTCATGGAGTTGAACATGGTTTGGACGACATAATGATCACGCAAGAATGCAATCTTCTTTCCTCCACTGACTTGGCACGATTGGAGCCAAATATTGGGATCACTGCGTAACACATCTGCTCTCAGGTGAGCAGCTAGGTAACGATTTTCTATTAGCGTAAGGTAGAGAGTCGCGATGTTTCATTGTCACAGCTTCACCGAACGTCCCTGAACGTACACCTTGGCGATATTCCGATCATCGCCCGTCATCAAGAACTTCTCAAATATCACCAAGGTTGAGTCCTCCTCTTCAATGGGAGAGCTGACACTCGGAATATCCAGGTCGACCATGTGCACCTCCAGCGCGTCAAATTCTTTGCCCACCTCAAATGTGCCAATCTTGTCTTCTAGCCCACAGACCTGAGCCCCTCCTCTTGTCGCAAGGTAAAAGCCCTCCTCCAGGGACAATGGCTCATCTTCCCCCTCGGTTTGGGTGTATCGGGCAAGAGACACCACAAATGCTTGCTTCATTGCTTCAAGCATGGAGGAGGAGTGTCCACCGCCGCTATCGGTGCCGAGACCAACGTTGATACCACGACGAAGATACTCTCGGATCGGCGCGATCATGAAGTTGAGCATGGTCGTATTGGCAATGGGACAATGTGCGACACCGCAACCGAGCTGACGAAGTTGATCTATCTCGCCCTCTGCTAGATAGATGCAGTGAGCCAGAATAGTCTGGTCGGTAAGCAGGCCGAAATGTTGATACAGATCGGCTTCTGTACGGAACTGGGGAAATAATTCACGCGTGAAGCGAATCTCTCCATCCTCCTCATTGAAATGAGTCTGGATAGGCACTTTGGGATTTGCGCGGGCGATGGAACCCAGTCCGGAAAGCAGCTCGTCGTCGCACGAAATGGCGAAACGGGGCGTGATCACCGGTTTTACTAGTTGGCCCTCGGGATCCAAACGGGCGACATGTTGAATAAATGCACGCGTTGCCTCCAGGGACTCTTTCGTCGAAGCTTCCCGGTACCAGTCGGGCGCATTGCGATTCATGTTACATTTGCCGACCAACGCCCGCTGGCCTTTCTCGAGGCAGATTTCGGCGAGGACACTGGTGGCGTCACCATGGTGAGATCCATAGTACGATGCGGTTGTGATCCCCTGCTGCAGGAAACCCGAGACACACGCAGCGTATGTTCGCTTCGCATACTCGATGTCCGCAAACTTAGCTTCATGAGGAAAAGTGACTTGATTTAGCCAGTCATTCAGGGAGCGACCACGACCCACGCCGCGCTGCGTCCACTGCGGGGCGTGGTTATGTGTGTCGACAAATCCAGGACAGAGGAATTGACCCCGACGCATATGCTTGACGGGAAATACCTCGGGTGCGTAGCCTTGGTCTGCGAGAATGGTATTTATCTGGCTTGCGTCGACATTTTGCTGCAGAGCTTGAATTTTGCCAGCCTGGTCTACCACGATCAAGCAATTTTCCAAGAACTCCAGTTCCGTGAGGGTACGAGAGTGAACTGCAGTCCCGTAGAAGGCCAAGGGAAGGCCTGATGCCGGGATCGATGTGAGGTGTAAGTCATCCATGGTTGACGGCAGAAATAGCTGTAGACTCGCGGCAAAGTCGACGTGTGCCGGAATGCAAAAAATGAGACGTGTTTCACCTTTTGACGAAGCGGCGACCGATCGGATCTTGTGAACGCAGTACAGTTGTGACAAGCGTGGACCTTGGGGTTCTGCGATGTGAGTCAGGTAAACCTCAATCAAGTGCAGAAGTTGTTCCACATAGGCAACTGAAGGTGGGTGATCGCTTTCGAAACGAGTGTATTGAAGTGTTCCCAACGCTCGACTGTCGTCATGAGGGGCGATCGTTCGACCGGCTCATGCAGATCATCTTGTTTTGCAGCGGGACAGATTGATAGCCACACCTCCATTTGGTAAGACAAAAATGAGGGGTATGTTTGTTATGCACCTGCCGCCGCCGATCAAGACGACTACCTAGGTCTATTCACGTATCGCTGCTGCTTATCGTAGGGTGACTCTTTCGGTGGTTTTGTTTTCTGCTTTGATCTCGTCGCAGGAAGGTTGTCCATGGAAAGCAGATCAGTAGTTTGGATAATCCGTGTTGAGGCCCGAGGTTACGGCTACCGAGTGGAGTCAACTGAGGAGAGAACGAAGGAATTGAGCTTGTCCTTCATGCTAGACCAGCACCATCGTCCATTTGGACGGATGCAGATGGGTGTAAATCGCAGCCCTTGTAGAAATCTACGACGGCTGATACATTCTGATGGACGATGTACCGGGACGATGGGAAGAGGAGAGATTGGGGAACCAGATCGCTTGCAGAGGGCGGAATCGATCATTCTGTCACCCACGTGATCCCCGGTCTGGCGTGAATGCTTGACTGTTTACTCCGGGCATATTTACACACCACGGTGATGAAACCAGTGGCTACGTTGGAAAAAGACAGAACGGTCTGCTTCATCACTGCCAGGTGCTGGACTAGATCGCTGCGCAGGGCAGGGCACGTACGTTTGGTCAAAATTTACTTATCGAGTGACGCTTGTGGTCATTCCACTTTCCATTTTGTTGGACCAACAGTATATACATAGAAGGTATGAAGAATGCAACATGTCCGGTTCGCGGTGCAAAGAGGGACATTGTAACCGGTTTCATCATCGTCATCGCCATCATCACCGTCGTCATCACCAATCCAATTGTGTTTCAACTACTGCATGAAAGGCACCAGGTAGTCGAACTTGCCCAGCTGCACACCCTTGGCACGGAAGATGGCGTAGGCGGTGGTGATGTGGAAGTAAAAGTTGGGCAGAGCAAAGTTGGTCAAGTAATCCTGGACCTTGAATTCCAACTCGCGAGGACCAGCCATCATCTTGAACTCGTTCTTCTCCTTGCCGACGAACTGGCTGGGCTCAGCCTTCTGCAACAACTCGATGGTGCTGGCGATGCGAGCCTGCAGCTCGGCGACGGTCTTCTCCTTGTCCTCGACGGGCTGCTGCTCGTAACCGGCGATACGGGGGAGGGAGTTCTTGGCGAGGTTGCAGGCCGTCTGGACCTGGAAGGTGACAGGGAGCATGTCCTCGGTGAGCTTCCAGCCGGCGACCTCATCGACGGGGGTGCCCTGCTGCTGAGCGAAGTCGGCGGCCTTTTGGATGATGTTGGACAGGGTGCGCAGTCCCTTGATGAAGGTGGGGACGCTGTAGTCGAAGAGAGGAGCAGGAGCAGACATGATGACGGTAGTGTTCTTGAGTTGTAAACGTGTGAGAGCGTGGAGGTTATGGAAGGGGGAAGGAGAGGGAGGATATGATGTCGATGTGAGAAAGCGACGGAGTGGGTGGTTGGATGATTTTTGAAGTCTTAATCGGCAATGGACGAGGAGGGTCGTCGGCTTTAAATCACACCTGCGTCCATTACTCTTCCCACTCCCACTCTGTTCCAGACGGTCTGAAGGGTGTGGGGTTGTTCCGTTGGCTGCAGGAGCGGGCCATCTGCGAGGTTCTGTCGGTGAAGGGGGTCAGTGGCCGCGGTCCGAATGGGTCAACAAACTGCGGCCGTCGATGATGCTCCGCCAGACAAGGGGACAATCCCTCCCTGACAGCTAATCATGGGAGCCATTGGGACCCGTGCACGTCTCCGTTGTGGTGAGCAATTGTTTGATTACCAATTGGATGCAGAGAGACACTGGTAGAAGGTGTGGTCCGACTCCGATGCAGAATGCAGTAAAACACGATGAGAGAATCGGGAGTGGATACACTCTGGATAGACGGGGTCCGCTCTTCACCTGACTTACCACTACAGGTAGCAACCTTCCAGGTTCCACTATACTTGGATGACTAAGAAACCATCTCTGCGCCCAATGATGTTGATAACTTGATACTACTAGGCTGTAGCCCATAAGAGATGCTTAGGTGGGTAAACAGTATCCACCAGGCGGCAATGTATGTACATTGTAACAAGTATACATCAAGGACAGTCCAACTTAGTCACTCCACTATCAAGCCTGCTGAGTAATGCATCAAATCCTCCCCCGCAGCAGGATCCCCGAGGTGTAATCAGATTCTATCCGATTCTCCAGGGCTCTTCAAGTCTCTGTTGTTCGCTGGGGTTCGATGCTGGTGATTGGAGACACGTATACTGAAACAAACGAGGCCTTCCAAGGTGAAGTTGCCATGCTTCCATGACAGAAAGGATGACTAAGGTAAATTGCTCACCTCAGGCCATGACACTACCTGAATTTCATTGGGTGCAATTATGTGGTTCTTCCATTGAGTTGAAGCAAATTTGGACAATAATAATAATGCCTCTCAAACATCTACACGTACTTTATTACCTTTTACGTATGAACTTACGACCTAGTTCTACCTACCCACCACTTACCAACCGAACCGTCTCGGATCGACTATCTAATCACTGATAAAGATATTGATCCGGAAGAGTCAAGTTCAATCCAATTCCAGACCTCCAGATCCAACAGATAATCCTGTGCGCGGGCCGGGCATTCGCGACTCTGATCCACGTCAATTGATTCCATCCACTACTCGAGTGTCCGCTCTCTGCGTCATCCATGCAGCCGGTCTTACGCTGACCAAGCTAGGTCTTTGTTCAGGCGCTGTTCTCGATCAACGGAACGCCAAGCTCCGAAATCATGGAGGCAGTGGAATGTGAGGTGGCCGCAGGTACTTCATGGACAGATACTCAAGGCTGGATGGAGTATATTTTACTAGATAATGAAACGATAGAGAATAAAGTGAGATGGATGGATCCATGTTGAAGCGGGTTTGACTTGATCCCACGCGCACGTGCCGGTTTGGAGGCTCAGTCTCACTAGTCACAAAGGGGACAATGTCCTCCCGATTTCAGTCCGGTTGGGCGTCAGGCGCCCGTATTTTGATCCCTCAACGTCCGCCCGTCATGAGGACAATGATCGAAAAGAAAGAAAGATTGAGAACCGATGCGAAAAAAGAATAAGGAATAATTGGTCCATACATTATCATAACATATCAACAGGATCCGTGGAACTAAAAATCAAGAGACGCCAACGCTTAAAGGGTATAGTAACTCGCCATCTCCTCTTGAAACCAATTGTAAGAATAATACAGTTGCTCGGCCATTTGCGGGTCGATCATGGGCATTGCGCCACTGCCATCCACCAGCAACACATCGTCCAAGACCGGCGCCAACGGCACCGGTGGCGGTGGAGGGGGTGCCAGGGTCACGGCAAGTTGGGGGGCAGAAGCGGTGGTGGCATGTGCGGGGTGTGTCGCGGAGTTTGCTGCGAAAGATATGGTAGTTGAAGCGATGGGTGCTGCTGCTGCTGCTGTTGCTGTTGCTGTTGCTGTTGCTGTTGCTGTTGCTGTTCTTGCTGTTGTTGCTGCTGTTGCTGTTGTTGCTGCTGTTGTTGTTGTTGCTGCTGCTGCTGCTGCTGCTGCTGCCGTTGTTGTTGTTGTTGTTGTTGCTGCTGTTGTTGCTGTTGCTGTTGCTGCTGCTGCTGGCGATATGCCATCTGACTGAAGATGGTGGTGCTCTGGTGTCGAAAGGTCTCCGCCAATCGATCCACCCCGGGCCGTCGCTTGCCAAATTGCTCCAACAAAACCACAACGGCTTGAATGGCCCGGCGCATCATCTGCTCATCTGGTTGCCACATAGGGGGACGAGAATCGCGCAAACACCGCGCATTCTGCTCCAAGCACCACAGGATGGTGATTCCCGCAAAGTAGACTTGACTCAAAGTCAACCAGATCCACTTGAGTTTGCCGACGGAGTAACTGTCCCAGTACGACCGAATCACCTGGATACTGGAATCGCCGCAGCTGATGACACTGATCGTGTCGGGGTGGGGATTACGAGGACTTGGGCGGTACATCAACAGCAGGGTCGTGTAGTACAGATAGTCATAGTAGGAGGTCGAATACAGGAGAGCTGACGGGTAGACTGGCGCCGAAAAGCGCCAGTCATCGACCTCTCGACGAAACTCGGCCAGCGTGGCTGCGGCCTCTTCGGGCGGTAGCTGTGGGAGATTGCTGTATACTGAGGCGGGGTCAGCGGCCAAGCCAACTCCAGCACCACTGGACACAACACTTACAGTAGTGGTAGATCCGAGAGAAGATCCGTCGAAGTCGAATGACCTGAAGCGGGATGGTCATGATGCTGGCCCCCGGTGCCTCCATCCCATCCTCATTCAGTTCCCGGGGTAAGCCAACACTGATATCGTCATCGGAGATGCCTAATGGCCGGCCCAACGTACTGGCGATCAGACGATCCAGGTTGTACAAACTCCAAAAAGCCCGTTTAGCCATCTCTTCCTCCATGGGGGTGGGATATGGCCGAGCTTTGTGGAGGCCCATGCTGATGGCCAGTCGTAAGGTGGCTCCCAAGACATGCCAGATACTCGGACCGGACGTGGCAAACATGGAATACAGAGCCAAGCCGAGAAGTGCTCGAATCGAGGGTAGGTCTTCATTCTGGAGTGCATGCGACAGAGTTTCTTGGCTCGCCTGATAGAAGTCCGTTGCCTGGGCCGGCTCGGCCGACCCTATCAAGAGAGCAATGGCAATGATGATGTGGTAGGTATTGTGTACCTCCGGCGCGGGCACGCCGCCCTTGTAGATGTGTCGCAGATGGCCGAAGAATTCTGAACGAGGCAGGAATGGATATTGGTAACCCAGACTGTCAAAGTATTGCCCGGCAACCCGTTCGGCCTCTTCCAGTGAGGACAGACGCAGCACTCGCGGTGCCACAGCAGGTCGTGCTACCGATGGACGACGGTTCTCCAGCTGATCGCGCAGGATCTCGCCGACGTTGGGCAATTCCACCCCCACGCCCGTAGGAGGTTCTGTCGCGATCGCTGCCAGGCCCGGTGGGGTCGAAGTCGAGCTGTTCGCAAAGGGACTGAGCATGGTGGTAGGGGTCGTCGACAAGGGATGCGGCGTCGGCAGCGCAAGGGACGACCGAGTCGCGCTCGAGGCGATCATCGCAGGCACCCGACACCACCAGTCCGGGTCCGACCCTCCATCCACGCTGGAGCCTGTGGCCATGTTGGCCACGGCGATGCCCACCTTCCGGTGAACAATCTCCTCCAACCATCGCACTCGATTCTGGAGCGTCTCTAGTTGATCTCGCGGCACGGAGGCACTGGCGACCTGTGGTCCCGGCGGAGGGACGGTACATCGCACCCCTGCGCGGGTGCACGCCGAGCAGTTGGGGTAACGAAAGTCACATTTCTTCTTGCGTTTCCGGCAAAAGTCGCAGGCCGTGGAGACACGCTTGCTTCGCGTGGCCGTGGCCGTGGCCGTGGCCGTCGTCGAGTCGAGGGGCGAGAGCGAGTCGGACGGCGGTGGGGGTTGCGGTGTTGAGGAGGGCGGACGTGCCAGCGGGGAAGGAGATGGCTGGGCACGAGGGGAGGCTTTAGAGAAGGAGGTCGTGGTGGGGGACGACCAAGTCACGGGCAGCAAGGCAGGGGCCTCGAGGCGGAATTTGCCAAGCTGATCGCGAAAGTCCTTGCTCGTCATGGTGAGGGAAGAAGGGAAAGGCGGCTGGGGCCGCAAGCCATTGTTGGGTTTGGGGGGGGAGGGGGGTGGGAGGCTCCGATCCCGGCAGCAGCAGCAGAAGAACGTGTGTGTTGGAAGTTGGGGAGAAAGACAAGTGGGGGTCACTCCTCTGCGGTTGAGGCAGTGAGAACGGAGACGTCGGAGAGGGAGGCAGAGGCAGGAGCAGGACTGAAGCGCAGTTCTGGTCAACCCAGTCGCGCTTGCCCGCTTGCACGCTTGATGTCACGGACTTTCTCCGCGCGACGGAACGGAGAAGGTGACCCAGGCACCGGAATCGCAGCCTGGTCAAGTCTCGTCGTCTCTCTTTTGCTCTCGCTTCGGCCACAGAGTGTCGGCCTCATTGAACATCAGGCATTTGTTCAATGATGGGAAAGGAAGAGTGAAATGAACGTGGTCGAGGCGTAAAGCGGCAAGGTTAGTCTCGGCGATGCGGCCACGAACGGAGACGTCTCGTGATTTTCTCCCGGGTTTTGGCTACTCTCCTGTCTCCAGGCGTTGTACCTCGACTAAGTCTCTCTCTCTCTCTCTCTCTCTCTCTCTCTCCCGATGTGTCTGTCGGCACTCTGCACTCTCCACTCTCCGCTCTAACTTGTAGTGTAGCGATGACCAAACAGTAGTAGAAGGTAGGATTGCCTGATCGCCTTGTGCTGTACAAGCTGGATGGGCCATAGCCAACGTACATGAATGTACTATTTGAGTTGGGTCACGACTCACGACTCACCACTGCAGCCCTGTGGGGAGAACGGATACTGTAGTGGTACGACCAGGTACCTGAGGTACCTTACCTAAGATACCTGTACGCTCTAACAGTAAGGTACTTCGAAGTCTTCGAGTACCTGATTTGCTGCTGCTGCTGCTGCTGCTGCTACGATTGAGGACTGCCCAAGACGGACCGGGCTGGAGGGCCTTGTTACGATAGTCTTCGTACCGCCTCCCTGTTTAAAGCTTCTTCCAAAGGCCTTCGATGAGTCTTCGATGCACCGACGCTGCGGCACACTCTATCAGCCGGTCCATGCATTGTTCTGCTACACAATAAAGGTCTCCCGTCGGGGCTGGTTGCCCGGGTGGTGTCAGTGGCGGTCATTCTTCAGCGTGGATAAGCTCTGAAACGTCCGTAACGTCCGTCTGCGATCCTTCAAACTGCTCGTTGTAACTTTCCACGGACAAGAGCTCCAATCGTAGCGGGCATCTCTCTGCATATGGTTATACATCATGCACTCTCTGCAGTGGTGGGATTCGCATTTGGGGTCGGGTCAACACAGAGACAAATCTCTCTCCAGATTCCCCTCCCATGGACCGTGTACAAGTGAACATACACCACTGCCCGTTGATCCTCCGAGGCGCACCCACGATCTCAATTTCACCTTCATCGTCATCGTGGCGACATCCGTGACCACCGTGACAACCGAACATCATTCCCATGAGATTGACCCCGGCGTCATGGTGAACCGTGCGACCACGATCCTACTTTACCCAGGAGAAAGAACGAATTAGAAAGGATGACTGCATCCAACTAATCTGATCCGAGCGAAGCATCACCACGAGTGACAGGGGCCGACAGCGAGGATGTGAACAAATAACCTCCTCTGGTTCAACCGCCCAGAGCTTAGGTTCGATTCCTCTGCAGAACCACCACCCCCACCCATGGGGCGCATGGATCGGGATCAGCCTCGAGGATTACCCAAATTGGCTGCCCTCGCTCGTATCGCTTCCCTCGTGGATACCACCTTGAGGTGCACGGAGACAACAATCCCCCTCACGGTGGTCGCAAAATGGTGCAGGTTGGAGTATGATTTTGCGAGACTCGTCGACAAGCCATGTCCGTGACGAATGGTAGTAGGAAGTCGCTTGCTTCCAACGTCTACCCGTGGAGTGACAGCCTGGACAGACATATAAGAGAAGCGATTCCCCCGTCTCAACCCATTGCTCTCAGTGCCCACTGCCAACTACCGAGATACAACTTCAATTCAAACTTCAAACATGAAAGCATCTCTGCTATCTCTTCTCGTGGCCGTTGGGGTTGCGCAGGCCAGCGTGCAGGGGTTTGACATTTCCGGATATCAAAGTAATGTCGACTTTGCCGGTGCCTATTCTTCCGGGGCTCGGTTTGTCATTATCAAGGCGAGTACCGAGTCAAGTCCGGACGTTGAAAGGGACTGAAAGCATCCAAATGGACGGAACGCACGAGCTGACGACCATTGTTGTTCGACAGGCCACCGAAGGTACGACTTTCACCGACAGCACTTTCTCCAGCCACTACACCGGCGCAACGTCTGCCGGTCTCATTCGCGGGGGGTATCACTTTGCCCGTCCGGACACCAGCTCCGGGGCCACCCAGGCCAGTTTCTTCCTGGCCCACGGTGGAGGCTGGTCCAGTGATGGCATCACCCTGCCGGGCATGCTGGATATCGAGTACAACCCGTATGGGGCCACCTGCTACGGCCTCAGCGCCTCGTCCATGGTAGCCTGGATCCGAGACTTTGGGGAGACCTACAAGAGTGCAACGGGTCGCTACCCCATGATCTACACCACGGCCGACTGGTGGAACACGTGCACCGGGGGCAGCACGGCTTTCAGCCAGGACTATCCGCTGGTCCTGGCTCGGTACTCGAGCTCTGTCGGCACCATCCCTGGCGGTTGGCCATATCAGAGCTTCTGGCAGAATGCCGACTCGTACGCATATGGTGGTGACTCTGATCTCTGGAATGGAAGTGAGGCTGCCCTTCAGACTTTTGCTCGGGGTTAAGACGTGATATTGGACGGGGTTTGGGGGCTATCTGTGCTTGTTTTGTCTCCGGCAGGGGCATATCCCTCAAAGAAGCATGCTTGATCCTGTATATAAGCCGATGCCCATCTAGCTGGGTGCATGCACCCCCGTCACGATGTGCCCGAAACTCAGGTTATCGGTGGCTTGTACAAAACGCAGTGCACATTCTGCAAATATTTGACCAGGCATTGTGGTTCTCCGAGTATCTAGGATTGATGGAATGCCGTCAGGCTTGGCGAATATGGTTGATTAGCTGGCGATCTACCATAAAGCCCCCGATCACTACAAAAGTAGCCACTAGCCAGGCACTTCCAATGATGTGCCACCTCATCAACCCGACCATACACGTGCAGCTAGTAGACACGTTCAATACAATATACGGTCCAGTTTCCAAGTAAGGGACGAGCATTCGGCACAACCCTACCACACGGGAAGCTCCAGTTGTTCGGCCCCTAACGGCCTCGTATGTCCGAAAGGCCGACCGGAGCCGGACTTCTAGAACATCGCGGATTTTGCGACTTTCAAAAGCCGAGACCAAGTGTATCTTTAGGTAGTGTTAGTGTTTGATCTCTGTCCCCTACAGAAGTGTGAGCCTCTCATAGTAAAATGACGGAGTGAGGTCAACCCTGACGAATACTCTAGGCCGTAAGCACTGTAGAAGTGTGGACTGTAGAAGTGTGGACTGTAGAAGTGTGGACTGTAGAAGTGTGGACTGTGAACTGATGGGATACGGCTACTGTAGGGGCAGCAGTATCGATGTGTGAGAGGGATGAGGAGTGAGATTGCTATGGGGGAGAGATTCTACCTAAGCTATGGACTGTGGTGAGTGGCAGAATCACATGTCATACGAACACGAACTATGGACGATAGACCGTAGAGTGTAGACTACTAGACTGTAATGACGCCGGGTTTTCCTCGTCCGGAATACCAGCGGACATCTTACCCTACCTCTTGCATGGATTTAGCTGGATCAGATCTGCTTCAATCCAGATAAGCGAATCAGACGACTTGCAAGCGGGAATCCCCACGATCGGTCCTCGGCGCCGTGGTGAGATCTGAGCAGATGACGTCGTCCAAGCGGATGCTGTTGCGGATCGAGAGATCCAGTTCCCTGCTGAACCACGATCGCCGCAGATATCAAAGCCTATCAGCAGCCACCGAGCCAGCTAATGATCTGACGGGACCCGATTTTGTTAAGCCATGATTTGCTGCCCGTCGCCTTTGGCTCATCGACTTTCACACCGATGGAAATCGGTATGGAGCTTTCGGACCGGACCAATTCGTCCGTTGGCAATGCGCCGCCCCCCCCCCCCCCCCGTTGACGGTCTTTCATGCCGGAACATGATCCAATGTCCGACAGATCAGTCATTGGAAGATTTGCGGAATCAAGGGATTCCTGATATGGGCTGCTAGCCCGGACTGGCCCAGATTCTTTAATAATCGCGGCTTATCCCTTGCGAATCATTTTACTGGAGAGAAACATTCTCTACAGTGCAAATTCTACAACGCTAAACCCCGAGGCAAAAGAGGACTTATCAACAATCAACCCCTATCGAGCTCAAAATGAAGTTTTCAATCTTGGCTGCGATATCTGTTGTCGAATTCGCCCTGGCGCAGAATCTCACCCAGCTTCCGTTCTGCGCAGTACGCATTTCTCCTCTTTACGCGCAGCTATCGAAATGCAAACGCCGATGACGACCCGGCCTTTGCACTTCATAACATGGCGCTGACTTGACTTTGCCCACAGATTTCCTGCGCATTTCGAGCAATCGCTTCAGCTGGATGTAGCGTGACCGACGCAAAGTGTATATGCACCAAAGACTCGTTCTTCACAGACATCAACTCCTGTCTGACAACTTCGTGCAGTGGAGACAACAAACAAAGTGCGTCGACTTTTGGCTGATCGTAGAGGGGTATCGACTAATCACCTTTCTCACATAGAAACCATCGACTTTGCTCGCTCGTTCTGCGGCTCAGCAGGTGTCTCCATTCCAACTCCTCCGAGGTCATCCGCACCAGTGGCTGCCCCAACGAGAGCTGCTTCATCGACGACCGTCTTTTCGTCGACGGCCGTCGCGACGACCATCTCTAGTGCCACTGTCTCCGTCATTAGCAACGGCCATCCCAACGATCAATATGTCACAAACAACGTCCGGCTTCCGATCACCCATGTGCTCGTTGTGAGATCATAGTGGAGGAGGCCTGGTGGCTTGGCATTGTTGAACTCGGAATGCGACAGTCTGAGACTTCAAAGCCTCAATATACGCCGACCAAAGATTCCAGGACGAAGCCAAGTCGCAGCATCTGTCAGAACGTATGCCGGATGAGGTGGCGATGGAAGGACGAAGGGCTGCATGGGATAATCCGGATCGGCCACCGAACACTTTCTTGGGATCAGCACATCATTGTGTTTGTTTGATGGCATGCAGGATCCGCTCTACCTATGAGCCCCTGGCGGTTTGTTCTGCCATAGAGAGTTGCAGATCTCCCCGCGCGCGGGTCGCCTGGCAAGCTGAGTCACAGAATACCCTCGGGCTGTCAAGATGGGACTTCTTCACATCTACTGATTCCTTGTGCATCACCAGCGCCAATATTGCTTCTCCTCAAAGGTGCTTACACTGTGAAACTTAATAAGGTGGTTGAGCGTGCACTACGACAATCGTGTCCATAGGTGGGGATGCGAGAGGCATGGGATAGCGGTTCAGAGTTGGGCAACGCTAGATGTTCGAAAGGCAAAATGTCTTGACATCTGCGAAGGTGCACACTCTCTAGAGCAGTTCTCATTGCCACTGAATTGGATGCTTGGCCGGCCTGGCCTAGGAGGTAGTCACCTAAGCTTTCAAGTTCGTTGGTCTGGTCGTGAGACGCGCACAGCTCGCACGCAGCATGATCTCCTCACACGTGTCCCAAAAGAAGGATCTCTTCGTCCTGACGTTTGCTGGGCCGGATCTTTCACTCTCAAATCTCTTCCCACGAGTATACGTATGAAAGGGTTCTTCTTTGTCTTCGTACGTTTTGAAGATACCTGATATCGCTCAAATCATGTGAAATGAAACAAGTAAATAGTGAACACTGTCTGTCCAAGTCACGATTGTCCCCAATCGTTGCTCCACTCCGGAGTGTTGCGAATCTGGGAGGTCCGAATTCACAGATCTGGTGCTCGGGAGGTTCTCAAAGACACACACCTGGACACTTTGAACTAAGGTTCCTTATTCTCCCGAGGTTGAGATATTCTTGCCCCGTGCTCACTTTTCACTTTGAGTCATCTGCTTCAATCAGACCAGGTCAGCTTGAAAAGCATAGCACGCATCTTCTGATCCCGACCAACTGAAAAGTATGGCACGGCCTCCGAATCCTTTCATGTTCCCATGAATTCACTGAAATAATTCTGCGGGCTACTTGCCCAGTGCAGACTCTTCACGTAAATGGCATCGTGTAAAGCCTGGTCGCCGCTTTGATCACCTGAAGGTGGGGACCGCCTCATCTGTGTCCGTGTAGCCGAAATGATCGAGCTGCCGAACTGCCGAACTTTGACAATAATGACCATGTTCCTGTTTGTTTTCGGTGTCAAAGCACCTTCTGAAAGTTAAAAAAAAAATCCCACGAGCCGAATGAAACCGCGTGTTGTAGAACCACCGAGGCACAAAGGTCGGGGATTCAAGGTTCAAGAATGTCCGACAGATGACAACTCAAGGTGCGAGTAAAGACGAAGCAAGCTACTCTAGGTGCATTCCCCACGGCTCTTTGGTCGGTCTCGCATAGAACGCATCAACGGTAGTTGCAACAAATCTCCAGCGACTAACTTGATATGGGTTCTGCTCCCGTGAGAGTTTGCATGCCGCAGTGGCATCGACGCAACTCCAATGGAACCATCGACCAAATGCCGCAACCAAAACTTCAAGTGGATTCGAAAATTGGTCGAAGCATCGGAATTATCCAAATTCGTCACATTTGTCCGGGCTTTCATCAGGGAACCGACAGGCACACCACCCCCGCATTTGACCAACGAGACGAATGGCGGGGGGACATTAAGGTTGGCGGGGAAGTGGAGATGGTGACTGTTGACTTTGCGGCCTGATGAGTTTGCTCGCTTGGCGCCAAAGCCACGATAACGATTGGTCCACACAGTTTCTGCAAGCCTGGGGGTGAACTGAATGACCTCGGTGTTTTCTGGAGCACTTGAGAAACATTTGTTACATGTGAATCATGAAGAACGACTATAAGAAGAGGTGATAGTGGTAGGAAATCTCAGTAGACACTCAAGAACTTGCCTTTCAAATATCAGAGACTTGACCAAGATGAGATTCAACATTGATCGTTTGTTCTTCCTTTCTCTTGGGGTAGCAGTTTCTGCTGCCCCAGTGCAGGAATTGAATGAAAGGGATCTCGTTGAGCGAGGAGCTGGATTCAATACCTTCTTGAGCATTCTCCTCAGCAACCTTCCGGTGATCGACACGACGATCACCGAAGGTACTTCGTTGATCACCGACTTTGACAGTGTTCTCGCAGCTTTGACTGGGGCTCAAACCACCTACAATGAGCTGGGGGGGGCATGCAGAAAATACACCGTGATCTTCGCTCGTGGTACAGCAGAACCGGGCAACGTATGCATTCCAGAGATTCCATATTCGGCTATCCTGATGGACATTAACTGATCAACTCTGCTCAGGTTGGCGTTCTCGTTGGCCCTCCGCTGTTTGATGCGATGGATGACCAGTTTGGCTCCTCGGCAATCACTGTGCAAGGTGTCAATGACTATTCTGCCTCGGTTCAAGGCTATCTGGATGGTGGAGACCCTAATGGAAGTGCCGAAATGTAAGGTTTCGGATCATTATCTCAAAGACTGAAATTATAGTCCCGCTAACAAATTAACTTCATCCCATAGGGCCCGTCAGATCAAGGCGGCAAAGGCGCAATGCCCCGGTACCAAACTGATTGCATCAGGATACTCCCAAGGCTGCCAGATCGTCCACAACGCAATCAACCAACTCGACAGTGTTACTGCTAGCTGGATTTCGAGTGTCCTGCTTTTCGGAGACCCCCGTAAGTCTTTGAACAGAGATGTCTCTCATTCTTGATGGTAGATTTCGTGAACTAACTGCGGTGATAATAATAGTCAAAGGACAAGCGATGAACAGTGTCCCAGCTTCGCGCGTCTTCACTGCGTGCCATGCTGCGGATGATATCTGCAAGGATGGGATTCTTATTGGGCCTTCGCATCTCACCTATGCTGTGGACGTAGTCAACGCTGTCAATTTTGCAGCCTCCGTTTAGGCGTCACAAGTCGGATTAATGGTTCAGTGGCTTATGGCTGAAGAGTCACAAATATACCACTTCAATATTCTTCCTCTTTATCTTCTCATCGCAGTGACCTTCCAGAGGATGGAAAAGTTTGGCGTCTGATTAAGGTAGCCGTATAAGTAACATTTGAATGGATCATAAGCACCGGTTAGGCGACGGTTCAATATCGGCGGGCTGAAAGGTTTTCGTGACCGGCCACTTTTTGGCTGGCACCTCCAGCTGTAGGTGGATCGAGGGCAACCCGATCGGCTGCCATCTATAGATCCTGTGGATTTCAATTACGCGTCTCCACTGCTAATCCACCCGGACACCCGCCGTCGGCCAGGGGACGGCTCTGGCGTGAAACAGCCGGAGCCTCGGGTCAATGTTCAGAACATGCCTCATTCCCATGTCTGAGTATCGCAGCACCACAAATTCTCCCTTACAATAGTGAAACTAGACCAGGCTTTTAGCATATTCCTCCCCCTGAATGCAAGTGACCATTGCAACTTCTAGACTACAGGAACACCTAGAGAGCACTTACGGAGTTTTTCGCTCTTTCTCCATCGAGTCCCCTATTGATATTCTATCTCTGCCATTCCGCAGCGTAGAGCCTACTATCTGAGGGACGGTCTCGCTACCATTTTATTAGATGATGGCACCGTATTTTCAATAGTCACGGCTAGGTGAGTATGTTTTTAAAAATACGGTTTCGCAACTGTTTTTGAAAAGCAACAGTCTCACTTCTCATGCTGTTTTTTTAATCATAGCCGAATTATAACTATGATTTTTCAAAAATGATTTTGGCCCGCAACTTAGGAAAAATATGATGACTATCAAAATTCAAAAATGTTTAGTTTTCAAATATAGTTATCACACAGTTTGCTACGATCATATTATTATACTTATATAGGAATAATATAATTAACTCTCCGATACCGTATATAAAATAAAATCGATGATACAATAGATCATTCGAAAGGGGCTCCCTGATAAATTCGTCTGCGTCGGTGGGTTTGTGGGTCCCCGGGTGGTGAGTCGGCATAGACCTTGCCAACGAGCCAAGCGGGCCGGACTTTTAGGCTCGCGCCCGCGCGCGAGCCGAGAATTTAAGCTCGTACCCGCGAGCCTTCAAACCACGAGCTTAGAGCTCGCGGGCTCCGAGCTAATACTTACAGACTTAAGCTCGTGCTCGCGAGCTTTCGCAAGGTCTACAAACACTAACACTGAGTCTGCCTCGACAACCGCTTTTCCCGGATCAACCAGACGCAGTCCGGGTATTCTGGGGCTACGCTATATTCCGAGGGAACGAGGGGAATTTCATGAACATCAGCTTGATCTCCCCGTTGAAGAAACAATGTCCCAGTCAATCACAATCCCCTCCGTGATGCCGCGCATGACGGCAGCCCTGCAACCTAGAAATCATAGCGATCGGCCCAAGGTAGTTCCGCAGGGAATGGCGAATATGGCGCTCATCGGTCAGTTTGTGGATATTCCCGGGGAGATAGTGACAGTTGGCTACATGGTGCGTAAGGCGAAAATGGCAGTGCATCAGCTTATGGGGTCAGAGAGGCAACTTAAGAAGTCGTGGCGGCGATCGGCTGCAAAATGCCATAGCATTAAACTCCTGACGGAAGTTCTCTAACTTCTTAGTGCTATTCAATTTGTCTTTTGAGCACAGGTCACGCCGGTAGATTAGTGGCCGATTCCCGCGTCCACACAGTGATAAGCGGGTCTGACCTGTTACAGTGATAACTTCTTAACGTACAAGGAAGATTGTCGTATGGGAAGGGCTACAGCAGAATTGGATTCAATTCCACTAGGCCAACATGCCGTTTACGACAATCTTGAGGGAAGAAAGGAGGAAAGGTCAGAGTCGGTTTCAGTCCTTAAGTGCTGGTCCTGTTCGGGATAGAATCCTCTAGCACCTCGTTCTGCCAAGACGCTATTTCGAAAGGCAATGGCATACGGTTTACCGCCGGGTTTTGTCCCGTCACAATCATCACTTCAACACGCCCTGGTCATTATTGTTGAAGCTTATAGTTTCGCAACCAGGACGCACACTATGACTTGCTACGCCCACGTTTTATCACATGGACACACTACTGTCATTAAGTATTTATGAGATTTTGCAAATACAACATGCGTTGATCGATCGAAGCAAGGGACGATGGTCTTAAGTGCAGAGTACATGAAGAGATGAGAGGCTGATTACACGCTAGAGCAATGTAAAGACATCAGAGTGGTTCGACGTCTCTTGCAATGGTCACGAGCGCATTTGGATAGTCCTAGGTGGGAATAGAAGCGCAAGTATTTCAAGGATTTATGAGAGCCTTGAACTTGAGTTTGGGGTCGTATGCCTTTCTCAGTTCGACAAGTTTGTCCCAATGCTTGCCGTACGTCTGCAGGGGTGAGAAGAAATGTTAGTTGAAATCATAAGCACGGCGTTCGAAGACATGCTACTCGCCTTCTTGGGATCATGGAGCTCGTCGAGCCCTGCAGGCAGAATGGTGTAGTCCTGGTTGGATTCGCCGAAAATTTCTTCAGGGGTTTTGATTGCAACTTCACGGGCCTTTTGTTCCTGTTCGGCCGTTCCATCTGCGGGGCTTCCTGTGAGGACTAGCAGATAGTGCTTGTCATCGAGCCGGCGAGGCCAGGCGAGCCCCGCTTGACCACCAATTGGTGGACTCTACAGGCTTGTCAGCTTATCCTGTTACCACAATGTTAAATATGCGTGTGGCTTACCAGGACAAAAAACTCAAAGATCATCATAGTCCGGTCATGAATCGCTTCGTCGACAGATTTGATCTTTTCTTGCCATTTCAGCGCACGGATGATATGATCGGCGCTCACGTCAGGTATACTCATTGGTACGGCGCGGAAATTCTTCATGGTGCCTTTCAGGAACGCCGCGTTCTCTTTGAGGAATCTGTTAGCCTCTTTCCCCTATAGATCAGGTTGATCACATACGCTGCATATCGACCACACCCTTCATGTCGACTACCGTGGTCCGATCGATGGCTCCTGGAATATCGAGCGCCCAGCTAAACGCTTCCCGTCCGTGGCGCTCACCGCAGGCGTCGTAAACATGAATTGCAATCATGTCACCGTTCACAGCCTTCAGATCATGCTCATTCAGGATTGTATGCAGTAGCTGATATCGGACCGAGTACATCATCACGCTAATCTTTGGGTGCTGGGGTTTTGAGACGAACTCAGCAATTTGCTGAGCGACGGCTACCAACTCCTCCTTAGGAACCAAAATCATGCCAGTCCAAATCTTCGTCGGGTAGTAGTGGGCTCGGAGGAAGACCTTCGTCATGACTAGGGAGATATGTCATTAGTCGGTTCGCAATGTGATGTCAAAAGCAGATGGGCGACAGGACTCACTGCCAAAACCACCACCACTTCCTCGAAGAGCCCACAATAGAGAGGGCTCTTCGGATGCTTTAACTACACGGCCATCATATTTGACCACCTCTGCGTCGAGAAAGTTGATAGGGTCAGCTATGCACCCGAACTCCGAGGCCATCCAGGAATAGCCGCCATGGAGTATAGCTCCGCCGACGCCAACGCTTGGGGTTCGCGCTCCATTTACTAGACAATAACGGTCAGAGGAGTGTCCATATCCCAGAAAAGTGATTCACTCACGGACAAAGTGCGGATCAGCCTCGCGCATCTTGTGGGCGACCTCAGCCCACGTCGCCCCAACACCAACAACGGCAAGCTTGTTGACGGGATCATATTCAAAGGATTTGAACTTGAGAAGGCTGATTAAGACATCACTGGAAGATGCGGACTTGAAACCTTGGCCTCGCACGTGGAAGTCCAACTCGGAGGCATACAGGAAATTCACCATCTTTGCCAGTGATTGCGTCGAGGTAGGAACAAATACAACAGCCGGGTGAAGTTCCCTCTCCACGGAGAAGGTCATAGAATGCAGCTTATAATCGTCAGCTGTCGTAGCTAAGACTTCATCAGAGCCAAGTTCCCTGATAAGGGGTTCAAGGGCAACGAGGACCTTCTTGGCCCTATCCGTCTGGTTTTGCTCAATCGCCATTTCAAAGTTTTAGAGGACAGAGATGACCCAATTGAGAGAACGATGTTGAGGAAGTTTTGTGTAGATACAATTCACTCAAGCCTGGTAATTACGTACTTGGCCACTGATTTTATATTTTAGATTCGTTACCCACGCGGACTTAACGCACTTAAAGATACGCGCCGCGAAGCATTATCCACGCTGTCGGCCTTCATGAGTAGCGGGGCCGCGCCACAGTTCAACTCTAGTTCGGCTTCCGAGCAGACCGAGTGCCGGAAGGACAACCTCATACTCACCCTCCCGAATCCTTTTACGTAGCAAATTATGGGCCTAGAGACTAGCAAGCAACGAGCACTCATTGGGTTTCTGGTTCCACATAGAAAGATATGTACGCCTGTAGAAAAAGAGACCTTCTCTTCTCCAATCAGAGCCTGTCACAAAAATAATCCTTTCGCAAGGAGCTTGCATTATTTTTGATGCTTCCGACGATTCAAAAAGCCAGGCTAAAACTCGGTATGATGGTCCCAAAGCGGAACCAAAGAGGTAAAGACTGAATAGACAGTGTTTCAGGATGCTGTTTAGTGGGATTTCTCCCACTCCCACAATTGAGTATAACGAGCCGAGAAAAGGTTGAGGTCTAACGACCGAAGCCGAAAGCGTTTGAATGGGATTCTGAAGGTGGTGGAGGCTGTTATGACCCTGGGCATCCTGGGGCGTACTCAAAGCAAATGTCTTTCCTCATAGCCCATAGAATAAAGGCTTTTTCCAGGCCCCAGATTAACGGCGGGCAGTAGCATTCCCCTATGGTTTGGTACCCTTTCTTCAACCAATATTGACTGTTGATCTCCCTGACTACCCGAAGCATAATTCTCACTTGAGCTGACTTACCGGCAAACTTGCGCTTTAGCGCTTGCTCACACGTTCTTTAGAGTCTTTCTGAAATTCCAATTGAGTACCAGGCTTTACGGCAACCATGAAAATCTCGTGGCCTCCGTCGCAAGGAATGGATTCCGGCACGGACAAATTTCCCTTAGAGCTATGAGCATCCACGAGCGAGGCCTCGTCGGCATTCCTCCCGGCGTAGTAGCCGCTCGGTTTCCAAACGATGCCTTACACATTGGCCTTCCAGTCCTTGATACTTGCTGTGCCCACAATCTCGTCCAAGGTAGACATCTCAACTGTGAAGCCGTTTGTGCCGATCTGATCGACGATTTGAGCGTCACAATGGATCCTCTCCCCAATTTCACCAAAGGGATTGATGCCCTGGTCTTGGTAGGCACCCTTGATTACAGAGCGCAGCTCGTGCAAGATCGAGTGTGAAAAAGCCTCTGGTCCAAGGTATGGCCTGAGCTGGTAATGAGAGCCGAGGAATCCGCACCGTCCTCAACTTTATTCTTTTTGCCGACTTGTGGTGGAGTAACAAAGGACGGGGTCGCTTCGAGCTCCTTTCTCTCATTGATGAATATTTGGAGCATCTGCGCTCCCAGATAGAGATGTGCCCCGCTATTTTTGCTTGAGAAAAATGAAAATCGTGTCAAATTATTCTGCTGCACCTGATCTCGAAGGACATCTTTGGCTGAGCCGAAGATATCATGGCGCAGAAGTCGGAATGTTGAGTCAATGTATCTTTGCGAAGGATCGGGGAGAAAGTGCGGCTGAAGGAATTTCGTAGAGGGTAGATATTCTGGATTGTCGCTGACAATCTCTCCATGGGTAGGAGGATCTGGATTTGAGAGATCTCTGCAAGGTCGTTATCGTGTCTCCTACCAGTTGTTTGCATATCAGGGAAAAAGTCCAAAGTGCTGATCCAATCTCATGTGGATTTTCCTCATGCGGTCCGGGTGTAAAAGTCTGCGGTTTACGCTAGAGATAAGGCTCTGTATGATTTCTAGTCTACTTTCAAGTCCATAAGTGTCGGCCTTCGAGCATTTTTCAGTGATTTGGGAGCACACTTCGCAAATTCGGGAGATCGGTAAGGGAATTCCATCGTGGAATCAAGTGCGTCGGACTCTTGAGAAAGGTTAGTACTGGTGTACTGTTGTGAAGGTGAGCTGAGATTTCGGTTGTCCAGTGGCATTCAATTCCATGTTCCGAGGGCTGCGGCTGTTAAGAGATCGGGACGATGAAGCCTCCTTCTGTTCGAATGACCGGTGCTTCATCTCTAGTACCTCCTACGAGCCATACGGGTCCCCACAAAATTTCGAGATCTTGAACAGTACAGGAAAACTTCATGCCCGGTTTTCTCTGGCGATGTTGCTCATAGCGCAGCATGGAAGTCCCGTCATCAGTTGTTTCTTGTGTCTCATATGGCACTTCCATACTCTCTTGCATGGACGATCCATCGCTTCCATTTCCCTGATGGGGTTGGTCATTCATCTCGGCTGGCGTATGAGCCTTGCTTAGGACCCAAGCAGGTCCGCCAATGAAGTCGTTCAGACAAGCTAGCTTCCAAGGTCTGAATGCATAATCATAGGAACCGATACAGATATTTCCCATCTCTCGATTCCATAAAGTCACATCCAATCGGCACACATGAGAGCCAGAGAAAGCCAAGAGACAAATTGACAGGATCACACATAGGATACGCAACGACGCCATCCAATCATCAGCAAAAGCTCAATCCTGAGTATTCAGAATATTTTGGGTCCATGTCTTCGTCAACTCCATAATTGGTTGTTCATAGGGCGGCTCCATAATGCCTCGGAATTGATCTGAGAAAGTCTTGACCTGGTCCAAGGATATATGGCAGGCACATACGATGGCACTCTGGTCTTTATCTTCGACCAAAAAAACTCATCATAAATCCGCAAAAGCATTGAGACTGGAGATACACAAGCGCATCCTGCCAGTTTCTCAAGCATTGTAGACAGTCATCCAGAGACTCAAGTATGTGATATGATTCGTCTTTCAAGTCAAGAATCTGCGCAATCTTCAACTCCAGCTGATCTAGTTCACTGAAGTAACGAGCCGAGTCCAAGAGATGGCACATGTCCTTGGCACTCGCTATCCCAGAATCGATCGAGCAGTTTAAGTGCCATAGACTAAGTTGATACTGGTTTTTGGGTGGTTTTACAGGAATAATTAGGGTTTGCGTCATATAGCAGAAATGTCATGTGGTTTTTGACCTGTTATATAGAAACGGGTCAGTTCCAGTCGAGTATTGCAGACGTTGTTTACGTATGTTACGTTTTCAAATCGAAGATGTTATTCAATTTAATGAGGTCAGATGTGTCTCTTTTTTCGGAAACTATGACGATAGGGAAACCGTTTTCATCCCGTTACATAACCGTGACCTTACTCCATAGGGGCTCAGGTAGGTTGAGAGGGGAGGGGATTACATCGGCGGATTAGGCCCCCTATCCACGTGATGTATGATGGTCCGACACATTCAAGGCTTACAGCAGACAAACGTCAGACACAGACACAAACTTTCGTCCGTCAAATTTCAACCTCGAAAGACAGTCATCTGAAACTCTGATTCACGATGGTTCATCAGGCCCATAACATACCATGGAATGTGTTCGTCTCCAATCTCTCCTGGGGCTCGACCAAAATCAAAGGCGACAGAATCATCAACCTACATCCTCGTGGCAGAAAAGACCAAGGAAAGGAGCTCACATATTTCCTGAGAGCTTTCATTCGGACCATCCAGGAGCACACCAAATCTGAGCGTGCAAAGTATCCATCTCACATAGGCGCAAAAGAACCACATGATATCGTTCTCAATCCGGCGACAGTTCACAATATCACACCTACCGTACGCAGATGGCGAAGTTACGGGTTCCGGGGGGATTGTCCAAGCGGTGTTTGCAACACTTTTGCCGAAAAAGAATGCCGCTGCGTTCCCATTCCAGATGAGGAGAGGAGAGCTGCTGCTTTTCTCCGACCGTACGGTCAGCGGAGATGCTACGTGTTTTTACGAGACAACAAGGATGCTTTCTTCAACATTGAGATTGTAAAGACTCTTATACTGCATGGTGAAATGGAGGCCCTTCTCCAGGCCTGCGCCCTCCCAGGTGTGGAGCTCGCAAAGTGGTGGGAGGATTCTGAATGCCAATGTGAGGTGAGTCCAAAGAGATCTCCTTCGGCGTACAAGATGCACAGCAGAGGCGGGTATGAGTGGCGCTCAAGAAGGCTGCAACCCTTCTTGGTAGGTACGAGCCTGACTTTGATAAGTCGGTGTCCCAGGATCTACCTGTCTGTCGCTGTGCGCAGGGAACGTGGGGTTATGTAATTTCTTAATGGACCAAACGACGTCCACTATTGGGAAGAAGAGGATCACTAACATCAACAGTACGCCGTTCTTGGATGGGACCAAGTGTGCATCAAAGCTTTGAGAGCCTACATATGTCTCAACACAATTGACTCCCTTCCTGAACTGTGGGATAAGGCATCTGGAAGCACCGAAGAGACAGACTACCGCCGCAGCAGGTTCTATCAGTACACATTGCGAACATGTACTGGCGAAGAAGACCACATCTCAGAAGTCACCACATATCCGCATAGAGCGTTTTTTGGCATCGGTGACAACCAGTTCCGAGGCGAATATACTGTCCCTCAAATCAGACGATCTCATTGGCTTCGGTGGGAACCACAACCAAGGCTACTCTATATAAAAATGTATGATTGGCCGCGATCTAACCACTATGGTAAGGTTCCCATCGAGGAGTTCCTCACATTGGAAAATCCTGCCTATATGGGACATCCGCCGAGTCAGTCCGGCGTCGCGCTTATCCAAAGCTATCTTTTTGAGAAAGGATTACCTGCCGAATTAGTCCTAATGGTCATGGACCTGGCGGATTATAAACCGATCGGACGGTTGAGTGAGCCCCATGACCCTTTTCATCCTTCCAATCGCATGGAATTGGATCAGTACGTCACCTACTGCTGGCAGCTCCTGGTTCGTTGTGAGATGCTAGCTAGTGCTCTCGATATGAGGATTCCGTGGGAGAAACTTATTGCAGACTGTCTTGTTGAATTTTTCGCCAGTGATCGAGATGGGCAAGGTCGATTCTACTGGAATGCACGAGATGAAGAAGGTGCGATCACCCACAGAGTCTTTATTAAACCTTGAGCACCCAGCTATCCTAAGGTTGAGGAGTTTCGTTGCATGCACATAAGAAAATACCACAGAGAGATTCAAACCTCCTTCAACCCACAAATCCCCATACGAAGATGCAGTGGATTCAACAAAGACCACCAATACATTAAGAGCCCTTGAATCACGAAAAAATAAACACTCAATTAAGACCTCATACCTGACTGCCTCACTTCACTGAAACAGATAATACATGCTCAACGCATTTGCGCCTCCACAGATCTCAGCCGAGTTTCCGGGACAGGCAGTTCCACAGGCAGAAGTCAGGGAAGCCCCATTGTCAATGCTGTTTCCACAGAAGCACTGCGTACCATACTCCATACCTGCGTAGATATAGCCGTTCTGCTGGCAAATTGCCTGGCACTTCTCGACTGTGTTTCCCGCAATGTTGAAGGATTGAGCAAGAGTGCGTTTGAGAGTGGTATCAGAGTAACAGCCGACGCTTTGCCAAACAGGCACGGCCGCGTACATGCTGATGGCGTTCGATCCACCGCATACTTCGGCGGCATTCTGAGGGCAGGCAATGTTGCAATTGGACGGATCAATTACAGCGGCATTGTTCAAGATGGCGGTTCCGCAGAAGCACTGGGCACCGTACTCCATACCGGAATAGGTGAAGCCCTGAGCCTCGCAGGTAGACTGGCATGTCTCGACGGTGCCGCCCGGGTTGAGGACGGAAGTATTCAGTGCGCGCGCTGAGGTGCTATCAGAGTAACAGCCCACACTCTTCCAGGCAAGTGTGGTTGAAACTCCACAAGTCCCGTAGTTGGACTGACAGCCACTGCCGCAGTAAGCAGTGCTGCTACCGCACCAGCCAAACTGGGAACAGCAGTTGCCGAAAGCACTACCGGCACAAGTGGCAGTACCGTTGAAGGCTCCGCAGATACCGTTGGTAGATATCAAGGATCGAGGAACAAGAGCCTGGTATCAAAAGATTAAGTACGTTACTGCTGGGCAGACGCATGATGGTGGATCTTGAACATACATTCAGCCCTGTGGGAGTTGCCGATGCGAGGGCTAGACCAGCGAGAAGTATCTGGACTGATAGCATTTTGAATGAAGATACGATAAAGCCGAGTGACGGAGGCTCCAGATACGGTAATTTCTCACCTATCAAGAGGATGGGAGAGATGGTGACAAAATAAGATCTATCTCCTCACACTACTTGTCTCGATGGGATGGCTTTATAATCTTCTCAAGCTGTACCAAGGAGGTATTCAGTCAGCCACTGCTCATGGGTTTCGGCCGCAACATAGAACACGAGAACCCGAAATATTGGGCATCTTCTACCGAGTAGTGGGTGAGTCAGGAGTCAGGAGTCTCATGAGGCCGTGGAAAAGCAGTCATGCTGGATTCGATTCCTCTACTCGGAAGCAAATGCCATAAAGCGCGCCTCATTGAATCTAGAGCTCTCCAGCTCTCCCCCACACAATGATGCATTGACCGCCAGAGATGTCTTGTTGAAGGTAGGGACCAGCTTTGGGGTCTAATTGACGCTCGCGGACATCACCGACAATCACAGTAAGGCCAGTGTCGGTTTGGTTGGGCCTATGGGAAGGGTCGATTAGCGAGCTGCTCAGGATACAATCAAGCCACAACACCTGCTGGGCGTTCTTTTAGACAAAGCGAGAGTCTATTCGGGCCAGCTTTTCCCACGAGAGAAGCTTTCAGCCTCATCAGCGCTTTTCTCTGCCTTCGGAGTGTCCGAATGGGCATCAAGTCCCGAGAATTCGTCGTTAAAAAATACCGTCAGGCACACTTGAATTGTGGCTTTTAGAAATGGCCCAGGTATTACCTCACCCTCATAGAATTACATATGCATTGAATAAAATATGGATGCAGGGCAGGGTCAAATGAGGTCGTTCTGGACCGTGCAGGTTCCAGTGGCGCTCTATGCAAATTCAGACAATTTCTCCTTCGAAATGGAAGGCTTGCCAATTTGGGTAAGGCATAAGACATGCAGGGACCGCAAGACCATGTCAATTGTAGCAGCAAAATAGTGACGCGATGCGGTTACGAATTGAGATGCAGCCGCACGATGTGAGAGAGGGATGACGGTGAGATTGCTACGGAGGAGAGGTTTTATCTACTAGGCTATGGACTGTGGTGAGCGGCAGAATTGCATGCTACACAAACAAATGGGAAAGACGATTCACGTCTCGGAACACTATATCTTCATCAAGAAGGCGTTTGCTTGGATCCCAGCTGTTGGCAGACAAGATATTTCTAGTGAAAGTGCGTTTTCCGACTAAGAATCAACCAGTTCCTCCTCCGTCGGACATGTTCACCAACGGATGCGTGGCGTGGCCAATAAAGGCACGCCGCGTCATGACACAAATGACCAAGATAGCTGAAAAGAAAAACGAAAAGGGCAATGAAAAAAAAATAAACAAAAAAAAAATAAAATCCTCATGACTGGAAGAAAATAGATGTACGCCCTGGTCGACTTGCCGATGGTTTACACTTTGTTGGCCCACTTGGTGTCGGATCCTTGTCTCCCATCTGGATTGGGACATCAACAACGAAATCGGCTTCTCCAAGTCCGAGATTATCGCGAGACGCAAGTGGTGTGGCCAGATCTTTCATTGAGACCGCACCCAGTCTGGGTGTTCTCGCCTAGATTGCACTGTAAAATCAAAACCCCTGTACCATTTGCAACCTGCATGAGGAATGATCTCTTCAGCTCACTGGTTGTTCGGTGAAAAGCTTCGGAAGACAGTCAGAGCGAGGATAAACACCCAACCTTAATGGCGATACCGCTCGCTTATCTCTGATAGAGCACTACTGTTTAAGGCTCTAGGAGGTGGTTTAGTATAGTAGTGGAGAGAACCAGATCTAAGAAATCGCATTTCCCATCTTATAACCAGAATCGCATTGAAAGATTTCGCAGAATCCGGTTTCAGTCTTTGGTGATTCTACTGTGCAAAGAACCCTCAAGTTTCTCCATACTATATTAGAGACTCATCATGGAACACATCAGTAGCTCGCACAATCCATTTGCGACACCACTGGTTGCAACACCAGCTGAATCGATTCGTTCGAGGAGGCTACATTCGGGGTTGGAAGATGCGACAGGTGAGATTGACATCAAACCAACTTCGGGTATTCACTTCAATTCTCTAACCACTGTTACAGTCACCGTGACCCCAACTCGCCCGCGACGCCGGTTTAAAAGCTCTCGACTAGTTGGAGAATTTGAAAAGCCTTGGCTCCTTGAGAAGAAAAGGCAATGGAATTGGGATAGCATCATATTCTACACGTGTGTAGGAATTGCACTAGGTAAACACCAGGTCCGAACCTACTCGTCGCGGTATCGGAATACTAACGGTGGAATGAAGCCATCTCCGGCTACATTTGTTGGTCGGCCTACGCGGAAGTTCCCAAACACGAGGTGAGTTTCAGTCGGCACGTGGATGATACCTCCTCGTGAACTGTACGGTTGCTGATTTGGATCTCCGCCTCATCAGTGGTGTATGGTCCTGGATGAAGATTTTGCCACGCTTGACACCAAGATCTGGAATCATGAGGTACAGCTGAATGGGTTTGGGTATGGCTTCACAACACGCCCCTAATGTGGTGACCTGCACTGATTATTCTCCCCGTCAAGAACCGGCTCCTTCGACTGGACCACAACAGACCCGAGAAATTCCTACGTTGACGCCGAAGGACTTCACATTGTTCCCACACTCACTCTTGATGACACTCACTACACAGAAGCACAACTTTTGAACAACACCTGGCTGAATCTCACCGCTGACGGAACTTGCACATATTCCGTGCAGCGTACGTCTACACTGGCCGATTGGAGTCCATGCGAAGTGTACAGCAATACGACCTCTGGACAGATTCTCCCCCCGGTTCGCTCGGCCCGTCTCACCACGAAGGGAAAGAAGACTATCAAGTATGGTCGAGTTGAAGTGGTTGCCAAATTGGCCAAGGGGGATTGGCTGTGGCCTGCGATCTGGTAACCGCTTAGCCTCTGTCTATGGAACCGATTGAGGAACAATTCCCGAATGATACTGACAAGTCGTTCGGCAGGATGATGCCTGAAGACTCGGTCTACGGAGAATGGCCCAAAAGTGGAGAGATCGATATCATTGAGTCGCGTGGAAATGACGCACAGACCTATTCACTTGGTAACAATATTGTGACTTCGACCCTGCACTGGGGAACGACCTATCTCAACGACGCTTACTTGAAAAGTACATCCGATTGGGGCGCCCAGCGAACCAAGTATGGTGAAGGTTATCACACATACGGTCTCGAATGGACTGAGGACTATCTCTTCACTTGGTTGGATGGTCGGCTCCGAGTATGTGTCCCGCGTCCGTTCTCGTGACAAGGAATGATTATTGACCAAATTGTCAATTTTCCAGCAAGTGCTCTACTTTGACTTCACCAAGAACGTGGACATGTGGACCTACGGTGGCTTTGCCGGAAGCACTGTCAACAAGACAGTCCCCAGCAACCCATGGAGTGGTAGCACTCGCAAGAATACTCCTTTCGACCAGGAATTCTACCTGATCCTCAATGTGGCCGTTGGTGGTACAAACAACTACTTCCCGTAAGTTGGATTCTTACCTGCCTTGGACGCCGTCGCCAAGCTGGCCGCTAATGTACGGACCACGATCAGTGATAATCTCGGTGGGAAGCCTTGGGTGGATGCCAGTTCCAGCGCGATGAAAGAGTTCTACTTGGCTCAGAACGCATGGTTACCTTCGTGGGGCACCCCGGAAGAACGTGGTATGATTGTCAAGTCGGTCAAAATGTGGCAGCTCGGTCGTTGCGGGTGAAGATGGGTCATGACTTGTTCGAGGGCCTCACAGGGTCGACCTAATTTTCTTTTTTTTTTGGTGTTCTGCATTTTTCCCCATTAGCTGCGTTCTCCAGGGGACCCATCAACCCTGAGAAGCAAACCCGCATTGAGTAGTATTATAAATGTGTTGATTGATACAAAACACGCAGACTCAACCATTCTCAATTGGGAATTAGCTAGTCTATCTAAGAGCTCGGACTTGGAGACTTGCAGGGTTTGACGCCGGGGTGATCTATAGTCTAGACCTTCCGCGTCTTGCGCCACGGCCGACCCTGGTCAACAGCACCCTGGTCAACAGCACCCTGGTGATACAGTCTCCGTTAGGAGGCACCCTGACTGGATAATAGATCAGTGGATAGTAGGGTCTATATTGCATGGTCACAATATCCACATCATCATCAACTCCGCGTTGCCCATGATCACCAGTATTGGCCCTCCCGGTGGTTGAAGAAAATCAATGTTCCGGGAATCAGGGCTGAGTGGCTGGCTGGAGAGAGGTTCGATCGGCCGCTTTGTGAGCTCGAAGACGAGTACAGCCCTACTGATTGAAAGAGACGATCTAGGCTGCCGATTCCAATTCCCAATGAATACTGATGTTTCGGAGCCTCTTCCCGCATCAGCCGCCGCGTTCGTTGATGACTGTCGTTCTGGGGTCTCAAACCTGAGGTAGTCACTGGTTGGGATCAGAATCTTCCCATTTTAAGTTCGATAAATCATGTCGATACGAAGTCCTGCGACCCGAGAAGAGAATGCAGGACTTTGATTATAGTACTTCGAGGTCCATCCACGACATCACTCAGTCATGGGCTCAACTTCGCTGCGATACCTTCCTAGGGATCCATAGCCGATAGGTACTATTTTCAGCCTGTCTACCTGAGATACCTGGTCCCCTGCTGGGCGCTACTATCCCCGGCTCTACTACCTTTCACGGAAGCTTGGTCAATATGCTCTCGCCAGCCCTGGCCGCACGGTATTGCTCGAGAGGCTCATGTAGGTAGCCCCGGACGACATGTTCAATGCGAGCACGATCGCCCTCTTTCCCGAGTGCGGACTCGTGTGCGATGGTCTGAGTCATACAGGGAATGATCAAGCTGAATAACCTGTAGACGCTGTAACTGACTACTTGGAGGGAACACACTACACACTATACACTCTACAGTGATACACTGGTGAGCGTCAACTTGCAGCCAACGCTTCGCCAAGCCGGCTGCAATCAATGACGGACGGGGAAACAAAAGCTAAACACCGGTTCAATTACCCGCCCACAGGCGTAGCGAATCGGGCAGGTGCAACGTGGTCGGGTAGAAAGACTCTCCTCGGGCCTTCCCGGACACGAACCGGAGCACAGCACCTGAGCACGAGAATCTGACAGATCTGACAGCGCACGGTTGACCTCAATAACTTTAACCGTCAACACGCTACATGACTCGCACGATAAGACCGTTTGACACAGTGACCCCTCACCGAACATAAGCATGGCTAGCCCAAGTGACCGAACTTCCTCTGATGATCGACCCATATGCACCTCTCACGCTTTGCCAATGAGCTGACGCACGAGGAGGCGCCCACCGGATCCCTGGGTCCTGAGTTCTGACCCTCTTGGGTTCCTGTGAACTGGTTGAGTCTATTGACACTATGTGGCCCCTTCTCGACCCGCCCGGACTCGCCGAGCGTGCCTGAAGGACCGCACGGGGGCCTTGCTGGTCGATCCAATGGAGAAGACCAGGCTTCTGCGGCGTGCGCTTTATCTCCATATCTTCAGTCTGAAGCTTTAGCGTCGCCAGGAACTGCAGTGGCTGAATTGTCAGCGCGATGACCCTGACGGCCCAATCCCATCGCCAGCCCCAGAGCCCTAATCATTCGGTCTGGCCACCGGTTTGGGCGACTCTGAGACGTACTGGTGCCGATGGACTTCGCGACAGCGGCATAGTCTGGACTCCGAGCGGAGGCACAACGCAGGAAAGGGATTGCAGCTGGGAACAGCGTGAGCCCAGTGCTGCCGGTAGTTATCGGTGTCCCAGACTTATTCCACTCCATGAGGACCAATAATGCCAACGCCTACCAGCTGGATCCACACAGTCCTGGACATCGCCTTGAGACAACAGGGTTTAGCTCTCGCTTCAGCTGGTAGCCCCAGTATGTATTCGCGCATCGATCTAGATATCCTGTGTGAACGACTGACACTAAAGAACAATCCTTGCTCTGCTCGCGTCTTACATCTGTCTTGATCTCACAATCGCTGGTAGTGCCCACGTTCTACACTACATGCGTCGGCGATAGCCGTGCTCGGTAACTCTTACCATCGGCATTGAGATCTGGTCCATCATTCCATGTTTTCCCCCTTAGTAGTTCCTGGGGTCTCTTATCGCTTTCAGCAGGCCAGGTCTGGGCAGCGAAACGACGTGGCGATCGGTGATTTCAATACCTTCTAAACTCTCTTTTCTTTGATCCTTACGTCGACCGTGAAGCGACGACCTGCTCATTAAACCGATCCCTGCCCTTGGAAGGCACCTCTAGCAGCATTCTCGTGGGCAATCATAGATCACCACTACAACGACAGACCGGCCAAAATGGAGGAGTGTGGGCGCCGTACAGAAGACTCCCAAGAATTGGCCTCGTTACCATCGAGATCGTCCACTCCCCATCTTGACAAGGCGGAGATAGGTAGGGTTCTCTCGCCGACTATTCGGCCAGAAAGCAACCATCGGTCACGACGCAATCCTCCTTCGATTGCTCAGTCATTGGTATCTCCCTCTATATCAGAGTCAGGTGAAGCGGAGGATCCGAGCTCTGTAAGTGCCCATTTCTTTCGACTAGATGATAAGAGGGATCAATCACAAAGGGAAAAAAATGAAAAAGAAGAACAACAAGTGGTGACATCTGACAAACCGATTAGATCGCAAGATATCTCGCTCGGCGAGCCACTTTGCTTGGCTGGTTCGATGAAATTGATGAGGAAGATGGCCGAAACAGCTGGGCGTCAACGTGCATTTCTGTGCGCCAGGCAGACAATGACTACACTTTCGTTCCATATAATGTGAACCCGTCGTTGGCAGATGCAATTACTCGACTTGGCGAGACTGCAGCCATTGCCATGGCCTCTCGCTTCACATGCACTGTCATTGACTCCATAGTGCCTGGACAGAAGAGTCTTGTCGTGGAGAGTACCAGTGCCCGCATACCGGTTGTCTTCAGTCTCAGGGACGTGGGCGCCGATCTAGTCCACTACGCGCGTGCCTGTATTGTTGTACAGGAGAGGCTCGTCCTAGTGTGGTCTCACAATGCGGGTAGCATCTTGCACGTAGCGCACGATGTCGAGCGACAACTGGGCAAAAAGGTAACGTCTGGAGCTCTGCGAGTTGACTATCGAAGATCGGGTGCTGATACTCGGCTTGTCGATTAGAGCCCACGAATCTCCACTGCGACAACTCCACGCGCTTCGGGACGATCATCACCTTTCGATACGGATGTTGACCTGCCCACAGCAACGCAGATCTCGATCAAGCCTAAACTGGAAGACTTCCAAGTCCGCGGAGCCCTTGACGAGAAACATGAGATTTACAGCAAAGCTATTGCACTGGAAGAGGGCACCGCAGAGGATGACGCTCAACTAGATCTAGAGGGAAAGGTGGCGCCGAGACCAGTTCATCGAATTCACGCTGTGAAGATTAGTCTTGCTATCATGTTGGTTATTTTGACCCAGTCACTGGGTGTCTCTCGCGTGAGTGCTAGATCGGCGAACTTCCTCGTTCTTCGTTTTTGCAAATCTCCGCTAACGGTACATTCAGTTGGTCAATGAATTTGCTTGGGATGGAAGCTTTATTCGATTTGCATTGGTGAGTTCATTTACTCTCAGAGATGAGATTTGCTCGAAACATGCTGATATATCACAGGTGGTGACCATTCCGCCTCTCGCACTTTTCTCCTTGGTCAGTGATAACCCAATTGACTTACTGTGCTGTCGATTGACCGATATCAGTTCTTTTTCATCGTCCTTGTCACCAGCGCCTTCCAGCTGTTCTTGCCTGCGAGTTTCTGCCTTAAAAACTCCAAATTTCACTCTGGTTTGTTTTGCTCCCTCAACAACACTTTAAGAATACTAAGATCAAAGCAGCGATTAAGCCAAACCCGAGGCTCCACCGCGACTACGAGCTGCCTCACATCACTATACAAATGCCTGTCTATAAGGAGGGATTGAAGGGGTACGGACGTATCCTCCTTGGTTGTCTGTTGATCAGCGTCACTGATTTTAGTTAGCGTGATTGTTCCCACCATGATGAGTGTCTTAGCCGCCGTCCAGTACTACGAGGAGCAAGGCGGCACAGCTTCCGTTTTCATTAATGACGACGGTATGCAGTGCATTCAACCTGAGTTGGCAGAAGCACGCAAACAATACTATCGTGAGAACGGCATCGGCTATACTGCGCGTCTTCCGAACAGAAAGACCTCCTCTCAAAAGAAGCGTGGGTTTGGATGGTTCCGAAAGTCAAAGTCGCCCGAAGCAAAGGCCGAACCGGAGACTGAAGAAGCCTCGAACAGCCCTCAGGCTATTGCGAACAGAATCGGGTTCGAGCGAAAGGGAAAATTCAAGAAAGCTAGCAACATGAATTATGGACTAGCTTTCTCCAATAGAGTAGAAGATGAGGTGATGCGGCTAACCGACTTGGAGTGTAAGCAGCGTGGATGCTCCAATGCGGACCTGACGGTCGAAGATGACGACCGGATCTACCAGCAAGCCCTTGCAAATATGCTTGCCGAGGATGAAGGCCACACCTGTGAGTGTCATCGGGAAAATATATCTTTTGCCTTGACGAAGGACCACTGACACGCGATAGGGGCCGAGGGAAACATTCGTATTGGGGAGATAATTCTCATGTATGTGGCGTCTCATCGACATGACAACAGAAAGCTAATCATTGTTCATACGTAGTATCGACTGCGATACTCGGGTTCCAGTTGACTGTCTTCTCTATGGTGCATTGGAGATGCATGAGAGTCCCGAAGTTGCCATCATCCAACACGGGTCTGGCGTTATGCAGGTGGTGCACAACATGTTTGAGAACGGAAGTCAGTTGAAAATCTTCGATCCCAAGCACATACACCGATAGGGCACACTGGCTGACCGGCTTTCTCAAGTTACCTACTTCACTGATGTGGTTTACACCGCCATCAAATACGGTGTCGGGTCCGGCGATGTGTCACCTTTTGTTGGTCACAACGCCTTCCTCCGGTGGAAGGCCCTGCAGAGCATTCAATTCGTAGACCCTGTGGATGGACAGACCAAATGGTGGTCGGACGCGCACGTGTCGGAGGATTTTGACATCAGTCTTCGCTTGCAGATGCAGGGCATGACTGTCCGGTTGGCTACTTACCACAATGGAGGTTTTAAAGAAGGCGTGTCTCTTACGCTGTACGATGAGCTGACACGATGGGAGAAGTACGCCTACGGGTGTAACGAGCTGGTCTTTAACCCATTGTGAGTGATGAGCTGTGCCAGCCCAACGGCCTTGAGTCTCGATACTGACCAAATTGCTAGTTACCAATGGCCCTATAAGGGTCCAGTGACCAGACTTTTCCTCCGCTTCTTGTGGAGCAACATGCCCGTAACCAGCAAAGTGACAATCATTGCATATATTTTCACCTGTGAGTCTCTAATCGTTCAGTAGCCATTTCCTTTGCTAATGCCAACAGACTATGCAATTGCTTCCGGCATGTTTCTGTCGGTCGTCAATTATGTTATCGTCGGTCTCTTCAACTCTGAGATTGATCATATCTACTTGCGGTCGTGGGGAATCTGGATCTCCCTGGTGGTGGTTTTCAACGGAGTCGCCTCGGTCGCGTTTAGCATGGCTCGACACCAACTGAAAGAGATGGTGTTTTGGAAAGCCCTTGCTAAATCAGCTTTGTGGCTCCCATTCCTTGTTGTCTTCTTCGGTGGCATTTCATTGAACTGTGCAAAGGCCATTCTCTGTCATGCGTTTAGCATCAACATTGAGTGGGCATCTACTGCCAAGGAGCCTGGTCCGTCGGGTTTCTTCATTGGCCTTGATAAAATGGTCAAGCAGTTCAAGTATACTTGGGCCATTTGCTTTTTCCTGGCAGCCGGTACAGTCTCTTTCCTCTTCCGCTCTTCTTTTTCTATGCCAGAGAAACTACTAATCGATGGTTTTCAATTTCAGCGATGATTGTCATGGCTCTCGCTACTCCATGGGGCTGGCAGATCAAGCCAGGAGAGTACTCGACGGCTTCAATTGCCATTGGACCTCTTGCGATCCAAATTTGCAATGCCGCCATTCTTCCATTAATCCTGGGTCTTAATTGATTGACAATGAACAGTCTAGAGCAACAAAGCATTCCTCTCCTCATATGGGTTTTTTTTTTCGGATTCTCCTTCCTTCACTTGTCAATTTGCGATCTGCAACCTATTTTGTGATCACTCACCGTTTTTGCTGCTCATTTTCTTTGTTCGTTTCTCTTTTTTTTTTTTTTTTTTAAATACCGCGATTCTCATGCAAGATAATTTTTGATTTCCTTGTGAGCGGCTCCAATCTTTAACACGAATCGACTCATATGATTTTTTTTTCTTCGATAGCATCCAGTTGTTCTAAGTAATTCCGAAGGAAACATTCTCGATTGCACTGTAGGGCATTCCAGGTCGATTCTCACCTCAGCGATACTAGCATTCTCAGCAATTTTACGGGGAAGCTCTCTCTACATTGACCACGGGCATGCAGTTTTTTTCGACATTGCCAGTGTCAGGTACTTGATAGGTACCTGGTCGAGAATATTACGAGGTCCCACTGGCAGGGTACTAGGTCGGCCTGGTTTGGCAGGGTTCCACAACATCTATGAATTGAATTAAATACAGGCCCATGTAACCTTCACCATGTTCGTTCCTAAAGGCGAGAGAATGCTTCGATCGGTGCAACTAAAGGGCCTCATGCTTAGGCCGCTCTGACTGGCGGACTTGAAAGCAGTTGCTAGGATAGAGTCTTTTGTTCATGGCATTCTGTCAATAATCCATTATATTCTCTGTATACTCGAACTGAATGAGCACCGGAATAATTTACGTGTATATTACAGGTCCAGTCCCACGTTCACAGCTTGACCTTGTAGGTAGCAGGCGCCTCCTCGGGCTCGCCGAAGATGTTGATGTTCCAGCGAGGCTTATCTATTGAGAAAGGTCAGTCTCCCCGCGTCGAGAAAGGATCGAAGGACCGAGGAACACTTACAGTTAGGGAAAGGAAGGTTGTAACGCTTCCGGTCCTTGCCCAGGGCACTGACTTTCTCGGCCTCTTCGGAGGTGAGCTCAATTTCCTTGAAGTTGTCGCGAATGCGCGACGGAGTGACGGACTTGGGAATCACGCTGTGACCGCCAATCTGCGACCAGGCGAGGATGACATGAGCGCCAGTCACCTCCTGGCCGGTTCGCTTGGCGACGGCGTCGGCAACTTCCTTGATCTCGGGGCGGGTGATGAGCAGAGGCACTCCGACATTGTTGTTTCCAAAGGCCTGTTTAGAAGGATCGATTAGTCCGTATGATCGGAGCGAATTTCGAATATCAGGGTGAGGGTATCAGTCAGCGTACAGAATAGGCAGTGATGTGAATGCCCTTGTTCTGGCAGTATTCGACCAAGTCCTTGCTCTGAAGGACGGGATGACGTTCAATTTGATTGGCAGCGGGCACCACGCCGGTGCCTTGGATGATCGCTTCGAGGTGTTCAATGGTGTGGTTGGAGACACCCACGGCGCGAGCCTTGCTCTTGGGAAGCTTGGTCATTGCTGCAGGAATCCTTATTAGCATCAAATTCACTTGGATTGGGAGAGGATTTCCTCATCTAGCCCTTAGTTGGAAAACATGTACTTACCCTTCCAGGTATCGACAATGGAAACTTCATTGTCAATGACGACATCGCCACCTTCGACCGTGCTGCCCTCCACGCGGGGGAAATATTCATTACCCTGCTTGAATGCGACGGGCCAGTGCACCAGGTAGAGCTTGAATGTTGTTAGTCCTGGTTTCGACCCCTCCAATGGTCACATGTTGACTCGGGACGTACATCCAAGTAATCAAGCTCCAACTCGGCAAGGCATGCATCGAGTGATGCCTCGACGATTTCCGGTCGGTGTTGGCTAACTCGTGTTAGCAATGAACTGCGTTCCGAGGGATTTTGGGGGTTTGCGAGCAAGGCGAAGAAGGGAGCTGTACGTACCTGTTCCACAACTTGGAAGTCTAACATTTCAAGATGCACCCGTCAGCGTTCGAAGAGTCCTCATGACGACGAAGCCAATTATAACCTAATCACCGGTCCGATTCGCGCGTGGGCAGTAACTCACAATGAAGAGATCCTCGCGCTTCAGGCCGGGAATCTCCTTGAAAGCGCGCTTGATTCCGGTTGCAACTTCGCGCTGGTTTTGGTAGCTGCAACACCACACACACAACACCAAGTTAGCCTCGATTCCAAGCGCGCGCGTGGTTACTGACTCCCCGCGAAGGGGAGTGTTGCTCCAGGCGGGAGCATCTTGCTCTTGTATTAAGGACCGGGGGGGTGGCGTTCGTACATGGTAGCCAGATCCTGTGATATATGTTAGTGACGGGTTCTCATGTGGTGCTGTATCTATCAAGGCTGTCTTTGGAAGGCTAGGCTAGCAGGAGATCAATGTGGCCACAGTGGGAAGAGCTTACCAAATGACGATAACCGGCCTTGAGAGCCTCGTAGACTGCATTGCCGACTTCACCGGGGGCAGATTGCCAAGTACCAAAGCCCAATTGACTGGGTAGAAGAATTGATTTAGTTTCACGTTGAGTTCATGACCTCGGCGAGCATGGGCAAAGAGCAGAAATCAAGTGTACGACTACTTACGGGATCGGAGCCCCAGTGTTCAAGGTGACCTTCTTGCCGAGAGACATGATTGTAGAGTGGAGGAAGCGTGCCGAAATGGGAAGGACGATGGAAGGAGAAACGGAGACTTTGGAAAACAACGTTAACTTCGTCGCAGGGCGGAGGAATGATGGTTTGAACATTTGCAGAACCGTGCAAGTGGGCGGCGACCTGGACAGTTTAATACCAAGTGAGACGAGGTTAAAGACGACGGTGCAGTGGGCTCGGGGCCTCGAGTTCCAAGCAAAAGGGGCAATTGACTTCGTTGCAGGGTGAATTGCCCCCCACTCCAGCACTCCAGCACTCTGGACGAGCCATGATTTGACCCAGCGTTGTCATCAATAAGCAGTTTTGGGAAGAGTCTCTGTGAGGGACTACAATGACAACATTTTCCCCTCATGTGGAGCTCACACGCTTTGTCGGGTGCTTTTTCGGCATCAAAGACTCCGAGTTTGGTGGGGAAGATACCCCACCATCTTGATTATGTCATGGCCCAGTTCTGGATGGAGATTAGTTCGGTCACTTCTTACATTCGACCGACGTTTTGCATGGTCTCGAGAAGAGAAAAGGTCAGTACGGGGGTTGTATGAGTATGTGCCACTGACTCTGCGGCTGGACCTTCTCTCGGAATTCCCCATCGTCAACGTCTTCAGAGTTTCAGACCGATTCGAGCCCTCGACCGGATCACTGCGTCCGGCCGCGATGGAGCAAAGAGCTCCGTCCGGTGGCTTCCAACTGCAAAAGGTCTCGCCTCGTCTGCTACTCACTTACAGTAGGTAAGTTCTAAGTTTCTTAACTCCTTCTAGTAGTCTACCCATTCCATCCCACCAATTGTCCAAACGTGTCGGCTGGGACAGTGCTCCACTCGTGCCGGAATGGATGGCAGGAGATCGGTGATGTCAGCACTCAGCACCCATCGGGGGAGGTTTTGCCCCGGTTGGAATGCATCCTCTGAACGAATACGACGATGGCGCGTTGGGATCTGCTGCTGCTACTACTACTACTACTACTACTACTACTACTACTACTACTACTACTACTACTACTACTACTACTACTACTACTACTACTACTACTACTACTACTACTACTACTACTACTACTACTACTACTACTACTACTACTACTACTACTACTACTACTACTACGACGACGACGACGACGACGACGACGACGACGACGACGACGACGACGACGACGACGACGACGACGAAGTCAGTACTCACTACTTTGTTTGACATTCAACCTACCTAGTGTAGTAGGGAATCCGGTTGCATGTACATAGAGCAGATAGTCTGCTGAGGTGCGTGTGCCTGATGGTGGCCTTACAGTCGGGAGAGCCCGTTTGGACATGACGAGAGGGAGTCAATCAACCTGACCACCCAAGGAAGACAACAAGCAACCAAGGGATTGAACGGCTTCATGGGATCCGGGAGACCCATCGGAGAAGGGAATTAAGAGTTCAGTACAGTCTTTACAGTCGGGCTCTCTTGCATTGCAATGATACACTCCTTTTGATCTTCACCTGTGCCTCTTGACATCCTACGGATAGGTGTTGTACGGTCGGGCTGGGAGATCTCTGGACGTGCGTGCTGGTGGTTGTGGTTTGGTTCCTCTATGACTCGACCTGTCTGGTGAGATCAGACTGCCTTGAGCATTCCCCTCTATACTAGATAGCTACTCGTTTTAAGGTTGATAATAGTAGAGTACTGCCCTAACTGCCCCTCCTCTCTATGCTACCAGTAGCCTCTTCCAGTTGAATTGATAGTTGGTTCAGGTTACTATGTCTGATTTGAAGTGATCGATCGACCGTCACTTCCATGTGCCTGTTTTAGAATGCAGAAAGTTTCATCAATAGTCATCCATTTCCGTAGCATCTGCAGGTCATACTACATACATTGACCATACTCACTTTACTCAGCTCTCCTTGTATATCAGACTTACCAACCATATCCCATAAACACCTTCAATAAAGCTGGATAATTAGGGGTCCCCAGACCCGTCAACGGATCCCAGCCCTTGGCGGCACTAAATCCACTCGTTCCACAGCCCGGATTGGTGCCCTGAGTCACATCATAAAAGGCCTCTGGATGGGCATACAGCACCGGGTTGACGAATCCCACCGGCGGCCTTCCGGCGGCTAGACGCTCCTCGTTGATGCGGGTTAGGATCGCCGCGAAAACAGGGGCCGACGCCGAGGTGCCCCCGATCAAGACGGCCTTTTCCTGGTTGTAGATGACCACGTTGTCGCCAATGGCCGACACGTCCGGGTACCCACGGCCGATGCGATTGTAAATGCCTCCGTGGGCACCGAAGCTCCTGTTGTTGACAGTCTCGTAGAACGGGTAGCCCGGGTCTGCCTTGGCAAAGTACTCTGCAACCGCCAAAGCCTGGTACGAGGCGCGTGCGTAGATGTTGCTGAAGCCACCGCCGGACGGGAATCGCGACACGGCCACCTCGTGGTGCGATTGAGCCGTGGCTCCCTTGGGGATCACCGTGGCTCCCACGGTCGTGATATACGGGCAGGTGGCAGGGAATTGGGGTGCGAAGATCTTGCCGGTGTCGCCGAGACAATTGTTGGGAGTGGGATCACCACCCCGACCTTCAACGCCCGAGTCGCCGGACGAGACGACCACTGACATGCCCTGCAGACCAAGCTTCAAGAACTCATAACATTGGCGTCGCTGATAAGCAATGGGCAGATCTGCCTCCGCTCCACCGTAGGAGATGGAAAGGACGTTCGGTCTCTTATAGATACCGCACTCCAGCGAGCCCTTGTAGCCACCGGGGTTGGGATCAGGGTAGGGAGGGTCCAGTGGAGAGACCTGACTGCAGTAGGAGCCGTCGATGGAGTCGAGAAGGGTGTTGAGGAAGCCGTCGTAGGTGTAATTGTTCTCGTAGACCATATCATCCGTTTGGAACAGAATGGAGTTCTGCGGCCAGATGATCGGGTACGAGATTTGGAAATCCAGGTCGGACTCGGCGCCGGCATTTGCAGGGGTAATGGGGGCTACACCACCGTCGACCGAGTCAAGCTTCGGATGAGTTCCAACGGGGATTTCCCTTGAAATCAACACACGTCGGTCAGTATCTGAGCGAGTCGCACTTCTGGAATCGATAGGGGGGGGGGGGGGGGGAGAGAAGCGTACGGTGCAAAGGTACTGAAGAACAGATTCAGATCCTCTTGGGCATAAACATCCCCTAAGTCCTCAAAAATGGCCAATTCGTTGCCGGGAGTTGCCGAATGTCCCTTGGGGATGTTGTACATCTCTATCAGGAAAACATGGGTGGGTGAGTGAGTCTGCTCAACCGATTACTTTATCCAACAGATATTACTTACGTCTGATACACTCTGGAGTCACTGCAGTATCACACGCCTCTGGTGGTGTCTGCTTTCCTCGATATTTATCCATCAACCCCGCTTCAACAGGCTGAACTTCGATTGGAGAGCCTTGAATGCGACGCTTTTTGAGCTTCTCTTTGTTGATGGGGGTGACTCCAGTCACCTCTCGAGGTGAAATCCCCGGAGTGATGAAGTCGATATGCTCCCGGACAGAGCGAGGGACATGGTATCTGGATGGATGCTTGACGTCAGTTCGAGGTTCTCTCCTCAACAGCTCGAGTGCTTATCATCGAGGTCTTCACTGACTCGCGGCAGGCAATATGAGATCGACCGGTCTGGGGGTTGTCGTAGAGATGATACTCGGTGCGCAGAAGCTTCTCGAGCTCCTCGGTACTCGCGTCAAACTGCAGCCATTGTTTATTCACCGATTGACTGATGCGGTCTGCAGAGATTCCAGAGGACTCGAGCCAAGCCCGTAAGTCCCCAACGGCTTTGGCCCCAGGCGCGAAAAAGTCATGGACCTCGGCCTCGGTCATGTATTTGCCGTAGCTGCTAGACGACGGAGAAGACCTGGAAAAGAGAGATGACCGTCAGTTCGGAACTCGGGACAGTGGCATTTCGATGAGGCGACAGACATCTTCATCAGAAGATCATGGCCACGGTCCAGATTGGACTGGGTCAATCCAATTCGGACCGGCAGCATCATCGAGCCGTCGAGTTTCTTGCTGCTGGTCCAAGACTCGGGCTCCAGATGACGGCGCTCATGGACCTCGTACTCGTGAGTTACGGGCATGGCCATGACGGCCATTGCTGCTCCCAAGAGCAGCAATGTCGAAGATTTGACCATCATTCCAGAGACTTCCGTGAGTCTGGTAGGTGACCAGGTGTCTTCTTGGGTTGCCGAACTGGAAGACAAGCTCTGACAGGAGCTTGATGAATGGAATGGGTCTACTGTAGAGAGACCACCCCGGTAAATGACCTGCAACAATTGCAAGCAAGCCTATTCGCCTAGTATCGAAGAATCCATTTGCCTTTCTTCGGTGAATATTATCTTTATATATCGGCTGGTCTTCGACCGGAGCTCCGTCGCACATCATCCCCCCTTCCCCTCATGACAAGACCCCGGTTCGTTATTCCAGGCTACGATTCGGCCGGTGCTTTCGCATCAATTCAGTGCTTATCGTGCAAAGGAGGGGGAGGGAGGATTCAGAGTTCGGCAGCTACCGGCACTCTGGGGCTCTCGAACACTCAATTTCTTGAACTGGCATTGTTCAGCCGCGCAGCCAGACTTCCCAAGCAAATAGCTAGCGTGACGCTAGACAGCAGTGTTCGACAGAATTCTGCTCATTTACAGACGAGCGAGTGCAACCACGATCGGCGTGGCGCGCGGAGTTGAGACGGAGCAGATTGCACTCTCGCGCGTGAGGGGGAAAGAAACAGGTGCATTGGCTACGATGCCGCCGAGCGATGACCTCCCTAGCTAAGCAATTCTGCTTGCCGATCCGTGATGCTTGGGTCTCGTGATAAACGATCAGGCAGAGAAGCGTTAAGCGAGCTGATAAGACAAGGTATGTGTATCGGCAGCCCCTTCGATCTTCAGAGATCATGCCCGCGCAGAGAATTGGGGGCTAGATCGATGGACAGGAACCATGCGTGCGCCTTGGTTGTCCTGGTGGAGGAGAAGGAGAAGGACACCTTCCTCATTGGGAGAAGTGTGTCAATCTGCACACAGTTCGGTGGGGTATCGCGAGCTCGACCACCCTGCGAGTTTGCATAATGATCATGGAATCTCTAGATAGAATGTGCCAAGCTGACCTGCCACGGTGCGAACCAATGAATCCCTTCATCGGGAGGTCTGTCAATATGCAGCCAAGGCTCTCATGGGTCAAGCATCGCTTGGGACTTCACGAGGTACTTGTCAGATCTGTGAAATTGCCTCGTCTCGATGAATGAATGTCCTCTGGGACTGCGCCATCCACAACCTGGGCACATTTGAGTTTGCGCTTCGGTAGTAGTTGAACTGGCATCCTGTGTGACGAGAGTGACGATCAGTGACACTGATGATGACCAGGACAATCGGGTTTCCCCGTCTCCTGATGGTTGAAATACTGTACGTTGGGTGAAGAAAGGTGGGGAAATGTCAAGAAGACGGGTAACAACAGGTTATGGGGTCAATTCTGCCACCACCACTGGGCCCGGCTCATGACTTTATTCCTGCCGCCAAACGTCTGCAAACTTTTGGTCATGTTTGATTCGAGAACTGCCTTGAAAACACAAGACCAACAAGGTCAAAGACAGGCACGTGAGAGAAACCGGCCACTACGCATGCATGTACGAGAACGAGAGATTGACGGTAGCCCGATCTAGAGACAAGACTTGGCCGCCAGAAGCCAGGCATCCCGTATTTGCATGGCATATAATGGCACATAGTAATTTAGGGTCACTAGGGTCCGAGTATGGTAACTACCGAGTGGATGCACTGTGGTTCATCAAGTGTCCATTTCACCCAACGGGAGTGTACCTGTGGAACCAGACCCTGGCACCCATCCGCCAGGTACGGATCCAGATCCTCACGTCAAGCATAAAAAGCGATCAATTTGAGAGGCCACTTGGACCGGGTAGTCTGTGGAAATCCAAGGGGCTACATTACCGGAGTGCTCTCATCGTCTACAGCTAGTGCATAAGTACTACTAAGATGGTCTATGCAAAACAGCCGAGGCCGAGCTGAGAGCTGACGGGATATAGTAGTTTTGTTCATTCGTGACTAGCGCGGAAGATACACTCCATCGGAAGTCTTGATCGATCGGCTTCTTCTCCACGCTGGAGAGGCGACGCCCCTCGAAGCCGACTCGGATACATCGTCAAGGGAGCCATAGGAGAAGCCCGCAGGGCATATCTGAACGAGTCAGTCTCCTTCTACTTTCACTTGGCCCTCAGCACGTGGCATGTGGCATGGTCTGGTCAAGAGTGGTAGACGAATTGGTCCAAATGGCTGAATTTCGTCCAAAGCAATAGTCCCCCCCCCCCCCCCAATATGCCAAAGAGGACATTCTCCGGCAGTGGAAAAAAGCATGCTTCTTCTCGTTCCGGCACATATCAACTTGAGTCGTGAGACCCTCGTTCGGTGTCCCGAACACGGCGGGACCAGCTTTCCAGTCCAACTAGTGTCCTAGTTCAGAACGAAGCTCGCTCGGCTCAGCGCTCATCACCAGCTACGGGGTTGAGACGCGCGCGCGTCTGTCGGCGAGCGAGGGTGCGCAAGGGGGATACACGCGACCTTGCACACCCAAACGTCAAGCAGGGGCAGGGACGTCGGGTCCGAGTCGGCTCAGTGCAACGGCACAATCACCCTCGTGCTCGCAATGGGCTCAGAGGACACCATGGAAAGCAGAGACATCATCGAGAACGTAGCAGGGACGTCATTTTCCTGACCAAATTCGGTGATAATGACCGGGTTGGCAGACCAAACAAGATTGGAAATTTCGAGTTCATCAGGAAAGGGGGAGCGCGTATCAACTACCGCGACTGTTCGACCCGCACCATTTCCACAGCACATCGATGATTTGCTGGCGATGGAGCGGTTTGGCAATGTAATCGTCCATCCCCTTGGACAGGTAGTTCTCCGCGTCTCCTTTCAAAGCATGCCCGGTCAGTGCGATAATGGGCACTTTGACGTTCAATCCCCGGATCTGCTCCGTCGCAGTCAGACCATCCATCACAGGCATACTGATGTCCATGAGAATGACATGGTAGGCCAGCGGCTTCTGTTTGACCATCCTCACAGCCTCTGCACCGTCCCACGCGGCCTCCACCTTCTGGAATCCGAGAGTACCGAGCAATTTGAGCATGATGGTCTGGTTGACTTTGTTGTCTTCAACCAGTAGAATCTGCTTTTGTGCGGCGACTTTCTGCAGCAATGCTCCGGTATCCACAACGGGCGACTCGTCTGCAGATTGAAGGCTTCGGAAAATGCGTGCCACGGGTCGCTCTACGCGGCCCATCTTCGCTGTCAGCCAAAACACACTGCCCGGTCGCTCAGGATTGTTGTGGAAGCCCACAGCGCCATCCATCAGCTCGGCAAGACTCTTGCAAATCGACAGACCGAGCCCAGTGCCTTGGTACCGTCGAGTCGCCGAGTCGGCAAATCGGGTAAACGGTGTGAAGAGAGTGTTGGCGGCAGTCTCAGGCACGCCAATCCCACTGTCCTCCACTTGAATAGAGATCAGGTACGCTTGGGGGTCGCTGCTGTGGACTGTGAAGGATGCCTTCACGCGAACATACCCTTTCTCGGTAAATTTGACCGCATTCCCCACCAGATTCTGCAGGACCTGACGGAAGCGCAACGGGTCACCCTTGGTGTGTTCGGGGAATCCGGGGGCAATCACGCTCTCGAGTACGACGCCGGGTTTCAATGAGGGCTGGCAGTTGCGAATGACTGCATTGACGATGCTCGGCACGTTCAACACATCAGTTGTCAAGGAAAAAGAGCCCGACGAGAGCTTTGAATAGTCCAGAACGTCGTTGATCACCTGCAACAATATCGTGGTGGAGTCCTCCAAAATCGAGGCGTATTCTTGCTGATCTCGTGTCAGAGGGGTTTTCATCAAGGTGGTCAGGGCCAATAGCATCCCGTTCATCGGCGTGCGTAATTCGTGGGACATGTTTGCCAAGAACTCCATCTTCATCCTGGACGATTCTTCGAAGGCTTCAATGAGTCTGGCTTCCGCGCTACGGCGTTCGGTGAGGTCGCGTGTGACTTTGGCAAAGCCCAGCAGCCGATCCTGCTGGTAGACCGGAGATATCAACACATTCGCCCAAAAGCGGCTCCCGTCCTTACGGTAACGCCACCCTTCATCTTCCACTTTGCCAGTCTGCATACAAACCTCGAGTTCACGGGCGGGTTTTTGAGCTGCGCATTCATCGGCCCCGTAAAAAATGGAGAAATGTTGACCGAGAATCTCATCTGCCGTGTAACCATTAAGCCTCGCGGCACCTTCATTCCACGTGACGACACGACCCTGGGTGTCGAGCATGAAAATACCGCAAACCTTCACTGCGTCCACAAGCACTTTGTATGTCTCATTCAGATATTGCTGCTCGGTCATCTTAGGTTTGGGTTGAGAAATGCGACTCGGGTGCATCTCGAGCAGCACATAGATCAAGGAGTCTTTTTCGAAGATGGGTGTGACCCGAAGTGGGCAATCTGGCTGGTAATTCGCGATGGGGATGCCCTGCAGGACCTGGGGGGTGCGGGCTGTGATGGCGGCGGCCAGCACGCCACTAAGGGACGCTGTGTCGGGAGCGGACACCAAATGCGGGGATACATCGTAGATGCTCATGGCGAGCAAGTCCTCGCGAAGACGGTTCGCTGAAGCGAGATAACTCTCCGACACTTCCAGGATCTGCAGCGACTCGTTCAATACAATCGTCGGGGTGGGTGTGTAGCGATAGATGCGACTCATGGGTTCGACGACAGGACGAGGGTCGCTCGGACTGGGCGGCGTGTGGACGGTGCCTGGCTCGAAGCGAGACGGTTTGATCATCTTGTCGTGCGAGTCGAGTTCATTCTCCGACGGCGGCGTGATGGCCATGTCGTAGTCTTGGGGCCGACGGTCCTGTATGTTGAAGCGTACCATTTGCTGTTCGAGTACCATCTTGCTGGGGATGACCCTGCCGTGTGGCAGGGCGACGAATCGTCAAACGGAAGCGTCGAATCGAAAGGTCTCTGTTTTCTCGGTATCACCACTGGTTGACAACAGTGTAATCCCCTGGACATTGGGTGAACGGATGCGGGGGGGGGAAAGGATGGGTTGATGATTTGTTTCGTTTCTCTACTCCGGGGCGTGATCCTGTTCTTTTCTCTTCCCTTGCTCTTTTCGCGTGGCTTGGGGAGAGCGACAAAATTGCTGAGGTCTTGCAGGTCAGCGCCAGTTTTTTTTGGGTATTCGTTCACGAGTGCGGGACCGCTTCGATCGCACGACTTTGCACCCGTTGCGGAGTCGAACTGAGCACGCGGAGGGCTTTACGTCCACGTTGGGAGGCTATGTGAAAGGGCTCGCCCGTCAGCAGGGATCGGTATGGTCACGATGTAGAAAAGGCGTTCATGCGACCGTTGGTTGGATTTCTGGGGAGGGAGGAGGAGAGAGCAAAAACGCCAAACGGGCGTAATGGCGATCGGTAGAAGAGGGTCTCGAGTCTGGCCGCGTGCCGGGATTTGCAGTTTGCACCAGTGTCTTGTTCCCACCTGAAACTGCTGGCCAACATGCCAAAACCGGGCAGCAGTAAGGGAATGATGAAGTTCGTCCAAACGCCGCGTCGGGTCAGCTCAAGCGATTGGGTGGACGTCACTTCCAGCGGGCGGGTGGAGTTGCAAGGTGCAAGTCGCAACTGGGAACGCTTCTTTGGGCGGACGCCCGTGTTCAACGACAGGGCGAACAAAGGGGGCTAGACCCGATTGAGCGTCTTTGCTTGTTGGACGGGCTGGACACCGTCGATTCGATTGTTCAGGGGAACAATGCGCGGTGAGGTCAGTGTTGGGGGGAGTTGATCATATACCGCCCTGGTGATACGGAGGCTGGGAAAAGGAGAATACAGAGATACGTAAGGAGACGAGCAGGCCCTGGGCACGGTGGGCACGGTGGGCAGTAGAAAAAGGGATTGCTCAGTATCCGGTGTCTGGTTTCTGGTGCCCACCACCGCCAGCGAGTTACGAAGCAGTCGAGACCCGAAGGGCAGAACCTCCGGGGGAGGGAACCAGGGAAACTATAACCACCGGGTTGGGATCAGGACAAGAGAGGTGGAACCGAGGACAACAAGAAAGTGAAAAGGGAAACCCTGAAAACATGAAAAAAAAAAGAAAGAAAGACAGAAAGAAAGGACCGGGACAGTTGCCACGGATGAGGAACTCGGATACTTGAGACGATTTTGAATACTACTCCTCCCAGACTACCAGCGTCCCAGAACGCACGCATAGCCAGAGCACAGGCAACATCACAGTGCACGGTCATCCACACGAAGGTTGCCGAGGACGAGGGGCACGACGGTGAGGCGTGGGGAAAAAGAAAATATTAGCGAGTATCGAGTCCCAGGGACGATAAAGTTACTCGGCTGGAAATGGTGAACATCCTCCCATCAAGCTTTGTGGGACGCCTCCGCCAATTTGATTTTCCAGTCATGACGGGGCGTGCAATACTGCAATTCCATGCATCGTCCTGTACCTTTTTCCCGATCTACGGCCGGAACACCGACATCGACGACGGTGACATCCGGAACCTCGGATGGCAAGTTCAGGTCAACTGCCACTGTCCATAGTCCTGACGCATCCGCGTCAACCAAGGCCCTCTCCGTCAAAGGCATCATCTTTTGGTTGTCCTCGTCAGGGATCACACCGATCGGGGACCGATCCAGTCGTCGATCATAAACCACTACGCGCCGCAGGTTGTTGTCCAGACTCCAGACCTTTCCGGCGAATGTTGATGAGGAGTGATAAGTATGGGCCCGAGTCAAGAGGCTTCCGAAAGGACAATATCGTTGGACAAGGACGAGGGGGAGTTTCAATTGATCCGAACGTGGACAAGACAATGACCGTGTTGGAGCTCCACCGGTGGCTAAGTCGACAAGCTACTCCCTGACAATTGGACGCTGATGGGAAGATGGAGGGATGGACACTCTGTAGTTCGTAGTTCGTCCGGCATATCGGTCAACTTAAAAAAAGGTGACTTAGGTACCGTCCCTCGCATGGAAAATACTATATACTACTACATAGCAGGTCTGTGGGACGAACAAAACACCTCCTCATGTCCTCCCACATCAGGGGGTACCTGAAGTGGTGAACACCTCCGTACTCGATTTCGACCGTAGATCAAGTGATCAACACCTGTCTGACCGGGTGCATCATTGCCGGTCGGCCATATGTCGCGGAAATAGTTTGTTGATCAGCAGCAACCCTAGGCCCGGCTCGCGAGAGTCGGATTGTCCATGAATGTCGGTGACTGCTAAGTTCTACTGTAACTATCTAAGTTCTAATAGTTAATCGGTGCCAAGGTGGTACGAGGTTAGTAGGTAGTAGGTACCCTTTCTAGGAGGAAGAGTCCAAGGCTCCAAGCTACTGTACCTTGGTATGTATGCCGGTACATGCAAACCATCAATGAATTCAGAATACGCACCGAGTACTTTGACCGGTCGGATGGCCGCAATGGCGTCATATACGGGGTCTCGAGTGCTCGTATCCAGAACTGCGACTCCAGTGGTAGGGATAGCAAAGGTACACATGGTCCGCTAGATGATCATTTGCTGCTCGTAGCCTACCTCATCGATGTTGTTCTAATCCTCCGTCTGTCTGGCCTTGATCCTCGTGTTCGTTGTTCTTGAAAGTGAATGCAGTAGAGGAGACCGATCGTGGTGACCATCTTCCGATCCAAGTGGTGCTTCAAAGGTTGGCTCGAATCCCAAATCAGTCGTTTGAACGTGTGGAGAATCCCTTTATTTGTTTTTGTTTTTTTTTTTGGAGTTTGATGGGTGGAGCTGAGAGGACCCTGACGTCATTTGGAACTCGACGCGATTGGGTCAGGTGTGACAGTCCCACACAGTCCACCGGTGCAGCCTCGACTGCATCTGAATTGGATGGAAGGAATCTCCGTTAGCGACTGACTGCGTGGAGTGCTGAGTGCAGGTCCCACACACCTAAGGATTCTTGTCGTGATTCAATCATGTGATGCTGGAAGGGTACACGCTTCACGCTTCACTACTACACTACTGAACACTCAACAATCAACAGTCAACAGTCGTGGAGTCTTGACTCGTCAGTCGTGACTGTCGTCGTACGGAGACAGACACTTTTTAAAGTTTGAGTCTGCTCCACCGTAGAGTTGCACGGGCTCTGGCGGTATTTCGGGACGGAAAACATCACCAGTCGTATGAATCCCTGGAAGTGGCATGACGGACGTGGAGGTTTGATCAATCATGCGCATGAGCTACGATACCATGCCTTTGTAAAAGTCATCCTAGGATCCTACGACAGCATGTAGAAGACAGACCACCCCGCCACGTGTGGATCATTCTCGATGAACAAGCTCACCAATACAGTAGTCAAGTTGTAAACGGGAGGGCCAGACCATCGACGCGCCCGTAGCTGAGGACAAACGATCAAGCTGCATCGATTTTACCCCTTAGGTAGTCCTCCGACCGGAGGGGCTGGTAACTTAGTACATACATACCTTACACAACCGTACGTTACATGCCAGATGCAGTTGGGGACGAGCCGGGGACCATTTGAACACGGAACACTACGAACACTAACACTACTGTACTCTGTACTCTGTACTCTGTAGTGAGTCAGTATCAGCCTCCAGCTCATTCCGTTCGGGGTCAAACACGGGGCCGCGGAGGAATCAATTATGGGGATATTCATCGGCGCCGATGGGGACGAAAGGGGGGGGGGGGGGGGGGAGAGGAACCATCAACTCTCGACTGTCGTCATCCGTGGAATCAGCTCGACAAGCTCGGAAGAGTGACACGACTGACAGATCTCCCCATGAGTCCTGAGGGAGTTCTCAGTAGATTGACATTCAGGACAGTACTGACTACTGCGTAGTGAGTACTGTCCCTTGACACATTTGACACAATTGACAGCCCGTTCCTGAGACCGGGAGGTTCTGGAGGCTCGGTGGAGACTCTGGTGGCGGGGGAGCCAAGCCTTGTCCAAGGGATCAGGACTCAGGACTCCAGACTCCAGGAGTGTAGTATTGGTAATACGGTATTTTGTTTCCTCCCTCAGGAAAGCCACCGACAGCCCGCAGCCATACAGCGTCGGAATGGCAAGACCCGTCCCCGTCCGTTCCGCGCCGAGCGAAGGAATGGAATGGAATGGATGCAACAGACGGTCATCGTCATCCCCCTGACTTTTGGTCCGATTGTGATGCGATGGTGCGGTCTCCAACGGGGACCCAGGAGAATGACACCGGTGTCTCCAGCGGATGTCTCAGCTGGCGGAGATCGAAGTGATCGAGACGACCGTTGGAAAAAAATAAAATAAAAACAAACCAAAACAAACCGTGCCGAGTCCAGCCATCTATCTCCTGGTTTAGCCGAATCCGACCCGTCTGTCAATACTTAACATTAAGTAATGTATGTACTACCGATTCAATGCTGACTCGATAGCTTTCTCCGTATCCTCATGGCAAAGCTTCACTTTCCACGGCCATTTCACAGGAGTCTTTCTCTGCATCACCATGCACTTGAGATCGTCGAGGCTGGAAAATCTGGCGTGTTGATGTACTGTAGATCAACCGGTCAAATGGACAACGGCAAAGCAACCCCCCTCCTCAAGACCGCGTTGTTCCACCCGCGTTCCAAAGCACAGGTCCTCCCGTTCGAAGGCGTCTCAATCGAGAAGATCTCTCGATCGCCAGCTGAACGACCCAAGAGCTGATCCTTCGTGATGGTCTGTCATTGCGTAATGCGACAGGACCGTAGTGCCTACTTTAGCGGACGATCATAAATGTTGGTCAGCTCCACCGAGCCGAAATGTCTTACTCTTGTTTTTTCGGCAGCTTTGATCGTCTAGGTTGCCGTTCCTAGGGCGTTGCGGAGGCTCAATGCAATGACGCCAACCAGATGAATAGGCTGACTCGGAGTTCGTTACGTATCGATCGATGTGGATGCAAAGCTGGCTGCACGGGGCACATAAATCCAATTGAACGCGAGAGTCCGTTAAGTTTTGAGGTATATACCAACTTGCCGTCCGACAGTTCGTAGTCGGCACGGGAAAATCGGAGTCAGGCAAAGGTGATTTCTTTTTGCTTATCGCTGAGGTAACAGAATTGAACGGGGTGCTGGAGTGACTACTGTGTCGCCCAATGTCCACTGTCCACTGTCCAGTCTAAGCAGGTAGTCAGTAGTGACCTAATTGCCTATTGACCTCGGCATGGTCTCGATAGAGTGGTGGGGCGCCCGTCGAGAGGTGTCTTTCGGATCAACATGTCATTTGTTTGGCTCCAAACATCAACATTCTTCACCACTTCTAGCTCTTCAGACAGCTTGTGCCCGTACCTCTTGAACGTGGCTTTGAATCTAGTGGTTCTCAGGATGCAAACATGTCATGTTGGCCAGCCTGGCAGATTTGATGTCCCGCAAGATGCTCGGAACCCTTGAGCCTCGCCTCGGCTAGCCGATTGGCTTGTTCGGTAGTGGCTCATGAAGTACTTACCTATCTTCCAGGGCTGCTTGGAAAAGGAAATGCTACTAGGTAGGTGCTCAACACCCCTTCTTTGCGCAGTATTCAACTGGGCAGTACCGATTTGTAGGAACCCTTGTACCTTGGACAAAGCAGGCAGATATGTCCGATTTTTGCAGCATTGGCTCACACTTCCCACTTCCTAATAGGCAGCTGACAGCCCGACACTGCGTCGACGCGGTCAAGCGGCAGCCTTGCCGGATCCGTTCCCCGCACTCCCTCGTGGCTCCAGAGTCCAGAGCCTCAAAACATTCCACGTGTTGCTTACCCCCGGGAGCTGTCCATTCGGTCCCCCGCTATTTTGATTTGGTCTGTGTCCGACAGTGCCAACAGGTAACTAGTAGGTATTCACTACGTTCATCATGTAGACGAGGAGGGTTAGATTAGGTTGATCTATATGAGGCCCTGTTCTTGTGAGCGTTCTGACTCGAAATCTTACTTCCTCCAGACTTTCTCTCCCCCTCTCGACCCTGAATTGCAATTGAAACAAGGGCGATCCTTCTCTCCGCGATCATGGCCTTCCAGATACAGTATGCCGAGGAACACGACGCGCCAGCCCTGGCCCGAATCAACATCCTCAGCTTCGAAACGCAGGGTCTACTACAAGCCCTTTTCCCTGGAGCCGAAACTCCGGCCCTGGAATTACACAAAGCCAACAATTACATGAAGCATCTCGCCAACCGGCAGATGCACGTGGTCAAGGTCACGGATCCACTCACGGGGGAGTTGGTGGGAAATGCGCGGTGGCAGCTCCCCGAAGCGATCTGGCCGCGAGATCAAACTCCGGCTCTCAGTGAGAAGGCGCAGGAAATTGCACAGGACCCGATGCGTCTGGCACCGCGTCCGAGGAACGAGGCGCTCTTGGCGGGCTTTCGGACCATGCTTGAACATCACCGCAAGAAGTACCTAGGAGAGACAGATCTGTGTAAGTCACGAACCTAGCACTCTTCAAGGCGGGTACGCGGACGGGTACGGAGACGGGTACACCTGATCACCTCTACTACAGTGCACTGACGATGGCCAAATTTTCCCTCCTGGAGTAGTGTTGGACTTTCTCGCCACGACACCCTCCTATCAAGGTCGGGGAGTCGGCTCGGCCCTCTTACGCTGGGGCACTGCCAAAGCGGACGAGAAGCAGTTGCGCATCTACCTGGAGGCCACCGAGGCTGGTTATCCAGTCTATGTCAAGCACGGGTGGAAAGTCGTCGAGGAGGTGTTTTTTGACCGGGAACAGTTTGGTGGTCATGGTCGCGATCGATTCATTCTGATGATGAGAGATCCAAAGCCTCTTGCACAGTCAGCCACCGAGCCAGGTCGAACCTGACCTTCCGGGCTTCAATGTGCTGGCCACTCGCTAGGGGGCTGCGTGACCTCCACTGGTACATGACACTTATCGACCTTGACCGGATGTACTTAGCGGTCATGCGAGCAGGAATAAGGATATCAAATGGACAGGTCTATGACCAGGCTCGTTCGTGCTAGGAGATGTGACCGTCCCGCGCCACCTGGCCCATCACTCTGCGATGATGCGATCACCATCGCACCACGTGACCGTGTAGCGTAGGTGTACCTAGGCAGCTGACATGAGATGACAATGATACTACCCGACGAATGGGTAAGGATGGGGTTAGACCGTCAGATAGATTCATATCTAGCACATCCATCGCCGCCTCCACCTTTTCTGTTGGCCTCAATGTCCGTGACTTCCTGTCGCTAAGAGCACTCGAGCCCAGGTATCTCTTCAAAATGAGAACATGCTATATCGCTTTGTTGTTGCTTTACTCCATGTCACTGTTAGGTGCTTTTTAAATGAATGTTCCCGCGACATTTGCGATGAGTGCCTTTCGACGCAGATTCACGATGCTCCCGGCACTGGTTTTGATCTGACTCCGTCTTACGGGTGAGCGAGCGATGACATTCTTAGAAGGAATTACTCAATCAACATTCAATAAGAACGGCTCTAGTACAAGACTACAATAGGATTGTCGTCGATACTGCTTATATCCAGGGATATGCCAGATACCTGGATCTTATGAAGCGACTGTCCAGAAGTGCCCGGTCATCTACATCACGAACTAGGGAATCTCTTCATTGGCTGAATTTCTTCCCATTCTCCCTCCTCGACACGACTTCCCGGAGGGTTGCTTGGTGGCGTTGGCTTAACAAAGTACTTGGTCGCCCCGTCAAAGCTCCAAAGGACATCGAGATCATGAGCGCGTTCCTCTGTAAAATGTAGCTCTCTACCGAAATAGCAATCTCTCAGCCACTTAATAGCGTTGCATTGACAACTCCTGATATTGGTTCCATCAGATTCATGGTCAATGCCGCCCTTGAGCACTTAAATTTTGACTCTTGGGTCGGCAATAGCATTCACTACCCGAATCGCCTGCCCGAGGCCAATACTCTGTATGCAGTAAATGGCCTATTACCAAGATCTATGGATTTCCGGTGAAGTTCCTGTCGAGACCTTACCCAGTCCTTGTATTTTCTTTACCTTTTTCAGTCAACATGCCCTCTACACGAGTATTGTATTCCCGATCGGGGGCCAGGCTCTGACTTGGTTTAACTGGTTACGAGTTTGGACTGGACCATCTTCTTTAGGCAAATGGCAGCCGAGAAGATGCACTATGGCTTCGTATTCGTTCGCAGCTGTCGAGACTTCCTCAAGAGTACTCGACCGGTCTGAATCATATCCTCTCGGCTAGTGAGATTGCAATGCATCTACGCTTTCTAGACAACTTCAACGAAGTCATGGCTGAAATTATACCTATGCCGCGGGTCAATTTCGAGAACATTCCTCATCACATGGATTATGCTCCGAGGTTCAATTCCAACGAATGTAATCGCGCTGCATACCCAGAGAAGACAGGAGGTTCAAGATCACACTGTACTGAGTCTCCTCGGTGCGAAGCGCTCAAAAAGAAAGAGCGGGCGTCTTTGTCTTCAAAGGTTGACCTACGTTGAAAATGAATCGGGAGAGCAAATATTCTCTTCCCAATGGGGCAATCTGAGATCCCTCATGTGCCTGATGACTCCGTCGAGTTACAAAGACAAGTCCAAAGACTGATTATCGGAGGAGAATCGTCTCAATGCCAAAATATCGGGATGTCGTTTACAACCCTAAAGCAATTGTCACCTTGGGACGAATCCAATCCTCAAAGGACGCAGCTGATCAATGCGGAATCTTTCCCACTGGCTACTTTTGCCATGTATCTAGACTTTGTTTAGATCTTCTGCACTCGATTTCCCTGGCAGCAACCTAGGTAGTGGACAAATCAAGTACTCAAAGTGCTTTATACGACGCTATCACAGGAGCAGCGTCCCGTGAGATCCTGAGACTGTAAATTGATCGGAAGCGGGCGATATCTGGGGGAAGCAATGGAGATCCACGGAGATAGAGGCACAGACTCGTGGACGCTCAAAGAGAGTTCTAGGGAGCATTTCTTTTTTTTTTCACAAATGATGTTCAGGGATATACACATGCACTTGATGTTTTGCCGCTGTTCTGTTAATCTTCCCCCTAAACGCAGCAAGAGTCGCCATAGACAATCGTTCCGCGGCTGGAGACCGGTGGGCTGGATTCGAGAACAGGATGAGCACAGAGAATAATAAGAGTGTCAAAAAACGCTGTTGACTGATATCTCTGCTTTTCTCGAGCCGGATGTTCAGTTCACTGGAACGGGCGTATTACAATGTTGGGGTATAGTCTTTTCCCCTTCCACCCCCGCAGTTTCTTCGGATCCTCTTCTCGGCAACTATAGCCGCTGACCACTCGTCTCTCCGTTAGCATCGAGTCAGAACATAGATATTTCCGCCATCTCAGAAACTGGATTCTTGAACTTTGGAGCTTGGATCTCAAGGGTTTTCTTTTTTTTGTCCCCTTGAAGTAGAGAGCCTTGTTGTCCCCGCTGGTCTGCACCCTTTCTTTTCTCAGATCTATTGGAATTTGCCGGCTGTTGTTACAGCACAAAGTCATTCGAACGAAACAAGAGGTACCGTGAGCTTCACCATGTCGCTCAGACCCAAATTTGCCATTTTGGACGATTATCAAGGCATCGCTCGTTCACATTTCACACATCTTGACGACCGAGTCGAAATGGTCTGTTTCCCCGAGACACTGGACCCGCGTGATCCCGTTCAACAGGAGGCCCTCATCAAACGCCTAGAATCGTTCGATATCATTCTTGCCATGCGAGAGCGAACTCCATTCTCCGCATCCACCATTGCCGCTCTACCAAAATTGAAGCTTTTACTGACAACCGGCACCCGCAATCTCGCGCTCGATCTTGACGCATTCACGAAGCAAGGCGTTACAGTGGCCGGCACAGAGGGACGACCGCCGGGCGTCAACTCTACCGTTCAGCATACGTGGGCACTAATCCTCGCACTGGCACGCCATATCGCTCGAGATGACGCGGCCATCAAAGCCGGTGGATGGCAGGGATCGCTGGGTATGGGTCTTTCAGGAAAGACGCTGGGCCTCCTAGGTTTGGGGAAATTGGGCTCTCAGGTCGGCAAGATTGCGGTTCAGGCATTTGGCATGCGGGTGCTTGCCTGGTCGACGAATTTGACTCAACAGAGGGCCGATGAACTAGCACTCGCCCAAGATCTACCATCGGGCAGTTTCATCGTGGCTTCCTCCAAGGCTGAGTTCTTCACAGAATCAGATCTGATCTCGATTCATAGCGTTCTGTCAGATCGTAGTCGGGGTATCGTTGGAGCCGGGGAGCTGGCACAGATGAAGCCTCACTCGTTGATCATCAATACGTCGCGGGGACCCTTGATCGACGAGCAAGCTTTACTCGAGACTCTTCAAATGGGCGGAATTCGAGGCGCTGCGCTGGACGTGTTTGACCAGGAGCCGTTGCCCTTGAATAGTGTCTGGCGCACCACGCCCTGGGGACAGCAGGGGCGCAGCGAGGTGCTCCTATCTCCACATGTAAGTTATTGTCTGCGTCGGTTGATGGCACGGGTTTGGACTGGAGATATTTGAGAGGGGTGCGGTGTGTTGATCATATGCTTACCAATTTCTGTTTTTGAATCATGCGTACAGATGGGCTACGGAGAGGAAGACCTTTTGCATGGCTGGTATAAGGAGGTGGCCGAAAATGTGGAACGATGGCTAAACGGACAAGAGCCCTTGCGGAGGTTGAATTGAGGATTGATCCAGCAGCTCATTGATGGGGCTTGTTTTTGATGAAGGGAGGGGGGCTAATAGCCTACGTAGGCCCGACGAGGCTCGAAAGGGATGGTGAGGTTGTGGGGTGTGGGAGATTTCACCTTTGTTGGAGACTGTCAAGAATCACATGCTATCGAGCACCTAGGCATTTCGATATGCCCAAGAATTTGGGGCGACTCATTATCGATCCAAGGATGACTAGAAGATACTTTTGCGGGTCGTCGCGGACTACCTTATCACCCTTCGCTGCAGGCCAGTATGACAGAAAATGGAAGTGATAGCGATCTGGTCGGTGCTCTGTTCGAGTGTGCCTCCCGTGGGTCTCTATATCTAGGTAGTCAAGCTGGTCACTTTGGCTCTTTACACTGTACTTTCAGATGCTTTATCATAGCCTATACACTTAGACAGTGATACCGTAGCACTCGTAGTGATTTGTGTACGTACTATAGCACATAGTACATACCGACTAACTACATAGCATACCCCTGCGTACTTGTAATCGGATATCGATCAGCTTCATCGAGCCCATTCTGGAGGAGGACCGGGGGAGAAAGGCCATCACATGCTGGTTGTTGTGCAAGTGAACTGGTGACCGTCCCCTTCCCACGTGTCCCTCTTCTCATCGCCCTTTCTATCCTCTGACGTGAGTGATGAAATCATCTGCTCTAAATTCTCAATCACTACAAAACACACGAATCGTTACAGGCGGTTACTCAGTCAGCCGATGAGAATGTCATCATCTTTTCACTTCTTATTATTATTGTATCCATGCCGGTGTCCGTTGAGAGCTTCTTCGGATCTTAGATCTGATTCCCTCTCTATCCGGTTAAGTAGTTCCGGCCCACTCCTGGCCAATCACGTGCATCATGTCAACTTTCCCCTGCTTCTGTACGCTAGCGGCCGTTGTGCCTCGGTCGATCGGAGGCTCCTTGCAAGATCAGCCTCCGACCAAGGGTTGAAAGTTCTGACTTGCTGGGCATTGTCCAGGACTGTCCGAGGTCAATGTGGTGCCAATGAGCAATGGGACATCGTTCATGAAGGAGGTGATGTGTTTTGTGGTGCCTGCGTCTGTCAGAAAGAAGAGCGGAAAGCTGGCAGTGGCATGTGAAGATGTGTACATTCCATTGAGTTCGTGTACATGGTAGTAGTAGTAGTAGTAGTAGTAGTAGTAGTAGTAGTAGTAGTATGTACTCATTCTAGTAATGTACATGCATCGAGTATTTGTCGGAGGCAATGATTGACCGTACAGGCATGGGCATCATTTCCACCCCACCAGCTCCAGCCTCCCGCAGAGTCAAATCATCCCTCCTCGGTCCAACGGGGCGCAGAGACGGAAATTGACTGGAGATTGCATGAGAGTTGGAAAGGAGGCTAAGCCGAATTGCCCGTGCCAAGTCGCATGAAGAGGAAAGGTATGCTTGCTGAAACCGGCGGGGATCCCCAATTGGGACCATGTCGCCCGCGGTGACAGCATCTTTCTTTCTTTCTTTGATTTCTCCGTCCCTCGTAGTAGTATATTAAAGAACTTGACATCTCTGTCCCTTGGTTTCCCTTTCACTACTCTCCTGACCATCGACCTCTGCTTTAGTCGACGCGATCATCCACCATCGAACCCAATTTCAGTCCACAATGCCTTCGGTCGTGGAAACCACCTCCCCGGCGGAGCCCGTGCCCTCTCATCCAGACCGCATCCGCGTCAATCGCAGCACCAAAGCCTTTGGCAGCGGCGCATACTCCCTCATTGACCTGCCCGCCGGCGCAGTATTTGCCCCCATCACCGGAATCACCCCGGGAACCAAGGCCTACACCACCGTTCAAACCGGACCCGACACTCACATCGAGCTCAATTCCGACCTCGTCTACTGCAACCACTCCTGCGACCCATCCTTGGTCTTCGACATGAGTCGCATGGAGGTGCGCGTGGTGGATGACAAGCCGCTGCGGGCGGGAGACGCCCTCACTTTCTTTTACCCCAGCACCGAGTGGGAGATGGATCAACCGTTTCAGTGTACCTGCGGGGCTAGCGAGTGTCGTGGGTGGATTTCCGGAGCAAAGACCATGTCGGCGGAGGAATTGGAGGGCTACTGGCTGAATGGGTTTATTGTGGAATTGCTGAATGAGCGTCAGTCATGATCACACTAGGCCATTCAATTCAGCTCCCTTGGATAAGGTTGCTGGGAATGTAAATAGTCCGCGGGGCAGGTTCCCCGCGCGTCAACGTTTGTTTACACATCGATGGACGGGAAGGGTCCTTGTACTTGTAGTATGACAATAAATTTCATACTTCACTCCCATCTATTCCAATGCTCTGGTGATAACTCAAGAAGAAACCCTGGAATGGCATAATCCAACGTGAGTCCAATTTGAGCTTTGATCGGAAGCAACCCTTTCGGAATCTCCATGGCCTATTGAATGAGGTACGCTTCACATTGACAGGTCGTGATCAAGTCCCCGCGGGTTTGTAGGAAACAGTCCGCGGGGAAACAAGAGATCATCGACGGGCGCAACTACCCGACGCACGAGAACACCGCGTGGTCGAATAGACGGGATGCAGAAATAGCAAGATGCGTTACTTGAAGCCCACCCCGCTCTCTCGACTTCACTGAGGGAGATTTTAGTTTTCTATCACAAAGTACGGACCGAAAATACCAGATCCGAGACTACCGGATTTCCAATCCGTGACATATTTTGGATGGGATGGTCAAAGGCATACCATAGGTATTTCGGAGTCAGGGCTTGCACTCACCACCTCTCAGGTTAACTCTCCGCTTGCAAAGCAACAAGTGGCTCAATCGAGGACAACAAAGTGAAGAATAGTGAAGAAACCCTGTGAGCGGCCACCTCAAGGGAACTCCCGGAACGATCAATGCGTGCGGCTGGCAAGATCGACGTTTGTTTCTCTGCTGATCTGCGCCATATCTGCAATCCATCTTCAAGGTCCTCGAGGACCTGGGGGAGACCGATGCCACCATTGCAAACAGGTCTATGTAACCAAAAAGCCACACATCCAATATGTGCCAGGGCTTGTGGTTTAGTGGTATAATACTCCCTTAGCATGGGAGTGGTCCGGGGTTCGATTCCCCGCGAGTCCAGCTTTTTGTTGATGCGGAAAGTCAAGGAGGGTTGGAGAGCGGATCATCGAGACGTTTCAGTTGTCGACCAAATTTCATTTTGTTTTAAAGTCCGGGCCACTTTATGTCAATCAAGTTCAGCTGCGTCGGCGGATGTTCCTGGGGAAAACATGATATAGGCCAAGTCTCCCCAAGAGCGGAGGAACTGTGAAGATATGGCTTCATAACTATTGCCCAGGTAAGAATCGATGCCATGGCAAAGAGAGTGATGCTTGCGGCGTGTATGTATCTTTCAAGATGCATTCTGTCTCCTTCCAAGTGCCCGTCGAATATTATTCGAAAGCTAATCGCGATTATGTGAGGGCATGAGGGAATTCGGAGCGCAGTCTTGGTAAGGACTTGGGACCATGGGTTTGTTTGATATTGACACGAGAATGTGGATGGAACTTTACGATCATTCGAAAGGGCCCAAATTTGCTGCAAATGGGCATTGATGCAAGATTCTGGGCCCCAAGCTTTTATACCTTCCACTTCTCATCACTTCACACGGCGGAAATCGATATTGCGGTCGTGGTCCCCCGTGATTTCTTTTTGGGGAGGCTCTGCTTTGCCTGATCCAATCCTTCGACCGCTTTACCAAAGTGTAGCGTCGTTTCCCGTCAGTTGTCTTAACTTTTCCCGCAAAGACCCGCGACCGTGTAAAGGCCAGCCTCGTTCGCCAACGTGGTCGTTCACTGGACCGTTGTCCACGGTCTCAATCTGAACAGGCGGGAAAATTTTCGCTGGCCAGTAGTGTCTCACTCCAAATAGCTTTCGCTGAGGTACCGCGCCCGAGGCAAGACATTGTCTTCCACCGTTCACAGTCTTCTCCAGATCTCCACACTGGTGAGAAGGGTGCTCACGACCATGGTCAATCCCACAGTAAGGTCTCCAGTAGGATACCAACCCAAAAGCGTCACCGGCAGTATCACATCGCAGCTTTCTGCAATGATTTGGCGCACTAGCTTCGATGATCCAACGTAATTCGTTTTGGCATGAGTAGTTAGCTTCTTGTCTTGATGGCCTGGCTTCGGCTCGAGCTTGCGCTTCTCTGACTCTGAAGACTTGATCTCCGAGACCGGCTTCGCAGGTGAAGAGGAAAGCAGAGCCCATACAGCTCCAGCGATTGAAAAGGCCAAGGCGCAAAACCAGAACGTATTGGCTTCCTGCATGACTCGCGGCTCCCAGGGAACCAGGTAGACACCCATGGCATGAAGCTGTAGTTATTAGCTCCGTTCTCACTGCGTGTGAAACCAGGTAGCATCACGTACAATAGTCAAGTCTTCAAGGATAAAGTACAGTCCGAAGCACGTGTACTTGGCTAGGTCTAGAATTCCCGCCACGGTTCCCATGCCATCTTTGCTCAGCAAGTCAGACACTTGCTGAAATGAGCCGATAAAGCCAAAGAATCGAAAGAACCGACGAGCTGGATTTCTAAATGTCAGTACAGGAGCCTGATCACTTGGTTGAGGCAAGCATTGGAAATGCTTTCACCTACTCAGCGCTAGTTGTGCCTTGGCCGTGGTGAAGCGCACAGCCGAGCTGCCCACCGTAAATGCGGCCGCAATCTGCGACAATGACTGGATCAACCGAAGTGTCTTTTCCAGCCCATTGCCCGAGTTCAAGAATCGACTCAGTTGAGAGACCATGATTGAGAACGAGTCGACTATATGTGGTGAGGTCCTGTTCCGGTCTAGTCCACCTTTCTGGCTGTGGAACAGTAGTAGTAGTGTTTAACTAAATGGAAAAGGGTCAATTGCTCCACTAGTCCAGTTGACCCAATTCCCCGCGGGGCGAATGTTTGCTTATTCATCTCGGCATCTGCTTCAAAAGCCCTGTGAATATTAGGGAGATGATACTAGTACCGCCCCGCCTTTTATATTTTAGAGGAGTAGTAGACAGGTGGCAGATGAGGCGGCATGTGCAATGTGACACTTTGCGCTCTGTGTGTTGTCTCACCTTGTGCTGGGCAAAGAAGGATGCACATCGACACTGGAACCTGAACGCCTTACCCATCACGACGGGCGTCGGACCGGCGTCTCTGGACGTTCGTTAGAGTCTCATCAGCGAACACCAAGCGCTATCATTCCATGATTCTCTCTGCCCCTACGCGGCCGCATTAAAACGTAGAGGAATAGATCGAGCACCGAGTTTCACATCCAGTTTCTCGCTTTGAGGAATCGTGCGACAGTAGTATTGCAAATGAGAAAGTGGCTGGAGAAATAAAAGGGAAAAACATCTCGCAATTTATGTGCAAACGAACGGGGCCATAGAATATGTCGAATCTAAATCCACAATGCGCTCGCCCGCTATCGTCCCTTTCCTCCAGAGATATCTTGTCCCAATCGGTATCCTCCAACCTTCTCCCATTCCACCTTCTGACGGGTGATGGGCAGCTGTCGTCGGAGCCCCTTGAATGCACCCTCCGCCATCTGCACGAAGGCCCGGTTCAACTCCTCCTGGTAGTCGCGCTCGGCAGTGGCAATGCGAGAGATGATGGATTCCGCGGTGACAGAGTTGATTGACAGGTTGACAGGCTTGGTAGTGTTCATTGCAACGTTGCCATCCTCGTAGTAGTGTACATCCACGTGGATCTTGCCGGTCACGGAGGAGGACGAGTCGGAAACAGGGACTTGATAGATAGCGCGGAATCGACCGTTCCTACCAAAGAAGATGAATAATTAGATCAATGGAAAGCATGTACCCAGTCGTCTGCATCGCTTGCATGAATTCTGGATAGCCGAAGTATTGTGGTACGAGAGACGTACCAGAAATTGTTGGGGGAGTATCGGTTAGCAACCAGAAGAATAGCAACAGCAGAGTCATTCTCAATGGGATACACGCCATAGGAGCAGTTGGGATAGTGTTCCTTTGCGTGGACAGCGAGGGATTTAAGCAGTGATTTACTGGGAAATCGGTCAGCAAGAGCGAGATACCCATGGGGTATCATTGAAAAACATACATCAAATCGGCATTTTGTGACTCAAGAGGTGAAGATTGCGCATTAGAGGCGGTCTATGTACATCTGTTAGCCCGGGCTTTCCGTTGGATGAGAACTGGTTGATCGGTCAGACAAGGCGCAGGCTTACCTGGGTTGTGTGATCCATCTCAAACGAGGTTTGACTTTCTGTATCGAAATACCGATTGTCTTCCAACCGGTTGAATTCACTGACAATGACCTGATCATAAACGCCTTGTCAGTATTCCACCGCGCTTTTGAATCCATCATGCACCGCTTGTTCATCATAGGTATTCCACACCGCGCACCTCTTGACTTGACCCAGGAAGCTTCACAGTGGCAAGCTGACCCTCGTTGTATCGAGCAAAGGCGGGAGCAAGAGAGGGCAGAATGTCGTCGCCATCAGAGGTCAAAGCTTGCACATCTATAGTCAAGTATGGAGGCTCAGTACGTGTCCAGCAATGGAGATGGTTTCACGACTCTGTTCTGGAGGCGCAGTCGCAACAATTCGAACATGATCGAGACGGGGGACAAGGTTCATACCAGTGACTACATCGGCAAGCTAGAGAGATATTCCATTAGTACAAAGCAAGTACAAGTTCTGAGCATCCGCTCCAAGTCAAAGGTTCAGGGTACGATTGTCAGAGGGAAATGACAATGGAGGGGTAATGTTGAAGCTTTCTGCACGAGGATAAAGACCATACCTCGCCGGGAGGAGCACCCTCAATGAATGATGATACGAGTTCAATGGTTGAAGCCATGTTATATCAACACAGATGACGGACACTGGAAAGTTGCAGGAGATACGGGGTTGTTCGGAGGACAGTCGGATGTTTACTTGGAGCGGAGGACCCGTTGGAGCTGTCGGGAGCGGAGGGGATCCGCACGTGTTTCTGGCGGCTGGGATTTCTCCGCGTGGCTTGGCACGGCGTGCTTATCTGGCACTGCTGAACAGCATCATACTTGACAACATTCGCAAATAAGAGGCCACTTTGTAGTACACACGAAGATCGTGCAATACTTGCGAGACTATCTGAAAGATCATTAATGTGGTGGCTCAGGCACATCCTCTCAACGACTGCCTCGAAGACTGTTACAGAGTCTGTCGGCTGGGGTCCATCTGGTGTTCCACATGAAGTTGCGGTGGTCGTAGGAATAAGACTTGCTCGAAATACCCGAGTCGATTCAGAATAATTCATCACTCCGCAGCCGCGAAGAAAGAGTAAACAATGATAAGCTAATGTATCATAAGAGGTGATGAGTGATGAAATGTACACCCTTGACATTTCCGAACACTCCAACACCATGCAGAAAGAATACCAAGTCCAGCCCGGAAACTAACACTAATCTCACAAATGATGCCGCTCATACTTCATCAACAATGACGTGTAACAAATATGAAGACGCCATTTTCCAATTACTCGGGTGCGTCATGCCCTTAACTCACTCAATGCTCATGTTCATAAATCCATCACTGGCTTCAGTCATGCCCTGCAAGCCCACACGCTTCGTCGACCCTGCATGGAAGCTGGTTCGATTGGCATTGGGCGTGGTTGCAGTACCTGCCACGCCGCTGTTGCCGTTGCCATTGACTTGGTCCCCGATTGAACGTTCTGAAAAGGGCGGGCCAAGCTTAGTCGGAGGACCCCAGATATTGGGAGCGTTGGTGTCAATCGTTGACGAGTGTGTCAAGACAGGACTTCCTTGTGCGCTCACGCTGGGCGAGACCGCCCGTCTTTTGAAGAGGTTTGGATCCAGATCATCATCTCGGCGGCGTTTGCGACAGATCTCGCCAATCGCAGTCACTCCCGAGGCATACGGGGTTGAAGATTGGGAACGCTGCTTGGAGTCGGCTGCGGAGCCTAAGGTGGTGGAGGGCGTCATGTCCATTGGGATGTCATCATCCGCAGGGAACGCCGATTGTCGGCTAGGGGGCGGGGTGCGATAACGTCCATCCATGGAGTTCCAAAAATCGACTCCACCAGAGTTTTGACTCGCATGCTTACTGAAACTGTTGGCCGGCGCCGTTGACGTGCCGGGCTTCGCGGCGGCATCGATAGTGTCCATATCGAACGCGCCCGCTCCTGGCTGCGGGGGACCAGGCGATGGGACCGCACGCAACGTAGGGGAGGTGTCGGGTTCAGTGTCACGGACCTGCCGGATAACCTCTGCTTCGCGCTTCATATCACTATCGACTGGGGCGCCTTCTTCCATCAAGGCAGCCCGAATCCGTGCAAAGGTCTTTGTTTTAGGCTAGTAGATATAGCGAACATTAGTGAGCATAAGCGGGTGGATTGGAGTGCATATGTCCGAGGGCTTAGCATAGGGAATTGACTCACCAAAAGACTCCCACGACGTGTCACTGCTCTTCGAATCACGCCTAACGGGCCACCCTCCGGATGTGAGCCGCTAAGAGGACTGCCGCCTCGAAGCCCACGGTTCTCGCCATCATCGCTGAGATCCGACAGTCGCAGATCCCGAGTGCCCAGACTAAGAGACTCCCGACGAGCATTGATAGAGTGCCGGGGTGCAAAATACCCAGCTCCCGGGTTTTCCACGCTTTTCATCACCGGAGGAGAATGAGGCCCAGGACTGGGCTTGGAGCTGTTCCCACTGGCACTGCTTGAACTGTGGCGACTGCGGCCCTTGTGAATGCGGGCGCGCTGGAAGCTCATGAGACTTGCCGTGGCCTGTGAGTAATTGCCCATCCATTCGTTGCCCGGGCTGTGAGTAGGTCCGGTTGCAAAAAGGCTAGACGCGGCGCTCATCCTCGCCGCCTGCGGCGTGCTCAGCATCATGTCGTCGCGATCCCCCATCATGGCATCCTCGTCGTCCTCACTACTACTGGTGTCCGATTCCAACATGTTCACACTTGAGACCGAACTTGAGATTCCGGTGCGGTCTGCGGGGCCCGAGGCCGAGAAAGGCGGCCCAGAAGTCAAACCTGGGGAGCTGCGCCGCTGCGGAATCATCATACCTCGCCCCCCAACAGTAGGGGAGGACTCAGGAGATGATTGTGCAAGAGTTGAGTGGTGTAGGTTGGTACACGCGCGTGAGAAATCAAGGCCGCGCGAGCGGCGTGGCAGGACCGAGCCAGGCGATCCATATGCAGCCTGGGTAGGGTCGAGTTTGGGCGAAAGGGGTGCACGACTTGCAACGGTTGGGGACACGCCAGCTCTGGAGTTGAGATGCAATGAGAAGTTTGGCTGGTGCATTGTCGACCTACTCGGCGTTGCTGGTACCGATGGGATGGCGCTGTCGTCCTTACTCGGAGGTCGATTTAAGTCCCCCGAAGAGGGTTGCGCCAGAGCTGTCGGACGAGAGACATCGGAGAGAGAGCGTGCTTTAGGTGACCGTGGCATATATTCGTGTGATATTGTGACATTGTCTGGTTGACTTTGGGATTGCGATAGTTGCTGGCTGAGCTTGCTTTCGAACGCGCGCGCAGAGAGGAGCGGCGCCCGGGAACCGTAGGCCGTACTTGCGCCATTCTCCCAGACTTAGTTTGTTGTTTGCTTGGGGGAGCGCATTTTCAGCACGGATACAGCTTCAGCAATCACAATGAGATAGAAAGAAAGAGACGCGAGCACCACCAATGTCAAGTGGGGAAAGTCTGCTTGAGCAAGATGGTTGAATCTTCCTGTCGATGGATCTACGCTTGGGGCCCGACTGTTGGCGCTGTGCTAATCCGGAAGCGGAGAAAGGGCCCCCGCCCGTTGCGTCAAGGCTGGAATTCCCGCTGAAGGCTGGGAGACTGCCTTATCGTGTCATTGTCACCGTAGTCAAAGACTTTGGAGCACAGACCTGAGCTTTACTACAGGATTGTATGTTAGGTTCAGGTTTGGACATAGCACGGTCAATTAACAAGATGGCAATTCTAGAAGAGAGCTGGCTAAGGACGTGCCGTCGTATAATAGCTGATCATTCCTGGATCAATAGATCAAACGCAAGCAAACGGTGCGATTGTGGATCTTTAAGCTCCCTGTAGATTTGATCAATGTCGGGCAGTAGGTGGTCCACCACGGTATCTTAAAATCAGTATAAGCTCATTCGCCAAATTGTTGATTGCACAGGACACACTACATCTGGCGTTTATTATTGCGGCGTCTAATGTTTGAATCCACGTTCGATGGTCAGACAGACCTCACAAGGTCCCGTGGCACACACTACCTACCAGGTAGGTAAGTAGAACCATGTAGTTAACTACTTGAGGAGTGTAGCTGAGAACATCCATGGCAGAAATTCCGGGACCATAACCTTGTTGGAGGACTATGATAAATATGTAGGGAATGGCAGTTCTCGTAGAATGTAGATGATGGTATAGAAGCCACATAGACCCATGGGTCAGAGGTCACTCCATAGTCCATTGTATATCTCGGCTTGTAGTGTTCCCTGCTCACACAGAGAATGGACTTTGAAGCAACGCTCGCACAAAGGCTCTGCCTAGGAGAATGTACAGGGAACGTGGATATTATCAAGATGTCAGACTAGCCCTCCCCCAAACAAATCCATCATTGAGGGCTCTCGATCAGCAAAGGGACAAGGCTAAGCTAGACTCATAGACGAACTAACTGGAGCCACATATCTGTCCCAATCGTTCACTTCAGACTTGGGAGGTTTTAGAAGATCCTGATCACGAGCCTGCCAAACTTCAATGATGACACCCCGGGTTCGGGACACATTCGATATGCTTGAATCGGCCATCGCATCCAACGCCCGCAGAATAACAGAGCGCCCAGACACGCCCGGACCGTCGGATTCCAGATAGAGCTCATCCCGGGAAGGATCGAGTTCTACGCCCGCCACAAATATTGGCCACATCACATTCGCCATGGACCCGAAGTCGAGTAGACTCGAGACCAGGCAGAGGATCTGGTGGACATAGTCAACCACAACGGCGGTTGACGGGGCTGCTCCATGCAGAGCACAGTGTAAATACAGCAACGCAGCAAGTCGCTTCGCTTCGGCTACACAGCTCAGTATATTATCATCTCCGCCCTCAACCTCCTGCACAAGATGCTCCAGTTGACGCTGAAGCGATGCTGCACGGCTCAAAAAGAGCGGCGTCGTCTGAATGGACCCAGACAGTCGCCTTGCCCGACTCATTTCTGTGATCATGGAGAGAATGCCGGCTAGTTCAGTGCTACAGCCCATCCAGAGATCAATCTTCTGGTCCCGGGAGCTCCAATAGTCATTCCCAAACACGATCGCTTCGCCACAGGCAGTGCGGCCCATAACATCCTGGAACGCAAAGAAGCGCTCTGCGAGACGAGTCACGGGGTCAGAAGGCGTACCCACTCGCTCCCTACGCAAGCGAATCAGATCCTTGGCACCTTTCAGATGGACGGTCCACCGCTCGTCACATTTGTCCATGATTTCATACAGACAAAGCATCATCATGATCAACAAAATTTCTGGGTCGGTGTAGCTCTTGACAAGCTCCTGGGAAGCCAGACGCCGCCGCAGATCACGCAGAGTTTCCGTTTTCAGGCGAAGTCCAACCGTGCTGTATTTGGGATCGCGCTGGGCCCAATGACAGGCAGAGAGTGCCTCAATGGCCTTGAACAAGGTGGGTGTTGCTGACGTGCTGAAAGGCAAAACCACCGAGGCGAAGGGCGAGGACGAGGAGGGGCTAGCTGTCGCACGGGGGCACAGTTGACGAAAAAAGTAATCAAAGAGCTCTGGATTTTCGAGGCCCAACCGTCCCGGGAAAGCTGAGGGTGCGCTGCTAGGGCCAAGATTCCACGCACCAACGGGCATTACCTTCGCACGGCTTTTGATGCGAGGGTCAATGGCACGCTGCCGATTCAGATTGACGTCAAATCGGCGTCGATCTTCAAATGAAGCCATTCCAGTGTTGATAAAGGCCCACGACTCCACGCCAGGCAAGGAACACCATTGCCGCGTATCGTCCACCGATGAGCCAGGGGAGGAACCGGCGGAGGTAGCGGTCGAGCTCGGCGACGAGTCGCTTCGATTCTTACTCCATACTCCAGTGCGACCAAAGGCCATCCCACGGCTGACAAACTCGGATTCCCATTTCAGGACAAGGTTGGTCGAACATGGTAGGCCTTTCTCCCGACAGCGCGTGCAGATGGGCCTTTGGGCATCGCATCTGACACGACTCGCTCGGCATTCTCGACAGCCGCTGCGCGACCGGGTTTTCACCTGGCCCGCACGGTCGGCGGCTTTTCTGCGTGGCATATAGGAATAGTGCGCTGGTCAAGCGTCGTCACATCGTCTGCTCAGAGGACCCTATTCGAGGATCCATTGGATGGTGTTGAATGATCTAGGAATGTCGTGCTAGATTGCGTTCAGGAAGCCCACTATGCGGCCGATCTGTGGAATACGTAAGAATAGGTGATTCGAGTCGATAGCGCGTCAATTCCCGTACGAGATAATGGGTGGAAAAATGAATTTAGGTGGCGTCGCATTGCGGACCGTTAAAATTATTGCGACCCCGCAACCTGCCGTTCGGGCGGGAGAAATCAGCCCGGGGGGGGGGGGGGGGGGAGGCTATGATGTGGAATGTGTGGATTTGTCAGAAAACCGCGGGCTCCCATCCCATCTTGAACTTTGGATCGGACCCTCTCCGATGCGTTGGAGGCAACATTCTCGTTGATAACCGTAAGCTAAGGGCAAGGGCCGTTGAGGCTGACTGGCCCTTGGAATGAGAAACGCTTCGTGGACATAGCTGTTCGAAAGGACTCCCGAGATCGTAAGAAGACAAGGAGTGAGACGCGCGGTGCCTATTAACTCATCAAAAATCCTACAAAAGAAATCTCGAAACATGTTCAGGCAGATCGTTCAAAGCCAACCTGAAAATGACGACTATGACGGTTTGATATGATACAAAGAGGAGATATGAACAAGAAATGGGCCAACCAGCGTCGCAGGCTATCGAAGAGCTCTTGGGCAATGCTCTTCCTGCGAGGCAAGGCACGTGGCGTGGCGCGTTTGCAGTACTTAGATCAGCATGATATACAACGCTTCAGCTCGATGCCTGCTCTTCATCATTCAGCTTGCTGAATCCATCAGACCCGGGAAGATCAGCTTTGTCGTGAGGGCAGTCGCATTGTGTCGAGCGTAGAGGTGGGTAGTAACGACGATACGAGAACCAGCTGATCAGCATTCCTAAAGAGCCTCCACACGTTACATCCCAAACGTCATGACGATAGTCATCCAGACGCGATATGGCAATAAGAGCGGCACACAGAAGTGGAAAGAAGGCCACGAGACATCGGGCAAGATCGGTTCGTGGTCGAAGAACATGCATCTGGCCACATAGGAAGCTTTGGATAGAATCATAGTCAGCGGATGAACTGATTTGAATCCATAGCAATGCGATGTGATCTCACAGTGTAAGGAAGCCTAGGCCACTAAAAGCAAAGCTGCTATGACCACTGGGAAAGCTACGCCAGCCTTCTTGGAGGATGTGTTCATTCGACTCCGTACAAACAGTCCATGCGACCAGCGTATTGGCTGCCGTCCCTCGAGACGGTTTACATCGCGAGAGGAGGTCAGGGCGAGGTCGACCCGCCGCATTCTTGATCACATCGGTTAGAAAGCAAGTGAGCATCAGTGCGACCAAGAGTCCCAGCATAGTGACCTGTGTTTTATGAACTCCAGGTTGCAGTGTTGCCGACCAAATCAGAATGACGAGGAAGGGAATCACGCCAGCGTACAGGACGCACATGCCTGTAAGTATTCGATGAGCATTCTCCTTGTCAAATTGTCGGGAGAGATGGGACTACGCACCAACCGGTACCCGTTCGTGAACTGCGAATGGGTATTGTATGGCTCGATTGTCAAGCGAGAACATGCGATGGAACGGATGAATGAAGATTTGAATCTAGACGAGCAAAACTGGTCAGCCAGGTTCTTGCGAGATACGTCATGAAGATATCAATCGCCTGACCATAAGCCATCCTGTCGCCAGAAATGCCAGGGCCATATAGTCGGCCGCATAGGAGCGATGGTAGAAGCGAGCGGCCGCTCCTACTAAGCCGACACGATGGAGTATGGGCTGCGATGAAGCAGATGAGCGGCTAGAAGGCATCCTGTCCACACGATTCTACCTCAAACCCTCGGTTGCTATAGCTCAAGTGCCTATCATGAGGCTGAATCGGATCAGTGACAGCGTGAAAGGAGCAGGGGAGAGCAGAGATGTGTCTGTGAGAAAGCATTCAGGATAGCCAAAAGCATGACGGGCTACACACCCCAAAGATACCCGGCGCGGTAGGCGATTGCCCGCAAAGCACGGACCCGCTCGCGTGGGTCCGCTTGTCTTAAACATCTTCATCACCTTTCTCCGCGCCTCTTTGCTGAATACAACGCTGAGTTCTAGCGTCCGTCTTTCCTCCTTCACCATCCCTACACTATTCTCATTTCCTACAGCCTTTGAATCCCCAGGCTGTTACTACCGAGGGACTTCTGCGACTTGTGACACACCTCTAAGAGCCATGGCGGAGGCACCCGAGCAACGGGCTGTTGCGACTGCATTCGCGCCTCCACCGCCCCTGTGGAAGTACTTCACCCAAGACAATATTGACGCACTCGAGACTATCAAGAAAGAAGCGTTGAAGAAGAACGGGGATGAGGCTAGAATAGGCAAGCACTGGTTGCCCGCAGAGTTGCGCTCTCTTGACGTCCCGCCAGAGCTGCGCTTCTTGATACCCCCCGAGCTTCCCACTGAGGAATATACCGTGTTTGGGGAATCACAAACCGTAGGTTCCATGCTGCCCTGATTATGTCTCTCTTATTCTAAGCAACTCTGACACGGGAATCCTCAAAGCTTTCAACTACACTACCGTCATTGAAGGAACAAGGAATCGAGCAGCTGTACCCCGAGCCCGGAAGTGACACCGACCAAGCTTCTTCCCAACCCAATCAACCCCTGAACCATGCCTATTATCTACTCAAGATCAGCAAATCTCTATTGCTGAATTTTCTCGAATTCGTCGGCATTCTCTCAGTATCCCCCGAACAATACGAATCCAAGGTCGAGGATTTACGGAATCTCTTTATCAATGCACATCACCTGTTGAATCTGTACCGCCCTCATCAAGCACGTGAATCACTCATCATGATGATGGAAGAGCAGCTCAAACGCACAAGAGAGGAGATCACAAAAATGGATGAGGTCAAATCGGATATAGAGAATCTGATGGATCAACTGGAGGCGGAGGGCCAACAGCTCAATCGCAAAGAGAGGCTTGAAGATACTGCCGAATCGACGCCAAAGCCTGACACAATATCCGACGATACAAAATTGGTATGGCGTCTTCTGGGAAGGGTGGATTGAGCAGGCTGTGGAGGAAGATCTTCTCAACTGTATCCAATCCCGAGCTAAGATTGGCCCTGATACCCACCAAAGCTCTTCCTTTTGTGGAGAGTCGTCTTAAGACGTATACAAAACTCGCCGATAGGGCTCGATTCTTGCATGTGATGCTGCTCAGTTTACCCTTGGCGAGGCTGCACTAGGCTTGCTATATCTGACACCGGCACAAAGTTGAGAGGTCTTTAGGATGACGCCGGCCAGGTAACAGCATGATACAACAGCAGACGACATGCGGGATGTGGCCTTTGTCAAAACGACCACTCTTCATACAGGATTACCAAGCGATAAGCTCACCTCACGCTTCATGGCAACCAAACCTCGGTGCTTCGCGAAATCACAATGCAGGTCCTGAAAGCCAAGGTAATCCTAAATGTCGATACTCTTATGCCCTGACAGACTTGGATGTCTTCTACGGACTAGCTTATTGTTGAGTTCAATTCTTTACAGGGGTTGCAAGTTCATGATCATTCAGCTCTGCAATCTCGCAAGCCCATATTTAATTCAACTGAATTTCCGCCCCCGGGTCAACAAAAATACCAGACTATTAGTTCTCATTACTCACAGGTTGAACTGTTGTTCGACTCCCGAGTCAGATCCGACTCGCTCATCTAAGATCGGCGGACCGGCCCGTCTCTTTACCCGAGTCACATGATCCACGGCTTTTTAAGGCGGAATTTCATCGCAACCTGCAGGTTCGGTTATTAACTTCCAGGTGCCTCAGCACCGGCGACATCATGCGCAAACTCCGTAGACGGTAAGTCCACTTTGAATCCCTCGTCGAGCATATCTCTATCCATCTTCGAAGATGATCGATGCTTTATTTTATGTTTCAACCCCATCTGAAAGCACTATTCTTACCTCTTGTGCTCTCTGATGACAACGCGCATCTACAATCTGAGACAAGCATTCACATATAATTCAGCCCCAAGCTGAATTCGTGTCATGCTCTTATCTTATTGTCATGGCTTTTGCTCTCCGTTTCTATTGACCCAGAGAATGATGCTAATTATGACTTGAAGACTCTATTAGCCCGATCAACCCGACGCTTATGAGACCTGCAGATTGGATCCGGGGGTTACAATTTCAGACAGAGTAGATGTAAACTCAAATGTCTAGCTCAAAGAACATGATGCTTGTTTTGAAATCTCTTGGGCTTACATGCCCCAGTTTAAAAGAGTAGTTGTAATTTTCTCCTACGAGTAAATCAAAGTACCTTGGTGCGAGCTCTCTACTCCACTGGGAATGATAGCAAAATAGTATCTCACCCGGGCAGAGCATGTGTTGTCTGAGCGCTTCCATGAGGTGATTGGATGGTATGTCTTGACTCCTTGAGTATTGTCCGAGGTCTGCGCACATTGAGTGGCATGATCATTCTCAGTATCTAGTCTACTTCAACCATCCAACGGGGGCATACACTATGTACATACTGCGCGCTCACCAAATGGGCAGACAAGTCTGCTTTCATTGCGTGTCCATTGAAATGGTCGAAGTTCAACGTGCTCTTTCTTGCAGTGTCAGGTTTCCCAGCCGCGGTGTAGAGACGTGTTCCTGCCATGCCTTCTCAATGGCGCACTCTGCTAATCGCTTTAGCTCCCCTACATAGTCAGCGATCAATTTCATATGCTCAATGTCATTTTCAGAGTTGGCGTTGGAGAAAAGACGCGCCAGCATAGATGTCGCCGTCTTCAGGTGGTCCAAATCACCCCGTGAGCGAGGATCGAGTGGATTCTGAAGGATGCTGCAGAAGATGGTGAGAAGGGCGGAAAGAGGATAGAAGATCAGTATCCTAAGGTTCCACCAAGTCTCAGTCAGTCGTTTTGGAAGACTAATTGAAACTTCCTTTTCCATGGAAAAACGGTCAGGGCTGTCTGCCAGCCGAGGAAGTGCTTACCAGATGGCTTCTTGAGACAGGACATGCTCAGCCGCTTCCATATAACAGAGTGTAGATCGACTCGCTTCGACAGAGAGCGCAAGGCTGGAGCTCACACCCTCTATCAACCCGCTACCTTGCATCCAGGCTTTACAGCGACTGCTCGCTTGATGTATGATACTCATGCACAAGTAATAGTTTACTCGCAACATGACCGAGTGCATACTCATGTTGGAATCGGACGTCTCTTGAGAAAAGGACATTGTCGGGCGCCATTCAGACGGGATGGATAAGCGCCATGCCTCGAGATCGTCATCCAATTCACGAATGGACTTGAGTAGTTCGGCATCCGTCTTCTGCAAGGCGCTGAAAGAGTACAGCTCGTTGTAAGCCCGGGATTTGATGAGACTCAATCGAAGTTCATATGGAAAGACGGGTTCCACGTCGAAACTGTCATCTCGTTCGGGATTCAGGGCTGCGCGATTCATGTACCCTTCTGGCAAGGTCAAGTCGCAATTCTGGTCGGTAAGCACGGGCGGTTCACCTGTGCGAAGGGCGATGTCCTTGTCAACGGCGTAGCAAACCCAAAATACATTTCGTAATTGCTTGTGACGTTTCTCACTGCGATCGGATGACGGTGTAAGGTGGTCCTGGGAAAGGTGTGCACCAAGCATGAATATTTGTCTTGACGCGAGTGCCGTCAAGAAACTGGCGAGACGCATGTTGCCAGAGCAGAGCTCGTAAAGGATCTACGGAATGAATTGCGAGTAAGACCGCCATCAGCCTCTGACGGGCCAACGGGAAAGAAGCTCCCATGCGCTCACAAGACACATCGAAAAGCAAAATCAGGGTGGAAAGGATGTTTGCGGTGAATCTCACCAGAATGGTCGTCGCCTGCAGCGAGTCCAATGTGGCAGCGGCGTGCAAGATTTGAGTTATGAGAGATCGAGCCTTGAAGGTCAATATCTCATGGTCTACTGGAATTTCCAGTCTCAAGTCGTTGATCATGGGGACGCGACTGATGAAGGCGAGGAATGCTAAGACACACGCCCGACTGCCCATCTGCCGGGAACTGTTCTGATAATCTTGATATGCGATGTGCATAGTGACCTCGAAGAAGTCAGGATCAATCACTGGAAAGACACGTCGCATAACAGCGGTCTTCTTGTACGCCTCGAGATACGTCCGTACGATTCGTCTCTCAGGCAGCTCGAGCAGGTTTTGGTTCGTCAAACTCGTCAACAAGACCCCATTGATCTGATCGCGTTCCCGCTCCCAGGGTGGGTGCGCAGAACTGAGCTTTTCGTGTGCAAGGACCTGTCCGGTGCGCGATTGAATCCAATCCTGACCTTCCGGCAGAAGAAAGGGGATGCCCGTGAGCAGACTGATTACCCCAAGCTCTCGGCCTGCAAAATGGACACCCACGGAATGGGAGAACTGAGGGCCATTCGTGCCAGAGTTGCTCGGAGAGGGACTCGGTGTGATCATATCATCCAGAGCTTCCCCCAATTCGGCTCTGTGGTCGTCGTCTGGTTCACTGTCAGTTCATAGACCAGGACGGTCGACTTGTCCAAGCAATCCATGTCGTCAACGAGAGACTGTGTCCGGAACGGACAGTCGAAAGAGTCCCCCGACTCCAATCTCATCTTCAAAGAGCTTACCCGGGCGGTCTGAGCCTCCTAACAGATTGTTGCTGGCAAGAAGCTGTTCAATGCGGCTGATACGCTCGGATAGTCGAGCGGCTCGTGGCCGACTGAGTGGGGTTCCATTAGTCGAACGGGGCCATGGAGCCTACGTAATGAAGCAACCAGATAGAATCGACTTACCCGGCCTCGTCCTGAATTTTGCGCTTGCGCTGAGTTACTCGGTCGAATGTGCAGGGGAGACCATGGTGGCCACACCAGTTGCACTTGGGTTTGGCGGCATCGCATTTGATCTAGAGCATGCAGGGGATTAATGGCCACGTTCAAGATGCCATCGTAGCTGTACCTTCTACGAGACAGCGAAGGCTAGCCATGCGGTGGGAAGGTATCGATACCTTGCGCTTGTAGCAGGAATCACAGGCACGCGCTGTACGCTTGGAGGTGCCATCGTTTGAGGACTGCATGGCCTGCGTGGGTGGCCTGCGAGGGTGGTCGGACTTCTCTGGGCTCTCACCCGGGAAAAGGCTTGAGTGCGGGAGCTGAATACTTCTCCGGAGGAGATTCAGTGGGTCGACCGTTGCCAGTCACCTTCGAGTCAAGTACCTTTTGCAGACGAATCTCCCATTCGATTGACTTCCATCATCTCATCTGCTCCGCGGGCATCACGGCCCGGGGCAGCCTGGCGCTGAGTAAGCGATCTGGAACCGCGCCCACCTCGGGCTCCGCTTAATCCGACCGGCGACCGTCGATCTGCGCCGGTCAGTCATGGACGCTGTGAGGTCTCGAGCAGGCGATTGATAACGTTATTGTCATCACAGATTTACCTGAATCGTCTGTGACCCGTGTTCGAGACTTCACCCGAGATACCACCTATTGAACGCGGGTGAAGGAAATATTTATCAGCTACCGGGGCCTTGTATTACCTCCAATCAAAACGATTATATTCGGCAAGCTCAAATGCGCAATGATCAAGTACTGGAACCACAAACAAGGAGACAATGAGAAGAGCGACAGGGGCTGCTGGACCAGGTATCCTCAACAGCTATATGTATATGATAGCGCCACCGGTAGTCTGGCAGATGCTGCAAAAATGGATAGCATGTCAGGTCGTAGAAGAGCAAAGGCAACCGAAAACAGTACCAAGGTTGCCCCAACTAGGCGATCGCGACAGTTCAAGAATGATCTACATCACTGTGCAGATGCAGCAGTCACACTCTTCACCACCACAGTCGCACCCAAAGCATGGCTTCGTCACTGGCTTGATCGGCTTCTTGATGGAACTGCTCGAGCTGGACGAGTCGAGGACCCAATTGACGGGCGAGACGGCAGAATTACGCGAGAGCATGTCGAGAGATTCGAGAGTGAAGGTAATCGAATGGTGAGTAGGAAGCTGAAGGTTATGATTTGGATAGAGAGTTGGAGTGTCCTAGGCTACGCACGAGATCAATTAAAGGGCTCTGAGTTCCGTGGTTTGTCCATAATCTGAATTTGGTCCAACACGGTGAGGTGAACCACAAATCTTACCTTGAGCTGGACAGCTTCAGCTTGTGATGGAGCTGTGAGCCTTTTGGGAGACAAAAGCAAAGATTGATACGGTCGAAGTGGCTCTGAGGTGCACGGAAATGTAAAGGAGAGATGCTTGGGCTTCGATGCAAAGCTCAATTGAGTGCACTACTTCATCAACCGAGGAGGACAGGACTCCAAAGACGTGTTTGGGGAGAGAGTCCATGGCCGCCGATGACGCAATGGGCAGGGAGCGGTCGCAGAAGCCGCAGCAGGTTAGGCAGCCAACCAGCCCTCCACAGTTCCTGGCGGGACTGTCTTATCAGATCAACTTCCGCCATCCTGTCAGTAGCTTTGATCATAGCACCGGCCAGATTGTCTGTATAGGGGTCTACATTCCACGTTGAGTGGCGCTATCCCCAACAAGAATCCGGTTTCACTGCCCACCAGGAATTTACAAGAAGCAACGGGATTGTAGAAATGGTGAATCACAGAGATTCGTCGTCAGTCAATTCGAAGTATATACACAGCAACAACTTTTGGTAGATTCATCACTCATCGCAAGGGAGGTCTTCGCCAAGACGGGGGTATCTTCTAGTCATCTTGGGGCGAGTCCAGGTCATCGATCTATCACATTACGCATTCTCTGGCTCAAGAGAGGTCATCAAAAATTTTTTCTCCATCACCGAGCAGCCTCACAGCTGCTCGGCCCAAGGAGCAGCGCCAGGCTGCATCTGGTTCAACCACTTGACCAGCTCAATGAGCTCAGCGCGACGTTCATCATCAAGCTGGTCATCATCGCCAGTCAGGACGGCCTGGAACACAGGGAGCAGACGCGGGGTCAGTTCCCGAATGGTAGGGTCCTCAGCCTTGTCTATAAGAGAGGGCGACATGTCAGTATTATATTATCTTGGAAAAATTGAAAGGCGAGACTTCAGGGAGGAGCGGACACGTACACATTTGGCAGATCATACGGTAGAGGGGGTCGTTCTCCTCAAAGTCGTTCTTCAGCGGCAGAATGTTCACCAGAACAGGCAGAACATCCTTAGTAGGAACGTGCTCACGATGACGCAAAATCATGCGAGACACACACCCAGTAGCATTATCCTGTAGACGAGAGACGTTCATCTGGAGGCAGGACTCAAGGTGTCCGAAGATGGTGGGGAAGGCCTTCACGATCTCAGCATCTGCGTTGGACCGCTCAACAAGACGACCGACAGCATAGGCGGCGTTGGAGCGAGTCTGAGTATCCTCATCACCCAGACGGTGCAGGAGGAGCTTGAGGAAAGATCCAGTGAATGGAGTCACAGCGGCACCCATACCGTTGGTGCACTCGGCGAGAACACCGACGGCTGTGGCACGCTCCAGAGACTCGGTGCTGCTGGCATAACGAAGGATGGTCTTCTCAAAGACCTTCCAAAGCTCGGCGAAGCTTTCTCCGAGAGCGGCAGCCATGCCAGACACAACGTCCAAGGCGGTGTCGACCACAACCCAGTCAAACTCAGAGGTTTCTTCACCGGCCTCCAGGGTCTCTTCCTCAGGTCCAAACTCCATCTGGCAAGGGTGCTGCTTGGTGATGATGTCGGTCACCATCTGGATGACATTGTGCAAGACAGTCTCGTTGGCGATCAAGGAGGGACCGCAGTAGCGAAGGTTCTCAGCCATGTTGCGGTTGATATCGGCGACGGTAGCACTGTGGGGAGTTCCAGTTAGTTATTTGAACATTCGAAGCATGGTAAGATTTCAAGCGAGTGCTCAAAGCCCCAGGCAATGGTGGTTGCCATTTGTCAGATACAGAATCGCCGTTCACATCAATCACACTCTTTGGTGTGTCAAAGTGAGCTGGGTTAAGCGGATAATATCATCATGTAATGGGCAAACCAACGAGAGGCACAAAACACGAGTGGCAAAACAGAAGGTACATACCGGTCATCTTCCTCCGCCCACATCTTAATGGTGGCGGTCATCAGGATCTCACCAAACTTCTGAACCTCCTTCGCAGGCTGCACCTGGAGGGGCAAGCCAGGCTGCCACTTGGGCATCTGACCGCTCTCTTCCGCGATAGCGAAGAGCATCGCGTAGGAGCGGTGGAGAGTGCTGATGGTGCTTCGACGAACGCCCTCATAAGGATGCTCAGCGAGAGGCATCACGGTCTCAATGGTCTTCTCGAAGTAGGGTAAGAAAGAGCTGCGAGTGTGGGTGACCAGGTCACCAATTACCTCGATAGCAATTTCCTTTTCAAGGGACAAAGGAGTGGTGGCAGTGATGTCGTCCCAGGCATCATCGTCATCCTCATCAAAGTCGACATCCTCAATGTCACCATCAAGCTCGTCGTCGTCATCAGCACTGGCGACCTTGACCTTGCGACCAGCAACGGTGACTTCCTGTCCGATGAGATCCTTGGCAGCAGCACCAAGGTCAAGCTCCAGGTCGTCCTCATCCTGTTCGATGCAGTCGAAGAGACCCTTGACGACACCATCGAGGAATGGAGAGAACTGTTCGGAGTATACCTTGGCCATAGCACCCCAGAAGATATAGGTGCTCTCCTTCAGACGGGAGTGGCCAAGGTGGAGGGCTTCCTCCGTGGCGCGCATCAGAGGCTCGACATAGGGCTGGTAACGCTCAGGACCAGCGGCAGCCGCCATCTCACCCATGGCGTCAGTCACACTGGCGCGGAGGTCAAGCTCTTCCTCACTATCCTTGACGGCAGCAAACTCCTGGAGAAGATGCATAGACTCGTCGAAGAAAGAGAGGAAGGAATCACCGGCGGAAGAAGCGAGCGAGCCGAGGGCACCAGCCGCCAGACCCTTGATCTTGAAGTCGGGGTGCTTGAAGAGCTCGTGCAGAATAGGCACAAGCTCAGCCTGGTAGGGGGCAACGTCTTTCTCATCAAGGCCGTCGACGACGGCGTCGATGGCACTGATACCGGCCTTCATAATGTCCATGATGGGGCCATCCTCCTCACCCTTGTATTCCTGCATAGCGCTGGCCAGGTTCTTGAAGAGCAAGGGCATAAGACGCTCGTGCTCGGCGGTGAGATCCTCAGCGAGGTCATCAGCCAAGCGGGCGACTGCGTGCAGAGATGCCTGACGGACCTTAGGCTCGGGATCCGCAAGAAGCTGGAGAACCATGGGGAATATCTCCCTCATTTGGGTGCTAATGAAGTCAGGAGCACCCTCAACGCACATACCGAGGGCCATGATACCCGCACGGCGGTAGTTGGGGTCGGGGTTGTTGAAGTATTGGCCAAGAGTTTGAAGCAGGGGCACAACAACCTGGCTGGGAGGAAGACTCTGGGCAAGGATGTCCAGAAGGCCAAGAGCAGACCGAGGAGGGGTAATATCGTCATCGTCGGCAGGGGCCTCATCGAGCTCTGTGACAATTTGCAGAGCGGTGCGAGTCAGCTGCTCACCCAGACGCATGCCTTGAATCTTCAGCTTGCGATACTGGACACACTGCATCAAGAAGCTGATGGCCTGTGTGCGAACATCCTCGTCAGCCTGAGTGTTGGCGGCGATCTCGTTCATGAAGATGACGAGGTCTTTCAGGTGGATGGTCAGAAGGGCCGGGTCCAAGCTGAGCACGGTCTGGAAGACCTCGAAGGCCTGCATGATGCGGTCCTCCTCTGACTGATCAATGGCATCTTTGAGGACAGCAACCATGGAGGGAACCATCTCTTGGAAGGCCTTGACGGGCGCTGGGTTTTCCTCGGAATCGAGGTGGTAGGCGAGCTTGCTGAGAGCCAGCAAGGTGTTGATGCGAACCTCGGCGCTCTCAGGATCCTGAATCGTCTTGCGGAACAAGGTGAACAGGTCTTGAAACTTCTCCTCGAAACTCTCGCCGAGGGTCTCCAGGATGGTGAACAGGATGTAGATGGCAACTGCCCTCTCGTCCTGGTTACCGCCCGCGGCAGCCTGCAGAAGAATGTTCGGCAACTCCGGCCAGTCCCCGTCTTGCAAATCGATCTTAGCAATAGCGGAGATGATCCGAGCAACGGAGTGACGGACGAGAGCCGAGCTCTCGCCCATGGTAGAATGAAGCAGCTGCTCACGGACCTGGGGCTTCTGAGCCGCGGGAACCTTCAGCCAGTGCTTTTGCACAAGAGAACGAGCCTCGACAGCGGCCAGCTGACGGAGGTTGGGGTCCTCATGGCCAGTCGCAACCTGGGTCAAGATGACCAGAGATTGCGGCTTGCTATAAAACTCTTTCTGCAGAATGCCAGTGGCCTCCTTGACGTTTCCCTGGGAAGCTATACGACAAAAAAAAGTTAGAAAGGGAAGACATGGGCAGTCATAGATGCTCGAGGTGCCCACATACGATCAAGGACAATCTGCAATTGCTGCAGAAAGCGTTGCTGATCCATGGCTATGGAAATGTGATGAAAAACGTGTACAAAAAGAAAGTAAGGTAGATTCTTCTCTCCCCAAGGCAAGTGACAATATCCAGTCACCAGCCGCTGTCCCTATCTCCGGCGAGCTGGAGCGAAGGGTAGCAAATCGAGAATAAGCAACTCGTCAACACAGACAAGTGGCTTAAGGGGTATCACAAGAGCAACGAAAGCACAGAAAGAGAGTAGAAAAAGGAAAGGAAAAGAAAAATAAAAGTAGGGAGGGGATTGAGGGGTGATGAGAAGACGAAAAAAATTTTGAGGAACACGGCAGAAAAAAAAGTTTAGGGGGAGTGGGTTGGTGAGCTGCCCGATGCGGTTTAGCGCCCAATCCACCACACTCACGTAGATGGTTGCTGTTCACGAAAATCCATGATTCACATAAATTATTCATATGAATACCATTCGAGGCCGGTCAAAAAAGCATATACTACAACAAAGCTGGCATCATAATACTACCTTATTTCGTTAGGTATGAACCGTGCAGACATGCGTAGGGGCTATGGATTGTGCTCCAGCTCTGTAGATGTGCGGCTATTACCGAGGCCGGTTCAGTTCGGCATAAAACTTGAAAAAGTGTGGAACGCGATTCGATGGACCGCGTCCTGAATTCGGGTCATAGATAGTGAACACCGGGAGCTACCCCATGTCAACATACGAGTGATGTATTTGCCATTGGTGCCTTTCTAAGAGAGGGAAGCAGGTCCTATCCTCCATAATATTGATTCTTCGACAACAGCACAGACTATGGACCTACAACACAGCCCGGGCCTCTCATCTTACTTAACAGAGGCAACAATAGCCTGTCCCAAACGTCAGGGATCCCGAGCATAAAGAATGGGTGGATCTCGAGAATCTCGTGAAGACTCGATTTCCCACAAGAGCCCCGGAGCGCAGATATGATTCAAGGGTCCAAGGCTTGCCTATTCGAGGGAGTCTTCGTCAGGCACGACATCCGGTGTCAGATTATCAATAGCTACCTGAGTCAAGTTATCGTAGAAAAATTGGAAGCAGACAAGGAACAAGGAATTCAGTATTCATCAGAGTCGTAGCCATCATCGACCAGTAAGGAACGATAGCTTCGGGAAGCAAGATTTGCCTCGAGGCCACCATCGGCAGCAGGATCGAGATATCCTGTAAATGCTGTGTTAGTCTCGGCTTTGTCATGGAGAAGAAGACTCAATCATACCAGCTCCACCAAAGTAGCTTAGCGCCACTGGCAGGAAGATAAGCGCGTGTGCGGCAGCAAAGATGACCAAAGCTAACCACACGCGGAAATAATAGATCTCGAAGATCTTGCTTCGGGTGAAAGCCAGAACACAGACACCAAGAAGCTTTGTCATGGTAATGCCGGTGAAGACACTGCCGCCTACATTGACAAGTGCTGCCCAGGCGCGTGCATCCTTTCCACGAAATTTGGCAGGTGCCTTTTCAAGCAATGTCTGCGGAGGGAACATGAACGCGCGAGCGATGTGAGCGCAAAATTCGACACTGATTCCGACACAGATCACCAAATTGACAAGTGAAACAGCGTTTAGAGAGACTCCGGCAATGGCCATGGTGCCAATGATATCAACAACAGTCATCACAACAGTTGTGGTAATGACGGCACCTGTGGCGACGGACCCGAGAATGGTGGAGGTCAGAACAAAAATGATAGCAACGGCTGATCCCAGCAGGGTCCCCGTCAGTTGAACTATGGAGGTATATTGATCGAAGAAGATATAAAATTTGGAGTAAGGGAACACGTCGATTTTGTGCTCTCGAGAGATGTCATTAGCAATGCGGCGAGCTGCAATATAAGATTGGATGAAATCGCGTTGGTTCCGCAAAGGAGTATGACTGGTTCGAAAATGGCTGGCATTGACCATGGAGCTTGCCTTGTCGATTACCACTGCAGAGCTATAAGGCGCCTTACCCCCGAGAGGACATGAAGCGTCCGTTGGAGCATTGAGCCACTTCTCTGCGTAATGAATGAACTCGGGTCCGGTTGGCATTCCATGAAGAGTGATATTCCAAGGTGGAATGCGATCTTCGAAGCAAATCTTGTCGTTCTCTTTGCAGCAATCTTGTTGGGGATTGAGCCAGTAGAAAAAGTCGTCCACCCAGCTGGCTGCAGAGCCAGACAAGTAAGATACATTTGGTCGCCTGGATTCCTGCTCCAGGATGAATGGAAGAGAGAATTCTTCGCATGATGTGAAACGACCGCAGAGTTGTTGCTGATGAATTCGCTCGGTGACATTGACATTACGAGTCACAAAGTAGACAGGCGGACCGGTTCGAAAGTATGAATCAAGGTCGTCAAAATAGGGAATCAGATACGAATCACTAGGGAGTGCGAACCGCTGGTCTAGACCAAGAGCAACCTCCGGGATCAAGGCTATACCTGCCGTCAGAAGTCCCAGGAAAGCAATGACAATGGTCGCCTTCACGCGGCGGTCCAAGATAAAAGGAGCGTAGATGCAACGGATAAAGCTTTGCAAGGAGCTTTCGGCCTCGTGATCATCGAAGACTTGGTCCTCCGGCAGACCAAAGGAGTTTGCCTTTTGAACAGTCAAACAGGGGAAGCAGTCTGCACGCAAACTCTCAACTCGTCGCTGGTTGAGAGCTAGAACTGAAATGAACATGGTCACTTGTAAGATTGCATTGACGAAAACCGCGCCCGCTGCATACGCCGCGAAATTCTTTACAGCAGGCATCCCAACGAATGCACCTAGTGAGAAGGCAACAGTCTCGGTCAAGGCTGATAGGAAGACGCTGGGTCCAATCCGCCCAACTGCCCGAGCGACTCGTTCATCGATCTCTGCGTCCGGGTGACTAAAGTTCACACGCTCGAATTCGTGAACGATCAGGAAGATATTGTCGACGCCAACTGCCAAAACCAGGAAAGGGATGACCTCTGCAATGATCAAAGTGACTTTGACACCGGCAGCTGAGAATAGTCCCACCGAAGCAGAGACGGACATTAAGACAATCAAGATGCCCACAATTCCAAGGGTGAATTTTGACTGCACAAGAGCATTGGCTGGGTTTCTGAGAAGAGACCGCCATGTCACAGTCACAGATCCTAATGCCAAGGAGGCGTAGACAAACATGATGATGTAGCTGATGACAACGATTTTGGCATCTGTATTCGTGGACTTGTTGAGCTCCTGTTCCAAGCTCACTTCAGCATTGAACGAGACACGAAGACCACGTTCAGCAGCTTCTTCTTGCACAGACTCCATCGCGCGCTTGAAACTGTTCTCCCAGTCGACCGCCTTCTCTTCATCTGCCGTGCCCTGGGCGAAATTGTTGACAACCCAGGTGACGACTAATGCTTTTGCGTCCAGTACATCTCCGGTGCTTTCATAGCCACCCAGGATCATCTCCGGTCTCAACGGCTGTTGGAAATCGGGGAGGCAACTAGGGTCACCAGGTGACTCGGTACAATGACGAATTCTATCTCGCCATGTGTTTGGGTCAAGATTCGAGAAGGAGCTACCAAAGTATCCGGTCAAAGACTGAACCACACAAGCATCTCCGGTGGGTCTAAAACAAACGTCGTCCAAGCCAAGACCCTTGTCGGACGACATCATGTGTCGAATGCGGGACTCCACGTCAAACCACCAGGCGAGAGTATCGTATTCCAAAACAGGGCCGCTTTCGTTCACCAAGAATGCTTGTTCCGCTCTGAAAAATGGACCGAAATTCTCGTCGAAGAAGACCTTTTCTTGCGCAGCTGGAGACGACGGACTAACCCACAAGCGCACCGGGTCCGTTTCAATTGCGAATCGTAGCCAGCCCACGCTCAGCAAGATTACAAATATGAAACTGGTACCAATCGTGATTGCGGGAAAACGGGCACAGGCTCCTCCAATGCGGCTGAACAGTGATGACAAAACCGAGTTGGGCTTGTAGATTCCTTGTGGCTGCTCAAAGTATCCTGCACGATGAACCATTTCTCCTTCGTCCTCGTCGTCGCTTGGCGTTGGATCTTGAAGGAGACGCACACGCTCCGGTTTGCGGAAACGACGTTCTCTGACGGTTACGTAACTTGCGACACCCATCACCAGAAGAAGAAATACAGAGTAGATAACAATGACTGCAAATGATAGACATGGCAGTAGTCCGACGTGGCAGAAATCTTGAGTGGACACGGCAGGCAGCTCTGGACAGACCTCCGGACAATCAACACACGAGCATCGATATGCCTTGTCTGGATCATTGCAGGCCTTTGGTAGCATCGGGAGTGGTTTCATGCTTCTAGAACCGGGACCACTGGGTGTCGTGCGATAATTGATCTGGAACGGACTTCCGAGGAATTTCTTGTCTCCTAAGAATTTCAGGAATTGCGAGTAATTCTTGGCGCCACCTCCAATGAAATCAATGGCCTTTCCGCCAGAAGCGCCATTTTTCACATTTTTGCAGCTGTCATAGAAGCCACTCTGATATTCTTCAGACCAGATGTTCGTGATCTCGGTGACCAGTGTCTTACCAGAGCGATTCTCTTCGGTCTGCGTAACGTTGACAAAGAGCGACTGGTCTGGGGAACATGTAAAGGTACAGAATATATCAAAGAAGTTGTGTCGGCAAGCAGGACACGAGGCAATAATGCCTTCGGCTAGCTTTAAATTACTAGACAGTGCATCGATCTAGAGCAAAGGCGTCAAGACAGAATCAGCAACAGCCGCCAAAGGGCTCCCACTCAGAAGTCACCCATGGAACTCGAACCGCTCTTTCTCACCTGTTCCTCGAGACAGCAAACGGGACCCTCGTTCCACTTCGGACCGCAAAGGCCCACCAGTTTCTGGCGGACCTCATCCTCTGGCTCACGAGCTAGCCCGTTATCAGGACAGGGAAGTTCGCCGCCGAAGAACGATTGCTTTCCGCAGTGGCCTCGTATGGCACAACGGCCCTTTTCATGAATCTTCGTGGCACCTTGGGCGCCGGCGGTTTCCGGTAATGTGACAAGCGCGCCGACGCCAACGAGCGCTTTCAGTAAGCCCGCTCGTCGCATGGTGTTCGCACAACGAATTGAGCAGGAGTGACTGTCTTTGTCCGATAACGTGTTTAAGACGTCCGCCCGATCAGTTGAGAATGTCGTGGAGCTCAGCCTGCGATGGTGGGTATACTAGGTTAGTGGGCAATAGAAACGCCTTGTCAGGACCAGAGACGGAACGACGTTGACGATCGCAGTGCCCGAGCTCTGATCACTCAAAGCACCTCGGCAATCACAGGGCGGTGTGTGGCCGTTTCGTTGATAAGCGATGCCGTATCACCCACGAGAGCAGAAGCTGATTGACTCAAGCTTGCATGAGAAGACCTCGACGGTGTTTGGATATGGACTCTGGTCGGGCTTGCAGAAGGACGGCTGGGTGGAAGTTGGAGACCGCCTAGACCGGGAAATCGGAGAAGCTGTGGAAAGCAAGGTCAAGGCCGCATGACGTGAGCGGGACGGGCGGGACTGGTTGGGGCTGAGGAGAAGCGGGTCAACCCCAGGGATTCCTTCGAAGCATGCAAGATTTCAAGCCAGATCTGATTGTCCCGCTTTGGTGACGAACCACCGTTGCGCCCCTTCTCAAATCGACCTTGATGTGGAGCCTTGGGTGTAGAAGGTTTCTGAGGTGAAGCAGCCAGACGCTCGACCGTGATTGACGGATGCATTCCACTTACTTACCACCGGCATCAGCTCCACGCGAGATAGCCAGCTACGATGATTGACACAATCGTGACGAGGAATAAAGAGAACGCGGAATCAGAACCTTAGGAATAGTATGAACGCGCTGCTCTCAAGTTGACAAGGAGCCTTTAAAGTACGGTCGGTAAGGTAACTCCTTCCGAAGTACTTAGGATTTTGATGACTCAACCTTTCGTATTGCTCCATAGGGGCGCGAAGGATATGATGTTTTCAGCATTGGTCGAACTCATGTCAGGTTTGACCGACTGCAGACATAATCTTCGACTACCACGGGCAATTTGTACTTTGGAACACACATCTAGAAAGCTACTTGAAAGACGAGAACACGAGAAGGCAGAACCAGATCAGGGGTATAGATTTTTATAGACAGTGAACATCGAGAGGTTGCTGAAAGCATTGTGATCTGCGTACACAGGCTTTCCGGGGGCAACGAGAGAAAGAATGAGATGCGCGTGATCTGCATCGCTGATCCAGTTAGCGATGCAATCACAAAACAGAACGACAGCGGGAAGTGATAAATCAGGAGAGATAATCAGAAAAGAAAGAAACCCATGGTTCTTCAGCCAGTTGTTCCTGAACCCCGCTAGACCAACCGGACGCCCAGTTCTTCGACAATTAATAGCCTTCGTCCTCAGCTTGTTGATAGACGTGGCGTGTTCGCGTGGGATCTCTGCGCATTTGCTGACCCGAACCCGTAAACCCAACTATGAGGTGCAATTAGCCTTGATGCTCTGAATGTATGCCCATGCGGTGGTCGTGATGATCTCAAGTTCGATGCCAAGTACCTACCTCGAGCGCTCACCGAGTCCCCTGTACGGAACATACTGTCCTTCTTCCCGTATTTCCCCTTGGTCTTTGCTGCAAAGTTTTGCCATTTATTTTTGCCCTCTTCCAGTTCCTTGTTGGCCTTCACCTTGCGCGCGGCTTTGGCGGGCCGACCAGAGCCGTCTCCTGCTTTGCCAGGATCCTGACGGGCCTGGCTGGCAAGATTGGGATCAATATCAGCCGCTGCAGAAATCACATTGGTGTGCGACGTCGAGGGTGGAGCGGGCGACGGAGATGCTGAACTGCCTGAAGTTCCATCAGCCTTGCGCTTGCGAGTGTCACTGCCCGCGATGGGGCGGATGTCCTTGGCCGTTAAATTTTCAACAGTCCCGTAGGATTTAAATGAAACCAGATACACCGGGTTGCTCGAGGAGCCGGTGATGGAAGTGATGCGGGCCGGGTAGAATGCATTGTCGCCGGAGACCCAGCGGGCGAGGACCTGGTCGTTGACGGAGAAGGTGATGACGGGCGATGGCGCCGTGACGGTGGTGTCTTCCGCACGGGTGGAATGAGGTTGTCCCGAGCGAGCACTCGAATCTTTCGATGACCATGTATCGCGGGATGGTGCGGGGGTAGATTGAGACTTGGTTGCCGGTGCCGATGTGGATGCGGGGGGTTGAAGCTCGGCGATCGCCGTTTCGGTGAGGGTTATGAGTTCTTCAAGTTCAGTCTTGAGACTTTGCAACTCGGCATTATCGGGTTCTACTTGCAAGCCTGTTTGAACTGTCTCAAGCTGATGGAGAGAAGCAGGACAGCCGATAGTTAGTCGATCTTTCCAAGTGGGAGAGCTCTCCGTCAAGATGGAGGAAGAGACGTACCTGGACCTTGAATTCTTTGACCTCGGCCTCTAAAGACGCAACATCAGACATCGTGAATTATGGCTCGGGGGCTCTCCGGTGGTGCGAAGCAGCAGTATAGAGAAAGACAGAAACACCGGGCAAGGGCAACAAAATCACGTTCCATTTATTTGACGTCGAAGCCGACAGCGGATGCACCACATGCGGAGAACTTTTAGGGTCTTGCGGACTAGCTGGTCATGTGATCTGAGCCCTGTGGGCCAGAACGTTCACAGTCCACACGCTCATCCCATCGATGTTCGATCTCATCCGTACCTAAGAATGGGTTGACTGAAATTTATATTCGGTTGCATGGGCGTTGGGTATCGCTACGAGCTCGCCTGTCGAATTCGTACACTAATAGAATATTTGAAACGAGAGTCTCCTTCTATTTGACATCTGTACTACTCGAAGCCAGCCAGCGACTCCAGGATGTACTGTTGTTATCAGATCCGGATTCAACTCCCCAGGTGCTTCAAACCTAACTACCTGTTGAGACTGTTGCTGCAGAGATACCTGCACACACACACCAACACGCTCTGCGTCTGCCCGAATAGTCGCCCATGTGCATTGGTCATGTATAGCGAGATTTGCTGATAGGAATCTATCTCTCGCTAAAAATGATCCATACGGTCATCGCGGTGTTCCTGCAACTTCGGCACCGCGTTGTAAAAGGCACTGTAGGTTGCCTTTCTAGCCTGGTTATCTTATGTCACCGAGTGACCATGGAAATGATTTATTGCTGTCGGTCCACGACGTCATCGTGATACCACGGTAGTGGGTTGTTAATCAGTGTTCTAGGTAGGACAGTCCAGATCTGACCCAGAGACCCGTTATCTTGAGGGAAGCGAGGTTGTTCTCCAGAGTGGAAATGATGAAGACAGTTTCGGAAATTTCAAAGATTTGTACTCGCAATGCTGAACGAGCATACATAATCGTAGGAGCCTCACCCAAGGTAATTCGGCGGAGCTTGAGGGAACCGAGACTGAGAGCACCTCAAGGGAGGATCAAATGACGCGGCAATGATAGGCATCCCACGGTTTCTACAAGGTAGTATAATCAATGAGAGGACATAAAATTGGAAGGTAGACGGGATGACCACTTTAGCTCATCTAACGAAATTGGCTTTGAGTGAACTGCAACATATTACAGTGATATTATCTACCCTTCGTGTTGAATGACAGCTGTTGCCTGCGCAGGAAGGGATATGACTTCGGGTCTGCATCACGGATCCTGGAATATAAGTCGGCCTTTCGCCCAAACCGGAATGTTAGGTAAGATGCCAAGGTCTTCGTTGATTCTTGGTATGTACTTCTCGTGGAGCCGAGACAGGATCTGGTTTCTAATACAGATACCAGATACCTATCCTTTGGAAGAGCGAATCCAAATTACACTGAAAGTAAGTGCGACTCTCAGTTGACTGCTAGGTAATAGGTATGAAGGTAATAACCCCGGAATATAGAGTTTAAGTCGCTGTTACAGGAGCGCATATCAAACGACCAATTACTTGTAATAGGCGGAGGCGTTCGCATTCACATAGCATGAGTACATATTGAGTCGGTACCTAGTAGTGACTCGTGAGTAGTCGAGTACATTTCCGTCAGTATTCAATCAACTTAAGTCGCGGAACCTCCGGGGCGGAAGAAAACAACAGCCTTCGGCCAGACAGCGATCCGGTACCAGGAATAGGAGGACGGTCCTCATTTTTCTCTCTCCCTAGCGCCACGGCCTACTCGTCCAAGACACGGTGGTGCGTGATGGCGAAACTGGATCTTCCGAGCATGTCTCGGGCACCGAAAGAGGCTTACCAAAGACTCTGAACCAGGTTTCGTGCCACAACTTCCTCCCGTTGAACGATCCTGAGACGGATCCAGACGTCCACGGCCCAAAATCCGTCCGACAGCAAATCACGGTACAATCCACCGAAGAGAATCGAAGAGGTGGAGAACCTTCACGTCGTTTGATTTCTAAGCAGTTGGGGGTGGCCGTGGGTGACTGACTGACTGTCCGCCGTCTGACGGTACCGCCAGTCTGGACGAGCGGACGGGGCTCAACTGGGCGAAAGACGTGCAAAGCTGCCTGCGACATAAGGCATCACTGCTAGTGCTGCCTGAGTCACCCGCTGCCCCTCCACCGAGTCATTCTTGAACAATCTTCACGTGGGTCTGATTGGATGTGCCGGACCCGTGATCGTCTATCGCCGGATCTCGGCCCAATGAAGCAGCCGGTCGTGACCAGTGGTCCACCGCTTCCTGGTCGCCTTCTCTTTCATCATCTCCCCTCCTCCACCTCCTCCTCATTGCAACAGCCTCTGAGCCTCTCAGCCTGGTCCTACAGCCACTCAGCCCGCACTGAGCCTTCAGCCTAGTCCTACAGCCGTCTGCCTGGTCGATACTACGGGCCTGCAGCGGGGACGGCAGTGAGGAACCCTTGTATTTTGTACTTCTCCATCATCATAATCTGCAGCACTTTCTACATACTCCGTATCAAAACCTCCTGTATCGGACTACATCTTCTTCATCATTCTCTGAGATTGAGGGAGCGATCTCATCGCGACTCAAGTCGGACGATCAATTCAAGATCGTATCATCATTCTTATTCTTGTCCAGTTCTCCGCCAAGCAGCGACGCCCCCAGCCAGAACCTCAATCCGGGTGTGGTCAAACGGACCAATTGAGCTTCCATCCCCCCATTCTTAGCCTCAGGCCAGTTCTGCCTCTTTTTTTCCCTTTCGCATCCCCCTCCACCTCCGACCTCCACTTCTCACCTGCTGTTCCGTGTGCACCCACGAGGATCTTTTTCCCCTGGCTTGCTTCTCGAGGCCAGAACATCACGCCAGGTCTTCAGTGTTGTCAAGACCGAACCGAGCCCTCCGATCAGATACTACAGTATTCTCCCCATCATCAAGACTTTTCGCCACCGTCCGACATTCGACACCAGTGATACTTCGCTGTTCTCCCGCTCCCTCAAAACCACATTGCGGGCGGACGGCCCGCTCATCGCTCCCTTTGTGAGCTCTTCTCAAAATCGATCCTCTACCATTGTTCTACCTTCCAACGAAAGATTTACCCCGCCTCTTCCTCCTCAATTCTTTCGAATCAATTACACTGCGTGTTCATCATCTACTTGCTTGACTTGAGCAGTCATCAAGCCCCTTCTCCCTGCCTACCCGACGTATCAAAAAGTTCGATCTTCTTACGATATTCCCCGTCACCATGAGTGATTTCAGTCAACTCTATCAGCAGGGGCTTTATCTCTCCCCCGACCAGCAGGACCTTTTGCTGGCGGCCCTCTCCTCAAACAATCCCGCACCCAAGCAACAGTCTCAAATCATTCAGACACCCGCGGTCAAGCCCAATCACAGCCCGGACCGGTCATCGTCGTACGGCGCAAGCGCTCCGCCCTCTGGAGGCTTCGAAAGCGCCCAGCTCGGTGCATTGGCTTTTACGGAAGATGAAAGCCCCTTCCTAGATTTCAACCCTGAATTGGATTTTGAATTCCCGGACTCTGCAAACCTCATCGGTGAACTTCCTGGTACCGCTGCTTCAAATGAGTATGATGTTGGCGAGAAGCGCAAGTCGATGGATGGCAAGTCTGAGGTGGACGGGGATGAAAATGGCAAGAAGCGGCGCGAGAGCGAGGCGAAGAAGCCCGGTCGGAAGCCATTGACCTCAGAACCAACTACGGTTTGTTGCTCGTCTCTTGATTCACACTTCCCACTTGGTCGGCATGGAGATTGCTGATGAAGTACACAGAAACGCAAAGCTCAGAATCGGGCCGCTCAACGTGCCTTCCGCGAGCGAAAGGAAAAACATCTCAAGGATCTCGAAGCCAAGGTGGAAGAATTGCAGAAGACATCCGATAATGCGAACCAGGAAAATGGTCTCCTCCGTGCCCAGGTGGAGAGGCTACAAGTCGAACTGCGGGAGTATCGCAAGCGTTTGTCTTGGATGACTAGCAGTAATGGCTTGTCCGCCATGAGTGCAATTCCCAGCGCTCACTCCCAAGGTGCATACGGTCTGCAGAATAACGAATTCCTGTTCGATTTCCCCAAGTTTGGTGACCTCCCCGGATCCCACCTGTTCAATGGCCAGTCGAATAAGAATGATCAGACCCCGAACAAAAACCAGTCTGTTCGGGCGCCGGGAGTTATGGCTCGCGATACCCTCAATGGCGTGTCGACTGCCCCCACAGCCAAGTCCACCACCGATACCGAGACGACTGGACCGGGAAGCGTCAACTCCTATTATGCTGGCTCTTCTAGCACTACTCCCAGCAGCGTGCACTCGAGTAGGAACGCGTACAACAACTACTCAACTCCATCCGCCACACACCGGGAAGCCTCGAACTCAGATTCACCTTCATCTTCCTCAGACTCCCACCAGAGCCAGTTGCTCTCATCCAACGGCACCTCGCCTGAGCCTAGTTTGAGCTCTCCGCTTCAAACTAAACCCAGTGATAATGTCAACAGCTGTGAAATCCATGGCTCCACCAACGGTGAGGAAACCTTCTGTGCGAAGCTTGGCATGGCCTGCGGCAACATCAATAACCCTGTGCCAGCTGCTCGAGATCCGGCCAAGGCCCAAAGCGTCTCCCGCGAACAGTCGGAGCCTGCCCACAATAGCGACCAGGCCGCCTTTGACTGGTTGGCGCAACAGAACGGCGGTCAGTTTGATCCCGTTCTCTTCGGTGACTGGCGAGAGCCCCAGGATGCTGTGCTGTCTCAGGACTTTGGGTCATTCTTCAACGATGCTTTCCCGTTGCCTGATCTAGGTAGCCCCTCCCACAACATTACCGAGGCGGCTACGCAAGCATCACAGCAGCCCCAGAAGAGGGACCTTATCGCTCAAATCGATAGCAAGTTGGAGGAGGAAGTCGTGCCTGGAGAGGACAAGTCGCAGATGCTGAGCTGCACTAAGATTTGGTATGTCTTGCGATTAATTACCAAGGGTCATTTTTGTCTTCCGTGCCAGTTGTGTCTGACTTATCACTCTGCAGGGATCGTCTTCAATCCATGGAGAAATTCCGTAATGGTGAGATTGACGTGGACAACCTCTGCTCGGAACTTCGCACCAAAGCTCGCTGCTCGGAAGGCGGCGTCGTTGTCAATCAGCGCGATGTGGACGACATCATGGGACGTGCGAATTGATCGTGAAAAATCCTCCTCCCGTCACAAGACAAGCTCACACACCTCTTGTCTTGGCCGACCTGTCTCTTCATGATTTACGCATGCCTGCTATCATTCATTGAGCTTCGACTCGAATCTTTTTACCCTTCTTCTGCTTGGTCTTGTTTTTCATGCTTCTAAACCGCTATCATACCCAATTCCGAAATCTATCAGGAGGCCCACGGCGTCATGAAATACAAATTTGGGCCATGTCCTAAACATATGTTGGAACATGCCGTCTCTTTCGCGAGTGATCTGAAATACTCTCTGGCGCGATGTGTTTGCTCAGGCTGCCATTTATCTTTGTTTGTATGGCATTTGCTCTTCTTTTTCCTCTTCAACTTTTAAGTATATCACTCAGGTCTAAGCATTCACGTGATTTTTACCTGTTTCTGGGTTCGTGCATGTCATTGCACTGCGAACGATGGATGGCGACAGGTGCTCTGGTATGCTTCGATTGAAGGCTTTAGGGTTGTCGGCATCGAGGTCGTTGTTCAGGTCATTGGGTCCTGGCGTCCATCAGCTTTTCTGGTCTCTCCCACAGCACATCGCTCCCTCGATCTCGCTTGGCTGAAACCGTGAACCCTGTTACAAGCGGTATTTGGGATCTGTGAACGCTGGATGACTGGCGTCGAAGCGGTCTTTGATGCAAGGTCTGAGTTGCCTTTTGGTGTTTCAAGGTGGAAAAGATTGTTTGATGATCCATACACTTGTACACAATTTCCCTGGCCAAGAATGAATATTCACCAACATGGATACGTTCTTCCTTTTAGAGTCGATGACAACAACTCGCGTAAAATGTACATCCACCTGCGGGAAAAGAACGCCTCGTAGTGAATGATTATTGAAAATTTGTACCACATACACTTCACCGGTGCATTGGCGCAAGGCAAAGCAGGTTGACCCGCTAGGCCCCTGTCCATTGCTCTCGACATGCTGTCTATCTGGAGAGTATTAGGTTTGGGAGCAAGTCCATCCACGAACAAATCCTTTGGATGGGATCCGTATTTAGTCTGCGGACAGAAACATCGTGGATGACGTTCTATTGCACTCGCTTCATGGTCGAGAAGTTTCACAGACCGGCGGCATCTGTATCATCTTGAACAACTGGGCACGTTTCGGACTGCCCGCCTGGGCCAAATTCCTTTCGTCGGTCATTTTAAGACATCTGAGCTGTGGTCAAGATATGAGGTCTTATCAACATCTGCCTACACAACCACGCGAAGCAATACCGCACGTGTACTCGTTTACGGTTTGCTAATATGGAGGGCATGTTCACACCCGGAGAAGTATCAGTAGATCGAAGCTGTTAGGGTATCGATGGGCAGACCTCTCGCAAAATGTCAAGGAAACGAAAGTAAAGTACAAGATGATAGAAGCAAATCAGTAAGGGTTATGATGGTTCTTTTTCCTTTCTTTTCTCCTTTGCTCAAAGTTGTCCTTCGCTCAGGCATAGCATTGTCGGGACGTCCGGCACTGGTTTCGTCAATAAAACACCGAGTTTCGGCCTCCCAACTCCGCAAATTACCCGAAGAAGAAAGAATCACAAACAAAACAGTATGAGCTGTGTTTGCCCGAACCCCTCGAAAAATTCCGGGTACATGACGGAAGAAATTTTCAACTAAGGTTGAGAAGGCACAATGCTCAGTGTATTCCGTTCTGCTGAGAGCACAGCAACAAAAAAGGGAAGGGCGTGGAGATAAATGAGATGAGGCCACTCTGTTGGAATGTGGAATATTTTAATCTCGAATGCAAGTGACGGGGGTAGATAGTGTAGGGAAAAGAAGAGATATGACGGTGTAGAGGTCCACATGCCACGTGAAACTGGGTGAAGAAGTCAAAGCGCATTCCAAGACCAAGTGGATGGCGGGAAACAATGAAAGTGTTCAGCTCGACATCTCAAGCGTCACCACCGGACGGAGCAGGTTTGTCCCCAGAAGGCGTTGAAGCATCTGTCGAGCCGGCCTTGAAGCTACCGCCACGACCTCCTCGACCGCCACGGCCCCGGTCACCACGACCACGTCCGCGACCACCGAATCCACCACGGCGAGCTCCCTCGCCATCGCTAGCACTTTGATAGCCACGCTGGCCGGAGTTAGCGCCACCTCGAGTGCTGCTCTGCCAAGTGCCAGCATTGCCCTGTACACGAGGACGTTCCTCGAAGTACTTGAAGTTAGGCTTACGAGGACCAGAGCCAGCAGTAGGTTTCTTGTGCTCGATAGGCTGACGCTCAAGAGCAGCAGTAGCATCTTCAACGGTTGGGAAAGTCACGACGTAGTTGAACTTGCCGTACTTTTCGATCTTTATCGCTTTCGCTCTGTCCTCTTCGGGGAGGAGATCGCGAACCTTTTGCTCACTGTCGACGTTGGAGACAAATAGCCCATTGCTGGGCGTCTTCTCGCCCCGCGGAGCAGCGGACTCAACAGCCTTGTCGTGCTGGATGTGTCCGTTGGCGCCAACACCGGCAGCCTTCTCCTCACCAACGGGCTGAGCAGAGGTATTGGCTGGAGGCTGTGGGGTGGCAGCCTTAGGAATGACGGGGACTGGCGAGCCGCGAGCTGGCTGGGCCTTTGCAGGAGGCTGCTGCTGGCCGGCGGCTGCGCCACTCGTTACAGGGGGAGCCTGGCCGAATTGGGGAGCAGAGGCAGGGGGACGGCCACCAGCCCCAGTAGGAGCGGGAGAAGCGGTCGTCACAGGCAGACCTCCTGGAACAGGCTGAGCACCTCCAGGCGCAGGCTTGCCGCTGCGGTGCGCAAAGTTGAAGCCCTGAGCTCGCATCTCTGTGGCGATGCGTCCAGCTTCAATTTCCAGAACCAAGTAACCAAATGCGGCATCGGCAAGATTGAAGTTCCACATGTTCTTGAAAGCGCTCTCATCAACTTGGCCGGCGGCATTACCAGCGGCAACGGGACCACCGAAGGGGTTACCGCCATTGGCAATAGAAGGCATCTTCTGCACAACATCCAGGGCATTGTCCAAGAGAGTCTTCTGGGCTTCATTGGAGGAGATAGCTGACTCCACCTCTCCCCGAACGGTCTCCCATACGTCAGTGAATGAGGCCTTTGAGGCTGCCAGCTTGCCACGGTAGTGGTCAAGGGAAGGGTTGACGGAGAATTCGTTGTAGGATGAGCCGTAGCGGAAATGCAGACCGGCCGAAATGGAGAAGTCAGCCTTGAGGGTGACAGAGAGCTGGTTCAACATGCCTTCACGGGCAGGCGAGGCGTGCGTCACGAAGACTCGGGTCTCCGAGGGGTCGTAGACACGGTGGGCGGTGTCGATGAGCTCACCCATTTGCAAGAGAGTAGTCCACATGGTACCTTGTCCGCCTGCAATGGTTGTCTTGCCCTCGCCGTTGTCGAACAGCTTGTGCATGACTACTGCACCACCCAAGCCAAGCAGACGCAGCTTAACACCGCCAATGTCGAGCAGTCGCGAGTTCGCCTCGTCAATGATGTGGAGGTTGTTCACCTTGTATTCTCCCGAGCGGAACTTTTCCAGCACACGCACATCTTCACAGGCGCCCCAGACCGTGTAGACAGGAATGTCAAGTGTGATGCGCTTGTCCAGGAGCATGGGCAACTCCGAAAGTGGTAGTTGATCGGGTGTGAAGCGCTGCTTAATAGATTGCTGGGGAGGGACCTGTGCGATAGCTCGCTTCACGTTCTCGGGGAGAAGGGGAGAGTATTGCGCTACATGCTTAAGAGTCCTGTTCGATGGCAAATGATTGAAAAGTCAGATGAGCCCCATTGAATGACAGCGTTTTCAAATCCCAAGGGCGTTGAAGACATAGCCAAAGACCTCCGCAGGGGTATCATAACACAGAAAGTGGACTTACTTGTCTGCAATTCGCTCCAAGGAAGTATCATCGTAAAACCCAAAGTCGCCAGTGTGGATGATGTGGTCTGCACGAGCTTGCTTGGCAAGCTCATTCAGGGACTTCAGATTACCTATCCACCAGATGAATTAGCTTTTGTAGGTGTGCAAGCTCCAGCAGCTCTACCTTACCTCGGACATCAGCAATGCATAGGATGCGAGTTGGTCCATTCTGGATTAGTCGGCCGTTGTTGGGAAGTAGTGGCACAGCTCCAGGCGCGGGACCGGACGGGGCTGAACCGTTGGAGAGAGGATAGCCTTGAGCGCCGAAGTTGTGAGGGCGGGGCTTGATGTAGAAGGTCAGATGTTAGCTCAAGAAAAAAGAAAGCTTGGAGTGGGGGCTCATAGCGACCAGCAGCTAGCTGGAATCTGAGGCCGATTTGCAGGAGGGGAGATCGAAGCGCGGAGACAGGAGCGACTTACGGAAGCCATGGGATGTCAAGGTTTGTTGAACGAGAGACGTATCCAAAGCAAATTCCAGATATGAAGATGGAGGAGATGATGAGGGAAAGAGAGGTGTAGGGGGAGAAAAGTGAGGGCAGAGTGGTGAGGCGAAAGAAGATTGCTTAACTGCGCATCGATGAAGCAACCGGCAGGCGGCAGGCGTGCCCGACAATCAGATTAGGTAAGCACCCCTGGGATCGTTCCCGCTACCTTCAAACTACTGTCCTTAGTCTTACTATGTAAGGTACTAGTCGTAGGCACAAACACCCTTCCTTTCTGAGTAACTCAGGTGTTTGACAATTGTTTGTTAAGTCTCCTCTGATTATAAACACTCTGAATGCTAAACTCAGTCGTTATGTACACAACCAGTCAATTTGGATGTAGACTATGCTTTACTGGAAGGACGGATTCTCGCTTCATTTCAGTTTCAATTCTTCAGCAACTACCCTACCACGATAGCACGACTCAACTTAAGCTTATCTCAAAAATGAACAGCTCCACAGATGAATTTCTGCCCTGGTCTCTTTGATATGAGTATTGATGCCTTCTTGAACGTCATTGATATGCTTTGTGTCAATGTCGAGGAGCTGCGAATACGGAGAGAGAGAGAGAGAGAGAGAGAGAGACTGAGCCGGGCACGCGATGACCACTTGCCCCGTCTTTTCCTTGTGCATTGAGTTTGGATTTACTTCTAGCCCGCGCATGAAAGCAACCACACCTCAGCTTCCCACATGTAACATGCTATCCTTTGACATGTATGCTCGACCTACAAGTAATATCTACTGAGAAGCGCTAGGAAACGTCTACTATAGGCGACGGCTGTGCGAGGCAGTCAGCTCTCACTGGTGACCGATAGTGACGAAGGAACTGGATTTGGTAACCTGAAAAGCAGTTTCCTGATTCAAGGATTTCAGGCCAGTGCAAAAACCAGACTGATCAATCAGATCGACGAGTCCCACAACTTGTTTTCTTTAATGTAAATGTATAGCGGAGTCTAGGAGCTTTCGCCTTCGAGGGACTTGCTGGCCTCAAAGCTATAGAGAAGATTTCGAGCCTGAGCAGCGGACTCGGTTGTTCTCATCACAGCTCCTCCTGGAAGCCTGGTTCTCTGCTTCGTTGAAGTTTCTTGATTGAGTCACCTCCTGACAATGACTGAATTGTCCGCGGACCCTTCAGCGCCAGGAGAGCATAGTGGCCACCAACGGTGGGCCGAGCACGACATAGTATCGGGACCCCTGCTTCACCTCCATGAGAAGCAGTTGAGATATAGCGATCTGAAAAAGGCCAGTGGTGTTTGCCATTGGTCATGAAAGCCCACAGATCATCCACAAACTCGTCTCGCGTGTTCGGCTCAAAAGTTCCGGCAAGCCACATATTCCAGTCGGACTTTGCCCAGTCTTGTCGATTGTCTAGAGGAACCCCATACTCCCCACGCACACTGTTGAAGAATCTGCTGCCCATCAAGAATGCCTCTTCAGGGAATGTTTGTAAGTCCAAAAGAAGGTCCGGATACAGGTTGTACGGGGTCTTCCATGTACCGGAGTGACCAGGGTACTGCAGTGTGAAATGGGTCTGGTTTTCGTTCGTACCCAAACTCTGGCGGAAGAGGAGGTCTGCGTGATCATTCCCAATTTGAGAGTATGTCTGATTCCCACTTAATATCCCATACGCCTTGATGCCAATCGCGGCTTTGATCGCCAGATTGGTCTCGTTGGCGAGAGGCCCAGCAGCGTCATTGGATGAAAGTTGTTCGGCAATATCAATGCCATTGGTGACCAAATAGTCGGCGTATTTTTGGAAAACGGTCAAGTAGCGATGACTCCAGCTGTGATCTCCCGTTGCACGAACATAAGCGAGTGCCAATATGAGCAAGTTGCCACATTCTTCAATTGGCATTGGCTCGGCTCGCTGGTCATCATGACCGATTGCGTAAGGGTAGCGGGACCCGAGGTCATGTATCATGTACGGAAGCTTCCAGCGACCAGATTCCAAGTAAAGCATCACAGGATCGAGTAGCAGACGGATCCATTCGGGATCCATGACCCAATATATGGGAAAGGCGGGCATGATGACATCTATTGTATTGACATTGCCATCGCTGGACAGTTCTTTGATGAAAGCCATCACACCACTGATCGCTCGCGACTTGTCAGGTATAGTCAAGTCAATACCCCCCCACGCTTGACGAAGAGACAGAGCCACGATATCTGCGTACTTGGGTCCAGCAGCGGCTGTTGCAAAGGACGAGAGTTCTGTATCCAGCTTCTCAGATTCATGCTTGGAACCGTCAAAGTCGTCAAAAAAAAAAGAGAGCGCCTTGCCCGTCGTTGAAAATTCTGATCTGTAGAAGCCCGTGTATGGCTGATCAAGATAGTTAATGGCTTGCTCTCTTTCATAGCCAATCGCGAAGGTCACATCGACAGACTCGGAGACCTTTCCTAGGTCATGTGCAAGGGCGACAATATGACGCGGGGACCAAGAAGATTTGCTTTGATTCAGCCAGCCAGTCTCGGCAAAGGCAGTCCTCACAGCATGCGCGTCTCCAGCAAGTGCAGAAAGTTTGCTCAAGGACTGAGGCCGAGAGGCAAGAATCGCTTTGCCCCAGAGCGCCATATCGTTAGCTTCCTCGTATTTGGGGGCATCTTTCACGGACAGGGCATGGAAGATGAGCTCTCCGTTCACCTCGAGATCATGGACCGAGGCATCACTCTGTCCCGTCCATCTGCCGTCGATGTCTGAATAAACTTGAATCTCACGGCCCCATGCATTCTTCAAGCGCACGGTCATATAACCTGAGCACTATCAGTTGAGTATAGCTGAGGAGGCATGTGTCCTTAGATGTCCTAAGGTAGACTTACTAAAAGGGAGGGACTGCCGGACATAATTCGGAGGGGATACAGGGGAAAAGAAGTCCAAAGTAAGACCGACTGGGCCAGCCAAGAAATCAAAAATTGTATGGGTCGAGGTAAACTCTGCACGGAGTACTCTCGCAGGAAGAATGTGTTTAGCGTCCAAATCCGGGACTCCCATTAGGCTCCACGCTTGGCCATCAATGCGTATTATCACCGACCAACCGAGCTCTTGACCGGCCCAAAACTGTGGTTCGGCAAACGGCAGCTGCTGCACTTGATCAGACGGCATCCATGTTGAAAGGTATGGATTCCGGACTGCCAACGGATACGACGGTGGCCGAACTGGATGGTGGCTGACGGGGCCTGCCTGACGGCACAATGCAGGCAAAAGTGTCGAACAGAGCGAGCTCAGACTGAACGTCTTCTGAATGTCCAAATACATTGCTGGCTCTCTCGTGACAGACTGTCTGAAAAGCGTAACTTCAATCCTCTCCTGCTGTGTCTCGTCTTTTGAAACTGAATGTAGGAATGCTTGCAAAGGACGAGGGCAAGACAGTCGTCACGGTCTTGATTCGAAACAAAAGAGACTTACACTCGCGCTGGTGCAGCTCTTCTTGTAAAAGTGAATGGTTGAGAGATATCCCCTGGCAAAGTGCCAATCCCAGTTGCAAAAGCTGTGGCGTTGAGGGGGGTGATCGACACGAGGTGACATTCCCCGCAACTGATCTCCACCTTTTCATCTGGGGGAGGCCGAATCTGGTTCAGCGTAACAAGTCAGGTCGAGTGCTCACGAATTTGGTCTTCAAGATGAATCATACTTCTAACTGGTCATCGCCTCATCTTGAGTTGTGCAGTCTGTGAATCAGCATACTCGGCAAGCTTGAGATCCTGTGTTTGCGCAGACGATATCACTGCGTCCGGGCGAAGTTGCGACAAGGTTGGATGGCTTTGTCGTCACTCCCCCGAGTGATAAATTCATCATGTATCCGTAATTGAATTCTGACCAGCTTGCTTAATGGCATGAGCATGGAGCAACATGGGGAACAAGCTGCCCCAATAGTGGATTCCGCCCACCGCGGATTGGTTTGGGTCGGTATTAGGACACTTGCAGAGTTTTTGTACTGGAGTTATTCTACATCAAGATCAGCAGAAGGCGGCAATGCAAATCCGAGGAGTTCTGTCGCCACGGCCAAATCGTCCACTAAAATACCAGTCTCCCGGAGCAATGTCATGCCGAATCGAAGCATTTTGATTTGTAAAGGCCGACGGGCCCTATACAAGATCTCAATATAGTACAGGAGAAAGCGCGTGATTATATCCATAGACGCAAACTTCAGCCTCGGAAGAGACGCAATCCGCCTTCTTCCCGATCCTCATCCGACTCAGCCTCGCTAGCACTGTCGTCGCCTTCGCCCAATAGACCACTCGCCGATTTGCCAAGCAAGGAAGCAAAGAATTCGTCTCGGGCACGAACAGTCCACGAGCCTCGGTCTTCTGGAGCCATGAAATTCTGCAGCTTTTCGTGGACATTGAACCGCATCTTGCGGCCCTTGGAGGCCCGAGTATCCACCTCTTTGCGGTTCTTGTCGTTACGCATGCCAGTGATAGGATGGATTGGCAGACGAGATGGCATCTGCTGAAGAGTGTCGAGTCCACCAGTCATAGCCTCCGATGCCATGCGTTGCTCAACGAGGTCGCGAAGTAAAGATTGATAGAAGACAGTGTCATCATAGACAGCCTCCTGAGATTCGTCTGGGGAGTTTCCAGTTGGGGCAGTCCCCGGACGAGCACGCTTACTCGCCCTGTCGCCCATTTCGGTTGCAACGTGGGCATCGAGGACGGCCGTAATGGTCTGAGTGCCAGAAGCCGATCCCAGCAACTTGCCACGGGCGTTAGGCAGGGAGGCCGCAGGACCACGAACTTTGGAGGACCACTTGTCAAGGACAGCTCGCCGATGCAGTACGGAATCGGCCTCGAGGTCGGACATGCGTTGCCAAAGAGATTGGGCAGAAGTGGAATTTGAAACAGGATCCAAGCGCTTGCGCTTTCTGACCCCATCTTTATTGTGAGCATCAGCAAGCGCAATACGCAACCCCTCCAATGTAGACCACAGAGCAAGCGCAGCCTCCTCGGCCGACTTGATGGCTTCGGAATTTGTCTTGTCCGCATTCTCGCTTCCATTCGCCTCTTTGGTCTCCGCCACTGCGCCGGCCATCTGATTGATCGCACCCATACCCTTTTGGAGCTTGATTCTGGTGTTCAGAAGAGCATCGAACGTAGAGCGCTGCTGCTTGACTGCCTTGCCTTTCGCAGCGTCTGCTTTGGCGGCTTGAGAGATCGTCGCAGCAATAGTCTTCTGGTCAGAAGCCATGAGTCGTCGTAGCTCATCGCGATCGTCGTTAGAAGCAGCCGGGCGCTCCGCGCCATTTATTTTAGGTTTGACTGAACTGGGGCCTCTGGTGTGCGTGTCGGAGCCCTCTTCCTCACTGTCATAATCTTCGTCATCATCGTCATCCTCCTCCTCCTCATCTGAAAGCTCTTCCTGCTCATCCCCGTCAATCTCAGAATTACTGGTCTCCGCGATTGATCCAAAGTCATCCTCGTCGCTTGCGGAAGCCGATTCGTCCCCGGAATGAGCGGCAAAGGGATCGTCGTCACTCTCGGCTTCCAATTGATCTCGGCTTACTCGGGCGCCGGCATACTGTTTGCCCAAGTCGGCGGGTTCTGATTTTCGAAGCTTGCCCTTTCTACTTGAGGTCAGTCCCTGTCGCGACAGATCTGCACCATGATGATAGATTGACGAACCCAACTGATTGATAGTGTTCCCGGCCTGCAGTCACGTCTGAGGGATTTTTTGGGCCGTCATCACCGATTGAATCTACATCACGTTCAATGTCCTCGGGATCAAAGTCTAAAACGAAGTCGAGGCGTCTTGATTAGCTGCCCGCCAGCTGATGCCATAATCGGTTGCAGAACTTGGAACATACCCTTTGGTGTTGGATCCTCGAGGTCAGCTAACTGGTCTGCGAGTGACCGCGCCGGACGAGCTTTTTCAGGCGCCATGATATGTTGAGATGCGATTATGGAAACAGGACTTGTCCGATACCTTTTTTTTTGATGATCCGGATAACGGAATAACCTACTGCTTTGGGGTTAGACGAACGGGTCTCTTATCGGGGGCGGTAGCAATCAAGTCCGGCAGAATGATCGTTTACAATCAGTGTTCATGATAGGATTGGGCTTGTTGGTCTTGTTCTTTCGTCTGGTTTAACTTTTGGTATATTCCTCTTTTGCTTTTGGTATTGGTGTGGCGTGGACCATGCATCACAACTTCAGTGTTTTTAGGCGATTGTTCACAACTTCGCGTTCTTGCCTGAGCCATGACAATCCTTTAGTAAGTTGTACACTATCGCCCGTCTCCGGCTCGAAGTACATTTGCCGCAGAGATATTCCGATTTCAGCGTCGAATTCGGCCAGGGGCAGGTCTTGTTGCACTTTAATAGGTTGAATTATTTGTGTCCGAAAAGATCTCGAGACTGACGCTGTGGGTCTCAGGGTCTCCCTCGCTCCGGCACACCTCCAAGTTTTCCTCGCCGTCGTGGCTTGCCCGAAAAGCGGAGGATTCGAGATGTCAAGAAGGTAGTAGCGGTCTCCTCTGCGAAAGGTGGCGTGGGGAAATCAACCGTTGCCGGTTCGTATCATCCGAATCATCCATGCGATCAAGATAGATCAGACAAGCACTTGGTCTCTTGTACTGCTTTCTTTCCCTGAATCAGTGCTGAGTAAAGGAATTTTGATATCTGCAGTAAACCTTGCGCTTTCATTTGCTCGCCGGGGAATCAAAACAGGAATTTTGGACACTGATATTTTCGGCCCATCAATTCCAACATTACTCAATCTATCTGGCGAGCCGCGTCTTGATGAACGTAAGATGCACACCTTTCCTTCGGAGTTGATGCTGTACGTTGGCGGTTGGGCTGAACCTTCACAAACGCAGACAATTGCCTTGTCCCTCTCACAAATTATGGACTCAAGTCAATGTCCATGGGCTATCTTCTTCCTCAAACGCAAACAGATAGCACCACAGGTGAAGTACCCATGGACACAACGCCGATCACCTGGCGCGGTCTCATGGTCACCAAGGCCATGCACCAGCTCCTCCATTCGGTCTCCTGGGGGCCTCTGGATGTCCTTGTGATGGACCTTCCGCCAGGCACTGGTGACGTTCAGCTCACTATCAATCAAGAGATCATCATTGACGGAGCCGTCATCGTAACGACCCCGCAGGATATTGCTCTTCGAGACGCGGTGCGCGGTTTCGGCATGTTTGAGCGCATGAACGTCCCTGTCCTTGGCATGGTGCGGAATATGGCCTACTTTGCATGCCCCAACTGCGGCCATCAAACTCGCATTTTTTCTCACGGGGAAGACCACCATCCCCATTCGCATAGAGTGGACCGAGGAGTGTTGGCCGAGTGTAAGCGACTTGGAGTCGACTTCCTAGGCGATATTCCTCTGGATGCTCAAGTTTGTGAGGACGCGGATCGTGGAAAGCCGACTGTGGTAGCTGAGGAATCTGCTGAGCAAAGTGCTCGTCGCCAAGCTTTCCTTGATGTCGCCGAGCAAGTCGCTGGAAAGATTGGGTTGAAATGGTAGTGGTCAACTGCTGTACCGAAATACTAATTCTGTTCTGTATTTAAAATTGTACCAATATGAGCGACTACCCTGCTATTCGCGTGAACGATGTTATTGTTACTCTTTTTCCCCTAGTGACGATTGGTCTCCAAAGGTGCTTGTGATGTAAGGTGGTCCTTTCTTCTGCACTACAAATCGAAATATCTCGCAATGATGAAGGCCTTCAAAGCTCGTAGGAAAGTCACCGTGATACCGGACGCAATGGTCTAAGTGGGCTTTTAATCGACAGCGGTGTTGACTAAACTAGCAGGGTACCTAAGGTTATGATACTCGAATGTCCATGCTGAACATGATGCCGGACTGAAAGCACATATACACTCAAAGTGGGAATCCACATGGTAGACGCTATTGGGGCAGTTCAGGGGTATGAACGACGTAAATCATTGGAAAAGTTGAAGAAACTGGCGATGTGCGGAATATCACCACAAACACAAATAAAAATCACCAACACGGGCCTTCACAAGCCACTGCCGTCATGATACTTGCTTGGAGTTGACGGTGGCCTCAAGCGACAGTAAGAGGGGCTGACCTAAATCACCCAGAAGCAACGACACAGAAAGTGGACCAGTGATGGTGACGGTGGAGAGGGGGAAAGAACATGGCTAAATTGTCTCCTGGGCTGTTTTAAATACCTCTCTGTCGGGCATCTCAGGGCGCTCAGACGACCAAGGGGCACTTTCATCACCAGCAGTAGGCATGGCATCTCTGCTCAATTGACTTGTGCGTAAAGAAGTCGTTTCCCCTGATCGGCGTGGGCCATCCGCATTTCCAATCGGGTCCGCTACACCTCTAACCCCCAAAACGGCGCGGATGCTTGTATCTTCTCCAAGCTCTGACAAGAATTCGCTTTGACCAGCAACAGAGTTACCGACCGACGACGGGCGGTCCTGCACGTAAGGTAACGATGTATCCGAAGACATTGGTAAGGTCCCTGAAGCACCGAACAGCGCTCGAGTGCTAGCATTCTCCTCCATGAACTTGCGATTATCGACGCCTGGGAGAATTAGAAAAGAGCCTCCATTATTCTCTGGTATCGGACGCAAGGAGGTAGACTCGGAAGGACGGCCAACGGTGTTATCTTCGCTTCCTTCCGCTGTGTTCTCTGCGTTTGTGTCTGGATTGCGTCCAACAAAAGCAGCACCATTAGCGAAACTCGACTTGGCAGCACCAAGACGCTCATCTTGCTTGGAGTTGACCTGCTGAGAGGTCCTGAGTGGCAAGCTTGAACATGAACCCGCCTGACCAACGTCAATGGCCTTGCTGGTTGTCTTCTGGCCAGTCTTCTTGGCGTCTGTGACCTTCTCCATTGTTCGCTCGTCATGCTTGCTGCCCCAGCCACTCCATAATGCAAGGCCATGATTCTTTTTAGTGTGACGTTTAGGCAAGACTTCTGGAGCTGCTCGTCGGGCAGCCAGAGAACTGGGAGGAGGGCACTCTCCATCAAAATCTTGGAAGCCATGAGCCATTTCCTTGATGCGTTGGGTCTGAACGCGAACCTTTTCCTTAGCAAACCTGATGTCCCATTCGTTCTTGGCCTTGAGCCATTTACTGATCAAATCAGGGTTTATGGCGCCGACTTTTTCTGGGGGTATAGCCAATACAGGGTAGGCAGAAGGGGGATCCAGATGGTATAAGTGGCCCCTCTTGTCAACCCTTTGCCGAATCATGTAGTTCTCAAAGGCGGGTAAGGGATCCCCAGCTATACCAACTGAGACGCCCGCGGGGAAGGTTGGCTGACGGCCATCTAAGGAGGCTTTGGGGCTAACTGATCCATCTTCGTCACTCGATGACGTTGGAGACAGCAGATTGTGATCCATAATATCCACGTCCGTCTTTTGTGCACGAGCAAGTGCCCAAGCTCCAAATTGAGATATAGAGCGGAACATGTACTTCGCCGGCCGTGTGAAACTGAGAGTAGGGGCAACATGACACAAATCATCCCATACTTGAAGCTGGACATGCGTTGGCTCGTACTTATTCAGGACTTCACGATTTGGATCAAATTCATCAAGATAGATGTCAGCTGGAGGATATGCGGTCGGGTTCGCGGCTTTGTGAGCCACATAGAATTGCTCATCCCGAAGCATCTCACCACTGCCGCTCAGAATCTGCAGGGGCGGAAGTCCACCAAGAGAGGGCTGCAGAATGGGTGACACGAGCGGGTGGGACATTAGCTGATTTGTGGCATAAAGCTGGATCTGGTCTTTCAACTCTACTGTCTCGCCAGACAACATGACACGAATGTTGTCAGGCTCTGCATGCAGATTGTTCGGATCGGGGCTCTGTTGCATCCCCGGGTACGCGTGATTCTCCGTCCCATGCTTCTTGCCATGGCGTGTAAATCCTCGAACAGCCGTCTCCATTGTGTCTCTGTCGGCTGTGGGACCAGCAGCCTCGAGTTCATCTGCTGTGACTGTCTTTTTCTGGGAAAGTTTCTTGATTCTGAGAAGTTCATCGGCGTTCGGCGGAGGCCAGGCGACGGATGGCTTGTGTCTGAAGCCATAGGGCGGAATGTAATCGCCGGGGTTGTCTGCGACAATACTCGGGAAGGAGTGAGTAAGGTCTACCCACGGTGAGATTAGAATTGCACCGGCAGGCAGTGGGATTCCTTGGTCGCGCATGATGACCAGTAGCGACAGTGACATCCCACCACCCGCCGAATCACCAGCCAAGATAATTTCCTTTGAACTGTAGCTTTCCAACAGCCACAGGTATGCTGCCAGACAGTCTTGCAGCGCGCACGGGAATGGGTATTGGGGGGCCAGACGATAGTCGGGGGCGAATACACGCCCTTTAAGCTTGCGAGCATGCCTCTGTAACATGTAGCGATGGGTATCAATGCTGCCAAAGAAGTAAGCACCGCCATGTATATACAGCATGATTTTGTTGCAGCGCTCGTTGGCTTTTTCCCGCTCGGTATAGTGATTGCGCATCTCGATCCATTCGCCCTTGAGTTCTTCACTTGGCCCACGCCATTGCCACCATTTCTCGCCGCCCACCCGCACCAGTCCCCGTGGACCTAGTTGGTGGGCGAGAGCCGTTGCTGCCCTCGACAAGAAGTCATTGGGAATCGTGATTGCCTCCGTTCTCACCCAATGTGGACTGGGGACCCATTGGCGTGAGAACGCCTGCAGGTCCTCCACGGGGTGCTTGGAGGCATAGTAGAGAAATTGCCGAACGATTTGAATTCCCTCGTCATATGTTAAATGCACCTGGGGATGTGTGTGTCGTGCCTTGCGATGGATATACTGCCAAGAAGGAACGTAGATGTTAGCGCATGTAATTATCTCGCGACGAACCGCTAGGTCCTCGCCAAAGGAAAGCTGCTCAACAGCAGAAAGAGACCCACATGATCGATGAGAGCCTGGAGAACGGTAGGCGTGAGAGCCGCGCCTAATGCGACCGTATGCAAAGTCATGATTGTTCCATTCTCTTGAGAGAAAGGGTGTGTCGCAGGCGAACTTGGGGGAAGAAGACGATCCTTGTGTACCAATTTGGAGAAGTAGATCGATCTTCCCCCCTGGACAATGATTCGGTAGGATTGGCTGGCTGGACAGGACACCAAGGGGCTTGTGTTTTGACGTCATTTCAAAGAGTTCATGGTTCGTTTGATGTTTTCGCTCAGCCACCCCGAAACCATTGCGGCCGCTGAATGGGGGCACGGGCTAGACGAAGCGGAGCATGCCCTCCAGGGTCCAGATTGCCCCGATCTCTTCAAATTGTCGTGAGTTCTTCTGCAACTTGGCACAAAGGGAAGTGATTCATCGACATTGCGTATTCGTACGGAACACTCGAACTGAGGCTGAAGCACTAGTTCAATGTCTGGGGTAGGTTGGTAACCTTTGACATTGTTAGGTATGGACGACTCCATAGTCCATACTCACCTCCCAGTCCTAGAACCCAAGCAAAGACGTTGCGAGTGAACATTTTCAATCCTAGCAACGTGCCGATTGAGTTGATGAGCTTGTGGCTGACCGTGTATTTGCAGCATCAGTGGATCCAGGCCAGAAATTCAGTAATTGATGGGGCTGACCCGGGTGATCCGGTCAAATCGCAAACAAAGAGTGATTTGCAAGTGGCAATTGCAGGTTGACCATTACAACACGTGAGCATGTATCGCATGTCAGGAAGGCCGAGATCTCGGACGGGCGGGAACAGTTGAAAGAACCATAGCCGTCAAGTCATGGATGACTTGTGTGAGCAGTCATAGGTGCATTGCGAGGTGCTTCTGCTATTTTTTTCCTTGATTGCGGCCAACAATAAGCTTATACCTTGGTCATTGGGGCCATTCGTGCAGTATATATTAATCGGTTGAGAGGTTACGGGCTGTATGTCTCTGTCGTGTGACTCTTCGTCGATTGTTTGACGAGCCCGCCAAGTTTCTTTTTCCTTGAGATGGGCTCCAGGGGCAGTTGAAAAGAATTTCCCTTGAGATACAAGTCAAGCCATGCAATACGCGACAGGTACCTCTCGAGCACTCCTGGTCATTTTCATGATATGGATTCAGCCCGAGTAACGAATCTCTTCTTCAACCACGGGCGCTGATGGATCAAGGCTCTTCCTCGGCCACTCTTCCTTCAACGGGTTCCCAGCGAAGGGCAATCAGTCTTCAACCAATATTCGAAATAGCGACCTTATGTATAATCGCGGACACATGGGAAACAGTGTGAGATGAATTCAAGTCTGACTCCTCAGCTCTCTCCGTGACACAAGCCAATCATGCACATTCCGTGAGTCCATACTCACCTCGTTCATCCACTCACAGCTACTATAGAACTAAGAGCAGCCTCGGCGTGCTGCCTTCCCGACAATGACCACTATGTACATCAGCCCCAGCACCCCGGCGACAGTCCCATATGCAATGACCGCTCCCCTGGGTACAGCAGAAGACCCGATACCTGTCAACTCAAAGCCTAGCCCTACATTAATCACTCCCAGGATGATCATGGCTCGCCCGAGCCATCGATGAAAATAGGCAAAGGGACCCTTGCCTCCGCTTTTCTTGAAGTGGCGATGTTGCAATAGGCCCATCAGAGGCTGGAAGAGCACGAGGCAGCAGACGACCACAAAGCCGACGATGGCATGATGATGTTTGAGAATATGAACATCCTTGGCCATGGAGACTCCCAGTCCGAATCCAGCGACTGTCATTGCCAAGGTGAACAGTTGGATCGAGGCATGGATTCTCACTGTCTGGGGCGATTTGAGAAGGTGAAGTGTTAGCGCGGCAAGTGGGAAGAAGAGGACGAACGCCAGCGTCATCAGTACTGCATGGGCAGTTCTTTTCCGATCAAAGCCATTGTGATCAAAGGGTTGAGTCCACGCCTTGGTGATGGATCTTCGATCAATATTCAACAGTGGGTTGTCGTTGTCGGGGCCCGTGGCCTTGGTGAGATTGACATAAAAGACACCAAAAGCATCGTGCTCGGCAATCTTGGCCGTCAAGCTTAGTGTGCCCAACGATGCACCGAACTTGATTGCCCAGATCCAAGGACTGAACGCGTAATTGAGATTGGTGGCGCGACTCGGCGAAAGTTTGCAATTGTCACACCGGACATTGGCAGTGAGGGTACCATCATGGACTCCGGTTCCACTGATGAGCGAGGCACGGAGAGTCTTGTCATACAGCGGTTCATAGTGGCCTTTGCCTGCTCGGGGAGAAAGCGTTACATTGTCCCCCGAGGTATACACCACGAACATGCGAGAGTCGTGCATCGCTGCTCCTTGTCCCAGAGCAAACCATTCGATTGGTCGAGATGTATTCATTTGGAAATAGAGGGGACCATCACCTGAATGGGCGGTGCTTTCAGGAACTCGGATTGTATACGTGAGCTCGTCATGCTTGAAGGGGGCAAAGCCCTGATATTGGGCCTGGGTATGCAGAACCCATGAGAATGAGGAGAACAGGGCGAGAAAGTCTCTCTTGGGCATTTCGACCTTGTTGGAAATTGTCATGTGCTTTGTGGTCTCTTGGATCTGGGGTGTAATGGTAGATAAGTAATTCGAGTCTAGGGCTTCACTTCCTTTACTTGGTTACACAACCACAAATCCCCTCTGAGCAGGCATGTTCCCATTTGATAATGTCGACATCAAGACACGGAACGTCGCCTAGGACTGCAACTCTTGTCAGCCATCCGCAAATACCCAAACATGTACGGAACATGGCTGTGGCCAGGCCTAGAAATCATAGGTTCGGACCAGGTAAGTCCCAGACTCCGACACTCAATCTTCTAGACCTATCTCTGAGGCAAATAACGAGAAATGCCATGTATCGAGACAGCATGGTAGGGTTCAATGTCTAGTCCAGTGGGTTTTGCTGCACCCCTTCCATTTCAAGCGAGCCGCCTGTGGTACAGCAGCAAACTCCTCCATTTCTGATAGCAGTAGTCTTGGCCCTGTCGCAGGGGTCGGGCATAAGGTCATGGATTTGGCAGTATGTGGCGGTCCATATTAGACTCTGACAGGTTGTCAATATGTAAGAGGCTAAGAAGAGAGGTATTAATTGATGGAATTTTTGTCAATTGGATTTATCCTGGCGGTCTCCCACTCATCCGCTATGAAACCCGTCGTTGGATTGGAAGAATACTATGAGTCGTTGGTTGCCTTGTGTACTAAGGCAGACGGAAGGCAATAGAGGAGTGCCGATAACTACGGCCATGGACGTCTAATGTGTTCAAATAGCGTTAGTTCATTCATGTAAATTTTCTTTGCTATCAAGACGGCAATTTCCTACATCTGTACAGGGGAAAGCATGTTTCCACTTGACGTTCATCTCAGAATCATGACTTGATCCGTCGCAAGCCCCGGGACGTCAAATCTGTGGGAGTTGCAGGCTCGTGAGAAATCTCTATGGTGGTCTCCTGGTACACAACAGTAAAAGTGGAGAGTTCCACGTCACTTTTCGGCACAATGTCGTCTGTCGAGTCATCGAACAGATTCTTTCGACTGACCTCCTCTTGCTCCACCTCATGATTCTCCGAGCGTCGGAGCTTTGAGCTGATCTTCGAGACTAACCGAGACTGCTTTCGAGGTCGATCCTCTGGTACGGCGGTGGTGGTGATCTGGGTGTGCCATTCAGAAATTGTATTGTCATAGATCCGATCCGTCGTGTGATGCTCAGTATCGAGTAGCAGATGACGGCGGGTGAGAGCATAAACTGCCACGTCCACCACACCTGAAAGGGCCATGAAAGATCCAGCAACAGCGAAATAGGTCTTTCCAGGAGGGTGACCGCGAGCCGTGGCCATGCGGCCCGCTGCCAGAGGTAGCGACAGGACGAGATAAATGAAGGGGTAAATGACCATGTAGATGACGACACGGTTGAGTCGATGGAGACTCTCCTGTTGACCGATTCGTAGCGTCTTTGCCTGAGCCATACGACGTCGAAGACGAATGAACAGGATGGTGTAAAGGAAGACGGTGCCGAACTCGGCACTGAAAATCCAAAAGTAATGGCCCCAAAACCGGCCATGTTCATTCGCGGGGCTAAGCCAGCACTGCAGCTCGGACAAGTGGTCGTCAGATTATCTGCTCCTTCATCTTTTTTTCGCCGATATTGAGACGGAGGTTATGGATTATGATTGCTTACCCAGTTGGCTTCTGTGATGACAAACGACTGACTCCCGTGAATGCTCACGGGGATGACTCCCAGAATGAGAATAAAAGCCCACAGTCCGATCAAGAAGCATATAAACACTTTGAAAGGTAGTTGACGACCCCGTAAGACCACGGCACTGGTATGCAGCGCAATCGAGAGGACAAATAACCCACTGCCCGGGTCGGCGGTTTGAATCCACCATCCCTGCAAGTAGCACGCTATTTCTCCAAAGTGCACTCTACCTTGGCCAACCCAATATAGACAGATCACAAAGGCTATGGCTTGCTGTAGGTCGACGAGCAAAAGATTGTAGATGAGTACGACGTATTGGTTGTGCGCCAACGGGTGCTTATAGTATTGCTGCCAGAAGATGAATCGATGGGTAAGGAACGTTAAGAGGCCAATGGTCGACACTAATGAGAGAAGTGCCACGACCCCCATCATGATGAAGAGCGAACGTTCCAGACCCGTGAGCGGCGTCTCCTCGGTGAACTCCCATCGGCGGGTTACCGATGGCTGACCAGCGCCATCGAGATACAGAGCACCCAGCAGGTGCATCAGCACGACCATGGCAGGCCGGGCAGGAAAGGTGAATGCGGAAGCACTCAGGGCCGTGTCCGGACGAAAGGTGGAAGTCCTTCCATTGGAAGCCGATGAGAAAGTTCTGGAAAACCAAGTATCTCCTTTGGCGCAGTCGTGCACTTTAAGGTTATTTTCTCCCTCAACCCAAGCTCCGTCTGCGTGCTTGACAGGAGATGGGGCTGATTATTTCAAAGCCCACTAGATCCGGGATCGTCCCTGCGGTGCAAAAGTAAAAAAAGACTGGCTCAAACAGCGACGGGATGACTGGCGTCCAGAATCCTCCCGAGCACAGACGCTGATCAGTCCCCGCGGGGCGAAGGTTTTTACGAGAGTGGTCTCTCGCAAATTTCTAGATCGGTCAGAGAGCCACTTGTGAGTCGTGCGGTTCACGTGGTCTGTCAGGTCCAGTCCAGTACAGCAAAAGGTCGGAAGTCGGAGGATTCAGATCGGTGCCCCAGGGAGACGTAGAAGCCGAGCCGCTTCTCTCGCATCTCCACCGATTGTACCGCTCAAATTTGAGCAGTTGCCCGTACCACTTCTGTACGGACTAACTGGGACTACTGGTGTTTCAAGGCAAAGGAGAAGCGCAACGAGGGCTCCCTGGTGGTTTGTCCACTGTCGCCGGCATGCACCAGTCGCTCACTTTCATCGGGTAGTATACTGACATCGTCTGTCACTGTGCTGCCCAGTGAAGAGTCTAGGCCGCTCAATCCGTTCAACCTCCACCATATGAAGACCAGGGCTGTCGTGTGCGTATTTGCGAAGTTCAGCGAAAGAACACAAACGGAAAAGGAAGGTAAGTGTAAGCTGGTGATTTGCGGATGAGATAACCGCCGATGAGACATACTCCACCGGCGCTTGACACGTCTCTCCGCAACCCAAAGTACATATTTTAGTACTAAGTTAGTGACTTACTACTTGCAGTAGTATATTTCAGATCGGAGATGCCGCAGCTGAGCATACCTAGTGCATACAGCAGTACAGCAGCTGAGCGCACTGCACAGTAGTAATATGTAACTTACAGACTGGTTAACGTACAGATTATTGTACTCTAAACTCTATTCCACATTGGGGCAAGCGGATGCCCCCTTCTGGACGTGGAAATCGTGAAATGGTGGGTCTCAGCCTCGTATTCGACCCACCGGGAAATTGAGATGAGCGCCACAGCACTACTGCGCAAGCACTGAAGCAGTCCCTTGTCTCTCGGAAGATCAAACGAGCCGAGGGGTCGACGTACCGACTTGCGGTTCTCCTATCACGAGAGACAATCGCCTCTTCTACGAGAGTTCACATGATCACATCCATAAGATCGATGAGATACGGCGCTGAATTCTCCGGATTCTCCCATCTCCATCCCAGCTGCCTCAACTGACGTTCAACCCGAAATTGAATGATGATAAGGATGGTTGTGAGGATGATGAATGTGACGAGCAACAACAGCAAAGGTCGTCTTCGAGTCTCAGGCTTTGATGATGTTCATATTTGTCTTGAACTTCCAATGGGAGATCGTTTTGCACATGGTCTCGCAGATCAGGCGCAGAACTCTCAATTGACGGCAAGTGAGGGCGCTATATCACGTGTCTTCGTTGCTTCCTTGCTTGCTGTCAATGGCCGACGCGCTTTCCCCCTTCTACTTACCTGAAGCAGGTTCAACTAGACAGTTAAAGGGTGTCTATCCTGCGCCGGAAGGATTCGCCTTCTTGCTTTCCCAAACTCCTCCCTTTTGGTCTCTATTGCTTCTTTCTGCGCTTGTAGTGATTTAGGGTTGTGGGGGTTGTCTGATATAGTTTTCTGACATGGGATTCATTCTGCCACTCACCACACATCAGCTACGTCAGTGGGCTCCCAAGTACTCTATACTCTTTAGCTCTCTTCTGTTCCGTCATTGACCAATTCAGTGCGTTTTCTCCTTCTTTTCTGACTTATGCAGGCGGGGCCATATCAACATAAGTAAGAATGACTGATGTAGAAGTGCATGGATCATGTTCCGAATGTGACCAGTGATAAATCTCAATTGCGGAACATCTACAACGACTAAGAGGAAGAAAATGAGATCTATATGTCTCAGACTCTCAGTTCCCTCGTAACTGATACAATATATGATTCATTGTATCGACTAGACTTGACCCCCAATGGATAGATGCACCGTCAGTATGAGCTCGACTTCTATTCAATAAGACGGGAGAGGGTTAGATTAGTCACGCGTAAGTCACTGCCCCTTATACTCGAGTTGTTCCCATATTTCAAGCATGAGACTAACAAAGGACTGATATCTACTCAACAGGATGGCGAGGTGCCAGCCATCTGGCTAGGAGCTTTGAGAATTCCGCATCAGCTCAGCTTTTCAGAACATCTCGCAAGCGACAAGATTAGTTTCGTCTCATCTCATAACTTCTGTAACGATAATGGTTAATAATCTGGCTGTCTTGCTGGATGTCTTGCTGGATGTCTTGCTGGCTTGTTTGTCCATATCTTCTGGATTTACTTCAAAGCTCAGGTCACAGAAGAGAAATAGGCAAAGATGAAAGACAGAGGTCGTAATCGCCCGTCCGCCAACCTCAGTGTTCAACAACACGAAAGACGGCAACCAAGATTTCCGGTGAATCTTTGGTCTACTCACCCATAGTACCTCCACGGTCAAGAGGTTCAACTAAAAGGTTGCTACGGCCGTGCTTCTGGAGAGATTAGCAATGCAGCGCGTGACAGACGCTCTATTTTGAGCCGCGAGTCGAAATTGGAGAGATGCGAGAGGTCTCTTCGCGAAATCGGCTCGGTGGAACCTAGAGAGGACTTCGGTCTATTCGAAGACCTTTTGTGCGTATGAGTATTACCGCATTCAGACTTCCTTTGCCTTTAATTCCGTTGAATGAGGTTACCTCATGCTAAGCTACTTGCCTGCTCTGCTTACCTCCTACCAAACGCCTGTAGCCCCACGGATCCTGACTGCATCCCCGAAGTCCGTGGCCGCATGCGCATGATAATCGCATCACGTCGCCTCCAGCACGTTTTGGTAAAACTTTCATCAGTCATGACAACGTAAACTCCCTTTCATGTGCGCCTGGACCACTAGCCTTCGAATATGACTGGGTGAAAACGCAAAGGCGGATCGAAAAAACACCAAAGTCCACCCCGAGAGGTTACAATGAGGACTACGAGCACTTGATCCGTCGTAGTCATGAATCATATCTCTGATTTAGCGTTGGTTATTGGATTTTCTATAAAGACCCAGTGGACGGAAGCCTCGAACCGACGATGGAGTTTTGATACGGGAGTTACCCAACAAATTTCTATCTAGACTGGAGCTAGCTGTGTTGATGGCGAAGCCTAGCGAAGCTGTATACAGTACGCATCAATGATAGTGGAAAATTAGAGATCGGCCTATGATTAATTAGACGTAGACCAGCAAATTCCGCCGCTTAACTTGCTATTGAACCGACACGGACGAGCAGAATACAAACCAATTATAACGGCGCTAGAGTAAATACCTTGTAGTCTAATAGTATAGGAATAAGTGCTTTTTGCATACTTATTTCTGTCATGATACAAGTACGTTTATATTCCCGTAAATTATGGTTGCATCCAAGCAGTCTGTCCGGTGATTTTGGATCGGAACTATCCCACCTACCTACCCATGACCAAGGAGAATAGTTCGTGGTAAAAGGTCACACCCGACTCTGTGAAAGAACACTTCCCTGTGCTAGATGTGTCGTGAGTGCTCTGGATCCCAAATGATCAGTTTTAGTGGTGGTTTCGAAGGCACTAGGACACGGCGTGCTCGTGCTCGTGCTCGAAACGGTCTAATCCTGAGTCTTTGCGAGAGTCCGAGCTGGCGAGGTGCAATACGGTAGGCTATCCCGTTGTATAGGTCATTCAAGATGTACACATACAGATCATCCGACCAGTAGTAAGGTCTTTTGTTGTCTCTCGTCCACCTGAGGCCTGTCTCGGAATCAAGATCCCACAGTGCAGTTCGATAGTCTCTGACATCTTCAATAGCTACTTCTTTAAGCTCGCCATTCTTGTCTTCCACCTTCAAACTGCCCTTTTTTTCAGGATGCAAGGCCGTATCAGTTCGCTTCAACTTTACAAGCCATGCATCGTCGCAGAACAGGCGTGGGGGTTTAGCCATACTCTTGCCATCAAGATGTCCTTCGACCATTTCCAGGACACCTTCTGTTGTATGTAATGTGTAGATATATCAGCGGCTGTTCCGGTCAGGATTGGCAAGATGCACTTCATAGGTGAATTGGTCTTGCCCTGCACTCTAGCAATAGACTCGTCATTCTCAACCCTACAGTAAGTGAAGAGGTACCGTTTAGCAATGCGAGACTTCTTCGCTAAAGGATCCCTTGCATCTGCGATTGCTTGTAGACCGGCTGCAACGGGCAGTCCTCTAGACTCGGCTAGGAGGTAGCCCAGGTTTCAAGGGCGCGCCGGTGTTGGTGACAGCCGCCTTTTGTATCCGTGTTCTTGATCAGTGTTCGTATGGCATGTGATACTGCCGTCTCACCGCAGTCCATAGCCTCGATGAAATCTCTCCTGGCTACTACCGGAGGTAGTCAATCTCCCCCTCATGGCCTCATCCTCTCTCTTACATCATGTAGCTGCATCTCATCGAGAACCTTGGCCACACAATTAATGCACGCCTTCGGCTTGACTCGAGCCGCCACCAAGCCGCCTGGTCCAATCGCAAGTCACGACTGAATGTCTGCAAATCAGCTGAACTGTGTTCCAGCTCGCTTTGGCGGGGTCCGTAATACATGGTCATTTACCAAAGGGCTCGTTATCACTCCCCAAAGAGCGCAATGCTTGGTTGTATTTATATTCAAACTAATCAAGCGAGGCATGAGACGGCCGTCATGCGAGAATGCAGTCGGAATGGAGGGCAGGTTTCGCGAACCGCCATTTCACGGGAAGGTCTGGCTCCCAGAAATAATTTTTTTTTTTTTTTTTTTATTTTTTTCTCACAACACACTGTCCGATGTAGATTCATCGAAAGGTCAAGGTGAGGGCGCCCTCCCGATGACCGTACAAAAAGGAGGCTCAGGTGGCGTCGTTCGACTTCCTCCGTATCTTCTCGTGCGTCCTATTCAAGAAGCTTTCTCAGCGCTACTGAATGTCTCCCTCGCGCCGAGTCTTGTGAGTCCGGTAAGTTGAAGGTCCTACAGATGTTGAAGATGTCATGACGCCGGGGCACTTGCAATCAGCCACCTCCGTTCTCGGGTCTTCAGCGCGGGAGGGTTCTTGTTCTGCCCGGGCAGAATCACCAGCGGACCCACTCATGGCTCCGAGGGCTTATTGGCTCGATAACCATGTCTCCAAACGACTTCCCTTCCCTCAATATCATCCACGAGGTATCCCGCACTCGAAGGAAATTCAGAAATGTGAGATCAGTTTCTCTGGCGACATCGAAGCGTAAACTCCATCTGAAGTTGGCCTCGTAAGAGTCCAGGATTCGATCCTCGATTTCGGAAAATGTATGTACAGTAAAGGCTGCAAAGCGGCCCGGGGGTAAGTGAAACCAAAATTCTTCCCTCCATGAATCGAGGGCGTTCCAAGAGATTTGCGTCATAGGCCGCTGGGCCTCTGGATTCCTCTATAAATGATGCCCACTCCTTTGGTAGAACCCTAAGAAGCTCGCTGTCTCTCTCGTCTTTCTTCACGGCTTTCACCTTGTTTCCTCTTCCCTCCGGTCCTCCGGTTCTCCGGACACTCATTGCCATCCGTTACTATGTCGTCAGCGACTCCTAGTATTCCTGATGGAGACTCGCCACCTTTGACGAGAGAGAAATCCTCCATGTCCTATACGTACGACAATCTCACCGGGTGGAAGAGCGTGCGTGTTCTTCGAATCGGGAGGGGCATGTTTCATGATGTCAAGAGGCGTCTCCCTTACTATTGGAGTGACATTCGTGATGCGTGGACCTACCGGACTATTGCCAGCATCATACGAATGTATTTCGTGAAGTAAGTCACGACGAAGCCTCACGGTCGGCTCGAATAGCTCACGACTCTATCTTCTTAAGTATGCTTCCGGCTATCGCATACACGCTGGACATGAATCGCCGGACTGGCCAGTTCTATGGAATCAACGAAGCGCTCTTTTCGTCTGCGCTGGCGGCGATGGTGTTCAGTCTTCTTGCCGCACAGCCGCTGACCATTGTTGGCATCACCGGTTTGATTTCTCTCTTCAACTACACCATCTACGACATCATCATAATCTACAACCCATCTATTTATCCGCAATTCATGTGCTGGGTGGGGATCTGGGGGGCGATCTTCCACTGGATCGTTGCGTTATGCAACATGTGCGATTATATGCGTTACGTGACAGATTTCTCCAGTGAAGCATTCGGCTTTTATGTTGGCACTATCTACATCAGTAAGTCTCCCCTCAGCTGGCCCCCTCCCATCATGCTAGACTGTCCGTCGCTATGGATCTTCCCCAATCCATTAAACAAGGCCACTGACTCGGACACCAGGCAAGGGCATCGAGGAGTTGATCAGTGAGTTCACCAGCAGAGGACCTACTGCTGGATACATGAGTACTATGATTGCGATCCTCTACTTCTTGACCATCTGGGCACTGGAGGGCATTGGATCGAGCACGATCTGGCGCCCTGGTTTCCGGGGATTGCTGGCGGACTATGCATATGTGGTAGGTAATTCCGCACGACCTCGATTCCAGCATTATACTGCTGGCACTCGAACATGGATTGACACTTCTGCCTTGCGTCTAGATCGCAACGATTTTCTGGGTCGGGTTCTCGCACATCCCTGGCCCGCTTAAAGCGGCAGATGTAACTCGCGTCCCCATCAGCAAAGCTTTCTACCCCACGCAGCCGCGAAGCTGGGTCGTTCCGTTCTGGGACCTGAGCGCCAAATGGGTGTTCGCAGCCCTGCCCTTTGGATTCCTGATCATGTTGCTCTTCTACTATGACCACGTACGAGACCAATCAAGTCCATCTTGCCTGGGCCGTGTCACTGACCTGTATCATTATCCAGAACGTCAGCAGCTTGACTGCACAGGCCCGCCAATTCCCACTCAAGAAGCCCGCTGGCTTCCATTGGGACTTTTTCCTCCTCGGTTGCACAACTTTCATTTCGGGGGTTGTCGGGATCCCGTTCCCTAACGGATTAGTTCCACAGGTAATGGCGGCACTCCCGGTCCATCGCTGAGTATTCCAAGCCACTGATCACAGAAGCCAGGCACCCGTACACACCGACTCCTTGACCGTCTATGAGACGGATGTCCGTGTGATCCCCTCCGAAGAAGGCGAAGGAGCCGAGATTCGACGTCCTATCGTGAATGCAACCGCGGTCGTAGAACAACGAGTATCGCACTTTGTGATGGGGTTAGCAATCATCGGGACCATGACTGGTCCTCTCCTGATCGTGCTCCATACCATGCCCTCGGCCGTTTTTGCAGGAGTCTTTTTCATCGTCGGGTGGGGTTCCATCGGCTCCAACGGTATCATGAACAAAGCCTTGCATGTCTTACAGGAAGATCGATTCATACAGCGTGCTGAACCTCTTATGAAAGTACGAAACCGCAAGATTCTGTTGTGGATCGCTTGTCAGCTTATTGGTGTCGCCGCCTGCGTTGCGATCTCTGAAACAATCGCCGCGATCGGTATGTGACTTGTCCGTCCTTTTTTTTTTTTTTTTTTTGGTTTTCCTGAAGCCAATTCTCTAACCCATCCGACAACGTCTAGGTTTCCCCGTGTTGATCATTGCGCTCATCCCATTCAGGGTCTGGATCATCCCTAAATGGTTCTCTCAGGATGAGATCAGCGTGCTCGATGACATGACGGCCGACAACGAAGCCGTACTGAGCAGTCTAGGTGGAGCGCCCCGCTTTCCTGGGGAAGGCAGGGAAGTCCGGGAGCACGGACTTGAACGCCGGTACTCAGAGCAGAAGAGGGGCGTCAGCAGGCAAAGAGCCGGCAGCATTCACCGTTGAGCATGCATCGACATGCACCAAAAAGAGATACTCGCGGCTTGGAAAGGTTGCCGGGCGAGTCGCAGGTGTAATCCTGTCCTTATTTGTATGAGCTTTGACGTACCGCGATTGTGAAGCTACACCCCGTGAGCGGGACTGTATTGCGTCGTTGACTACTACTGTGGCGGAAGCTAGGCGGGAGCTATCTTTTGGCGTCACCAGGAATCGCCCTTTTTGGGTCCATGACACAGTACTGCAGGTTCCAATAGAGAAACTATATCCACGAAATGCTGAATTCACGTCCAGACCATCAAGTAGGCTAAGTCGAGGCTGGGAAAACGATCTACTCCGGTCAACTCCGGTCGGGCCATGATGACTTTTCCGACATTCGGGATCTATCGCATACTTACGATGGGTCGGTCCGCTCTGGATCGGGGGTCTTCAACTTTGTGCTGCATCCGATGACGTGGAGGCTGGAGTTCAAATAGCAAGGAGGCCCAAGGTTGTAAACTATGAGTTCATGATCAACCTGACGAATCCAGTGGACTCGACAGTCATTGGCTGCGCTGAGTCAGAACGGTTTTTGCTCAGGCAGACCGGTGGAGTAGTGCGCCACAGGTTGAACTTGTGGCCGCGACCTTTCTATTCTTTCTCTACCCTTCAACCATGCATCCGATCGTGCACCATCCTGTTGTGACCAAAATATCAGAGCTTTTTGGCAATGGAGACTTTGAATCTCAGCTGGGTTCTGCTCTCAGTCCACTTGGGCCGGGTGATCGTGTCTGCGTACGTATTGACGCGGTGATTTGCGTCACGAATACATTCAGCTCGAATGCAGCTGCTGATGATGGCATGTCGCTGTCACTCGTAAGAATCACCAGAGACGCTTGGGGGACTAGACATTCGGCGGGCGTGTGAATAACTCAGCTCCTCCTTAGGGATGGTTGACCGTGGAAAACAAGCAACCCTTGACGATAACACCGAGACAGGCCGCACTGCTGAGGTCTTCACTATCAGTAAGGTCCAACACGTGAACGGTCTTTCCAATGCACTTGGACGCCAACGCTGAGATGTTGTTCGAGATAGCCGGACTCTCCTTCGCAACCGGGCTGTGATGGCGGCCCAGTGACTCCTCAGTCCATATCCAACGAGTATCACAATCCGAGGCGCAAGACTGTCAGTGGGCTTCGGCTGTCAAATCCATCAGCTTTGTCGGCGACGAAAGAAAAGCCAGAGTCGGATAGTGACACAAATGCGGGACCTGGTTCACAACCATACGACGTGAGGATTCAACCTTCCGTTCGTCAGTTCCACAGCGACGCCCGCTTCCCTCAGCGCAAGAGATCTACGAAGGATGGAAGCGCACCTCCGTTGCAACCGTCTTCTATAGATAAATTTATCTTGGGCATTTGGATGCAAGTACATTCGCCAATCACTTTGAGTGTATCATTCCCGGTGCGTCTCCTTCCAGATAGGGCTCATGGGTTTGCAGGACCCCCTGACCAGATTACAGGACCGCAGACCCGGAATCAATGTCGGGACTGGTGTCAGTCGAGAAGTCAGTTCCATCTCATTCCTTGTTGATAGCGCAACTTAGCTGAAAGTTCGCTCATTGGCGCTGCAGGTCTTTCGAGTGATCAGCAGTCTGTGCAAAGAATATAATAACCAAAGCAGGTCCTCACGGGCTCTAGAAATGGTGGTCCAGGCCCATTGGGTGGAATGCTACGAAGCCCGAATCGCCTCCATTCTTCTTGAACATCCAAGCTGTACGAAATCTGAGGCTCGAATCATGGCGCTGAAAGAAGCCTGCAGCACCTTGGGCTGGCAGGAGAAGGAACTCCGGAACCGACTGTACGTTTGGTCGTCCTACAGGACTTACTCGACGCTTTTACGCTTACCTTGGGGAAGACGGACACTGACACGTCTATCATGAGCCAGGGCGATCTGGCGTGGCTATAAGGAAATCAAGGATTGGGGGGCTGGGCTAGCCTTATCTTTGCTGGCTCGGGGGTCTATCGCCTCTGCAAATATAGGATTGGCTTCAACGATGGATTGGCTGCTCGCTTGCGTAGCAATGCGTCGAGTCTCGAAGTTGCCGCCGATACGCTGCACCCTGGATGGCGGGATCTTCTCCGAATCATTGATCAGAACGAGCAACCTCGATATTCTGGTCACCCCCACGAATGGGTCATGGTCGATAGCGGACCTGCATTGCCGCTCAAAAACACATACTCTCATCTTTCGTCGCCTGCCGAGTTCCAGTTCGAGTTTGTGAACGACTGTGTGATTGACCAGACCGTCTTCGGGGCAGAGGACCCTCGCCGTGAGCCCGGTATCGATCCAGATTTCTGCCAAATATGCAAGGAACAGCAGGCTGATGACATGGCTTCCAATCACTGTTCCTGCTTCCCGACATTATTTGGGAGTGTCCGGTACCCTCCGCCGGTCCAGATATTCCACACTGCGAGTGGGAAGAACAACGGGGTGGTCGCCCGCTGTGTATGTTGCTAAAGCCCCCTCCCCCCAACGGGCCTTTTTGGCACCACTAGGATTGAGGTTTGATGATGAAATCACTAACGTCTTACACTTTGAAAGCACTTTGAAAGAGGCACGGCTATTGCTGAGTTTGTCGGATTCATTACTCGCGGGATTGACGGGGTAGACGTGATGGTGGGTGGCAACGCCGAACGACCGTACCAGATCTTTCAGGGAAAGATGGGCAATTTCACACGGTTCATCAATCACTCTTGTCGCCCCAACAGTCAGTTCCAGAGGTTTTACTGGCGTGGAACAGAACGTGTGCTGGTCGTCTCTCGCGGAGTTTCAGCTGGCAGCGAAATCACGGTTGACTATTCGGATCTTTACTGGAGAAAGCTGAGAAAGAACTGCCTGTGTGGGGAGCCAGGTTGCCGCTATGCTCATCAGGCGGACCAAGGCTAGTAGTAGGTAGTAGGGACTCGACAGCATTCATACCACCAGTCATGGGTCACGTCTGTGCCGACTACCTAACCTAGTAACATTATGATTGTTGTCAGCTTATTCATCGAGAGGATGAACTCTGTCTGGCGATTTATACCGGGACGAGTCAAAGCAGTGATGCTAGGTCGAAAAGGTTTCTCAGACGCTAGTCAATGTCGAAAGAGCATGTAATCACCAGTGCCGTCCCTCACCTGGCATGCCATTACCAGGGCTAAAGGTTCTACGTCAAGTCATCCGACAGAGTGATCGGTCTTTGCAACGGTCTCATTCTTCCTCTCTCTCCCCTCTTTCGGTAGTGCTCACTGCATGTAGTCGCTGGCTTCTTTCTGGAGATCGTTCTCGCTAGCGCACTGGGCTCAAGGTTCAAAGTCCCCTTTTTGTCTATGTCGTCTCGAACAACGCTTACCATGTTGGTACACTAGCCCGAAAAGCTCAGTGGCAATCATTCCGATCCTCCATCGTAAGAGTACTGGTACGTCTTCTGGATAAACCTGGGAAATCGCCTGTGGAATGACGATGCCTTGCAACGCAGATGGAAGATCGAGAAGTCTGCCACAACGTGGTCGGTCGTTGTTCGAGTGACGATCTCTCCTCGTTTTTTAGAGTTCGTGCCGTGCCGCCGTTGACTTTAACCCGCTCCGCGCTTTGCCCATTGGTGGCGTTTTGTTTCACGTCTCTCGCCCGTCTCCATCTTCTTGAAGCTTATAGACCAGATGCCCTCCCCCCTCAACTGAGGAAATCTAACTACACCCTTCAAAATATGAGAAGAAAGGAAAGGAAAGGAACTGACTATGGCGTCACTTTGGTCCCTCATTGTAGTCTGGGAGCCGGGAACCCATGCCAGTGAACTTTGCTGGCCGATGAGAGTTAGAGACAACGCACTCGGTGCACCCGTCCAACTTGTATCGACGGTCACCGTAATCTTAGTACACTACTGAGTAGTGACTACCATTCAGTCGCTGCATGGGATCTCGCATTAGGGGTACAATGACCCAGCGACTATGTAGTTCCCGTCTTCTTACGCAGTGCCGATCTCCAAGTTGAAGGCCTGGCTTGGCATCACTCAAGTTTCAGCAAACTCTGCACCTGCCACCCACTAGTATTGGAACCTGGGTGGAAAGGTGGAACATGCTATATGCATGACAGGGGACTGACGGATTATTGGAGGGCGTATGTCACTCTAGTTCATCATTTGATCCATGTCCGAAGATTTTTGTAGGTATGCCGCCAACATCGGTACTACCAGACATGTACCAGGTACCTAGTAGTTCAGGCCGGGGCTCCCGCTGGGTTTTCGTGGAACGCTTTCATGTAGGGACTCCATCTTCAAAGCAATTAATTCACTTGAGGGTACGCAATGGAATCATTGGTTTGTCAAATGGAAGAGAATCGTTGTGATTGGGTGGTTCCTATTTCTGTCTCATTTGGAGATCTTTGGGATTTAAGACTGCTAGTAGTGGAGCATCATAGCATGTTGGGTTAACTACCCATCGTCCACACAAGTACTACATGTGTTTCCATTGGCTTGCACATATAGTTCGAAATATATCTCTGAAGCCCGGCCGAGCGGAGCCGCTCCGGCAGAGAGCCCCGGATGGGCCACCCCCAAGGTTGCTGATTGTTTGTATCATCAGATAGCTTTTCCTATAAATCTGTGCTTAATGACCTTGTATTCTCTCTGATTGATCCTTGTTAAGATCTGTATGTAGCACCGAAACACACATACCGTGGTCAAGTTCGATTGTTCCAACTGCCCGGTGGGCTCCGCCTGCATTGAATCCATTGGAGTACTGCAAGAATGCCACAAGGCTATTGTTGCCTATGACTCAAAGCACAAACAGGCAAACTGTTAAGCGGCCCCTTACATAAATAGTAGCGAGGGTCCGTAATAAATTGAAAAATTTGTAAAGGGCCAGTTAGTGCACTATCGTACGGGCGAGTTAAGACTTGGTTTATAATTCAGATACATTGCCGTCTATTCATCACAGCACGTCTCCGTGGCGCAATTGGTTAGCGCGTCTGACTGTTAATCAGGAGGTTGGAAGTTCGAGCCTTCCCGGGGACGTTCTTTTTTTGTTTTTGACGTCGTCTGTCCTGTCGAGGCGAGATCCTTTCCGCGGGGATAGCGGTGAGCCATTGACACTTTTATATCGGACGGGGACATTTTCCACTACTCTCTTCAGTGAGAATCTGTGGTGGAAAGCGGATCCGTCACAATCCACACTATGCACTGAAACTGGATATGGATGTTGTCGTGAGACTCGTGATTGACTTATGATCCGTACAGTCCCATCTACCCATTTGTATGTCGCCTGCCGCCACGAGTCTCATACCGGGCAATCCCAGGATGAGCTTGGAATTGCACAACAGTCGTGGCTGTCGGCCCAGCATTCCTCGGGCTGTCTCGCGGGGAAACACACATGACAGCGCCTTGATGTGACATTTGCAAGACCATGAGGGTGATCCACTCAGGCTCAGGTCGACCCCTTCAGCCCCAGCAGTCTGCTTCTAAATTGGGAGAAACAATCAAGACAACACGTGGAACAGAAGAAATCAAAATCCATTGAAGCTACGGCGACGTTACCTGCGTAGGATGACTTCATGTCACTTACCCGTTACCCACTACGCCGCAACATTGCAAATGTCTCATTAGTCAAGGTGGAATGAAGGTAGGGGTACTGGTACCTCTCGTCAATCTATCTGACCTGGGCTGCCTGAGACTCGATGCAATTCTGATTCCCATCCCACCAGTCGCACACAGTCCACAAGTCCACACCTTACTACCCGCATTCTTGGCTCATACATGCGGGAGGCCTGTTTCCTCAATACGTGCATGATCGCCGGTTTGCGACCATGGCATCCCCCCCATTATCAGCTGCCCTAATCCACGAATGCTCAGATGACCATCGAATGCCCGCTTCCCGGTATGTCCAAGACCTGCATAGGGTCGTATCAATGTGCCCGTGTCTAGATTGGTGCTCTACTTCCTCTCATCAGAAGGGGGGACCGTTGCCGTGCACCGTGGGAGGCAGTCTGGTTTCAAATGGGTGGCTGTGGGATGCTTGGTCTTAGTCAAGTAGATCTTGGCAGGCGAGCTATCAGTACGGTAATGGGATGGAGAGGAGTGATGCAAGAGTCCGGGGTAAATTCCTCTTGACTTGACTCTGCGGGTGGAGAGAAGAGATATAAATGAGCTCCAGATCCCCCGTGGAAGGCCCTTCCATACTGTATTGCAGAGTTACACAGCATTGACTTGAACCATTCAATTTTCGGACTTGAAGGCCACTCGAGATCGACAATTCAGATTGCTATATCTTTCATACCTCAGTATACAAGGTAGTCAATCAGCCTAATCCACCACTAATTTTGCGAGCTCCTCAGTCACCCAACCCTACTCGTGATCACCATGAAATCTTCCATCGCAAACTTGGCTACCATGTTGGCCTCCCTCAACATCGCCGCTGCAGCAATCATACCCATCAAGTATGTTGAACGAGGAGGCTCCGCTTCACTCTCCTACGACCCTGTCTACGACAACGCAGCTTCCTCCCTCAACATTGCAGCCTGTGGCAGTGTGCTGAGTCACAAGTATGCCACCTTTGGTGACTTACCTGGCTTCCCCCATGTCGGAGGTGCACTGACCATCTCGGGCACCGGCAGTGCCAAATGCGGAACCTGCTACCAGCTGCACTTCTCTGGCAATGGGGTCGACAATACGATCACGGTTTTGGGCATCGACACGGCTCCGGCGGGATTCAATATTGGCCTTCAGGCCATGAATGATCTCACTGGTGGACAGGCAGAGCAATTGGGAAGAGTCCAGGTCACTTGGACCGAGGTGGATGTCTCGGAATGTTCATGAGCCTTTCACTGCTGGTAAACGGTGGTGGTGGTGGTGGTGGTGGTGGTCTGAGAAATCCAAATTGAGAGGTGTATATATGTCTCAGGTCCAAGACATTCGAGGATGCTTGAGAACATGTGCGAGCAGGGCTGAGATATGTCGCGGTATGAGGATTGATGAATGAATGAATGACACCGCAAAGGTATCGAAGAAGATTAATACACATGATCCTATTTTCTGTGGACAACCATCTGGGATACAATATAATATACACACATTCTATATTCGCTTCATGCAATCAGCCAAGCACCTCTAGCATCTCTTCAACACGAGAAAACTTCTCGCGATTCTTTCCGCGTTCCTGACCTCGCTGTCGTTCAGCCGCGTCGATTCGTCGCCAATCCTGCCAAGACGTCGTTCGTAGACCTTGTCCCACCGCCTCCGACTTGATACCTTCCCAACCGAGGACGGTGCTTTTGGCTGATTGATCGACCTGTCGAGTCGTCAAATCCTGCAATATCGTATCGGCTGTAGTAAAAGCATCCGCCATGGTCGACGCAATCACGCCAGTCGGTCCACGCTTGACCCACCCTGCACAGTAAAGGCCAGGCAACAGGGCGATCATCGAGCCGTCTGGCAATTCCTGGGGAGCTCCCTTTCCGGAGGGGCTTCTCACGCGTCCAAAACCGTCGTTGGGGATGATTCCTCGCTGGGCATCGAATTCAATACCCAGGTCCTCCATGCCTGGTAATGGAAGAGACTTGTAGCCCACACTGCGGAAGAATACACTGGAGTGTAAATCGACCATAGCGCATTCGCCATCAGATGAATATTTGTTAGTCACTTTGGAGCTTGGACTATATGGATCGGCCGGATCGAGTTCGTTTCGCGCGAACCTGGCATGTGTCAGACGCGATGGGTGCGTGGAAGACCAGTGAAGCGAGTCGGGAGAGAGCAAGAAGTCCAACGACCAGGACTTCGGCGATGTTGTACGATCATTAGCAGAGCCTTTGGCGAAAAGTTGCATGAGTCGCTTTTGAGCCCGTGGCAGCCTCGAGACAAAATCTTCGGGAGGAAAGATATCTTGTGGAATTGGGTCAAAAGCCACATTAGGCAGCTGGAGAAGTTCTCGAATCTCCTTTATCGTGAAAGACGCCTAAAGAAAATCCAGTGAGTCAGACAGAAGGTGCTTATGATATATTCGGACAAGACAGATTTACCTGCAATGGCCCCCGACGGCCGACCACGCGGACACGCTTGATGCGGCTTCTAGATAGTGCTTCTAGAGCATGGTCTGCAATGTCGGTGTGTTTGAGAGCATCCACACCCGAGAGAAGGATGCGGGCCACATCTAGCGCGACGTTACCCTGACCCACGATGACAGCATCTTCACCGCTAGATAGGTCAGGTGCAAGATCACGATGTTCGGGTAATCCATTGTACCACCCAACAAAGGCCCGCGCCGAATAAACGCCTCGCTGAGCGTCTTCTCCAGGAATGCCCAGCTTTTTGTCTTGAGATGCACCATAGGCGAAAAGAATGGCATCGTAATGGGGTCTCAATGCAGCGAGAGGTAGGTCAGTGCCGAGATCAATGTTCCCCACGAAATTGAAGCGGGGAGATTCCGCGACTTCTTCAAATTTGTCCTCGCAATTCTTGAGATTTCGAAATGAGCTTCCAGTACTCAAAGAACAACAGATTGACCAGTAGATTGCACTAGGCCTTGGTGTAGCTCATCGAGAGCAGCAACACACCTTTACTTCAGGATGGTCCGGAGCCACGCCATATCTAGCCAATCCGAAAGGCACGGGGAGCTTCTCGAACATGTCCACACATGTGTCCGTTCTTTTGCTCAATAGTCGCGATGCTGCATAGAAGCCGGCAGGGCCAGACCCCACAACTGCAATTCGGAATGGCCGATCAATTTGAGCCGCATGGCTGTTTGAACGGCGGAATCCAATGACAGAGGATGAAGCTACCGGCTTTAGTACGGATCTAAGCCTGTGCGCCCGGGCTCGACTCGAGGTCAAGCCAGCACAAGTCGAGAACCGCTCGAGCATTTTGATTGATTGCTTGAAAGGAGCAGCTGACAGCTTGTTTCCCCCTGCTGCCCTTGGACAATGATTAACAATTCCACCCAAGTTGAGGTGCGCGCTTTGATCTTGACTCCATCGTTATCGCAAGATGCTTATCTGATTCCGGGTCCGCACGTGACATCATAATCTCGATAAGCGGTTGTCAGGTCAACTATCTTGTTGATCTAGGCATCTCTCCACATCCTGCTGGAGCTCGTCATTGTCAGATCGCACTCTCCATGGTTCCTTCATTCCTCATCCACATTCCTTTCCCGTTACTCAAATTCCATTACCCGTACTCCACGTCTCGCGTGGCTACCACGGGAGCCTCTAGTCGCTACCATGGGAAGATCGGAACCTCCATTCATTTATGATCGTCCAGCTACGAACAGCTTCTACGGTCCAACCGATTTCAACCCCAAGGCTGTGACAGAGGCAAGCCGCCGACCTCCACCACCCAGACCTATTGTCAAGGGCCCGTTGGTGAACATCAATCGCCACCCGGATACAGTATGAGCTCTTCATCGAAAGTCTCTTGGAACACCCCCTAACAAAAGTCAATAGTGGGGAAGCCCTGAACTAAGCTCAGAATGGACCCCCATGAGCTCTCGCACGAAGAACGCAGTCGTGTATATCCGACGTGTACAGCTGGTTCTTAGGATTTTTGCTTTTACTGGAGCTTTGGGATCTCTCTTTTGCTCCATCGTGATGACGAATGTCGCGACAACCATAATTTGGATTCTCCGAGTCGCGGTACGCATCACGATCCCGGTCAATGTCAGACATGAAGGTTCTAACGAGATGATGATAGCCCGGTGTCGCAATTTTACATACACTTTACGCGATTTACCACCTTTGCCGATCTCCTATCAACCGTCCTCCTGCTTCACAGGCAAGCTACGCAGTGTTTGCTTCAACTCTGGATGCGGGCTTGGTCCCATTCTACGTCTTCACGGCGTACATGGCCCACGGGGAATGGATCACCGGAACATATCGATGGGGTAATCTTTTCAATGACGCATCTTTGACTGTAAAGCTCGCCGAGGCTACGTTCATTTGTGCCGTTGTCAGTGGAGGCTTGCACCTCATCTCGCTTTCGATCTCGGTCTTCTTGGCTGTCATGTTCCACAAGATCTCCCAGCTACCACCGGACATGAACCCACTCGAGGACAATCTCACTGCGCGTCCTCGCAAAACTCGTAAAGAGCTTGAGATTGAGGAGAAGCATCTGAGCGCGTCTACCTTCAATTCCAGCCTCGAAGATCCGCTCATCGGTCCGCCCCGCTCGATGCCTTTCATGCATACCCGCGGAGAGTCTTTTGCTAGTGATCCAAATCGAGGCTCTGTGGATGGAGTGAACATGAAGCGCCAGTCTGTGATATCGGTGCATAGCCATCGTGTGCCTTACATGGAGCCGCCTAGCCCGCACATGTCCTTTCAGCATCCAGCTAATCAGTCGTACGATCTTCTCCCAGAAACCCATGTTGCTCCAGAATATCACCACGTGCCCATGGGATCTCCAGAGATTGTGGATGCTGCGATCGGCAATCGTCGTCTTGCATCTCGGACTGCAGAGAGATCGAACTCGGTTAGCCCCGTGTCTGGCAACTGGATCGTTTACCCCGAAGACACCGAGGAGACAAATAACGGCGCGGCACCTGATGTTCGACAATCTTCTTCTGTCTACAGCCAGCGTACAATCTCCACCACCACTTCAAAGGGCGTGAATAATTTCCGTGACTGGTTCGCTTATGGCCAGAAATCTCCGAACGTTGGAATCGCTATTCCAGAAGACACACGCGGCGAGTATTCGTCTCTGGCAACGCGTGAGTACTATGGAATCGAAGACGACGAAGACAAGCGGGAGCTCGATCTCGGTGATCGGCAATTCAACATCTTTCCTGACCCAGAGGAGTATGACCACGACCGTGACCAGGACGAGGCAACCTCGCGCGATCTCCCCTTCAACCCACTTATGCTCAATCCTCCTACCCCTCAACCGATTCTGACCAACAGCGTTGAAAACACCGACCCCGTCCGTCGAGACGCATTGGTGGACTCCTCGGCTGTGCCGAACCAGACCCAGACTCCCTCGACTACGAATCCTCAGGACTCGCCGAGATCACCACGCTCCCCGACTGCTCGTGCCAGATTCTATGGCAATCTGAACGAGGAAGGCAAGCCTGGTCTTGACATGTCCCGACACGTCAGTCACCAAGAGGCGGAGCTTACTCAGAAGCCTACAAAACTGGTGAAGAAGTCGCGCAGTAAGAAAGCAACCGCCTATCAGTCTTTGAAGAAAGATGATAGCGGGGACGAGGGACAAGGCAAATCCCCCAACCTCACCGAAGGAGACCGCAAGGGACGTGTTGTGAGCAACTCTGGCGCCGACATTGGCCGACCTGTTATGGGCAACAGTGGCGGAGCTCCAATGTCCTCGTACGGAAGCTACATCGCCGGCCTAGGCGTTGGTCGGCGCCGTGACGTGAGTGGAAAAGTGGCCGAAGAAGGTCGCAGTTTGAATATGATTGATGAGTCTACGAGCCAAGCCCAGAGCTCCGATCAGAAACCAGAGTCAGCACGAGCTGCAGGTTGGGCGCGCTTTGCAGGCCTGTAAACATAGTCTACAGGGATTGGCAATCTGGGGCCGGGAATGACTTTTTACGTTAAATATTGACGGGAGTTGTGGAGTTCATCTCTTTTGCAGATTGTCGGATGTTTGATTGGGGTTTTGTATCTTCACGCAGTACATATTGGGCCAGGTTGCGTCCGCATTTGTCGATATTACCTTGTCTTGAGACCAGTCTATCCCGTCTAGTGTGTCTATTATCGAAGCACTTCCTTTAGCCAAGAACTTTTATGATCAGACTACTTATTCCTGTTGCTCGTCGCTCGTAAAGCTGACAGGTATGGACCATCCAAGCTTCTCTACAGTCACATTACAGACCCGTCGCAAGCAACTGTTGTAGACCCCCGCCGGAAAAGTACAGGGCCAATATAAGATTGAGTCTGCATCTCGCCTCAGATAGACATGACATTGATTGCTAGATGATACAGATTCGTTTTTGACGGATATTCTGTCCTCGAATTGAGGAAGCACCGGCTATGAAGGCACGCCTTCATATTCCCAGCCTCCAATCACGCGCTTTCGCCGGCGTGTATTACGTCGGTTGGCGTTGCATTTCACGAACAACGTCAGTGCGGTGATGATGACGATGATAATACCAGCAATGGCGGCAACGAGAACTGTTCGATGCTCCAGCTGCTGAGGATCGGAAGCGTAGGGGCATTTCGCCGTTGGACCCCCCGAGACCCAACAGGATGTGATGTCGATGGAGTTGAAATCGAGAAATACCTCTCGATGGGCCGGATCCAGTGACGTGGGATCGATGATGTCTTTCGGTTGATTGAGAAGATATCTGTAGAGGTAGGTATTCTCCAAGCCAGTTCGAGGAACGGCAGGACTCGATTGAGGCGGACAATGATTGGCCGCATCGTTGTACTCTGCCGTAGCGTTCGATAAAGACCACGAAAAAGGACCTGTCCCAATGCGACAGGCAGCTCGTCGATGCTGAGAACAATTTGCTGTACGCCAGTGACCCTGACTCGACACATCTAACACAGCACACCGGTCAAAGCTGGGGACGTCGTTCGTGCCACCCCCGGTAGCTGCACCGTTTGGTTGCCCGTCCACCCATGCCCAGCTAGTAGACAGAAACACATTTCGATAGTTCGCGACATTTGCGTCGGCCGTTTCACCGAAAAGAGTAGAATTCAATACGATGGATAATCCACATCCACCAATATTGGAGGTAAGCCTTGTGACGGATGCCAACGTCTCATTGCCAGATGACATGGCAGGGATCGGGAGGCTAGCGGAGAATGCCCACGATGAATTGGCTTGGGAAATTTCAGTCGCACCGGGCTTGAACAGACAGCCAGAAGACACGCTTCCGTTCGAAGTGGTGGTGATATTAATCGTGGAAGTCAAATAGCCAGGCGGAAAGATGATATCTCCGTCCAATTTGTAGTCATAGGCAGCAAGTCGTGGGTCGATCGATCCATATCCAACGAACAATCGATCAGTTTTGGCAAGCTGAACGTAGCTTGATGATGGCCATCCATCCGGGGTGCTCTGAATCCCTGCGCTGTCTGTATGAAGGGTGAAGTAATCCACGATTGGTTTGTGCTTCTCATCCACCTGGAACCAGGAATTCCCCAGGTTGCTACGGTCTGAAGCCAGTTCAGAGGGAGTATAGAGATAGCTCGCCAGGGCCTGGTCCAGCGCCGAGCCAAGTCGTTCGGAATCCGAAGCGGGCAAATTCTCAGGTGCAAGTGGCCGAGTTGAATCCGCTGATTCCAGCCCATTGGATGCAACGCGAAGATTCAGAATCAGATAGTTGGTGGATATCAGAAGTTGGGACTTTGTGTTGGTGAAGAAGCCACGAAGAATGTCAGACAACGTAGTTAAGTCCAGGTCTCTGGAACATCTGTAAGACCCCAGCTGAAGAATAGTTTCTCCATTTGAGTTTTCATAGCCCGTGGAAGAAGCTGTAGCTAGACCCGAAATCCCAGTGGCTGTGGAATAAGTGCTGCTGGCGGTGGTGACAGTCGACTTGGTCAAGTCCGCAGTTGCGGCTGATGACATTACAACACTGTCTGCGTTTGGAATCTCTGCTGGACAGAATGTCCATTTTCTTCGAGAGGTCGACCAGTAAAGGTCTACATACAGTCGTCTGTAACCGACAGCAAGAAGATTGGATATGCAGTCTCCAGCCGCCTTGGTAGCATACAAGCCATTGCCGAAACAGGCAGATGAGAGTGCTACCGCAGGATTGATCACAAAATTGATAGGGATCTGGCCAGCCACGTCGCGTTCGCTCTGGATCAAATTATCAGACAAATGTGTTGCATGATAACTGCGCGCATCTACAATTGAGATCTGTAGGCCCGAGTCAGACTCACCAGAAGCGCAGTGATCCACGTCACATTAGTGATCTCATTTCCCGCATCGTAAGAGACCGACATGCTGAGGGACAAAGCATAGCGGACCCTGACTTAAGACCCAATCTGTGGAGGAAGGCTTCAGCATTCAACTGAAAAGTTGTCCGGGCCAGTAATTTTGTTGTTGGAAGGAACGCAAACTTGGATAAGTTCAAGTGAGATCAAACTCAAAGTAAACTGAGAACGACTTGCGCGGAGGAGCTCCATCGCGCCGGGACGGGTGGACCGAAGAAGCTGCAGGGCCGCAGATCACCTGAGAGCCCGAGACGAGTCGATCTGGCCACTTCGACTCTTTCATGACATCCTCCACCACTTTATTTACTTTTATCTTTCTTTGCCCCTCCCACCTCCCCGCGGCAGAAATTCATCAGGAATCAACGTTCTGAGTTGAGAAGAGACGCTGACACCGCTCAAGTCAGACGGCGCTCCCACGTCATCAAACCATTCAACTCTGTCAACGATCGCCGCCCGTCACCATGGCCGCGCCCGGTCAACCCTCCCCCCAGCAGATGGCACAGATGGCCGCGATGCAGCAACAATTCGCTGCAGAAGCCGCCAAGCGAGGTCTTACACCGGAACAATTCGCACAGCAGCAGCGAGACCAGCTTGCCGCTGATGCTGCCAAACAAGGACTCACTCCTGAGCAATACATTGCGCAACTACGCATGCGTGCGTTCCAGGCGCACCAGCAGCAAATGGAGGCTCAGCGTCAGGCCCAGGCTCAAGGCCAAGGGTCACCTCAACCAGGACAACCGCAGCAACCAGGGCAGCCCGGACAGCCAGGACCCCAAGCACAACCTCAAGCTCAGCAGCCAGCTCAGGCCCAGCAACAGACACATCAAGTGCCCGTCCAACCTGGACAGCCCGCCGATCCTAAGGCTGTAGCTCTGGCCAATTTCCTTCGTTCGCAGAACTTGAAGACTCGGACTTGCATTCTCGACGGCCAGCGCAAGGACATGTTCAAGGGTACGTAAAACGGATTGTTTTGAGGAAGTGACACTATGCGTTGAAAACCAATCTCCTGAGTGCCAGGCGCGATTCGCTAACATTGAGCACCATTGATAGTGAAGCGAGCCATCCGAGCCATCGAGTCACCCGCTTACGCCAAAGTTGCCTCCAAAAAGAACTCTATTCTTCCTCCTGTGACTGATCGTGCGTCGGCCGAGAACGTGTTCAAGCTGCTCCCTCTTTCTTTGTTGGCCCTTCGTGTCAGCAAGGTGGATCCCCACGAGGGACATAACCATGCAAAACCCAAGAATCGGGTCAAGGGACAATGGACTGTGAAGATTGAGCAGCACCAAGACGTGGATCCCATGATGCACTATGTGTGGCTCTACGAGGGTCCTCAGTGGAAGCAAAAGGCCATGGCCGCCGCCGTTGTGGCCGGTATCTTCGCTGTCGTCCTTTTCCCGCTGTGGCCAGTCATGCTGCGCCAGGGTGTCTGGTATCTGAGCGTGGGAATGATGGGCCTACTCGGTCTCTTCTTCGCCATGTCCATCTTCCGATTGATTCTCTTCTGTATCACCGTCTTCGCCGTTCCACCCGGTCTGTGGTTGTTCCCCAACCTCTTTGAGGATGTTGGTTTCTTTGACAGTTTCAAGCCTCTGTGGGGCTGGCAAGAGGTCAGTACAAGCAAGCAAACCGATGTTTGAAAATCACATACTAATGACCAGCACCTTGATGCAGACAAAGAAGAAGAAGAGCAAGAAGTCCAAGACCGCCGCCGACGCCACGGCTACTAAGTCTGCGGAAAAATCACTGGAGAGCCATCCTGCTGCCACCACAACCTCCGCCGAGACGACAGCTACGTCCACCGCAACACCCGTGAAGCGTGATCTGGCTCCTCGAGTGGAAGAAGTGGAAGAGTGAGAGGGTGCCTCTGTTTCTTGACAATTCTTGGATATCTTTCATCTTTATCTTTCCCCCATCTTTTCTGTCGAGGTCGCTTTGCGCTCAAAGAGACGCCGACAAAATCCGGAAGCAGGTTCTTTTTTGAAATCATGAGGATGCGGAGATTTGTATCACTTTTTTTTTCTCGCTTCCTCTTCTTCGTTTTTATACGCTGCGATGGGCGTTTGTTCTCTCGAGCCTTTCTTCCTTTGGGGATACAGAAATGAATACAAAACAGTTCAGGCGAGGGTTGACAAGTCACCTAGCCAACTTACGATGGAGTAGGCTATTCACTTCTCCTTGGGGGGCTCCTTGGGGGAACTTAGAAAATTTCGTAGACTGTGGAATCGTGCCTCGTGCAGTATGCTTTCCAAAATCGGGCTGGTCCCAAGTGTAGAATTACGTTTGTTTCTAAATGCCTTTTGATCGGCCGCCGTAATCCTTCAAGAATCTGGAGAATGGATTGTGGGGCTCTATTCTGATCTATACCAAAAAGGTCATATGTAATGTTGAAGGAAAGTCAATGTACACAACGCTTCAAGATAGTGTACATGCGTGCTAGCCAGCCATCGAAGGGTGAGATTGGTTGGGTATCAAAAAGACAAGGTAGAAGTGGAAGAGGTCTCCCCGATGGAAAAGTCAAGTGTCGAATGAGCAGATACAATGTCATCGCTCTGGGCTCAATCATGAATTGGGAATGTAGAGGCTGATTGAAAATCGCTTTGAAAATGCACATAGACAGGCCATGGTAGGTATACGCTGGAAAGTCTAGGAGATGACGACACTCCGGGCATGTGATGAGCACGGGCAAAGAGTCAAAAAGGTGAACAGGTAGTAAGACAGTAGTAAGCGAAGAAGATGAGCTTGGGGTATATTCTTTCTAGATGGAGTCGGTCAGGGCTGACGGTAATTGGAATGTCTATGTTGCAAGATTGGCAACGGAGTGGCGGAGGACAGCTTCAGAAGATAAGTCGACACTGCATGCCCAAGGAGTGGAACAAAATGAATGATCATGCGTAAGCTTTTGAAGTGGGAGAAAAGAAAACAAAAGACAGTGACAAACAAGATACGTCCCCGCAACGTGCGCTCATATCAACAGTGTTTGGCAATCACGGACGCTTGCGAAAAAGACCGCTTCGAAGGCGACCTTGAGCGTGCTCGCAATGAAGTTCCTCAGGCTGATCGCCCAGCTGTGGCTGCTTGAGACATCAGGGCGGGCGGAATCTGGGGTAGGGGACAATTCGGCGGGGGCGCCACGGGAGGTCCAGCGGAGAGCCCCGGCATACTTTTGCGTCGAGGTATCGGTTGGCTGCCCTGGGCGGGACTTGCTGCCGCTGTCCGCGGACAAGAAAGAGACACTGACTCGAGAGTAGGCATCTTCATCAGCGCAGGTTCTTGGCTGGCAATATGGATGCCCAGTCCAGACCGACCAACCAAGCTCTGAGGTCGAGATGAGGGTGAGCCAACCCCAGAAGAGGGATTGTACGGCAGTCGTAAAAGATGAGCTGCATTTGGTACAGGACGGACAGCTCGTGGGAGTGTGTCCTCCGAGTTGGAAGGACGAAGTACACGTCGCCCATGTGCTTCTTGCTGCATCATCGATGAATGCGTGGTATCTGTCGGTCTATAGCTGTTGATGCTGTACGTGGGCGAATGTGGGGGCGAAGAAATGCCGGAAACATCGACATCTCCGAAGCTCTCAACCCTTTGAAAACGGGCTCCGAGGGGTGCAGGCGGGGCGACGTTGGGAGGTGGCCCTGGTCGAGTGACGAATTTCTTGCTGAAAGAAGGAACGCTGAAGTTTGGTGCGGGCGGCGATGCACAGCGCGTGAAAGATTCTGGAAGGAGAGGAGGAGTTCGGTTGAAACTAGCGGCCTCGTTCAAAGGAGCGGGAGGGCAAGCTTGCAGTTGGGAAATTGCGAAATTCGATTGACGTTTCGCGATTCTTTGATTCAAATTCGACGCATCGAATGAAGGAGTGGAATAAGTGTTGTCACCACGGCCGCCAGCGGCCGGGTGGACGGGCTCCTCAGGTGGGCAACTGGGGGCACCAGCCGCGTCGAAAGGTGGCATTTGCGCGTCGGAGCTGTGACTCGGGGTCTCTGTCCAGCATGTGGATTCCGAGCCGCGTCGTGAGCCGATCAGGGAATGGCGTTTGGTGGAAACGTACGAACTTCGGCGAGATTGCCATGCCGTTGGCCCGGCGGACCTGTCGTCTCCTTCCTCCTCGGGCGAGACCAAGCCTTGCGATTGCATGAATAGACTTGAGATCCGATGGGGGTCTTTCTTCACGATACTACGCGTGCTGGACTTGCTGCGAAGTCGAGGCACTTGGTCATCGTCCAAATGCTTTTCTTCAGTCAACTTGGGGCCTCCACGGACCTCGATCTCTTGACGGACAGCTACGAGCCAAGCGATCATGGAGTCGGGATTGTCAAAGACCAGCAAGAAGCTGCGAGCCAGGCGTCTGGCGCTCGAACGATGAAACCCAAATCGAGAGAAGCGGCTTGACCTGGAGCGTTCAGGAATTGCGGAAGAACCTCCTGGTCCCGAACTCTGGGAGACTTGCAGCACCCAGTGTTTGCCCGGTATCGCATCGCTCGCGAATGCTACGGACTGAGCGCCCAATTGCAGCATCTTCTCCGGCAATCGGTCATTCTTTCCTTCGCCGGCGTACTGAAGGATATACCCTGCGGTGACGAGAACGTAGATCTTGTCGGTCCACTCCACCTTGTTCATCGTGCCTGATAAAGTTCGCAGGTGCTTGCGCTCTTTATCCTTCTTCTTTCGAGTCGCATCGGCAACATCTTCGTCCACAATTTGTTCAGCGCTTGCATTTCCCGTTGTCGCATGCAGACGGAGAATTGCGTCCGCGGACATGGAAGGTGTTGAGAGGCAGTCATGTTTGTAGGCCTGCGGGTAGGCCTGGAACAAAGGTGGCGGTTTCCATCCGTACTGCTCTTGCAGCGGTGTTTTTGACTCAACGGCGGCCGGTCTCGTTTTGACTGTTTTCAAGGTTGATCGTGGTCGCGGAGTGGTGGGAGAGGTTAACTCCGGAGGATAAACGGCTGTCAGAGGACTCGTCACTGACGGGGAGAATGGAGGTGCTTCCGCCACTGCTGCATGGGCGATCTGGGCCGAGACATTTGGATTGATTGACGATCGATTTTCGTCAATGCCGACTAGTTTCGCATTGGAATCGCCCGCAGCTGCACGGTGCGATCGATCTCGAGTGAACAGATTGCGCAAGCTCGGTTTGGACGACTGTCGCTTGACGGGGCCGAGAAGAGGAATTGGCTGCTCGGAACCTGGAGAAGTGAGGTAGTCGGTCGGTCGAGGCCGTTGGTGTCGCGCAATGGCTGATTTCGACTGGGCTGCGGTAGGCCGACTGAAATTTGTCTGCAATGGCGCCAGCTGATGACCTCTGCGCTCGCCAAAGGATGGCGAGGGCGGTGGATGTGGCTGCATTGCGGAGAATGAACTGGTGGGATCTGAGAGATGGTCTGCTCGAGCGACCATCCGCTCACCACATCATGGCTGACGGGAGCCGACTTTCTGACGCTGATTTGGGGAAAAGGGGAAGGATCATCGGCCAGGAACGAGGAACGTGGGCGCGGCTGCACGGCCGGTGGACAACGTCATACGACCGGGACAGCAAAAGATGATCCACGACGAGCTGCAATGGCACGATGCGGGGGTCGAAGTAGTTGCCAGGGCAAAGGCCAATTGGAAGGGTCAATTGGCGATGCTCGCGAGGGTGAGAAAATGTCAACAAGAATCGTGTAGAGAGTGTACGGTTGGTCTATCAAAAAAAAAAAAAAAAGGAATGGATAATTGACGGTCGGCTGGAAATTGGGACGGAAAGAAAGAAGGGAAGAAAGGAAAGAAAAGAGGAAGTCAAAAAAGTCCAGACAAGGACCAGGATCGAGTGCAGATCAAAAATTGAACAGCGAAGAGTCAGAGACGGAGACACCAAAAAAGAGAAAGACAAAATGAGACTAGGTTCCCTCGGGACTCGAGACTTGGGGCAAGTGAAACGATGTGATGCGTGATGCATGACAAGGTGAGGCCGCTAAGGACTCGAACCAGATGGCCGCCCAGCGCGTTGGGAACGAACGCCCCCTGAAAAGGAACGTCCGCTTTGCGCCTTTGGGTCCCTCTGAGATCCTTCAAGTGGGGAGTCACGAATTCACTTTCCGACCAATCCAGTCCGTCTTTGTCTCGTCCATGTCGCCCTTGAGGTTCGATAGCATATTTTAGCAATCCACCGTATACCGTGCCAGTTTGGCGAGCACTGACTGGATTGGAAGCCAAAGCGCCAGTGGACAGAGAGGGTTGAGATTCGTGCTGGGCAAAAGATCGCCGTAGGGCCAAGGATTTTGGGCCGTTGGTTCGCCGGGTATAGTGAGATAGCAAAAGAGCATTGCAGTACTTTTGCTATGCGGTGTCGATCTCTCGTACTCTTGACTTTCCAGTGGAAATTGGGGGCCTATGCCGTGGGTTGAGAAAGCGTCGATCATCATGAAGCAGACCTGTCAGATTCAGGGAAGATGGTATACAGGAGGAGTGAGCGATTCACCGTGCGATGAGTGTAATCATCCAGTCACATGAGGTTCATGTGACTGAAAGTTACTGTAGGTCGCGTCAGACTGAGTAGGAAGTACTACTAGTTAGTACCTGTTACTACTACTAAGGTTCTCTTCAGCCTCAGGTGATTATGTACCTGCATAAGAGTGAAACATGGGCTGAAGGTGCATTTCAACAGTGATCAATTCGAGGACACGTGCAGTACTCGGTCTGTGCCAGTCGACTTTTCAGAATGGCTGACCACTCTCGTTGAGATTGACTGGAAGGGTCTCGCTGAATCGTTGATACATCCATGTCCATAGATCGGGCTCCATATGCACCTACGGTGTGTCGTCGGTGTCGGATGCCTCAGATGCCTTCACAGTTCACACGCCTCCACGGTGGTAGGTCCCGGATATTTGTGCAAAAGTACCTTGGGTTCGAATCATTCGCATGTCGTCAGCTTGGTATAGCTCATCAGACCCATAGAGCTTGATAAAATACTACCGCTCCTGAGTTTGTTAGAAAACACCACCCACGTGCCGAGGACTTACCTGCCTAATCTGGTATATTGGTCGAGGGCGGCCTGGCCAAGCTGGGGGCCGAACCACACAAGGCAATAATGACAATCCATAAAAGACTGCCTATGCCCGACAGTCACGGGTCGATTGACTGGCTAGATAGCAAGGATCGTCAGTGTCAACTTCAGCCCCGACGATCTTCGCCTCCACTTGACCGAGCTAACGAGAAACTGTTTAACGATCCGCCGGAGCGAACCATCCGCCAAGAAGTGAACGTGTGGAGTGTTGACCGGCACTGGAGATTCGAGGAAAAGAGTAGGTACTTGATGTACGACTACTGTACTACCTCTGGTGGTACCTTACGTAGGTAACCACTATTTACTACCAGGTATCAATCTGCTCAAGATACCGAAAGTGTGAAGCCAGTCAAGGTACAGCATTAACTGTCGCATCTTGAAAATGACCAAATTTTTCCAGCCGTATGGGTCATTTTGATTTCAGACGCCATTAGAGTCACGGGACTACGGGACTTGGTGCTAGTGGTGGTGGTGGTGGTGGTGGTGGTACTTCTCTAGTAGTTCTTCCCAAGAAGTCCTTAGTGACCTCAGTACGTTGTCTATGACCAACAACTTAACTACCTACTCCTACTCATCGCTTAACAGGAACCAAGGAGTAGCTTTCGGCAGTTCTTTCCCCCTTTTACTTTCTTTTCCCCAATGATGCTCATGGCCTTTCTGGGACTGGTGCTTAGTCTGAGTTTGTCTGACGCCGTTCACCCTCGGCTATTTGAAGTTTCCCTAGTATATCACTAGTCGGTGGAGTAGAATCTTTGGATCTGACCGAATCATTCAACGGAGTGGAGTAATTTGCAAGTGTACCCGATCTGACTCTAAGTGAACTGAGGGACTACCCCCCTACTTTGGATATTAACTAGTATAACTTAGGAACTATAGGTAGTACTAGCCTAGTAGGTACCAATTTGATGTTTTGAGTCCACGCAAACTTACGACAGGTATCAGATTTCAATTGGGTAATGGTAGCACTACTCCAGGTTTACAGTTAGTCATTTACGAGTAGTGCTCAATGCTCAGTGCTCCCCCGCAGTATCGGGTCCTGAGCACTCTTATGGATCCCAGACATACGGTAGTGTCAATTTGATCGCATAGATTGTGGAATCATCCGCACTCGTCCAGAGCACACCGACTAAATCATAGCTCGAATGCATACCTATGAATACAAAGACAAGACCGCCCCCCCCCCCCAGGCACTCAGCATCGCTCAAGCTCAAGGCTTCGGTCCGCACTTTGCACCCTCTCCCGACTCCACCGCACCCATCAGGACAGCCCCCTGATCGCAATGCCGAGCCAACGTGACATCCTTGATCGTGAGACCACGAGGACGATGTGTAGTCCAGTGAACGTCCACCGAACCAATGCGCTGTGACGAGTGAGCAGGGAAGGAACTGGACTGGACCCCGTCGTGGACTCTCAGGTGTATGGAGGGGAGATGATGGGCCATTCTTACCACGGTCATGGTTGGGTGATGCTTCTTGGCGGCACTTTCAGAGGCGATGAGATTTAGAAAGGACTGTGAAAGACACGTGCGAATTGTTGCATTAGTAGAGAGTCTGTCAGGCTTTGGATTTGGGACAGACGCTTGAAAGGTCGCCCTCAGTAACCTAGAGCTTATTGAAATGCTCTCCTCCCGTTGAGGTGACACGCGCACAGGCCAGATGTTCACCATAAGATCAGCGTGTGGAAGTCTGCCTCTCATTGTAGATCTAGAGGAACTTTTTTCTCTTTCCGTTTTCACATACCACAGCTTTGAAATAAGTCTTAAAATGAAAGGTCTTGGTGATTCCCATTCCATCCGCATCGAGGGCCCACCCCTGCTGTTGAAGCAAGGATTGCACATCAGGACCCAAGTGTGCCGCATCTTCGCCCTCGGCAAATCGCGGTGCGGCGGGCATATTGGAAGACAGACGCTGCGATTTCTGGTGCAGTGTTACTGCTGCTGATCGATTTCCAAAGGTTGTTCTCGGAAGGGTAGTAGCTGGCCCCTGCAATGATGTGCTGAGTCTCGCGCAGGCACGAAGGGCAGAAAAAGTGGCCATTCCTCTTTCGATCTCAACGAATCCAAGATGATCTAACCTTGGAGGTACAATGACAAGGAGAAGACAGTTGAGGTGAGACGTGGGGAAATTTCGCTCGCAGAACCGAGGTTTATGAATCTCCCAGCTTTGATGTTCGTGCTTCAAATCATAGTGATGACCGAGTTCTTGGCTTCTTTGCCCGGGGAACACTTCCGGTGCACGTGCACGGACCAAGGGGGTTGGCCATGAGCTTTCCCTCCAACCAGTTGCCCTCCAACCAGTTGCGATGGGATAGTACAGGACCTTAGTAATCGCTATCACGTTTCATTGCAGTGCAGACAGTGCAGAGTGCAGGTACAAGACTTTATATTATGCGATCACAACTCAATTAGGCAGAATTCTGTAACACGTGCTCATAAACTTCAATCAGAATCCAAGCTGTAGTCAAGGCTCTCTCTTCCTCACATCCCGGACTGAGCTCACTGGTGACCGAAGTCGACGATTGATTACTTCGCGAGTCGCCTTCCGCGTGTTACCAGGTGTATACTATTATCTTGCTCGACTACACAATCCACATGCAGCATGCAGCTCCACGAACCAAGCTCACACCAACTTTCCAGTACCTGCACTTGATCATCCCAGCCCATTACACGATTGCAGAAGACATTGTCCCTCATGCGTATACAAACTGACGCGGTCAATCTGTGCATTGGATGTTTTTCCCCCACACAAAATTGACCACATAAACAGCTTGGCCGATGTTCTACATTGCTTACAATCAGCCCAGATTTTGGAAGAGTTCATCATGAATATTTCGTTTGACTGACCAACTCAGTCCAACAACAGCCATACCAGAATAACCCTTCACAACAATTTCAAACGTAAGCAGGGGTAATCAGCGAATCCGTGAAGCTCATCATCACAAATCATAGAATCGACGCCGCCGCCCAAAAACCGTACAATGATCTCCAAAAAAAAAGAGTTCAGCGTTGTCCTGACACCAAGCGACGAAGGGAGTAGAGGCAGTCGGACGCTGACTTGAAGACGACACCCCGAAGACCTCCTCCGCTTGTAGACAAGACGCAATGAACAATCAACGTATTGGATAAAAGCCGACAACGCCCAGCGCAAAAAAACAATCAACGCGGTTCGCAAGAAGATGCGTAAAGAATGGAATCCAGTAGTATAGTAAAAACATTATAAGGATTGGACTTGCTCCAGCAAGAGCAGACCCCATTCGGAAGAGGAGTACGCTTTTGTAATCAAGTCAATGAGTAAGAGCATCATGCTAGACCTGGGTCACCGCGGAGCAAAGGAAAACATAGTAGAGAGATCATATTAGCAATGTAAGAACCCCCCCAAGTCCTGTCGTAGTGGTCGGGTTCGTTGAGGCGGTGGTGGCGGAGGGGGAGAGGTGGAAATGAGATCAGAGTGCAATCAAGCGTCGTCCCCCGCCAGGCTGGTGCGGCGGGAATTGGCGCGTGAGTTGGCGCGCGAGTTGACTCGGGAGCCAGGACGGCTGCCCATTGTTTGCCGGATGCGGAGGTCCTGCTGGGAACGGGCAGCGGAGTTGACCCGAGAAGACTCGGGAACCTTGGACAGACGACGGCCCTGAATGGCGACGTCATTGCGGGCCTCCTCCAACTGCTGAGCGAATGGAGACCGTTTGCGTAGAACTGGTCCTTTCCAGTAGATCACATAGACGGCCACGACCAATGGCACTGAGATGGCGACTGGAAAAAAAAAATGTTAGAAAATGTGTAGTGGTATGAAACAACGGATGATGGGAAAGGGACTTACACAGAATAGTCGAGGCATACTCGAGATGGTGCTTGCCACCAATGTCTATCGCAGGGAAAATGAGCATTCACACGTTTCATAGGCATAGCTGCACGTGGACCGGGTTCACTTACTTGTGAAGAAGGGAGTTGCCGGGATGGTCAGAACACCAGCCAAAAAGTCGCGCGACCAGCCGTTACCGCCAGTGGCAGAAGCGGAGTATGGACCGTAGGCGCAGATCATATAGTCGATGGTGGCCATGTAAATGGCGTAGTTGGCGATACCAATGACGGCAGCAAAGATCATGGAAGCGATCCAGTGGACCTGAGGTAAGCTGGTCCACGCGAAGCCGATCAAGCCGATGGGCAAGCAGGGAACGGTATACAGTAGCCACCACAGACGAGACTCGTACTGAGCGCGCTCACTGTCGGGGTTTTCTTTACGCTCCTTGACATTGCGGCGAATGACCGGGAACCAGGACAACCAGGCGATGAAGTAACCCACCAAGATAGGGAGGAAGGCCAGGCCCTTCTCCCAAGTGTTGAAGCCATACTGATCGTAGACCAAGGACAGAGACTGCACGAACATGAAGATCAGAGCATCACTGAAACCACTGAGCAGTGACAGGGTCAAGACAATAGGCTCAGTGAGGAACATCTTGAAGGGACGAATCCAAGTCGCCATCAACTCTCGCGGGGGGAAGCGCTCCCGGAAGGACATGCCCTCGGTGGGACCGTAGATGTTGGGGTTCTCGCCGCTCTTGCGCATATTCTTGGCAATGCGGTCCATCATCACGGTGGTTCGGGTCTCTGGGACGAGCAGGAAGTGTGCAATTTGAACAAAGCCACCAAAGATCAGCTGAATCCAGATGCACCACCGCCAGGGGAGGAATGCCTCCACGAAGCCACCGACGACCGGGCCCAGCACGGAGCCACCAACGGAAGAGAAGACGACGGCGGCCACGGCGTATTGCTGGGTATCGGCCTCCCAAAGATCGGCAATCATGCCCAGGGTCACAGAGCCCCCTGCAGAGGATAGACCACCAAGGGCGCGGCCCACCATGACCGAGGTGAAGTTGGGCGCGAGGGCCACGGGCAACTGCCAGATGTTGACCAGAAAGAGAGAGGCCTGCAAGATGGGCTTTCGACCCAATTCCTCGCTCCAAGGAGCCCACAGCTCACAGCCAAAGGCATAGAGAACCAGGAAGATCATTGCACCACATCGGGCGGCTTGCATGGAGATACCGAATTCTTCGGACATGCCTCCCAGACCGTTTGAATACAGCGAAGTGTTGAAGTTCATCGAGGTTTGAACCAAGAAGATGACGGTGATAATCAGCCACTTGCGCTTCTCACTGAAGGAATAGCCGAGCTGATCGTAGCACATGTCCTCTGTGAGAATGGTTCGACCGGGATGATCAGGATGTTCGAGCTGGGCATCCTTTTCATTCATTTTCTCATTGAAGTTGGAATCAAAGATCTCTTGCTGGGTGGCACTCGAGGCTTCCGAGGGGAATACCGCATCGCGGCCCCCGGCTTTACTTTCTGGGGTGCTCGCCATGCTGCTGAAGTCTTTGAGAATGAACGAGAACAGTCAATTCGGGCTCACGCTATGGTCGACACGGGGAGGGGAGCAAATGAGGGGAGGGGAATGGGGCAGAGCAGGTGGAAGGACATACTCGTGAGAACTGTTGCAGACCAAGGCAAGTGGTGAGTTGTATAGTTGTGGAGTACCGAGAGCAGACGTTGCAGTTGGATGAGCAGGCAGCCACGCAGTCGAGGTGGGGGAGAATGAGAAAGATGAAGACGAGAGGGAGAAGAGTGAGGGAGAAGAAAGAGGAAAGAGTAAGATTTTGAATGAACGCACCAGCGAAGGTCAGTCACCAAGTGGGGGGAAGGGACGACGGACCCAAATGGCACGCGCCGCTTTGAGAAGGGGAGCGATGCAGTTCCTAAAGGGGAAAGTCGAGAGCCGAAATGGAAATCCTCAAAATACATCAGGACCTCGTAAGAGATTCGAAAATCTTCCCCAGGTGCAGTTCCCAAAGAGGAAATCGCGTAATACCACAGGACGGACCAGGTACGACGCAACGGGGCGTCCACCGTCGAATGCGTCGAACCCGGCGGATCATTCCTGGAAAGACAGCCATTGCTCCCTCACACAAGTCTTCCCTTTTTCATCTGGAGTGATTGAAGAAAGCGCTGGAATACAATTTTAGTGACTTGGATCGTCTAGGGTAAAATGGTAGTATTGTGTCCTCATGCATTGGAAAGACTACCCCATATTATTTTTCCCCTTCCTCCCCCCCTCCCCCTCCCCCTGGGACTACGACCCTGCGACTTCTCCAGACAGGGACTTGGCTCGTATCGGTGAAACGGTGGACTTCGCGGAAGGACTTTTCCCGGGATGCCGAATGATCGTTGGGGGTGGGGGGTCGGAAATGGCGACGCCTCGTGTGGTACATGCTGCAGTACTACATCATCTTTTGGACCCGGGTCTGCGTAGAGGGCAGGTGCTCAGATCGTGCGGTTTAGCGGGGAGGAACAGAAGATCCCATTAACGTCCCCCAGATTCTGGAGTCATCGCATCGTATCTGGATAGTAGTCCCCATTCTTCCGCCTTTTCCCTTCATCCATCACACACACGATCTGTATACACTATACTGAGATCAAAGCGTCTTGAAGTTTGTCTGTCTCCCTTCCATTGCATTGCACCTTTGCCTGGTGCGGACTGGGCTTATTGTGTGGCGCGCCGCCCTGTCCACATGCGATGATCGCCCAAGCCACCCGATCGCCGAACCTGAACGAGGACGACCCAACAGCCAATCACTGCCAGTCATCGGGGGGCTGAGACTCCACCCAAGGAATCACCATGACCGCAGTGCCGCTGCCAGCATTTTGTCGGTCTAGTACAGTAAGTACTACACTGGTAACTTACACTGAATGCCACAAGTTACAGTAGCAGATACTGTCCTTCGTAAGTTCGCATAGCCTGGAGTGTACGTACCTACTGTGTCTTTCTCTCTCCCCCTCCCAACAATCTCCATAGTTCACACATTCTGTAGAGATTATAAGTCGGAGTAACCGAGCCGGCGAGTGCAAAGGGAGTGGATCCTGCATGTACTGTAGTTCGATTTAATGTGATATTGAATTTAATTTTCAGATGGTCCGATCCCGCGGCGGCCGCTTTGGGGCGGCCAGGGATGCCTGCATCGGGAAAAAGAAATCGGCTGCGTGCGGTCACGGCGGTCTGTCCTGGCGGCTTGACCCTTTCTTGTGCTCTCATTTTGTGCTTTTCCCCTCGCTGGTCGCGCGATGCATGCAACGTCGAGGCGAGACGACAATTTCATCCAGTCCAGTCTCGGCTAGTCCAGGCCAGTCTGCCGCTGAATTCAGGTGTTGATTTCTGAAGTTAACTTTATTTAATAGAGTTTCCACTGCGGGAGTTTACCTGACCTACCAGGACACTTTGAGTCGTGAGTACACTGTTTACTGTCACTACAGGAGGCCGCTCTCCGTAGGGCAGATTCAACAATAAAAAGTCAGCCAAAACTTGGGAAATTCAAAAAGTTGTAAACTCCATCAAGACAAATCTGGGGAGGAAATAGGGGCCGAGCATATGGCGCCCCGCAACGTAAGGAGCGTAAACTGCGTTGCCCCATCTCATCTACCCCGGGATCGCATGGCTTATGGAGTGATCCGTCATCCATCACCGACGGCTTACTGCATTACTATCATACGCAGAAGAAGAGACAGTTGCAGGTTTCCGCCAATCTCTGCAGGAGATAGAAGAACAGCGTCAAGGAGTCAGCACCCAGTAGAATGTAGGAGGATAGTGCACACTGCACATTGCACCATCAGTTTGTGTGGCCCCCACTTCGCAAGCTCTCCACTCCAGGTTTCTTGATCTTGAGTCCCGTCAGCCGTGTCTACCGAGTCATGGAGAGTAGAATACGAGTACGATGAGGGAGACAGAGAGAGAGAAAGAGAGAGAGAGAGCAGTCGAGCACACAACCGTAAATAGTAAGTGCAGCAGGCGACTTGACAATCAGAAGGAAGACAGGGCTGGTTCCTATTGACTGAATAGATAGCCCGAGTCCACCACCGGAGACAAGAAATGGGAATCGTCCACGAGTGATCGCCAGCATGACGTCAATGCATTACCGCAGACAACAGGACAACAGGTTGAACAGGGGGTTCTCCAGTTTTTGACAGTACCAAATTGACATTGATGGAGTCGTGTTACTACTCATGTATGACAATGGCGTATGCACTATGCAGTGACAGTGATGCACATGATTGTTTACTGTATGTACAGATCGCGATTTGTCCGGGATCCTCAGACCTCCACCGTTCGAGAGATCGACCGTCTTTGACGGCCGTCACTTGGCGTCAACGGCTGTCGTTCGCTGGACTGGAACAAACAGAAACACGCAACCGTGAAAGGACCGACCGATCACAAGGGATTGACTCTCAGTTAAGCGTCAGCAACAGCACAAGCTCTCCTCCCGTCAGGCCCAGACCGACCGCGACCACGACTCTCGCTTGTTGGATGCTGACTGCCCGGAGGGTTGCTGCACGATGATGCCGGTCAAAGACAGGCCTCCTGTTTGGTGTTGACGGGCGTGGCGCTGCGGGCGTCAGCCCTGATCGTCATCCGTGCAGGTGCCGAAGCCTTGTTCCGACGCCACTCGGCGTACTAAGTTGTCAGTAGTTAGTCAGGACTCAGTAGTCAGTACTACTACTCAGTACTGTACAGTATGTAGTTGGTCGTTTACGTTGACCTCACAAGCTTATCGTAAGTAGTCTTGTCCCTGACTGATGGGTTGTCTCGAATGGACGCTTTTTCAAGACGTGGGTTCAGCCTCATGACTCTTCTCTGATGGTTCAGAGCAAACACATGGATGCTCTTATCGAGACACCGGGTTCCGGCTCTGCGTCGGTTCAGATCGGATGTGGAGATCCTTCGTAGCAAGGGGGGAAACAGTGTTGACGGCCGCCATGTGAGATGCGATCGTACTGTAGTCCCGCGCGGTCGGACACTATGATCTACAATCATGATAGACCCCCTTGCAGGATCAGGCTACCTTTCGCTCTTGGTGCCTGTCGCACTGGATCCCGAGTCGTTTGAGATGACACCCCAAACACACCGTGCACTTGCAGTCGTGCACGGCTCATGATTTTGACACTTTGGGACAGTCATGCGAGATATCTGATCCTCTCGGGGCTCGTGCACTCAGCCCGGATCCGTCCTCTGCCCAATGCCCACACCGTGGAAGACCCCCTCCCCGTGCCACTTCTTTCGTATAAGAGTCGTATCCACTGCCGCTTGATAGGCAGGGTGTTATCCACAATGCCACGGAGAGAGTGAAAGGCATGTCTTTGGCGGAGACAACGTGATCGAACTGCTGATGGCGGCTACTTGACTGTTCCGAAAACGTCCCTTCCCGATCAACCAGGCCTAGACCCCTTTCAGCCACGACTTACACTGGGTCAATACCTACCTTACTCAGTAGTCACTGGTCAGTAAGAGAGTCAGTAACTACCTATACTGACGACTGAGTAATAAGTGCCATGCCGGGATCCACGTGATACACTCCTTGACAGGCAGAAACGGGCATCTCAACCCCTTTCTTCCATCCACTTTCTCGAATGGCTTCAGGTGCATCCACGGATCAGGCAGATCGGGGGCCTTCCATGCGGCCTGTCACCCTTACATGCACATGGTCTCGAGTCTCGAGACTCTTTTAACTTTCCTGCACCGCCAATCCCCGAGGATACTCTCTTCCCGCCCCTTGGAATGATCGACACAATTGAATTGCCGACGCCACGCGCGGGCAAGGGGGGCAAAAGAAGACGGAAGATAGAAGTACTGCTTCTAGGAGTAGTAGTCTGAGCCGTATCTGAATGCTCTCGAATCTTGAACTATGGATCCCTGCCCGATCCCGCCGGTCGACGTGATCCGGGAACCTGGTCAGGGTAGGATTGGAGGTCGGCTCGGGTTGCCAGGCCACACTGAGTCTCAAGTGCAGAGGAATGTACATAGGACATAGGGGAGTACCCTGTATGCAGTCTGTTCTTTTCTGGGCGCTTGTTTTCGGGTTGCATCTTCTCCACTATGTCCCGTGCCGTCAAGAATAAAGAACTAGCCACGGAGGAATAGGTCAATGGAACCGACCCTCGCTGGCGCAATCACAACCTCATGTGTAACAGGGAGCCATTTCTATACTAGACTATATGAAGAGAGTCTGAATGGAAAATAGAAAGCCGATCCAGTTCGTTGACTCATGCCCCTCTCACCGGAAGAACCTGATCGGACGAGGCAAAAGGCACGAGTGAGTAGAAGACGCTTCCGTCAAGTCACGAGTTCCCCGTGGGGGGAGGAGTCACGCCCGTTGGAGGATGATCATACGATATATGGAGGAGGGTTGGGGTAGGGACCGCGGAATTCAGGCTCAGGGTGACATTGCCGGAATTGGTCATGAAAGAGTCAGATACCTACCCTTGGCGTATGCTGCAGAGGGAGATTCTCTCCAGGTCATGCAATACATATCAATGGATGAGGTGATGACCCGTACCGGGCTGATATGCCGAGTCGATAAAACCAGGGAGTTATTACCCAGTACCTGGTAATTCCAGGTGGTCAAGATTCTGACCTGTGATCTTCCATTGTATCAACGTAGCGATCATTCTGTCAAATTCAACCTTGGAGGGAGGCTCTAAACATCTCAAACAAACACCTTTCATCTATGGTGGCATCGTTTACTGCACATTAAGACTCACATACATTGCACAAAGCAACCCGCCACCAGATCAGACCGGCTGGAGAAAACGGTTTCAAGATAGTACAAGATTGAAGAAAGTACCATCATCTCAACATGGTCTTGAAGGAGAGCCCCGGGCGTAATGTTGATTTGCCTTCGCGTTGAGATCCAGTAAAGAGTGAAGATGGAAAGATGTGTGTCGAACTGCAGATGGGTCTAACCAAGATATGCAATCCAGAGCCGATGCAATCCAGAGCCGATGCAACCCAGAGCCGATGCAATCCATTGCCAGAAACCACCTCTGGCGAGGTGTTAATGAGCAAGCACAAGATTTGTTGAGATAGCTTGGTGGTCAGGCGCGCCACACCAGCGTGGTGCACGCCTACGCACACTCCACCATAATAGTTTAGATAGCACCTCTCACCATATTCAAGCTCACCATTCCTTACTCCCCTCTTTTGGGTGTGCTACGTGTCCCTGTAGCTCCCTGATAAGATTAAAGGTTGGAATGGAATTCATTCCCATCCCGCCATCCCCTTACCGCCCACTGCACGATGCTCACCACCGGAGGAACTTCGGAAGAGGTGGTAGCCCCCGGTTCGCAGGTGACCCGCTGAGTCAGCCACGAGGATCCCGCGCGGCCGAACGTTGAATCGCAGAGGGAGACCCCCGCTGGATGGGTCTCCGCTGGCCGCAGTAGAAAAGAAAGCTACGATAGTCAGCTATAGAGCAAACGGCAGAACCACCGGCGTGAAGACTGACATTGCTCCATCAATTCCATTCTACATCTCAGTTCTTCGTCATCTCAACAGCAAAGACCCTTTCAAAGCTCTTGCAACATGGCACCTGACTTGAACTCCCTTCCGCCGTCGCGATCCTCCTCGACCTCATCATCTCTTCCATTCCGCCCTGCATCCACCATATCTCCGGGCACGACTTCGCCGTCTCAAGCGGCATCCCAGCAGATGGTGACTCCTCCACGGCCATCCCGAGGATCCAGCAACGGCCGCCCGTCAGTGTCAGAAAGACGACGATCTGCCGCGGGCATGCATATCAACCTGAATGATCCCTCTGTCGCAGCTTCGGGCAACATGGGAGACGGAACCCGCTCCGAGCATCGTAGCTCGATGGGCCAAGCCTTTCGCACTGCCAGCCCTATCAGTCTTGCCGGAAGCCCCATCTTTACGACCGCCGACCCTCACCATCAGCGTGCTCCATCCCTCGGAGAGCTTCACCAGGAACTCGAGCAGGAACAGGAAGCTCAAGTGGTGAGTACTCAAAGCATCGTCTGTCTGCATCTGCACTGCCGGAGACTCCATGAGAATTCCTCGATCTCTCTCTCTCTCTCTCTCTCTCTCTCTCTCTCTCTCTCTCTCGATTGACTGCTTGGCTGACTGCTTGGCTGACCAAACCTTCCAAAACAGAACCGCTTGTTACAAACCATTCGCAGCCAGCAGGCCCAGCTTGACCAATTCTATCAACAGCACCAGCAATCCCAGTCGTCCGCTTCTGGAACAATGGCCATAGACGATACCCCAACACCAGCATCAGAGCGTTCCTTCAACTTCTTCTCGTCGGTCCCTCAGTCCACCACTGCCACCAACACCGCCAATGCGCCCACCAGTCGAGTGGCGCGATCGTCTTTCTCGCTTCGTCGACCATCTCAGTCAACCAGCCAGGCCACCTCGCCACATCTTTTCCCACGAGAGCCATCGCGAGGCGCGGAGGCTTCGGAAATAGTCCCGATCTTCAGAGATGGTCTGTCCCGCCGAAGCAGCCGAGATGACGGCGCATTCTACCAAGCGGAAGCGGCTATGCTCAACCGGGAGAACCTGATGCTACGGCAACGCATCCGCGAGCTAGGTGAGTAGACATCAGCCTGACATTCCACCAAACCTTCCCCCGCCCCGTGGCTTTGTTACTTCATGACTCGGTGGAGTGCGCATGCTTGTCTTGTCTGCTGAGCTAACCGTCCTTTCTTTACCCACAGAGCGACAGATCAGCGATTTAACCTCAAGCTCCACTTCCGGTCCCACTGCACCTGTCTCTGCCACGACCGAGACGATCTCAGCGTCCGCGCCCGAAGACAATCAGGAAGCGAGTGCGCAGGTCATGCATCCCACTGACGCCAAGGACTAAACGTCGTCCCTTCCGCGCAGGCGAAACACACCAAACACTGATTTTCAAACGGATACCACCCATCACAGCCCTCATGAGTTTCTCGGCGTTCGACCTCGGCATCGAATCGTAGCAATGGATAATGGATAATGAATCACAGGAAAAAAGCTGGCATGTTTTGCACGGCTGGCAAAAGACGAGTCCTCACCCCAAGTAGACAGCAACCTGTCCAGTGTTGGGCAAAAGATGGTCATGTGAAAGTGAGACAAAATTTCGGTGCAACACAGTAGGGTGGCGGCTGAGCCACACTATGTAAACACCCTCGCTCTCAATCAGGCCAAGGATCACGAGATTCACATGTTCTCCTAAGTCCGCGACACCTCGGGATGCCTGCGATGAACGAACAGAGCACACACAAGAAAGGGATGACGGGTCCTCGTCCACCATGTTCATGCGCCGGTCATGCCTGGGACACGATATCTCTGGCGAAAACCGCTGGGAGAAGGCAGCCTCAATCACAAGGTCGCGCGTTCAAGTGTGTCTAGGATCCAGCCCAACACTTGCTGTCGCTGTTCTGGAATCAAGGCCAGACGAATGGGTTATGCGTTATATCATTTATCAGCGTGTTGATGGGCTTTCCTAGGTGGCTAATGCGAGTGCTCCGGAAGTATTCGAGGGCTAGAAGACTTCGTTACTGGAGGGCTGTCCAGAACACAACGCGTGTAATTGACACGACCACTCCATGGAATTCTGCAATGGACAAAAAATACCATTCAAGTACTGTCTCATGTACATAGATTGGAAAGGCATCAGAGATGGAGGGTTCAAAAACAATATTGTATCTATACAGGTATACATATCCAGGAAAAAATAGATGCATGTCATGTCACCAACCGGCAATGTACCCACAAAATGAGGAACCTTCATCTATAGAAAGACGCTGAGTGTAAATATTGGATCAAGCTTCATGATCCCAAATAGGACAGGCATGTCCAATGACAAAGAAAACGAGGGGGTATGGAAAGCAAGGACGACACCATGATGGCGGCATGTCACGGATTTGTAACATCACAACCCACGATGCAATCCCCAGGTATATTTCTTTCGCTCCGAACTTTGGGAAAAAAAAAAAAAGGTAACAAGTTGCAGACTGTTGTGGAAGCAAGCTTCTTTACAGCTTGGACTTCTCGGGCTGAGCGGTCAGGTCGGGAAGGAGGACGTCGCGAAGTTCGGAGGCGGCTTCGTTCAAGTAGTAGCTCATGCGGTGAGCACCGATGCGCTTGCAAACGATGTTGAAGTTGAGACTGAAGAGGAGAAGGAGAGGGAATCGTTAGTTTTGAACAATCTTTTTCTTTCTTATACATGTATATGTATATATTTGAATGCATTGACGGGAGTAGGTTAGTCAAGGAAAATGCATACCTGTTCTCGTTGATCATATAGGCAATGCCAAATCCATCATCAATGACCTGGCTCCATCCGTATCCGTTGAAGAACTCGGAGCTCAGTTGCGAGGAGGAAATGTACCAAGAGCCAGAGTATGTGAAAGCGGGATCTTCATAGATGGCAGGGAGCTTCTCGCCGGGCTGGAGCAACTTCTTCAAGCCGAAGAGATGGCGGTCGACACCGTGGCCGTCGCTGGCCTCGAGAGTGTACTTGGTATGCTGAGACAACGCGGCGCGGAACAGCTTGACGACCTCCTCGCGAGGCACGCTGGGGTCGCAGAACGCGCGGGTGAAAGCCACACTCTCGTCAGAGACAGTGCGAGTAGTCTCAGTACGGCCCTCCTGGAACTTGCGGGTGGAAGCAGACTCGTAAGTGGGACGGTTCTTGCCGTACATCTTGTAGTAGGCCAATTGGATGACCATCTGAACGTAGGCGTCGGGGCTGCACTTAAACTTCTTAATCAGGCCCTTGCCATACCCTTGGTACGCCTGAACGACAAGCTCGTGGTTGCCGATCTGCTTGCGGTGATACTGAACAGCCACATCGATCGCCTCGTTGACCTCGTCATTCAAGGCGAATCGAATGGCCTTGGGGTCGGCCAGCTGGGAGCGGACAGACTTGGCAGACAAATCGATCTTACGGCCGAAGATGAGCGCGTTGACAAAGTCGTTCAGACGGTGAGTGGGGGTGCCGTCCATCATGGAGTGCTCGCCCATGAAGCCGGCGGCACCGTTGTCGTTGATGATGAACTGCAGAGGCTTATCGAACCAGCGGTTGCAGCCATCTCCGTGCCAGTACTGGTGAGCCCGCTCCTCCAGTGTCACGGGCTTGGCGTCATCCAGGCAGATGACAAACCCGGCAGACTCGATGTCCTGCAGCGCTTGCTCGTTGGCGGGATCCGCAGCAATGAGCTTCTCGCGGGCACTCGTCCAGTGATCACGATCGGCCACCGTCAGTGCACCGACCGGCGGTGCGGGTTGGGCAATCTCGTAGATCCGCTTGAATTGTTGCTCCAATTCCGACACGTTCAAAGGCTGGCCATCCACAACGAGCAGCACCTTGAAGAATTGGTTCTTGCGAACCACGACAATGTGCTGATTCTCGGCGGCGGAGTACTTGCGGGGGAAGTCCTCGGGCTTGGCAGGGATACGGCAGCAGTTGAACATGTACTCGTAGGAGCTCATGGCCATGGGCTGACCGCGCATGTACTCGGGCTCGAGAGAACCATCGTCGACCTGACGCTTGAACTCCAAGGCGGCCGAAGTGATGGCGGCGGCACGCTTGGCGGGATCACGACGCTCGCGGTCATCGCGGTAGGAGTAGAAGTACGAGACGTAGGGAATGACGGGGTCCCGGTACGCCAGATAAGCGGCGGAGTTCCACCACTCTGAGAGCCAATTCTTGACCTTGGGATTGGCGGCGCGGTCCAGCAGGCGCTTCTGCAGAAGCTCGCCCTCACCACCGGGGCGAATGAAGGCATCGACGGCCTTTTTGGTGCGCTCGAACTCGGCCTCGGAGACCAAGGGATGCACGGACTTGAGGTAGCGCTTGCCAGTTTCCTCCAAAGAGGGCACGGGAAGGCGGGGCAAGGAGTCTTCGAAGCGGAGCATCTTGCCCTTGGAGAGGTCCTCCTTGTACCCTGGAGAGCGACATTTCGTTAGCTTTTTTCCCTCTTCCTCCCCCCCCCCCCCCTCTCTCTCTCTCTCTCAATTTGCGCACTTGTGTGCGATAACACCGGGAAGAGAACAGTTCAAGCTGCACTGAGTCTCGCGTGGTGGTTTGTGCACAGCGGACGTTTGACACACTTACCCTCGGGGACGGAGGAAGCCTTGCGAGCCATGGCGGGAGTCTACACGCTCAGTCATTAGCTTCGCTCCTTCACACACCGTGTCCTTTGATCGGTATCCTGGGAGTATTCAATCCGCCAAGATGGCTGAATTCATCGCCATGGCCACCAACAGGGTAGCTAGCGCAAAATCCCCGATTGTGAGGGTGGTTATCTTACCGAGCGGGAGAGCAGTTGTGTAGGAGGAAGCCTAGGCCGTGACAAGGTGGAGAGACGGCTTCGCGCAGAAGCAGCAAACATCCCTCTCGATGATATGGGTATAGAAGGGGTGATGAGAAGGTTGTGAAATTGAGAGCAAGAAGAGGAAGTTTTAAAAAAAAAAAAACAAAGAGAGAGAAAAGGCTATGTGTTCGGAGTCTTGAGTTCGGTTGAAGGACACACGCTCACCAAGACCGGACTGGAGGAGGAGGAGAAATGCCTCGGCTGTATGCAAAGGCACCCCCGAAAGTCGACCACTCCGGGCGGTGTCACGTTAGGAAGGCGTATGGTCACTATGGTGACGGGCCTTTTACAGGTTACAATACGGCCACGCGATACAGTTTCGGTCCCGGCCGGAGGGAAAGGCTTGGGACTGGCGTTGAAGATGAGCGGGCCTCCAGAGCCCTGAGCGGTGGTGAATTGGTGAGAGGCTGTCCGAGGAAAAAGGTCACTTATGAAAATACCGTTATTTCATATTCTGATTCTGGTCGAGACTTTGGAGTTTGGACTTATGGAAATCTATAGGATTGGAGCGTTGGGCGAGTTGCACATTGGAAATAGTAAATACTAAATACTGGTGCGTTTCCATTACACTTACAGCGCGGGCCGTAAGGTGACCAAGGTCGGCCGCGGAGCCTCGGTTGAATGTTTTGCGTGAGGCCTCCATCACGATGAATTATGGAAGAGCGATCATACATAATCATGGGGCCAAGTCTGGGGCGCTCTGCACAACACCAAAGTGGACTCGTGGAAAATACGGGGTGAGTCGTGTTACCGTGTGGAATCCTGGCTCGGCTGACCGAAAAGGAGGACCGAGACTGTGGACTTCCAAGTGGAGAGCAAATTGATGTCATCGGACGCAACAGACTGGAAAGGGGAAAGTTCAAGTGTAGACGATTCGATTGAGGCCACGCGCCTCACCATACGGCACAGAGTATGTAGCTATGTATAGTTCTTTCCCTCAACCACGTGGGCTTTGCTGGATGGACCCTGATCTCGAATACAAAAGGAATCTTTCCAGCGGCCAGAGCATACATCACTGACCAGAGAGACGCTCTGTAATGGAGGTTCACGTGGAAGAATCGAAAATTAAATGCAATTCTCGTCACCACGTCAACTCACGTATACATGTGAGGGAGAATCACTCAAGTGAGTTAGGTAGTTACCTTTAAACCTCAGGTAGGAACCTTTCAACGTCTGAATGTACTACTACTGAGTCTTACTAGTCAAGTAATGATAGTACTCGGCATCTTCGGGTGACCGATTCTCGACGCAAAACCCATATGGTAGTAGATATTTACCACGTCGATCCAGAATTGTACCAGGTAATCATAGTGAGGTACTAGTGTGACCAGGTAGCGAGTATAAGGACAGGAAATACTGTAGTACCCGATCGTACGACCCATCGACACGACCGTGAAGAGTTACGAAGCTTCACACCCCACGAGAAATGCCTGGTCGAGACAGCTGCTTCACGACGGAGCAGCCAAGAGCAGGATAGTGCCAATCCCGTCACGTCAACCATCATTTCGTAAATATTAAGTTACTATCCACAAAGAACAAAATTCACTGTCAAAGAAATCGCACAGATCGAGGTCATCCTTGCCCGGACATCAACCCGAGACGCATCCATTTCCCCTTTCCCGCTGGTCCGAGTCACCCAGGAACAAGAACACCCAAGACAGAACGCTAACACGACAAGAACGGGGGGAGGTATAGTAGATGCCATAACCGAGAATCGCTATTCGCAGGGATCAACAGACAAAACAAAAACGGACAGAAAGTGGGAGAGGACGGGCAAAGGAACATCAGATAGCCGACGTCAGCGTCTCATCAACCCATCCAAGAAGAACAAAAAGAAAAAAAAAAAGAAGAAGAGGAAAAGCAAAAACAAAGAGAGCCAAGAGTGACGAGGCAAAAAAAAGAAGGAAAAGGAAAATCCACAGTCAAACCTATCGTGAGTGAGGATGCAAGATGCACATCAAATGTCCCCAACCAAGCGTTCCCGATGGACCATCTTGACTTTGGAAATGGTCAGGTGGTGGTAAAACCTTAAGAAACGGGTTGAACGGGCGTCGGCTGCTCGACACCTTCCATCGATCGAGGAACTTGGACGCCGCGGTGTCGAAGCTCATCCATCTTGGCCATGGCCGGTCCCGTACAGATGCGACCAGTCTGCATCAGTGTGCGCAGACGCTTCCGTCGGGCTTCGCCGCTTCGCTCTTCCCCGCGTCCGACCCCTTCGTCCACCCACTCAACACGGTGGACCTTGAAACTCAACCCATCGTGTCGCCCGGTCCACTCTCGAGACTTGAGCCCAAACATGACCGTGGATTCGTATCGGTCAACTCGGGGCAAAATGAGCAGGGTGACATGAAGATCTTTGTCTCCGGGTGGGACGGGCGGGAAACGTGGGGTGCGGCCCTCCTCCTCCGTGGAGGGCGGGGGTGCGTGTTGATAAGAATCTTTGATCTCGAGATCGAGCATACTCTCATCAACGTCGTCCCCCCAAGCTCCACGAATATAACCCGAGTGGATGGCCGCCGCGACAGGATCGGAGTCGTCCGTGTAGACACCTGTTCCCCACAGAGCACGACGGGCGCAGATCTCTTCGCGCCGAGCCGCATCAACGCGGAACCGGGGCACCCGAACGGTAAAGGTGCAATTCTCCTGCTGATCGAAGCGGGGAAGAGGACGAGGGGTGGTGGTGTAACCAAACTTGGAGCTTTCGGAGGATGCCTTCACACTGGGCACGTCAATCTGCGGTTTGTATAGCGTCGATCCGAGGTGATGCCGGGGAAGGTGCGCCACGCTGGCGAGAAGAGGCTCGAGGTTCACCGTCGTCCGCGGTTCTCGGAGCGGAGATGCAGGTACAGCGGCGGCTGATCGAGCTGCATGATGGTGGTGATGGTGATGATGGTGGTGGTGACCGACTGTATTCTCTGTGGGTGCGGAGGTGCGACCGGAGGAAACGTTTGTCGAAGGTCGATGAGAACTCCCTGTGGGGGGCTTCTTCGTCTCCCTTGTGACGGTGGTGATGGTGACTAGAAATAATCTGTGAGCCGTAATTTCAATAGTAGACAAGTAGACCTGTTCAAGTCCGTGACAGAGAGGAAGGGGAAATGAAAGGAGAAGGGAGGCGGGGGAAGGTCGTACTGGTGGTGGTGATGGTGTACATGTCGAGGCCGACGGCCTGGCTTAGACGATCCTGCACCGGCTTCCTCTCCTGGAGTTTCCTCTTCGCGAGACTTGCGTGACCGGCGCTGACTTGTGGCCGAGATTGGCCGGGCAATCTTTCCATCTTCATTTTCACCGTTAACCGAGCGACTCGTGAGACTGCCCCTTTTGAATGGACTGGCGATCAGAGGTGTTGACGGGCCACTTCCAGACGAGCCAGCGGTGACGCCGCCAACACCACTGCCAATGCCAGAGAAGACACGACCAAGCTCATTCTTGATCCCTGGTTCGCCTGACGGACCGATGAAGGGAGCTTGAGCACCTTGTACAGCTTGCGGCAGCGGCGATGCACGGCCACCACGCTTGACATCTGCAAAAAGAGAAAGAAGGTTGCGATGGTGGAGCAGATCTTCACTGCCTTTACGACGACCTGATTCCTCGACGGCAGGAAGTCCAAGAGAGGGCGCTGTCGTGGCAGGGGATGCAAATGTAGTAGGACCCAAACGCGCAAGGTGTGGCTGCGATTTCGTAGAGTAAGGCGGCTCGCGCTGTGTCGGAGACAATTGCCTGGGACCTGTTTGGACAGACAAGGATGGAACCCGTGAACCCCCCGGTTGCGACCCCAAGGACTTGGTATAGCTTTGGATTGCACCAAATCCGAAACCCGGGCCCGGCTCGGGCGCCGGGAAACGCTTCGTTTCAGGTGACGACGGCTGTGAGCGAGCTTGTTCCCACGCTGACGCGGTCGGATAACGCTCAGTCGGCTCCCGTTCTCCATATAGAGGCCCAAAGGACCCTCCGAGTGGACCCTTGGAGTCCCCTTCCTGGAAGAACCGATCCCTCTCCCGTTCTTTCCCACGCTCCCTCCCCCGATCTTGATCCCTCGCGGCAGTGTCTTCTGGGCGACGGTCTCCGGCTATGTTCCCATACCGTACCGAGTTATCACGCACATGCTGGTCAAGGCCCGCGTAGGTAGGGCCGAGCCGCGGTGCCGCCTCATACCGGTCGTGGGCGAGCGTCGATGGGCGCGAATGTGGGCTATAGCCTGGTGGATGCGGAGCAAAGTCGTTGTTGGGTGGTTGGCTACTTGTTCGCCCAATCGGCCCACTGAAGCTCATGCGTCGAGCCTCGTTGTACAGCGGCTCTGACGCCGAGATTTGGGGCGATGGGTGTGTAGAATGTGGTTTCTCGGGATATTGAGAAGAGGTCGCGCGCGGTGGCAGTCCCCCGAAAGGTGCTTGCTCCACACCTCCAACAATGCTCGCTCCACCGCTTGACCCAGACCGATATGGGCGACCCATCGACGGCCGTGAGAAAGACTTGTCTGGTGTATTTGACCGGCGATACGTGGAGTGATCTAAAGAAGGTGGTCGGGAGGGGCCTGAGGGGGGGCGACATGGCGGTCACGTTGGAGGGGGCCGGGTTGCCGAAGATGGATGCGCCAACCGGGCGTGAGAAGAGAGATGGTCCAGTTTCGCGCGCTGGACGCTCGGAGTCCGATCCTAGCATGGCAGAGATAGACATGCTGCTACCGGGGCGGTGAGGTGGGACGGTCGATGGCTCGCGGGAAAGTAGGGATGAAGCGGCCGCGTTGGCAGACTGCGATCGAGGACCGTAAGCGTGCGGAGGAGAGGGAGGAGGCATCTGGCGGCTACCAAACGCGGGAATCGTTGGATGATCTTGAGGACCTATACAATCGATCCAGACCGATTAGCCGGTGTCTTTGAAGCAGTGGCGGGCATTAACACGTGAGAAAAGACAGCAGAGGCGAAGGTCGCGACTTTATCCGCGTGTCTTGGCAGCGATCTGGGCCTACTATGCAGCGCAGGTTGCAGTGAACCTGCATGGCTTGCGTCGCTGTTGTCGTCGTACTCACCGGAGGTCACGGGGCTTCCACTACTGCCTTGGGATGCGCGACGCCCATAGCCAGAAGGTGGGTGGTTCATTTTGGATCTGAAAACTCTTGAAACGCGTTCTTGAGAGTGCAGCAAAATGATGGAATTGCATCCACCCAGGGTCGAGAAAACGACCCAGAACCCGTGACTCCGGGAAGCTCGACCGCTAATCCCAGAAAGAACTAGCTCTGCCAGCACCGATCGGGACTAGCGTTCCCGGTGGATCTGCGCCACCGGGGGAAGAAAAAGCACCAGGGCGAGGGGAGGGCTCGTGCAGCTGGACGCTGGAAGAGATCAATGGGTACAGAAAAGACATGGTGGAGGGAAGAACCAAGACGCGCCAGGTCACCAGTGTCTCGTCTTGCGGGGGAAAAGAAGTCTGAGAAGCTCCGTCTGGCGCCAGAACGATGTGCTGTATGATGCAGATGCGCCCTGACGCAAGATCTTTGCGAGGAAAAAAAGTGGAGCGAGGAACCGAACGGGGGTCAGAACCACGGGACAAGTCCGACCCCGACTCGACTTTGCGGGAATCCGGGGGGGGAAAGAGACAACGCGCAAACCAAACAAATCTCGGAATAGCATCGTGATGGGTGTTGGGATCAAAATCACAAGGAGATCACGGGACAATCGAGGGGAGGAAAGAAAATGACAACGAGTACCAACCTTCTCTTAATGGTGCACTATGCGGCTGAGACTGGTTTCGGCGGTGTCTGTGAGGATTGACTCGTGGTTCATGGCTGTGATCTCGCGGGTGTTGCTGGCGTGCAGGCGCAGGCTGATTCCGCGGCGGAGAGATCGCCGGCCCAGCATTCTCACCCCCAGTCCCTTGCGTCTCCCGCACCATGCCTGCAGAGTATAGATGTGATGTCGGACTGGTGTAATCGTAACGACCGGTTGGTCGCATGTTCTCGCTTTCGGCACGACGGCGGGAGTCGGCGGTGGTCGAGAAACCACCAACAGCTTGTCGGGCGCGATCCTCGCTCGCCTCCTGAGAGCCAGCAAGTGGTGATGGCCGGGAGGGATAGGAGCTTTGATGAAAGCGACGGAAGAGATCCATGTTGGGGACGCGCCTCACTCGCACGTGGCCGGGCGCTATACACTGTGTAGTGTACAGTAGTCGCGGTAAACGGCTCGTGTCGAGGATCGGCGTCGGGCGAGGGTCAATGAAAATCCTCAGTCAGAGATGTACCTGGTCGAGGTAGAGTCCGTGGCGGTCAGGTCAGGTCAAAAGGCTTCGTTTTTGCCATGCACTGTCGATGATAGCCAAGGTTCGAGGATCAACGGTTGGTCGCGCGATTCATTACCGGTCGCAGATCTCGCACCGCTCGGGTAGAGGAATGCGGGAGACAGGCACACCCGGCCGAAATGGAGACAAGTTGATATGAAGGATTGGGGACGACTTCCAAGATCAGGCTTATTGGAGGACGAGGTCGTCCGCTGGATGTGTTGAGAGTCCCAAAAACGATGGAGAAAGGAGAATGATCCTTGGGGTCGAAAGACAGGAACAAGTCGAGACCAACACGGGTGGGTTCAGAAACAGGAGTAGGCCGGAGAGAAAAACGGTGAGTGACTTAGCGCGCGGCGATGGATGGGGCCAGAGCCCCGAGAGCCAAGACTCGAGGATGTACACTTCAGAGTTTCAGACTGTACAGATCATGTGGAGTTTCAATAATGTGATCGCCCGCCAGGAAGCAGAAAAGAAGACTGAATTTCCTGATGGAGAATATTTGGGGTGCTCATAGACGGAATTGACAACGGAGCCTTCCGTTTTTGTGTTTGCATGCGACAGCAGTCTTGCCGGTCGCAAGGTCCCAACGACATGGAGTTCAACCTTCGCGAAGGATCTTCTCATGTCTTCAAAGGGCAATCATGGTCGGTTTAATCGGCGACGTCGAGGACCAGATGTATAGCTGCATCAGTGCATCCAAGCAGTGGGGTTACTGGGGTACATCAGAACATCTGACTGCCGCCAGAAGGATGTTGCTAGTACTACCTGCTACCTGGGTGTATTGGCAGAAATTTGGTGCCTGATACTCGAATTCTCTCACTAGCCACTACAGTACTACACTACGTAACTCCATAGGTTTGTAGGTACCTTTCGTACACGCGACCTTCTCGAGCCTCGTCCATCGTCCCAAAACTATGTTGATGTGATCGACGCGGCCCGCTCTTCTCAATTTCTCGGTCGCTGTCAACGTCATGCGAATCGCCGTTTCGAGCAAGGTCCGCAGAAAAAGATACTCCTTCCCACTCCACAGGACAAGCAAGCTAGGGAATCGAGACAAGAAGTGAAGTACTATCTGATTTTTGAGTGACTCTGCAGGTCACTGTTGGGTGGTTGGGTAGCTAGGCATGCCGTGAGAATCTGCTCCCGTTCACCGTTTCTTCACTACCCGAAAAGTGTTTCGACATGCAGAGCGGAAAAGCATCACTTCGCACGAGCCTCGTGGTTGCGGATCGGACTGCGTCTCTGCGAAAGCCCTATTTCGACTATGGCCGCCGAGGTGGTACACCTACTTTTGGTACGACATGGCGTGGTACCGCTAGTTTCGTCGAAATTGGACCTTGTCGGTTGAGCACGCGCCTATCCACGTTGTCTCTTCTGGATAGGGATCGGGAACGCTACTCGAGACTGCAAGGACGGAGTCAATGCATCTACATTGGACCGTCCACCCACTCATGTATCATGTATCAAACAGTGTACCTCCATGCATATCACAGCCGCCTTTCGGAAGGTAAAGCGAACTCCAACTGGCTCTCGATGGAGGAAGAGATGCAGGATGATGATAAGGTTCGCTGATCGCTCGATGTGGTCCCTCAGGCAGACTTTCCCGGCAGATTTAAGCATTTGATGCTCTCTATGTCCGAGGCAGGAGACGTGTCTGATCAACGACCTACAGCTTAAGGAAAGGTATGATGAGAGAGGATCCATGTCTGGAACTGCCTGCTGCTGCTGCTAGGCTTCAACGACCGACTGTCGCCGACCAGATTCTACTTCCCATTGTCTTCCAGCTCATGAACTTGAATGACCAGCTTCAACAGATGACACAGTCCAAGCTCGTAGAGATCCTTGGTGACTGGGATAAGCAGAGCATTCCTCACGGACGCAAATGGCTCACACCGCACCGCACAGCAGCGAACGGGCATTCTGGTCTTCTGCCTTCCGTCGCTGGGATCACGCTGATTCTGTGCTTACTCGGTCGGTGATGGGCTGAACGCAGCGGGTGAGCAACCCCAATTAGCCCTTGCACTCCTGCTCTTCCTGCGAGCTGATCGACAAGACCACCATAAGATATTGAAACAGATTATCCCCACTGCTCCTGCTACTCTGGACACTGGCTGGAATGCCACCCTACATGTATTCAGATGATCAATCACCTTTCGCATGTTTCCATTCGAAACCGGATTCGCAGTTTCCCATCATGGCTGCTTGTTGGCAATTTTTGATATACGTGACTAAGTACATGTCCGCGCAGTGAGGGCCCCGTTCTTTATCCCGAAAGCGAGGGAGCTGGACCGGTGCTTTTTGGAATAGGAATCTTCTCCCGTATAACACATCGCAGGCAGCACGTGTCTGCACAGACGAGCAGACAAGAATCGAGAATCCGGGCTGGAAAGGGCGAGGACAGCTCGAAGATGGTTGGAAAAAAGCCATCAGGACCGTAGAGTGAGTGACGCCCAGAGAAAGACACCAAAGCTACTATTTGATAGTCGGTAGTGCCTCATAACTACGGACTACTGACAGTGGTCGGAGGTAGCTTGTGGAGACTGGGGAGTGCTCAAATCCGGGGTCGACTTCCATCATTTTATGGTTAAGTTGGTCTATGACGGAACCCCCGTCTTCCATTCATGCGGAGATGTTCGACGGGCGTATTGTCCCCGTAAAACCTTGATCGCCCGGGAGATAACTCAGGGAGCAATTGCCGAAGCCCGTGAGGTACAACTCTAATCCAGGGACCTGGACAAGGTCCGCCCTTGAGAAGGTTGAGAAGGTGAACACTTGTCACTCGGCATCAGTATCTTGTACATCAAGGATCTGACATGCTGCGGGTGATTTAGCAGATCTTGTGCGAGACCTATCTGGCTCGCTGCGTCACGATGATCAGATGAAAGGTTCGCCTTTCCATGATGACTTGGATGAATCGATTAGTCATAGCTTGTCGCTTCAGTTCGCATCCCTGCCGTGCACCCCTGGCCATGGATGCCAAGACTGAGATATAATAACCGGTCACACCTTTTCAAGTCGCGAGAGCAGAGTGTTCACTGGGGCCAGATCCACGATACAATCGTTCCCATCTGCACCCTTTCCTGGAGCTGGTAGACTGGAGGAGTCGATGCTTTTCTCCGCGTCTCCGCGTCCCCACGTCCCCGCGTCTTCCCGTCCCCGCAAGAACCCCGGAATCTCCAAGTTTTCCTCTCCCAAAAACCCACTCTTGTGGTCATTCGCCGAGTACACCTTCAAGATTGGCTTTGCGATACATCGCAAATAGAGTTAATGACGGTGGCGAAGCTTGAGGGCATCAGAATGTGTCGAGCTCTGATGCCGACTCTAATTGCCGCAGTCTGGTAGACTCGATCCTAGGACAACTCTGAAGTCACGAAGTATCTGCTGGGTGTGTATTATGATTGGGGAGACGGGGGCAGGCACCGAACAGAACAGCTATCCTGGTTCGCTCTCCTTCCCACCTGGAGACCGTGCATCGGCAGTCATCCGTCAACTGAAGTCCCGATCATCAGCCCTTTGCGGTTCGAGACGACTCACCTGTCTTCAATAGTCCCGCCTTCGCTTGTCTGGTGGCGTATTGTAGGGATCTTCCCCGCAGCTCGTCCCGGAGAGTGCATGAGTATGCCAGGGTCAAGGAAGTGCAGGAAGAAACTTGGGCGTGAATGCGAATCCTGTTGAGAGAATCTCAGATTTTATCATGATCGGGCTGTTCTTGTCCCTTGGCAGATTCACTACTGCGTGGTGAAATGCGCAATCACTTAAAGGGGCGGAGCATGTCAAGTCCGGGGCCCAGTGATCAGCGATCAGGAGCCTCGTGCACAGCAACAACAAGATGAATCGTCTCGTAAGCTTCGGTAAGCTGCTGAGAAGTGGAGACCGTTGGTAGGTTAAGTCTCGAGCGCGTTTGGCCTTAATTGCGCGGGCGAGGCCGGTGGAATGGTGAGTGATAAGCTCTTCAGGTGAAAGTAGTAGGGACGTTGTAACAGACTCAAAGTACTGTGCTTGGAGTCTTTGTCCACATACAGTTCTGACCGTGGATCCGCATCGGGTGAAACTCGTGGACTCGTGGATCAGTAGCCAAGAGACCATTCCCCCTCTTCCCAACGTGGAGACCACGCAGAACAAACACCCAAACCGGCCCAATCCTTCTCATATACTTCCAGAGGCGATAAGACCGGTATCAAACCCTTTTTATTACGTGCCATTGATTCGTTGATGCACAGCGGGCCAAGACGAAGAAGCTTCCCTGCCTCGGTCACGGCGTTCCTCAAAAAGCCTCTCCCATCCCCGAGACATACCTTAGGGTATTCTTTCGTCTCTGCTGACAAGCGGTCATTGTCCAGGTTCAGAGCACGATCCACCGGCCAAAGACTTGCTTTCAAAAGGTCACTAAGTGCAGCGATCGGTCGCAAGAGTGCTACTTTGAACCAGAAGCCTGCATTGGGCTTCCTACCTCAATTCGCAATGGAGATGAATAATGATGAAGCGGTAGGTCCCTTCCCGAGCATCGTCGCCAAAGCGTGTATAGGGATCAGGCAGAATCGCTATACCAAACAACCAACAGGCATGAGGCACAAAAGACTGATCATCTCTCGTGATTCCCCCCGCTAGACTCTTCGCCAGTACGTCAACTACGAGCTTACTTTCCGTCAATGACGAGCAGCGTGTTCCCGTCGTGAGACTAACTTCCCCTCCGCAAACAACAGACTGGAGAATGAGCTCAATGTCAAAATCTACCCTGGGACGGAGATTATGACCGATGTAGGCTCGCATCATTTCGTGAGACAATCAGACACCTCGTCCAACGTCCTGGTGCCGCAGCCATCTAATCACCCTGATGATCCCCTGGTGAGTATGGAGACCTCCAAGCCCTACCGTGCCGACGATGTTCCTGTTCTCGCCCCTTTATATCGGGGTTGGTGTGAACTCGTCCACTGACTGAAGCCTGGCGGAAACAGAACTGGAATAAATGGTGGAAGTTCACCACTTTTTTCATTGCCATGGCAAGCAATGTTATCATGGGCATTGGGCCGCTGGCTCTGGCACCCATGTTTGGCGACTTGATTGAGGCTTTTCATTCCGACTTGGCTGGTGTTGTGCAGTTCACCGGGGTCTGCATTCTCCTGTTGGGCTTTAGTAATTTCTTCTGGTGAGTATCAGTGCTTACCAGATATTGGATGGAAGCAAGATTTCGTGGTCCAGACGGTCTTTTTCTGGGCATTGCCATCATGGACAGCAAAGAGAACTAACGGAAATGACGTTGCCAAAAGGGTCCCTATCGCAGACACTTTCGGACGAAGACCCGTTCTCATCTTTTCCTCCTTGGTCTGTCTAGCGTCCATGATCTGGCGTGCCAAAGCAACCACGTACCGCAGCTTCATGGGAGCTTGTGTCTTGAATGGATTTGGAGCTGGGCCTTGTGAGGTGAGACAAAAAACGGGAGAGAAAGACAGAGATTTATTTGACCTAACTTGAGCTGAGCTGATTACCTACGTGCATCTCCAGACTCTTTGTCCCCAAGTGATTACGGACATTTTCTTCCTCCATGAGCGAGGCTTCTACAACACCATGTATTTTGCCTTTTACTTTGGCTCCCTGATGGTAAGTTACATGTGTGTCTCGTTGGACAGGCTTCGACCCAGAACGCTCCCCATCAGAGTAGGACTCTCCATCCTTGGCGAATCATACTAATCTTGTTTATTCGAGCTACATTAGGTTGGCCCCATTATTGCTGGAGTCATGGCTCTCCATGTTGGGTGGCGTAACTTTTGGTGGCTGAACGTCGCTGCCTTCGCTTTTGTTATCATTGCCGGAGTGTTCGCCTTTCCCGAGACCAAATGGCATCGCGCTCTACCCAGCGAGTTCCATCAGACAGAGGCCTCCTTGGACTCGACAGCAGACTCGACCGATGGGAAGGAGAAGACCCAGACCACTGAAAATACCTCCAAGAGTATCCCCACCCAACTGGAATATCAACAGCCAGCGGTCGAGAGTGACGCCATGGATCCGTATCTCTACAAGGGCAATCCGTCAAAGAGCCAATTCCACATTTATCAGGCCAACTCCAAGTGGGCTCGAAGCCTTCTGTTCGCTTTCTGGACTCCCTGGCGTCTCCTCGCGTTCCCCATTGTCGAATATGCCGCGTTTGTGGTGTCATGGTCGGCGAGTTGCCTACTCACGGCCAATCTGACTCAAGCTCAAGCCTTTGGCGCCCCGCCCTATAACTGGTCCAGTCAATCGATCGGATTTACCAACTTTGCCTGTCTGGCTGGCGCGATGATCGGTCTTTTGACTAACGGCCCCCTTTCGGATTGGATCTCCATGCGAGCAACGAAGAAGAATGGCGGTATTCGAGAGCCGGAGATGCGTTTGCCAGCTTTGATCCCCTACTTGATCATTGCCATCATCGGCAACTTCATCATTGCGTTTGGATACGAGTATCACTGGGATTGGCGGGTGAGTTACTCCATGAATTTCCCAAATCTCAAAGCATTTCGTTTCAGAACGCTCTTAACACACCATTCTCATTACCCTCAGATCATCGTCATCATCGGATACACCTGCGCCGGAATGCAGGTCACCGCTCTCCCCGCCATCGCAAGCACATACGCCGTCGACAGCTACAAACCAGTCGTGGGCTCCGTCTTCGTCGCCATCACCGTCAACAAGAATGTCTGGGGCTATGGATTTAGCAAGTTCATCACGCCATGGACCGAGGAGAGCGGATATATCCCGTGCATCATGTTGAACATGTGTTTGACGGTTTTGTGGGTGTCCTTTGGAGTGGTGCTGTATTTCCGGGGTAAGCATTGCCGGAAGTGGACTGCCAAGTCGAGTATTTGGAATCTTTAGACGCGGATGAGTTGAGGCTGGACAGGGAGGGTTATTGAGTTCTGCATTTTTGAGACTTTCATCGGATCCGCTGGGAGCTTATAACGTGTTATACATACTGCAATCCATTGTTAGGATCAGCCTTGATATTCGCTGCAAGAGTACGAGATTCACTAGGTGCATTCGAGACGCCAAACAGGGCGGGCTTCTTAAGCATGAGAGGCTTGATCCGCAGTAACATAGGATAATACCCTTGGCAAGTGGAAGTTCATACGCGATATGCTTGAAAGTTGTCAAGGTTCAATTTGACGGTTTGTCTTCGTGGTCAGTCATGAATGTTTTCAATTTGAAACTATCTAAGTTGAAGTAGAGCAAACACAGTCTATTTCCCGTCCCTTTCTAGGCTCTATGTGATCATCAAAACAATAAAAAGACAGCCACAACAACGCTAAGATCGTGTATCTCTTGATAAATCCTCGACCACGATCAACGGTGCAAAATGTGCGTACTAGCCCGTTCCAAGTCCATATTCACGCTCACACTCACACTCATGATCCAGGCGTCTTCGCCCCGTCACCCATCCCCATCAATCCACTTGCAAGTCCATTCATCCTCCGATCCAGAATATCTTCTTCGCTATCCAGCGAGGTGATACTTCTACTTCGACCGCGCCCCAACCCCGATCTCATTGTCGCAGGGGTCTCCGGTACACTAGTAATCCCCTCGGGAAAATCAGATTGTTCACCGTGGCCGCGACTCATCTCCAATTGCTTCAACTTGGCGCGGAATTCACGCACGTTGCGAGATTCCTGGTGTCCGAGGGTAGTCAGACCTTGGAGATGAGAAGAGGCCAAGGAGGATTTGGATCTTCTGCGACGGAGGGGTACCTCCGATACTGTTGTTGATGCTGAGGGGGATCGAGACTTGGGCCGAGACCCGTTAGGTACCCCGGGCGGAGGCATTGGGGGCAGTACCGCTGCTGGAGCATTGATCTTGCTCATACTCATTTCCAATGGGCGATCTTCGTCGGCGGATGATTCTCCAGTCAGATTTCGGTGATGGTGGTGGGCTGTTGGACCACTATTGTTCTTGTCGATGCTGTTGCCGCTTCCGTGCCCGTTGATATGAAGGCCGCGTCTGGATAGCTTCGAGCTCGACATGTTGGAGAGCTGGAGAAGGCTGTATTCATCTCTTTGTAGGTTCGTGCTGTCCAGCAAGCCCTCAATCCACTGCGCACTACGGTTGATGTACTTCCACGCCTCGGGGAAGAACCCAGCCATCTGAATGAACCCATGCGACACCCCCGGAATGAGCGAAACTTCAACGTGGTCTTTTTCATTGAACTGGCGAGTCGATTTCTCTAATCCCAATTCTTGCCGCTCGTGGAAACGCTGGAGTTTGGCTTGTCTCAATCGTCCAGCAAAGATGACGGTATCGTCCACGAGTGGATCTCGTTCGCCAGTCAAGATATAAATCTTAGGGAATTGGGCCAACAGAGCGTCTGGCGCGAGAACAGGGGACAAGTAAAAATCCGTGTTGAAATCGGGCCTATGGTGCGGACCGATATAGAGTATAATCATGGCCCGCATCATCTCAGGCGTGAGAATTCGATCGTGAACGTATGAAATCATCGACGAGACGGCCAGTCGAGTCTTGAGCGGGTTGGCGTGACGGACTGGCTCGGGGGCAGTGTCACCAGCCACCCGGTCACTCTTCTGGAATTTGTCATGCAGAGCCTTGATGGTCTCGGTCGCGATGTCACTCTCTCTCACCTCTGATTGACTTGCATGTTCCTCGGCCGGTTTCTTGCTCCCATTCGCCGTGAGAGCCGTCAGGTTCTCGACAGAATGACCGGGAGAGGTGTATGGCGTGAGCTTGCGATACTGGTCTTGCTTTCGCTGCAAGACGCTATTGTTCGTCTGCCGACAACTCTTGTCTTGGATCAGCGACATTTGCTCATCTGTCATCCAGCTTTCAACCTTCACATTCAGAGCCGGGTAAGCCAGAACAACCCCGTCGGGACGAGGTAGGACGTTGTCCCCTTGCCAGCCCTGCGTCATTGCCGACTGCAAGACCATCAGGGTCATACCAACTGCCAGATTTCCTCCCGCACTCTCTCCAGTCACCACAACGCGAGGACGCGTGGAACCGTTCAGCCCCAAACAGCGACCGTTGGTGGCCATGATGGTGTGGTAAACGTCGAAACATTCATGAAGCGCGTAGGGATAGGCATACTCAGGAGCCTTTCGATAGTCGATACTCAGAATGGGAACCTTCAATTTGCCTGCCCACGAAAGTAATTTGTCCTCTGAATGACGGGGTCCCATCGCCACGAACCCTCCTCCGGGCACATCCAAGACAACACATGTCTGGCTTTTGAGAGCACTCAGCGGTCCGTCAAAATACATCCAAGCATTGACCGGCTCGGTATACGCCGATTGCTTGGGGCGCGGGATGCGAATAGCTCGCGGACCATAGTTAGTCAGGCGCGGGCGCAGTAAGTTGGCTAGAAACCAAAGATAGGGCGTCGTAGCTTTGTTCCACGATACCCGAAGATGCTCCAGGGTGAGCGTTCCCCTGACCCGGCGAACCTTTTCATCTGCCTGCTCCGCCGCGATCAAATAGTACACTGTAAATATGAGCGATGCCAAGTCACGCAGCCATTTGGGCTTGATTTTCATAGCCGTCCAGAATCCGGCATCGAGCCCCGTCGTGATCCATGTTGCTCGGAAAAACGATCGAGAGTAAAGATTTGCCAGAGGCTCGGGGCATTCAAGACCCACGATTTTGGCAAAATTGCGGCTCACGTAAAGCCACAGAAAGATGATCACGGTGGTTTGCCAACTGGTCAGCTTCCCTGACAAGCGAGATGAGATAGAACGAACAAAGGGCGGTCCATGCTTGTCGGCCCTAAACTCCAAAAGCAAATTGACCTCAATGTTAGTCTCCAGTCTCCTCCTCGGTGGGGGGTGCCGGCTGACACGAAACGCACTTGAGCAGATAGAGAGACCAGAACGAAACGACGGCAAAAACTTGGATCTTGCGAAATCGAGTCGACGGTCTTCCTAGAACGTGATCTATTTACCGTGAAAAGATGTATCAGCCTGGGGTTCTTTGAAATATTAGGTCTCTTCTTCGCTGATCGAGGGAACTCACCTATCATCTCCGCATGGGTAACCCCAACTTTTAAGCTTTCTGACCCGCGTTTCCAAACAAAGTCGTCGCCTGCCGGGGTGAGTAATTCAGTGTCAGATCCGCGTCACTGAGGGCTAGTCATTAACGAAAAAGGAGAGAGACCAGAAGGCCATATCTTGGAAATCAACTTTTACGAAAAGAAGTAAATGAATCGGCAAGGAGGTCAGGGAATCCATTACGGGGCACGTCAGCACTCCATGCCACACCACCCAGTCTTGTCGTGACCTTACAATCACATGCAAAATCACCTGTTCATGTTTTCCCCACGTCTTGGCTGCGATCACATGCTTGTGACGCAAAAGCCACGCGACGCCTATCCGGACGAGAGAGTGGAGAAAAGTACGATGTCTGGTCAAATTACATTCTCTCAACCTTGAGCCGGCCTTGCCTTCATGTTGGTAAGAACTACCGAGTCCGCCGAAATGCTAAATTTACACCATTCCCGTCGTCAAGGCGGCTACATGTGTGAGTTTTGTATTGATTTCACGTCTGTCGACAAAAGTCCCGTCCGTGACTCACTTGCCAGCGACACAGGAGAACCTCCCATGGCATACTCAAAAAGCCGGCAATACAGATACCCGCAGAATCACTCACTGTCGTGGCACCGAGTGAGAATTCGCGATCCTGTTTAGGGACTCGGTCGGCAATCTCTGCAAAGGTATTCACATAGACCAGTCCACCCAGCAAACCTTCCCAGAATATGATCACGAACACTACATAGACGTTAGGAATGAAATCGAACATTGCGTGGACAGTCAGCAAAACAAGGTTGACGATTTGGAGGAAAGAGGGTATGTATAGATGGTGCACGCGGAAGAACGGCGTCGAAGACCTCGAGATGAACACGCCGGCTTGGTAAATGGCATTGTAGGCTGGGTAGAAGGCGCGGAAGTTTTCAAATGGCGTACGGTCCAGTGGAAAGAGTAAGGTGGGGCTGACTCCTTGGTTGATCACGTATTCGGCGACATACACGAGAAGCAATGGCAGCATGCTGAGCAAATATGAAGAATGAGTCAGTTCATAGGTCTATTGCGTTCAGAACAGTCCCAGGGGTTCATCTTACAAGGGGATGAATAGTCCCTGAAGCAGTGCAAAGTTCAAGCGAAATTGACTCCACCATGTTGTCGATCCTCTGACGTGAACAGGCTTGTAAGCATCCACCGCATGGACAGGGTCTCTCAGTGGCCTTTCTTCCTCGTCAGAATCGGCCTCGCGACCGTCTGCATGCGGAGATTCGTCCATCGTGTCCTCCTCCTGCGCTGTGGAACGGTACCCATGTGCAGCAGAGGTATCCATCTGCATAGCGCCGCCAGGCAGGACCACGAAAAAGCTGAACGCCATAAGAGCCGGAAGAATGGCAGATGCTAACAATGTAGCTTGCACGGAGAAATTGAGCGTCGAGGTCGCCAGAGCATAAGCACCCGCCCCGATCAGACCAGCAGCTCCTGTACCACTTCCCCATGCTGCTAGACTAAATGGTCCATAGAAATGGGTCAATCCGACAAAACTGAGCTCGCCGCCACCTGCGGACAGACTCGCAAGCACGATGCCAGCAATTTTCATGCCGATTGTTCCTCCATTCGTATAGCTTGGGCTTGTCGCAACGACCAGCATTCCCAAAACTGATAAAAAGACGAACACGATCACCCGTATCGAGTAGGGCACGAAATGTATAAAGTATGGGGCGATGAGCTTGGTACCGAAGGAAGGGATGATGTCTGCCAAAAGGACAACGCCCTTAGGGACATCTGGGCCAACCAGGTCCAGCGCTGCAGAGAGAAGAATCACGTATAGAACATTGTTGATCAGGCCTGAAATGTCCCAGAAGTGCGGTTAGTGACGGTACAGGATGAGAGAATATCGCCTGTCAACACCGGTGAAATAGCCGGATCATACTGACCAAATAGCCAAAAAGCTACACACACACGAGCATCAGCGCCATGGAAGATCCCGCGGAGCCAGTCGGCAAATCGAACGCCAAAAGACATCGCGATTGCGGCTCACTGGGAATACCCCAGGATATTGGATGGAAGTGCTGGAGGCTCGCGTACGACAGTCGGGAGGCTGAGATTCAGATACAAGAATCAAGGTCAACCTAGATCTCGTGCTTGGGCTGCCGCATTCATTTGGATGACAGAGTACCCATGTATTGGAATTTGAGAGCTATACAGTCGAGATAGCGCACACGAGCATCCCACACACTCATTCCAAACAGCTTTGAATCAAGTGCGGAGGAGAAGGGAGAAAGGAGGAGGTTCCGATCGAAGATCCACATGGTGGGTTTCGCATTTACCCGCCGCGTCATCGTCTCCGCGACGCTGCTTTGGAGCAAATAGAGTTTGATGGCCTGGAGCTCTTCTGTTCAATAGATTGCAATGAGCATATCTACAGTACTGAAGCGATGACTACTTTAGTCCTGAGTATTTACTGAAAACCCAGAGACAGAGGAAAGACGACGGTCAATGACGAAAATTTGCTTTTCGCACCCGCGCAAACCAACGATCTATGAAGCAATGCAATCGGGTAAAGTCCAAAGAAAGAGACGAAAATCGCTCGAGAAAGACAAGTAACTTGTGTACCAGGCACATGAAATGGAGCTCGCAAACCGCAAGCAAGACCAAAGGGGGTTTGAAGGAAGTCTCGAGGAGAAATAAAAGGGTATTCAAGCATCGGAAACAACAGAAGCCATGGCCTGCTCCAGGATGTTCAAACCGGTCTGAATCTGCTCTTCCGTGATTGTCAATGGAGGGACAAAGCGAATGCATCCTTCACCGGCAGTGATGATTAATAGTCCGCGCTCGCGAGCAGCAGTGATGATGTCGGCGGCCTTGGAGGTAAACTCGGGGGAGAGTTGCAGTCCCAGGATCAAGCCGCGGCCACGGACCTCGGAGATCGCGTTGGGGAACTTCTCTCGCAGAGCCTGGAAGCCCGCAGTGAAGACAGCCGACTTCTTCTCAACGCCCCTCTGGAGTTCAGAGTCGGCCAGGCGGGCGACGATGTGGTAAGCCGCTCGACAGGCCAACGGGTTTCCGCCAAAGGTTGTGCCATGGTCACCGGTCTTGATGTGCGACGCAACAGTCTTGCTAGCAACGATAGTAGCACCAATGGGGATTCCATTACCCAAAGCCTTGGCAGTCGTCAAGATGTCAGGGTGCGCAGCCTCCCCAGAAGCCGGGGCGAGAGATGGGTGCCCATGCGCCCAGAAGCTCCCAGTACGAGAGAGACCGCACTGGATCTCATCAAAGATAAGAACAGCTCCAACCTCGTCGCAGCGCTTACGAAGGGCAACCAAGAATTCTGGCTCGGCGACATTCACGCCACCCTCGCCCTGGATAGGCTCCACAATCACACCGCAAGTGTTTTCAGTAATAAGGGTCTGCAGCTGTTCGACGTCGTTGTAATTGCCGTATTTGAAGCCCGGAATCATGGGGGCGAAGGGCGTCTGGTACTTAGGGTTGGGGGTAGCAGAAAGCGCGCCCATTGTACGACCGTGGAAGGAATTTTGGAAGGAAACGAGTTCGTGCTTGGCACCGGAAGGATCAATAGACCGACCGACCTTACGGGCAAACTTGATTGCTGCCTCGTTGGCCTCGGTGCCGGAGTTACAAATAAACACCTGGGAGGCATCGCGCATTGCGCCAGACTCGCGGGTCAGGTTGATGAGCATCTGGCTCAGAGCGCCGGTCCAGGGATTGTGGTAGAGATTCGAAGCGTGAACCAATGTCTCGGCCTGTAGAGAATTTGAAGAATAGATCATTAGCACGAGCCGCCGTCAATGCAGTCACGCTGAAAATGTGGCCTCGCACCTGTTCCGCGACAATTTGAGCGACCTCGGGATCACAGTGGCCCAAAGAGTTGACCGCAATACCGGAGGTAAAGTCCAAATAACGTCGGTTCTCCATATCCCATAAGTAACAACCCTGTCCCTTCATCATCATGGGCGCCGGGCGAACATAGGTCGGTACCATAAATGGAGTTCGCTCATTGATGAACGACGCCGTCAGCGAGTCCGGCGCAGGATCGGGGTTAGGCAAGGTTGACTCCTTCTGTAGATGACACATGACTCTGGTCAGTGGAATTTTTCTCCGATTGACAATTTCAGGAAATGGAGAACGTGGCCATGAGTGCATACCTGCACTTGTTGTCTCACATCTTGAGCAGCGTTGGATGTCGCGGCAAAGCGACGCTGGCTCACTGATACGAGGGAAGGAAACGAGGGAGATGACCGAGCTGCGCAAGGCAGACGACGAGCGGCGACACGGAGAGCAACCATTGCGAATATACGCCGGGTAAAAGCAATGCACAAAGATGTTGAGACCCCGAGAGAAGGGCAGGTATTCTGGAAGGGGGAAAAAAAGGTCCAAGTCTCACTCAACCAATCTCACACTCATCGAATCTCACCAGTCCGTATGACTCTGCAGCATGTGGGGGATCCACTCACAAAAAGTTCCAGCCAGCGATATCGGGCATCCACCATCTCGGTGAGTCTTAGTCATCTCGGCGGTGTTTTCCCCGCGGCGCCACCCGCGAATACGCCGATGGGCGAATTCATAATTGGAGACGATTTATTGCCTCGACACTTCTTGCAGCAGCTTCCTACATCTTCCTGCGCTAATCTTTTCGCGGTGCAAGCCTCGTGCCTCAACCAATACCCTCTCGTCATATGCGTATGAGCACATTTTCATCATCCAATATGAGTGTCTCTCTCCTTCGTCTTCGTGCTCGCGCCTCGACACATGTGAACCGACTGGCTACACGATCGCTCTCCACCTCCGCCGTTCTTCGCCAGACCAAAGACAACGGCAGGCCGACATTTGGATTCAAGGACGCGCCTGCCCCTCCACGTCTGCCCAAGGAAGAACAGGATATTTTCGAAGAGCTGCAGCGTCGCTCCACGGGAGCCTTCAGCACCCCACAGGTCAACCAGTCGCCGCAATCAGATTCTCAACCTACCATCAATGCCAAGGGCAATGGCGAGGAGCTCCATCCCGATGTGCCCAAGGGCTTGAAGCCCGAATTCGAAGGCGAGAAGAATCCGAAGACGGGTGAAGTGGGCGGTCCCAAGAACGAACCCTTGCGATGGGGTGCCGGTGGCGATTGGAGTTATGGAGGCCGAGTCACCGATTTTTGAGAACCAACAACTGAGAATTTGAAGCGAATTTTGCATCGGGGGCATCCTTGGGTTTGGAGTTTCATCCGCATCTCTACTATTCCAGTCGTTGGAGGGCTGTTAGCTGAGAAGCCAGCATCGTCCCGTCCGACCACCATGTATGAATATTCTTACCTAGCAAGGAAAAAAACAGACGTCTGCCGTGTCATGGACGTCTTAATATATCAACATGTTTATATATCATATATTCACCGTTGAACCCGCGATTCCTCTGTTGGTATTGTAGTACGTAGCCAGTATCACCAACCAGCCGAGCTTTCAAGCTACCTAGGAGATAAAGACTCGTGCGCGTAAAGCCATTGATATCCGACTCACTCTGGAGGATCAGGTAAGAATGAGCTTGTATTGAGTCGGTTCCGGCAGAATAAGAGGACCCAACTTCCAACGCCATTCTTTCAAGCAACTACACCTCTACCGTAATCTCCAGGGTAGAACATGCCAAAGATTCAACATGACTGGAGTTCGATCATTGTGCCCCGAAGGAATGAAAGCAACTCGAGGGCACACAAAATGTGAATTCAGTATTTTGGATCTGCAGGTTTTACTTTGATTCCATCAGCCGCGCCATAGTTGCCTTGCCAGCTCGACTATCGTTCGCTCGGCCCAGTTCCTCGCTGATCCAAGAACCAATCCGGGACATTTCTTCAAGACTGATCCCGGTGTGCATTCCAAGGCTGTGGACCGTGTGCACGAGATCCTCCGTGGAGACATTTCCAGTGGCGCCTTTAGAGTAAGGACAGCCACCGAGCCCGCCAACACTGCTGTCAAAGATTCGAATACCGTGCTCCAGTCCGACCAAAGTGTTCACCAGAGCCTGTCCATAGGTATCGTGGAAGTGGAGAGCCAGATCGGTGTTGGCAATTCCTGCCGCTTTGAGAGCTTTCAGAAGTTCCAGGGTGCGAGGCGCTGTACCCATCCCAGTGGTGTCAGCCACTGACACCTCATCCGCTCCCATCTCAAGTAGGGTTGCGGTGATGTCGGCCACCTTTGACGGATTCACTTCGGGCCCCTCGTAGGGGCAGCCGAGTGCAACCGAGACATAGCCTCGCACACGAATGTTTTTGTTCTTCGCTAGAGCAACAATGGGTTTGATGCGCTCCAGGGACTCGGCAATGGTGCAATTGGTGTTGGCCTTGGAGAAAGACTCTGTAGCTGCAGCGAACAGGGACACTTCCGTAGTGGTTGCTGATTGCGAATTGGAGCTTGATGATTCAGCCGATACTCCCTTAGCCTCCATGATCTTCACAAGACTCTCCAATCCCTTGATGTTGGGAACCAGGTAATTGTAGGCGATTGTGCTTTGCGAAGCTGGAGGTGACGTCAAGAGATGTTCGCAAATTTCAGCCGTGCTAGCCATCTACATTTCATGGTGACCTTAGTCTTGGTTCAAGTTGTACAAAACTTGCATCGCGTCAAGTTATGCGACCCTCCTCTGATTGAGGTAGGAATTTCATACCTGTGGTACCCATTTCGCGGGGACGAAAGAGCCCGCTTCGATAGTGGTGACACCAGTCTTTGCCAGTCTTCGTATCAACTCTAGCTTTGTCTCCATTGAAATGGACTTTTTCTCGTTCTGTAGTCCATCGCGTGCACCGACTTCGACGATGCGAACGTGGTCCGAGGCTAACCGCGATTCGGTAGAGTAGCAGCGTTTGGGAAGAGGTGCTCTGAAAGCTGAGAGCGTACGCAGACGGGCGCGAGTCGCCATACTGGTAGCTTGGAGTGTCGAGAGCTGGAACGTCAGAGAAACAGAGACTTCGAATACTTCTGAGAAGCTCGAGAGAGGAGATAATCGAAGCAAAAGCGGAGGTTAGTTACCTGTGTACAGGCGCGGGGATTGGAGAAGGACCAGCTGACAGCCTGACCGACATAACCGTACAGTACGGAACGGGTCCTCGGAGTGCGGAGAGCGCCATGCCTAACCCGGACTAGTGAGGAGTTGACTGATTCCCCCCCCCCCCCCCCCCCCCCCCCCCACTTGAGAAAAAAAAAGAAGAGAGCCACAGTTGCAGCCGATGTTATCGCCTCAGTCCGATAGTGGGGTGAGTGGTAGTTTTTTGTCCGATTTCTTTGGCCCGACTGCATGCCAGCAACAGCATCATACACAGTTTGTTAAAGAGATGGAGGACACAACCAACAATCCTAGCGCTCAGCTGCGGCAACCCAAGAAGAGGTTCGTCGGTCGGCGCACAGCCGAAGCTCAGTCTCAAAAGGATACCACCAGCCAAGCAGACGTCGAGTCAACGGCTGTACAGACAGGTATGTGTACATTGCGAAGGGTTCAGAGCGTGCGCGCGCAGACTGACATCCTCGACAAACTTCCCAGCCGCTCGAAGAAGAACACCTCGCACTCTCAATCAAGTTCCCCCCGAGATCCTGGACGACCCCGAGATTCAAGCCGCAATTGAACTTCTCCCCAAAAACTACTCTTTCGAGATCCCCAAAACTATCCACCGAGTCCGATCATCTGGCGCCAAACGTGTAGCGCTACAGTTCCCCGAAGGACTCTTGATTTTTGCCACAACCATTTCCGACATCTTGACACAATTCTGCCCGGGCATTGAGACCTTGATTATGGGTGATGTGACCTATGGAGCATGCTGCATCGACGACTATACCGCGCGGGCGTTGGGTTGCGACTTGCTCGTTCACTATGCACACAGCTGCTTGATTCCTGTGGATGTGACCAAGATCAAAACACTCTATATCTTCGTCGACATTAGTATCGACACCAGCCACTTGATCGCAACTCTCGAGCGAAACTTTAAACCCGGCCAAACTATTGCCACCGTCGGCACGATCCAGTTTAATGCTACTCTCCACGGTCTTAAACCTGTCCTAGAGCGTGCAGGCTTTCGCGTCGTCGTTCCGCAGATTATGCCTCTCTCCAAGGGAGAAATCCTCGGATGCACCTCACCCCAGCTGTCCGATTCCGAGATCGACGTTCTTCTTTACCTTGGCGATGGCCGTTTCCATCTCGAGTCTGCGATGATTCACAACCCTTCTATCCCGGCATACCGCTACGATCCTTATTCGCGCACACTCACGCGCGAATCATACGACCACGACGAGATGCACACTATCCGCCGGGGCGCCATTGCCACGGCCAAAACCGCCAAGAAATGGGGCATCATCCTGGGATCACTTGGACGACAAGGTAATCCGAACACAATGGCCATGATCGAACGCCATCTGGCCGAACGTGGGATACCAGTCGTCAATCTCCTGCTGAGTGAGATCTTCCCCGGTAAGCTGGCCTCCATGTCTGATGTCGAGTGTTGGGTGCAGATTGCCTGCCCGAGACTAAGCATTGACTGGGGCTATGCGTTCTCCCGACCGTTGCTGACCCCGTACGAGGCGCTCATTGCCCTCGATGTTCGGGAGAGTTGGGACAAGGCCAACAAGGGCGTCTATCCTATGGATTTCTATGCAAAGGAAGGTCTGGGCCGCACTAAGCCCGAGCAAGCCATTCGTGCTGCGTAACGACACAGTGACAAGCTATGAAGATCTTTCGAAAAGAAGAATGATGATACCAATTGTAGATAGCATAGCTGGCAGCAGGTCTGGCCTCTTTTTGCACATCAAATACAGGTTCGAAAGAAACCACGGACCCACGATCGTTATTCCCATGATCGTGAGCTTTTGTCGCCTCCTAGTCGCATCTAAGTTCAGACTGACAGACAAAAGCGGCCAGGAGTTCGCACTTGAGTCTTTCCAGACTGTCTATCTAATCAAAGCAGAGACTGCCATTTAGAGCAGTAAGCACTCAGCACTCAGCAGTAATTGCTTGAGAGTGTTTGATCCTACTGGACTTGGTTCCATGACACTATATCACGGCAGACTACGAAGTGCTGCGGCTTGTGCGAGTAATGAGTGGTGATATTAGGGCTTCATATTCATCTTGTCTTCTCGTTGATAGATATCGAGGCTCTACCAAATACCATGGATGTGTGCCAAGCATAGCGAACATTTCACCCTTTGAGATCATCCGCACTGTCGGTGTTGAAATCGCTCACACTGCCACGACGTAAGAAGAGGATGTTCTTATTTGTCATATCGTCCGCATTCCGCTCTGCGGTACGCTCGGCCTGGCGCCAATGGGTCACTGCTTGCTCAACGTCTTCAAACATCTCGAGAGAGTCTTGGATGATACCGCCCTCGTCACCCTCGCCGGACTGAGTACTCTCACGAGATCCACGCTCGTTCATCATGGGGAAGGCGGGTCCGAACCCTCGAGCGGGAATGGGATTGTACATAATTGCGTTGGCAAACATGCGAATCAGCTCCTTCTCCAGCTGTGCTGAATTGACGATAGCCTTCGGCGGGACGAGATCCTCCGTTTTCTGCAACATGAGCACGTTGTTTTTGGATGGTGTCCCCACACCCGGTGCCGGGGACTCCCCGTCGCCAGCGGGAGTACTGACAGCCTCGGTGGCCGCGGCCACGGATTTACTGCCTTGGTGCACCGCAGACTTGATAGACTTCAGGTCCTGAGGGCGGTAGATAAGATCATGGTAGCCTGGCGCATCACGCTCGCTAATAGGTTTGGCGAAGATAGACGCCAATTTGTGAGTCGTCACATCGTTCATGATGGGGGCCGCAGTTCGGTGAAAGCCACGTGTACAAAGAACGTACTTCGTGGTGTCGATTCTGGGTTGTTCAAAGACCACGGACTCATTCTCCAAGGACTCGCTGGCGCCGCGTTTTCTCTTCGGCCTGGCCTTTGGGGTCTGATCATCTGTGACTGTCGCGGGCTCTTTGCGGCGCGTCACTGAGCGAGCCCGCTCCCGTGAGACGTCCCTGGAAGCCACAGATCTTCCTCGGCTTTGAGTGGAGGCAGAACTGATTGCTCGATTCCTGCGGGTCGAAGATAAATTTTCGATCTTTATGCTCGGCGTGGCCTGTAATTCCACCGCCGTAGCGGCTTGGCTGCGTCGAGTCGCTTTCTTTTCGCGAGGAGGCGAAATCTGCATCGCGTCGGGAGAAGGTGCGCGTTCACTAATTGGGCTCACGTCTTCCGGCCGAGGTCGTGGCGGAGACGCCGGAGACTCGGGAATGCTGAATCTGGGCGTTCGCTTCCACGGGGTACACGATCCTGGTGTATCAATGGACAATCGAGGCCGTGAATCCTTCCGTTCTGCGTAGGCCGGAATCACCACGCTTGGAGTCTGTGAGCCGTGCGATAAGCCACCATGTGCTGGGGTGTGGACAAGCGGGGTGGAGGTACCAGGGGTGCTTGGGATAGTCGAGGAGTGAGAGACTCGTGACGGCGCCCTTACAGCCCCGAGGAGAGGCACAGAGGGTGGCTTAGTGACTGCGGGGACCGTGGCTGGTGCGGCAGTAGCAGGTGACACTGCCGAGTAAGGAGAGTGTGGAGACGCTTCAAGCTGCCATTGCTGAAAGCTTGATTGAGTGGGTGTAGGGTGTTGTGAGGTAGACAGGGGTAAGTTGGGTTTGACCGAGGCGGAAGGCGTGATGATGGGACCATGAGGTCGTGGTGCAACTTGCGAAGGATGGGACGGCACCACGCGTGTCGCAACGGGAGTGGAGGGATCTGGTAGTTGCGCTCTTGGCGCAATTGGTTGCTGATGAGGATGAGCGGAGACGTCGTGAACTTTGCTGCTTTGAACGGTCACATCCTGACTAGTCGGGGCTGTGGTAGTCTGGGTTTGCTGTCGAGTTTGTTGGATCTCAGGCACCGCAACTGGTGGGCTCGGCGCGCTGGGCGGGTGAGCCAATTCCTGAGATCGAGACGGGGCTGCAGGTATAGCTGCTGGAAGGGGCTGCCTTGACTCGGCTTGACCTGCGATCGGAATCTTTTGTTGAGGAGGTTCCTGGCGGGGCGGTTCCAGCTTCACATTAACATCCAAGGACTGTTTGCGCTCGATCTTCGGAGAAGTTGGTGGTACTTCCGTTTCGCGCCAAGCCGCTGTCGCTTGCTGTGCACTCTCTTTCTGTAATTGTTCGATTTCACCCTTGATTTCGTTGTACCGCTTCTCCTCATCCCGAATCTCTTGGGTCGCCAACTCCTTGTATCGAGCGTACAGACGGGCAACCAGATCTGGAATCAAAGTCGCTTGTGAAAGCCCATCCATTGTTCCTTCTGGTCGCGGGCTCGAAATTTTGCGTTTCTTGAGATTGTTCGAGCCATGGTTGTCGGGTGAACGACCATATGCGCCGGTAGGGCAGGCTTCGCGATCAAATCCGTCGCGAAGTAGTGTCGCATATAGATCCTCCAGAGCCTCCGGGCTGAGACGCTCAGCACTGAAGGCTACATTTTGGCGCACCAAGGGATTCTCGTTCAGAGATTTGGAAATTGACGTGAAATTGGCGGGCGGCTCTTTCGAGGCAGCGAGGGTTTGGAAAAAGAGTAAAGACTCAAACGGGGTGTACGCCGACAAGGGAGGCATCCCCCATTGCCCGCCAAACCGGCCACTGGTGGTGTTCACTTGGAGAATGGGGGCCAGGGTGTTGGTGGTGGTGGTGGTGGGGAGTGGGCGCGAAATTAGACGGGCAAGGAGAGTCGCGGAGAGCGCGTGTGCCGAATGTGGTGGGTGTCCAGAATCGCGCGGACCCCAAGAAGGAGAGAGGACCAGCAGAGACGGTCGGGGCGAGAAGAGCCGAACAGAGAGGGAAGGGCCGGATTCGGAGAACGAAAGTGTTCAGACGAGGTAGTAAAGAGGGTCTTTCAGATGATTCCGATGACGACTGTGCGAACCACACGACTGGGGCGATGATTGAGCCTGAGGGTCGGAGCGAGGATGATGAAAATGGTGTCTTTTCTTCCCCTTCCAAAGGCAGTGGACATTCCCGCGCCGGAGAACGGGAGGAGTTCTCAGAAGAGAGCCGTGGGCAGCGTATAGCCGTATCCTGCGGAAAGGGTGTAACTGTAATGTATGATTGTATGGTACGTAACCATACATACAATATCAGAGACAGGATTTGCCCCCGTTGCTGCCCTGCGAATGTTCACCATGAGTTATAATGCTTGGCGCTTCTGCCCTCGGGTCAACCTTTCTTCCGGAGCCACAATACAAGATCATACAAAGGCTGTTATTTCCCCACGTGACATATGTACCCATCGCCCATCAGGCACGACTGCTCTTAAGGCCATCGTCGCATTGAATGTCTCTACAGGGGACTCTAATGGACTCGTGAATCGTTTAGCCAGGCTCTTCTGCGGGGTAGCTCGAAGTCTGCCAGAGTAACAACAACACCCTGGGCATCTGGTGTCATTGTGAAGGCATTACAATTTGGTGAATTTACTAGTACCGCGCAGGTGTTAGTGGATCACGATAGAACCTAAAAGACCTTTGAGCCTCTTACATGCGGTTTGCGGCCCCAGAGACGGCGAAAGGTCGGGAAACGGGATAAGGTTGGACAATTACCGAGAGAGTCGTCCTGAATCTGATCACTCGAGGTGTCTAATACGCTGGCAGAGCATCTGGATCAGGTACTAACTGTATCTGCAGGTGACCGATGGAAACTAGGTAGCTGGACGGTCTCCCATGGCTTCTCTTCCACAAAGGTAGCCGAGTACTTATTCACGACCCAGTCACTCGGCAGACAGAAAGTACACCGGGTCATTCCCGAGTCCCGATCTATTCTATCATGCGCATACTCCATTGCACAGTATCAGGCAAGGTCGTCAGCACGCCGTGTGAGAAGGTCAGCCTATATAGGGCCACACCTCACCCGACTCGGTCAAATATTCAGGCACTTGCCGATTGACTAGATGTGGACTCCATGATGGAGTCATTCAGCGACTTGAAGATTGCACATGAAGAGATATCCCCGAATCATATCCAGTATGAGGGACCTCCGTTGATGTACTGTGACTCAATGATGGAAAATCAGAGCACCACCAGCCTCCAGGTAGTGGTACTGTGTAAGTGTGTATGCCCTACGGCGAGCGACCTTGAGTGTCTCGCTGTCTTCTACGCCGACCAGGCTGCGAGCTAGGAACACGTATGATGATTTGATCTCGGCCTTTTACTACTGCAACCTCCAAGCCTCGGAGGAGATATACTTACTGGCTAGTCAACTGCGACCACCCGACTGCCCGTCCCTGGAATCAATAACCCTCCACATGCAGTGGTGACCAGCGTGGTGTCAGAGATCCGGCATCTGGAATGATGTACATAATTACCTCTATCCTCACTCTTCGTACACCAGACCAGTAAACCAGCGAACCCATCCTCGGCTTCCAGCTGCGATCCGTGTCCACATCAGGGGCTGCTCTCACATCCCAGTAGTTGACCAGTGCCCCTTTTCCCTTGCAGTTTGACTGGATTCAGATCATGCTGGAAAGTTCATGGTCCCACTATCTCCATGCATATTAGTCAATGCTAGTGGCAACGTCCTTGAATAGTGCAGAGCGCGGGTCTCGTGGAGCGGGTGAGCCCCTGAAAGGTGGGCAGTGGGCAGTGGGCAGTGGGCAGTGGACAGCGGGCACTGGGCACTGGGCATCTGCCCCAACTGTGACTATTGCTACTACTGAGTCCTGAGTCCCTGACTATTCGTGACTCGTGAGTCGTTACTACTAAGTAGAGCTTACTCGTAGTAGAGGTAGTAACAGGTAGTCAGTCGTGAGACTCGTGACTAACTGACAACAGTTCAACCCTGCTGTCACTAGACTCACTAGACTCACTACTGTACTGCATGCCAAATTGGTAGCTTTAGTCCCAGAAATGACCCCCGGAGCCCGCTTTGGGACCCTTTTCGGGACCCAAAAGAAGCTTTAAAATGAATCTTGGAGATCCTCTTGATCCACAGTCACAAAGCTCGTTGCTCATTCGACGTTCTGTCCCTCCCCTCCCCCTCCCCCTGCCTGTCCCATTTGACGAGACGCAAAGTGCTGAACATCTGCGACAATCGACAAGTCATTGCGCTCCCTTGTAATACCGTGACACTCTCCTTGCAGCCAGCGAGGAGATTACAATGGCGTCGGACGATGCTGAATGACCACAATTCCACACGACGACGGTAGACGCCTCACAGTTCAGCCCTGGAGGGGAGACCCATCCAACCCGAGCAATATCAACACAGCGTTCCCGACCCCGGGGATTAGCAATTCGTGACTGTTCCCCAGTTCATCCACAACGCCTGGAGATTTCGATGAGGATCGAACACTAATGGATCTCTGGCCAATCTGTATTCTGGACAGTGAAGACTACCTTAGTGAGATCTCCCATCCTGGGAGAGGCCTTGATCTCTCAGCCCGTGAAGCACTCTCAATGACGAACATGGAAAGCCAGTGAGAGAGCAGTAGTAGTGTCACAACTGCCACATCCAGGGGCAACCCCACAATATCCATCCGAGCTGTAAGTTACTGTACAAAGGTACATGACATCTGAACTTTGTAAAGACGGGGCAGTCCAAAGTCCAAACTGGACCCCCAGCCTGTACCTTTGGAATTCGGTCAGGAAGCAAGCTGGTCAGCCCTCCAGTAGTAGTAGTAGACTAGTAGTGGTTTCGTTCTTTCTCATCAAATTTCCCTCGTAATTACCCCCCGTCCGTCCGCTTCACCTTTCCTTCCTCCTCTCCTTCCCACCCAGACCCTCTATCGTCCATTGCTTGTCCCTCCCCTACACACTTCATCCGCAAAAGTTCGTGGGAGATCTTCTTGGCTTTTCAATCGTACGTGCCTTGTATACATGGTTGCTTGGTTTCGCGACTCTGTGGATGGAAACCCTTGCTTTTCTTTTTTTCGCAATGGGCCCAATCTGCGCTTATCCGTTGGCCGTCGAAGTATACCTGCCACTATGAACGTTTGGGTTGACTCGAGCTTCCTCAACAGTCTACACTATCGGAAGAGCTCCTGATTTCGCCCTCCAACTATTCTTACTATACCCAAGCGAAGCCGAATATATCGACTTCGAACTTTTCTCCGTACCCGTTCACGTTGTTTGCGACCCGGCGGTGCTTCGGTGCCCCGCCCGAGACGATCGCATCTTCAGCTACATCCCTCGCTCCGGCTCCCCTTTTCGACCGCACGAAGTGTACTTCCGCCACGAGCAACCTGTGATATTTCACAATGACTCTGTCCGATATGGAAATGGATCGAGACTGGAAGCCCACGGGCAAGGTCCGGCCACAATCGTGCGTGCGGCGGCGCTCTCCCTTCAGCCCCCTTTCTCGAACTGAGAACGGTCCGTTGACCTTGTGTGAACAGAACCATGGCGCAAGCCTTCTCTTCGGCGCTGGACAGCGCATTCATGCTGGACAGTGATGTGAATCATCTGTCACTGACCATCGATCAGAAGTGAGTTTTGTGCAACACACAGCTCCCACTAGGCGACCTTGCCGCATTGGGGTTCCTTCGAGGATCAGCCAGACCACAGTTGGGGCTAACGAGAGGGCTCCATCGTAGGAAGCAGCAAATGGCCATTCAGACTCGAGAGCTTGAGAATCTGCAAGCGCGGATTCGTGAGGCCGAGGAACGCCTCAAGGCCCAGTCTCACCACTCCGTATCGGCCTCTTCAGCAGGCCCAACTCCCGGGGAGCACGACCGGCCAAGCGGTGAGTTTGAGTGGTTATGAGTCTCCATTATGATTACTTTCCTTCACCACCACCACACTACTATTACCACCTCGACCCGGTCCCAGCCCTCTCGATCCGGACCGGGTTCTTCGATCACCACTGGGACAGCGGCTGATGTGTGTTTCTTGATCCCACCTAGATAGCCGAGAGCAATCCGGCCGCAGCGTACATCAGTACAGCGAACCGGCCCAGGCCAGTCGCTCATGATCGGTCGACCCAAACTCTTCTGTTCCGTTGAACGATTCGAGGGTCTCTTTTACTCGGGTCACGTTTTCTCGTTGGCTTCTGATGCCTAATCTATACATACCTTAATTTTCTTTTTTTTTCTGTCATATTGGAGCTAGCCTCCGGGGAAGCTGGCGCATCCAGACCTGCGGGATGGCGAACAAAGGTCACACACATTGTCACATACCCCCCATTGAAGAGATATCCCGGTCGGCGCATTCTGGTTGTTTGTTTGAGATCCTTCGTGGCTTGGGTTCTCTGCTCTCTTTTTTATTTTCGTCGTGGACACATGCGCACATGCAATTGTTTCTCCCGTGTTCCATTGGATCATGTCCTTGTTTCACACGCGTCTGATTTGATGATGTAGTAGTAGTAGTAGTTGCTTCCCTCAGACTTGAAACCGGCTTCGCCAGATACCTGCAACTTTGGAATTACTTTCCCCTTGAGCTTTGCCACTCATAATTCGCTGCCTCACTCTCTATCTGCAGGGGGATGACGGGCGCTGATCGTTGGATGAAGAAGAGGGGAGTCATCTACGCCCTAGGTCCGTTGGTAGTGTTACCGACTCTACCGAGTAGGAGGTTGACAGGCCGGCGAGCTTTCGGAGGTGACTGTCGCGGCGGGATGTCGCTTGGCATGCACGAGAGTCGATGAGATCAGCGTTGATAGAGCTAGATTTCTATTTCTCTTAAGAGGGGATTGTCCAGGAATTACCTGGGTAACGCGGGCGATATATGCGACGAAGAACTCAAGTCAGTACCTGCTTACCTACCTGATCAACTACTTTTTAGCCAGTCAGGTAGTCAGTGGTCAGTGGTCAGTGATCACAGTAGAGTGAGTAGTCAGTAGACTCACTACTGATGTTGACCATAGCGCAATCTCCTACCATACTTGACGTTCCTTCACGTGCGCAACATAACGTGATCAAGGGGCCCCGCCGACCCTTCAATCTGGATGCGTCAAAGTTCTGGTCTTGCCTTCCACCCATCTAGATCTTCCAGGTCTATCCGACGGTGAAGGACTTTCTCAGGTTCTGTACCTCGCGTAGTCGACCGTCTGGGTGGTTTTTTTCTTTCTTCCCCTTGGTGATTCTCCGCAGAGCCACAGCAGTCGAGATCCTCATCGACTCATCGACTACCGTGCAGGGGCCAATCGCCCGCCCGCACCGACCGCAGCAACGCCGAGTCTCCACTCCGTGCCGTCATCGTGTCTGCTTTTGCCTTGGCCGACATCCGCCAGGTCGCGGTGTGTCTGAGTCTCTTGTCTGCAATGGCCATACGGACTCATGGAGGGTGTTTTTTTTTATTGGGTCGGGTTGAGACAGAATTGACAATTTGACACAGATTTACAGTTCTACACACATCAATCATCCATACATACCTACATTAGTGACCTACCTCGACGTGGCCACGGGATTGGAACATGGGCACCAACTTCCGCGATCCTCTTATCACTCGGCGCTTATCGATCCTCTCCAAAGTCTTCGCCGACGGATCATCGTCATCGCTGTCCCGAAGCAACCATCTGGTCAAACACCCGACAATTACGATAGTACCTTGGGTAGTCTCGACTCACGAGTACCAAGCGATTCAATCTGATTCTGATTCTGATCTCTGCTCATAGTACTCAATGCTCGTAGGTCAATGCTCACAACTCATAGCTCAATGCTCGCTCACCAAGTTCAAACTCCTCGGGATTGTGGATCTATCACTCGGACGTGCGTTCTCCGTCCTCTCGTCGCCGTCTAGAACCCCCCCCCCTCTGCAAATCGGGAATCCGCTGCCAATCGTGGGATTTGTCGTGCACTACTTTACTTGACGCTAAGCCTCCGCGCCGAGTTTCCTGGCCCCTGTTCCCCCCCCCCCCCCCCCGTGGAGGCAAGGTCCCGATGGAAAAACTTGGTTGACCGGATGTTGGGGCTGGAACCGGAACTTGGTTGATGAGTTCTATTCGGTCACTGGGGCTCCTGGGTCTAGTCTTGGTCTGGGTCCTGGTCTTGAAAGGTTCGTGGTACATCATCAGTGAGATACCTTACTGCTGTGATCCTGGATGAGGTGCACAACAACTACACCAGCAAACGCTAAAAGTCCACAGTATCGAGCAGTACCAGTAGTAGAGTAGTCCTGTCTCTAGACTCAGTACTAAGCACTACGGTAGACATCATTGTACTCCAGTCAACGGTCTAATCCACCAATGTCAGTTAGTCCATCATACTCCAGGCTCGAGACTTTTCGTCATCAATGCTGGGAGCTGTGACTCGGGCTGATAAGCAGGTACACCCAAAGAAAATGTCAAGACGAACAAGACTAGACTGGCCCAGTTCGGTCGACGCAGAGAGAGTGAGAGAGAGAACAGCCAACAACACAACCCTCCCCCCCCCCCTCCACTTGATTCTCTTCTGCCCCTCCGCACCTTTTTTTAGCTGCTGGCACCGTCATTCCACTTTTAATTGTTCTTGCTTTCTTCTCTTCTCGCTCTTCCTCCCTTCTCCCTTCTTCTCCTTCTTTCCTTCACCCAATTGCTGCAATTTGGGGCTCCCTTCTGAACCTCCTTTGCATTCAATCGTCCGCTGTTCCTGGGATCCTTGGTGAAGAGTCGTCTTTGTAGTCGTCCCTTTCTCTCTTCATTTTTACCCTGCTGCGCGGCCGATTTCCCCGGCTCCGCATCCCGGATCCACCTCTATCATGGTGCTCATCGACAAGCAGGAATACATCACACAGGAGGAGAAGCGTCTGCAAGAAGATCGCGAGCGCACCCGTTACTGGAAGAAATGGGGTCCCTACGTGGCGGAGCGTCAATGGGCAACTGGTAAGTGTTAACCGAGAGCGATCGCTATGTGAGAGTCACGGCGAAATCGTGGGGTTTGGGTGGTGGTTGCGATTGCGGACCGTGGGCTAATGACTTCATCAATGGGGGAAACACAGTGCGCGAAGATTACTCGTAAGTCACACCGAAAACTATCAATCACAACAGGGGCCGGCGAAAAAAAAGAAACCATAAAAAAGAAAAAAAAAAAACAGAAAAAAAAACCAACAATCTTTTTTTTTCAATGTCTGGTTCGAATCATCCTCGCATAGCAACGCTAATACTAAAATTTGTTTCTTGTTTACAGCGAGGACGGTGATGCCTGGAGCTGTAAGTTGTGAACTATTCCCGGGTCTCATGACCGCCGAGGAGATGAAGCTGACCTGAGGGGTGCGCTAGATTTCACTCACGACCATGCGCGGTCGCGAGTCTTCCGTTGGGGTGAAGATGGTATTGCCGGTGTCTCCGACACCCACGGTCTCCAGAACATTGCCTTTTCGTTCTGGAACGGAGAAGAGTAAGTTGCCAAGCCCGATTCATGAGGCAAACCTACCTGTCCCTCGAAAAGCCTTTTGGTCTGAACGATCTCTAACGATTCTCCAATTCGATCAGTGACTTCCTCAAGGAACGTCTGTTCGGTCTGTCCAACCCTCAGGGTAACCATGGTGAGAGTATCAAGGAGTGCCATTTCCACGTCGACAACACCCCGACGGTACATTCAACCCCCCGACGTCCCTCCCGTGTGAGACCGTGATTCTGACCACAGTATTCTGTACAGCATTCATACATGAAATTCTTGTACAAGTATCCCCAGCGAAAATTCCCCTACCAGGACTTGGTGGATGAAAATGCCAAGCGCACCCGCTTGGAGCGCGAATATCAGCTGCTGGATACTGGTATTTTCGAGGACAACCGATACTGGGACATCTTCATTGAGACTGCCAAAGAGAGCGATAACGAGGAAGAGTTGATCTTCCGAGTCATTGCATACAACCGTGGTCCTGACCCGGCCCCTCTGCACATCATTCCCCAGGTGTGGTTCAGGAATACCTGGTCCTGGGGTGGTGACAAGACCAAGGAGAAGCCCAGCATGAAGCAGGAAGGCGAGCGTGTTGCCAAGTCCGATCATCACAAGCTGGGTGAGCGATATGCTTGCTTTGCGCCTTCGCCTCCCGTGGGATCGAGCGACGAGGATATTCAGCCCCAGTTGCTCTTCACCGACAACGAGACGAACCACAAGAAACTGTGGGGGACAGAGAATGACTCGCCCTACGTCAAGGATGGTTTCCACCGCCACATTGTGGAAGAGGAGAAGGATGCCGTGAACCCCGCCAACGAGGGTACCAAGATGGCCGCCTGGTATTCCTTCGACAAAGGCGGGGGTGTTCCTCCCGGCGAATGTGCTGTCGTGCGTTTCCGTTTCTCCCGCAACAAGGTCGAGTTTGTCGACGAGGAAGTCCTGGACGACGTGATCGAACAGCGCCGGGCCGAAGCAGACGACTTCTATTACCGTATCAGTCCCCTCCCCATGAGCGATGACTTGCGCAACATTCAGCGTCAAGCCTTTTCGGGTATGATGTGGTGCAAGCAGTACTACAACTTCATCTGGGATCAATGGAGCAACGGCGACCCAGGCATGATTCCTCCTCCTTCAGGTCGCAAGGGCATTCGCAACGAGCAATGGCGTCACTTGCACATCGATGACATATTGTCAATGCCCGACTCGTGGGAATACCCCTTCTTCGCCGCATGGGACACTGCTTTCCACTGTATCCCCTTGGCCATGATCGACCCCGACTTTGCAAAGAAGCAGTTGGATCTCCTCACTCGCGAATGGTACATGCACCCCAACGGCCAGCTTCCGGCCTACGAATGGAACTTTGGCGATGTGAACCCGCCCGTCCACGCCTGGGCCGTCTTCCGTACCTTCAAGATTGAGCGTAAGATGTACGGTCGTCAGGACTTGGACTTCCTGGAGAGAGTCTTCCAGAAACTCCTGCTGAACTTCACTTGGTGGGTCAACCGCAAGGACTCAGACGGAAAGAACGTCTTTGAAGGTGGTTTCCTGGGTCTGGATAACATTGGTCTGTTCAATCGCTCAGAGCCTCTGCCAACGGGTGGTGTCCTGGAGCAAGCCGATAGTACCGGCTGGATGGCATTCTACTGCCTGACCATGATGAACATTGCTTTGGAGCTGGCTAAGCACCGCCGCACATACGAAGATAGTGAGTCTGACTGGATGCCATTACATGCGATCGTGTGACAGTTTCTTTGCTGACAGTTTTTGTCCCCACTTCTTCACAGTTGCGTCCAAGTTCTTCGAGCATTTCATCCTCATCAGCGATGCTTTGACCTACCGCTCCGGCGAGGACAGCATCAAGTCCCTCTGGAACGAGGAAGACAAGTAAGTGGTTCTCCTCGCTCGCGAAAATTCTCTTTGTTCAACGATCCTAACCTGTGAAGCTTCTATTATGATGCCATTTCCTACGGTGGTCCCTGGACGCAGCAATTGCCCGTGCGATCCCTGGTCGGTCTCATTCCCCTGTATGCTGTGCTCACACTTGAGCCCGAGATCATCAACAAGTTCCCGTCGTTCAAGCGTCGGGTCGACTGGTTCATTGAGCACAAGTCCGACGTAGCCGAGCGCAACATTGCCAGCATGAAGACTCGCGGTAAAGATGACCGCCTTCTTTTGTCACTGGTTAGCAAGGACCGTTTGGAGAAGATTCTTCGCCGTATGTTGGATGAGACCGAGTTCTTGGCCGAGCACGGTATTCGATCCATGTCGAAGTACCACGAAGAGCACCCGTACTCTATGGATGTGAACGGGCAGACCTTCAAGGTTGGCTACGTGCCAGGTGATTCGGACAGCGCCCTGTTTGGCGGTAACAGCAACTGGCGTGGTCCGATCTGGCTGTGTGTCAATTTCCTCCTTGTGGAGTCTCTGCTTCGTTTCTACATGTTCTACGGTGACTCCTTCAAGGTCGAGTGTCCCACTGGATCCGGTGATTACATGCATCTGGGCCACGTCGCCGAGGAGCTGCAGCACCGTATGCAGCATCTCTTTGCCCGTAACGACGAGGGACGTCGTGCCATCAACGGTCAATCCGACCTGCTGGACTTTGACGAGCACTGGAAGGACTACCTGTGGTTCAACGAGTTCTTTGACGGTGATACCGGACGTGGTCTTGGTACATCCCACCAGTGTGGTTGGACTGGATTGATTGCCAAGATTATTCATGACACCGGGTAAGTGCGACAGATGTCTTTCCAATCGAGGTGAAAGATGGCGTGTGATACAGGAAACACAGTTCCGCTAACAGCCTCCCTCACTTTCAACAGTCTCAATTGCCGCCTGCCCCAGACTCCCCGCTCTCCCTTTGACGCCGCTTCGCATTACTTCGACGATATGTTCTCCCGCAGTGGCCGTCGTCGCACCCCCGATCGTCCCTTCATTCGTCGATCATCGACCACCCGATCCATCGGCAATCGGTCTATAGGCAATCGAAGCGACTTCAACTCCACTATTGCCGGAGATGCGACCCCGGCGCCTTCAGGCTACGACGACGACGATGATAGCAGGCCGATCAGTCGTCAGGGCAGCACCGTGGGACTGTCACAGAACGGCCACGACGATGAACATCTGCAGAACTATGTGACCAGCCAGCTGCAGCGCGTCCGGAGCTCAGCGTCCATTGTTGAGAATTACGAGGACGAGCTTGAGACGCAGGCTGAGAAGCAAAATGGCGACTACTGAGATGTGGTGGGGTTTCTTTTTCTGCTTTTGTGGAATGAATGAGGATATGGTCTGATCCACTTATCTCTCGATAGAAGGAAGAAGGCAGTAATTGGAGACTGCTGGGAGCCAGTTTGTGGACACACCGCGAGAGTCTGTGTGATATTGCAGGGCTTTGATATCATGTCGAGTGTAATGGAGCTGACAATAGAAGATGAGATATACAGTACTTAATAGAATCAGACTTGTCGTTGTCTGAGATCACTGCTGAGTGTCCAGGTCCACTGCCCACTAGATAGGGTACCACGTCCTTCCAAGGTTATAGTAGTAGTCAACCGATCCGAGGGCTTGTCTCGTCTTGAGAGCGGGACAGGTGACAGCTGTCAGTATTCGAGCATACGAGTGGTCCCGATCTGAAGAAAGGATGCACATCTGAGGCAGTCCCGAGTCCCTTGGGAGACGATCAGTGGAGTGGACGGACATCCACTCCTGAGCGTAAGACAAGGTTGTCGACAAAGATTTGGTAGCCCTCCAGCTTAGATATCCTTCCATGAGCGACACCCGTCCTCTCTCAGACAGTGTTCTGGGAATTTCGAATGGCCTGCCGACCTTTGAAGGGGATTGATGAGTACCTTCGTAGCTCACATATATGTACTCGTAACTCGTTTAATTACTACGATAGTATCTCAGGCTCAATCTCGTCAATGTCCATTTCAATTTCTTCGCAAGTGGAGGGGACCCCTTAACCATGGCATTGATAGACGACACAATGAATTTCTTCCCGCTATTCGTCCCACGGGACCGGCCTTGTAGAAGTCAATTTCCAATCTCGCATTTTCTCAATCGTCTAGATGGTGACGCGTCGAACAACTTTACGGTGTACAGTGTACACTGTATAGTGTACACTACAGTACTTCCCAGCTCCCTGGGTTGAACACCGCACACAATAGATGCATCAATCTGGTCGACTTACCCTCTGCTACATTATAAAAAAAAAACACCCGTCCAAATTATTGACCTGGGGGTCACTCTCGTCGCCCCGGCCCTTCCCTTCCATCCAAGCTTGACTCAATCAATTCGTTCTCGCGACCAGGAGATGAAGAGGCTGAGGTCGGTGTCTACCTACGCCCTTCCAGCATTTCGTGAACCTAGGATCAATTACCCGGACGCCGAAGTCCTTCCAAGGTCCTTGTCTCTAGTCATGACTCGCCGCTTATTCACAGGTCAATGGCTCATGGGGTCCGAATCAACACGCCTCAAGGGTTCAATGTGAAGATCCAGAACCCTAGCGACGCGATCGAACTCGGCGTTTGTGCCCAAATGGCGAGCGACTGCGAGAAGTCGCGGCCTGAGGAAGAAATAGGTTTCGTGTTGAAATAGCTGGAATTCGGTCGAGAAGGGAAATACTGGATCAGGCGCGTAACAGGGCTGGTTGGTGAAGCTAGTGTGGAGCGGGATTCAGGTGGTCCTTTTCTTTATTGTACGGTTTATTGCCTGGACTAGGACGGGATGGGTATTTTGAAGGAGGATGATTGTGATTATCAAAGTCCATCTGCTGGATCTACTGGGGTTTCCCATGATCAATGATCGTCCATTGTAGGTCTGGGAAGGAGTAAGGATAAGTCAGAGCCAATTGGCGGCCTGATAGGGTATTGTAAAGAATTTATAGAAGGATAAAGAAGATGGTGTATTGTGCCCTTCCGGACTAATCGAATCAGGTGGAAGATAATGGGAAGACTTTGACAGAGACAGATAGCAGGATAGAACAAGCTTTAGAATAGTCCGGTGGCTCAACAATTAGAAACGAAATTTCCTAGTGCTTAACCCGAATAATTCATCAATGCTTGCGTTCTAATGCGAGAGAACGGGATGATCATGCCGAGTAATATAAATCGAACCCAACTTGAGACTTGTCCCGTTCCATATCTCAAACAGAGTCTGCCTCGGGTTCTCTCTCTCTCTCTCTCTCGTTGTATTCTCTCAAAATCTGACCGCTAGTGGATGGGTAAATAGAGGGAGGGAAAAAGGGGGGTGGTGGTGGTTATTTTACATTTAGAGAGCATCGGTCAAAGCCTTGTTCATCTTGGCAATCTTGGAAGACACGCTCAGGTCGATAGTGCGGTCACCGATCTCGACGACAAGTCCACCAACAAGGTCGGGGTTGACCTTGGTGATAACCTTGAGCTTCTTGCCCTGGCTGAACTCGGACTTGGCAACGGCCTTCTCGAGACGAGAGATGGTCTTGGCATCAAGCTCCTTGAAAATCGAGCAGTTAGCATGCCGAATTATGAATGCAAAGAAACGTTTCATTCTCATTCGAGCCTAGACGGACGTACCTGAGCAGAGGTGATGTTGAGCTCAACCTCACCGCGGTGAGCACCCATCAGGGTGCCAAACTTCTCGCAAACACCCTCGAGAGAGGCGAGGCGGTTGTTCTCAGCCAGGGTTTGGAGGAAGTTCTTGAGGATGTCAGCCTTGTCGGCACCGGCGATCTTCTGGAGCTCCTTGACAATCTCCTGCTTGTCGGACTGGGAGAGAGTAGGGGCGCCGAGGATGGTAACCAGCTTGGGGTCGGCCTTGAGGGTCTGGCCGAGGGAAGCCATGGCCTTGGCGGTCTGCTCGAGAGCAGAGGACTTGGAGGAAGCAGTGTACTGATTCAAGATAGCGGGTTAACAAAACGGTTTCTCCCTGTCAAAGTTGTCTCCTGTGTAAAGAGATCGGTCCGCTCGCTTTTCTCTAAACTCCACATCCTTCCCACTCATGGCACAATAGATCCCAGACTGCTATAGAAGACAAAGGATCCAGTAGCCGGCCTCATCACAGCGCGAGCAGAGGAGGAGAGGGGGGTGGCTTCCGGCACACGGAACCCTCCACGAGCGGACAAGATCTCCAACACAAATTGACAAATTGGTGCGAACAGAGTCGAGTGCATACCAGAGCAGTAGCGTAGGTGCCGTCAACGCCGAACAGGGCAACGGGAGGGCGAACGTCCTGGGCCGGGGTGGCATAGGTGCGCAGGCCGTTGAAGGCCGGGCGAGCGACCGAGAACTGCTGAGCGGCGCGCAGGCCGGAGCGGGCGACACGAGCGGACATCATCGTGCAATTGATTATGGAGAGATCCTCGGGGGAAAAGGCGGAGCGCAAGAGCTGGAGATGGTGCGAGATGCGAGCGTCAATCGGGTTTGCTGGCGTCGTGAGTGCAGGTTGAGAGTTGCAGGTCCGACTTCTTCCCGAGTCACGTGTGTAGATGGCTGAGGTAATCCGGCCTGTTTTCGCCCACTCAACTACTAACCTTCTTCCGTTCCTACATGCCGCTTCGGCCATTATAGACACTTGGACAACCCATCGCACTATTGCTCCAAAGCACACTGCTAACCATTCAATTTGAGGCCTGAATGAATACGATCAATGATACACTGATTCGAGATTACATGACTGCAGACGATCACTCCTCTGGTCTCTATACGCAGACAAAAATAATTTTGTCGTTCACACTCCCCCGCGCTATCTCCGCGCTTTGGAGACCTAGAATTCGATTCAAAACCACTCGATTGAGTTCATGTGTGACATTGAACAACCGAAATGACCGGGACGATTGTGCCGACCGAATAATAAAAAAACGCCAATGATTGCCCATCTAAAAAAAACCCCCCAGGTTGATACAAGCCCAACGCTATGAACGCCTTCGAACTCCACGAATCAGTGCAGACTGCATTGCCGACGAACAACAGTGGCAGTCAAGCACATTCCAGACTGTAGGTTTTGTCTCGAGAAGCTTGCATCCTAGTCGCTGCGTAGCATGCTATCCACGAGGTCGCCTAGAGGGCCCCAGTAATCTTTCCCGCTCGCCAGTTTGTGCTCGTCGATGAAGAGAACGTAATGCTTGAAACTAGTATTCAAGTGTGGCTCGAGGCCCAAGTGGACCACGACGGGGTAATGGTGGCAGTAGATGTGGGCGTATACGCGATAGAGACGCTTGAAAATCTGTCTTAGAAGGCTGTGGAACGTCTTGGGAAAGGGGACACCTGTTGAAGCGAAGAAATCAGTACGTCCATGCTTGTGGTCTTCGATCGCGTTCTGCGTGGCAGTCTCACCAATGCGACTGGGAAACATTTCCTCATTGTCGACGTTACCCTGCACCCAGCTCATGAGATGCTCGATATATTCCGGAGCTGACATTTTGGTCGGTCGCTTGAACTTGTCCGAGTCTTGCCACAAGTACTCGAATCTGAAATGATCAATGAGTATGGTAGGACGAGTTGGGAAGCTAGTCGCGCAGGAGGTTGTGCGTACTCATCTGTCGCCTTCATCTCGGGACATGATTGCGGGGAGCAGAACTCGGTGATAGAACCGTAGAGAAGATTGATCTGGTTGTAAAAGTCGACCACTAGAGATTGTTGACCGCATGTTAGTCTCTGCCATTGCAATTCGGATGGACTCTGCAGCCCGGGGAGAGCCGGGGGAGGGGGGGGCGTATTGCGCACCATTCACCGCGAGCCATTCATTCAGATCTTCGCCTTCGGGCAGCTTCACAGCCTTGCGCAGACTACCGCTACCGAGAGTGGCTTCGGCAAATTGTCTCAGTTGATAGCTGCTGGTGCCCTTGGCGGCGGAGCGGGGCTTGAAGGGCGCGCGCGTTCGAGCATTGCTGGGAGGTGTCAGTCCTAGTACGCCTTGTTTGAGTGCGCGCACTGCTGGTGACAAATATGAAGGGGGTTCGAGGCCCGGAATATGGGCAGTGCGGGTGGTGTGGTACATCCCCGAGGGACTCACACTCGTCGAGGGACTGCATGTCAACGAGGACGGAGCAGCGTGCTCAACGGATGGGAAAGTGGACAGAGGGTCTGGGGTAGGGGTAGCTGGAACGGACATGGTGTTGATGAAAGAAGACATGACTTCTTTCCCGTCGATCAGGAAGGAAGATCTTCTCGGTATCCCTTGGAAACACGCTGTGGCGGGGGTGAAGCGCTGATTGCGACGTGCCTGCATTCCACCGTTAGTACGGTCTGGCGCGCATGTAGGTATTTCTTCGGGGGCAGGCCCAAGCAGGCCTGGACTCGGCCTGGCTGCCTGATGTGCTATCACGTACAAGAATTGGCGAGCGATTTCAAGTGCAAAATGCCGGGTTGCGCAGAGCGGCGGCGAGATGAGCGCAATGAGAGGGGGAAGAGGTGACAGGAGGGGAAACAGTGGGAGTGTTGCGACGAGACGGTCGGCCGAGGGCACGGCCGATGGGAAGGTGCCTGGCAACGATAGTGTGTTGATGAGGCTTGGTGTGACCTGCTGGTAACTTCGAAGTGACTTGAGACCGGGTCGAAACACCACTCTCGAGCAGGAGTGCTACTTACTACTTGGGTAGGAACTTATACTACGTTATTAAGTGGATTGTTGTGTGCCACTCGACATCGGCGGCTCCCTCCAGTCCTCCACAGACCATACACCTGGGTGATACCTTATTCCCTTGGTATGAAAGTGTCATATCCTCCCAAGACAATCAAATTTAGGCATGCAATCAACACTGCGACTCCTTGTTCAATAGACCTCCATAGGCACAGGGCAATCGAGCAGTACCTCCCAGTGGGGGTGCTGATGTTTTACACTCCAAAACTGGGCAACTTCGTCAGTCACAACTTTCTCTGGGGCCGACTGTTTATCAGCAACTCCACCTTCTAACGTTATCCCGCCTTTGATTCCATGGAACTTGAGCCGGAGCTGAGCCAGCTGAACCGGCTGAACCAAGAAAGAGCCAGCACCTGTCTCGACAAGGAACTGAACGATCCATAGTTGTAAGTTTTTGTCGTAACTGGTATCATGAGTTCATATACAAGCACAGTTGGCACATACTACCGTCCTTTGATCGACGACCTCAGCTGGTCGCAGTACTATCATCCTCGCAGGAAGCAAGACTGTACTTTGCAGTCTGCAGTCTGCACTGGGAAGTGTGAAGTGTAAGCAATTGAATCCGCTCTCAGGTTGCGTTGCCCAGACAACCACACAGCCCGGATCAGCACTCCGATTGTCTCGGTAGTAGTCTTTGGTAACTAACTATCAGCCGCCTATATATTAGTTGTAGTAGCTAGCGCCACCGACTCAAGTGGCCAATTTCTGTGATTGACCTATGTATTGAAAGGACTCCTACACATGAGATGATGAGGCCACTCTTTCTCAGATTCGTGATGGTCCGCTTGAAACTGCGGTGAGCAGAGCGCAATCCATCGGGAGAAGAAACTGGAGTGAAAGTGGGTTCTTATGGATGAGATCATGGCAAAGGGCTAATCTTCATCGTAGACCAAAGTAGCTGAAGAATCCATAGGCAGGCCTCTCCTTAAGCTGGGTGCAATCTACTGTTGTCCTGAACCTCTAAGCCCTATGTTTACTAATGTGATAGGTATCACAACAGAATTGGGTGGTTGAATCAAGAGCAGGGCTAAGGTGAGGCGCAGACAGAAATCGTGCAAATTTCAAGCTTGAGCAAGCATCCATGTTTTTTTTGTGTACAACGCGCAGAATCCCCGTCTCGGTTGATTCAAGGCTCCTAAATACTGTATCCGATATTCTCATCTGGAAATTGTTCTCGCACCGTCTCCCCGTATACGGTCAGAGGAATCGAGATTTCAAAAGATTCACATCCCAGATGCTCCGACGCATTCAAAATCTGGCCACGATTATCAGCAGAGGTTGCCTCGAGAAGTCGAGTCCCCGCCATCCCGAGGCCCGCGTCGCCGTTCAACTTCGGCGTGACGAATTCAAAGCGCAGATCCCAGTCAAGAGTCACACCACTAGTAAGGATGGTGGGTGTGGCGGAGATGGGGATTGCAGGACTAAACACAACCCGCGTTGCGAAAAGAGTGTTCTCAAACAGAGATGCGTGGATCTTGCGCGTGGTGCGGTGGATGCTTGCACTCGAACGAACTGCTATCGTCGGCGTCACTTTCTCAGATGTCTCGAGCGAAGCTCGTATTGCATAGCACGGTATGGCAGTGTCGCCAAAGTCTACGGTAGCAATCACCGTCTCTCCCAGTCTATGGACGGGACGGTTCAAGACCACGACGGCAATTCGCCGACCATCACGAGCGATCTCGAATCGGTTGGGACATCGCCGCGACTGGACCGCCTGGTTGCTGCGTAGGATAGCATAATCAATAATGTCTTTGCAGGACAAGGCATGCGCTGGAGGTCCGTCGAAACTGGACCTCCTCTGGGGAGTGGCCCCAGGCGGATAAAGCGAGTTGGAGCGCGCACGCTGCTCAAGAATTTCATCCACAAAGGAAAGAAAGTCCCCTGCTGACTGCCACACACCACCAATGCTTTGCTTCTTGGTATGGACCGGTGTGTTGGGCCCGATCTTCTGGACTTTGGCTTCATCGCGAAGAATGACATATGGTGACATTAAGTCGTGGCCGAGGATGTCTCCTCTCTCTGTTCTTCCGTCAGATTGTTCGAGACGAACGGGGCAGGGCACTCGCGTCCATGTAGCGGGGATTCATCTTACCATTGACACCACTGTAGACGCGGAATGGAATGTTTATCCGATTCACTCGCTGGGCCTCATTAGGTCCGCTAGGCCGCTGAGTGCCGATGACCAGATTATACGAGATTTTGATAGCCTTGCCCTTGTGGCTCGCGGGAAGACCCTTGGGTAGCGTGAACGAGAATGAATATGACTGCTCCTCGCCAGGGGCTAGTCGCAGATCAACAAATAGCAGGGATTGTGGTGTGGACAGTAATGGAATCGACCGTGAAGACGCCACGCCTCGCATCTCTCGCAGACCGTCGAGCTCGTTGTTCGACAGAAGTCCATTGATTGACTCTTCGATCACGTTCCACTTCAAAGCCCCCCAGAATCCTCCACTTTTACGCGAACGGTCATCACTCGCAGAACCCGGCCGGCCGGGAACACCCCCGGTGCCTGTTTGACCTCCAACAACTCCCTTGCGCTTTGTCTCGTCAAATACTGACTGGTTGACGAGAGATCCATCGACAGTAAAGGATGCGTTAATCTGCGCGTAGCCCATGAGTAGTGCCTGGCTGTTAAACGCCTTTGTAGGAGAAACGACACTTGAATAATGCCGGGCATGTCTGACTGGAGGGACAGGTCTCGCTGCTTGAGCTTGCGTGGAATATTCGGACGCTAATGTCTCGCTGGAATGATCACTGACGGAGTAAAACTCTCCACTGCTCCGGCTGCTTCCATTGACACTGGTGGCCGATATGATTCGCGCGACCTGTTGATGCGATGGTGCAGCCAGCGATCCAGAATCTTTGCCTGCTGATTTTGCAGAAGAAGGAGGTTGGTCAGGCGATCGTGGAGACGGGGAGAGGGGCGGACGAGTGCTATTGGTATCAGTTGTTGGCGACGCTGGAGGAAACTTGAAGTCAAAAGCAGGGAGCTGTGCACGTCGTTGGGCGCCGCGCGCTGGCATTGTTGACGTGACGGGGCTCGCTGTATGAGGATCTGGCCGACTCCCCCTTCTGAGTTGTGCGGTATCGACTCTAGAGCTGGGTACTGCGGACTCATTCGGTGATTCAGCGAGCGAAGGACTTCGCAAAGGTGTTCTCCCCACTATTGTGAGACCTGTTAGAATTCTTCGAGGTGTCAGAGCGTAGACTTAGGGATAGGCTCACTTTTGCGCTGGGTTTCATCATAGCTCTCATTCCTTTTCGGAACTACTTGAAGACTCGCTGAACGACCATGTCCTCGAGCCGGCCGAGCCCGTCCATGACTTTGATTTGATTGAACGTTCTCCGCAAGGCCTTCACTATCGATGGACAGAATCGACACAGATCGCTTGTGACTGTGGCCCGGCTGCCAGTTTCTCGGTGTCGACGGCGTACTGATCGGGGGGAAGCTGTTCGACGGAGGAATTGCCGAGTTCAACGAGGACGCGGTACGATGGAATGGCTTCCTCTGAGAGCTGATTGAGTAAGATCGTCTCGACGAAAACAATGCCTGCGGTGACTTCAACGAGAAGAAGGAGTCCGACCCGGAATTGGTCGGGAGATTCGCGCTGCGAGAGAGCTTCCGCTGATGGCCAGCCTCTCCTCCGTGACCCGCCTCAGAGCCACTGTCTGCCACATTTTTGAACGTGATGGTGCATTCCACGTCCTCACCGGCGAAGATGTTTTGATCCTTCCACTTCACAAACACTTGGATGTTTGACGACATGGCAATGCGACGTCAGAGGTCCGGAGACGGCTCGGGATCGAGATCGGAGTTGGGATGACTCGGGGATGCAGGTTGCGGGGAAGACGTCGAGGGGAGTGATTGCGAATTTGCGTCCCGAGCAGCATGCTCACGATCGCATATTCTTAGAGCGAACAGCGCATAGTACTTGCAGTCAATCTTTGTCGGGATTCACCAGCTGGGCCACGAGGACGTGGAGGTGACTGGACAGATTGGAATGGCGCGCGCTCCATCGATGAGATGGTGAGGTAGCTTTCCTTGCACACTAGCAGCTGAGCGACCCCATCGCGATCCGCCGCCAGGAGTGGTATTTGTTGCGGACCCACCCATCTTCTCGTAAAGGGGGCTTGCACCTGAAGGATGGGTCTCGGAGCATTTTCAATTGTCGCGTGGATGCGTAGTTGCGTACATGTCAATAAAGACTACTTGTGAAGAGTGAAAAAAAGGCTGCCTGAAACACTTCATTTCTAATCTTACAATGGAAGACATCGTCCCCGATGAACAAAAACACGGAACAGAGGGCAGGTTATGTCCCGGGTAAACAACATTAATGATGCAACATATCCATGAGCAAACAGGCCCAATTCATATGGTTGATAAGCCTCAGACTTGAATTCTCCCACCCTGGATGCTGGAAATCTAAATTCCTCTCTCTCCAGACTTGTATAGTGTGTTGGCATCGGAGTATGGACGTGACGCTTTAGTCGTGGGCCGCAGACCCAGCTCGGCCATTCGACTCCAAATCCTTTCGTGACGTTTTTCCCATCGCTTCCGACGAGCCTCTGCCTCAGTCTCGGACGGTCTCCACCGACTCTTCAATATGCGGCGAATAGCCTCCGGGGAGACTTTGAATTCCTCTGCCAGGACGGAAGTCGTGAACTGCTCGGGAGCGGTTGCGTGTAGATGACGAATCCCTTCAAGCGCATCGGGCGAGAGCCTCTTGGGAGGGTTCCAGCCTTGCGGGAACTTTTTCTCCAGGGCATCCTTTTGAGTCCGCCACGGTTCGGCTTTCTCCTGGGTCTTTGGGGTGGCTTTTGGTTTATCGGTCTTTCTGCCTTTCACATTCGTCCGCTCCGGATCACGCTTCGTTTGTTTATTATCGGTTCTCCCTTTCCTCAAGGGTTGTTGTGACTTGGTCCAACGCGACTGGGTAGATTGTGACTCCGGAGTTGTACTCGCGCTCGCACTCGCACTCGCGCTCAACTCAGCCGGGGCCGATGAGGAAGTCGCAGGAGTTGATTCATGGGTGGCAGATGGGTTTGCTGATGTCATTGTCGTTCCGGGTGACCCATTCAGATGAAGCTCACGCATCAGGGATTTGGCAGTAAAAGGTCGACCCAAGAGCTGTCTGGAGGGACGAGAGCAGCCGCGAAACGGTCGAGGTACCTGACAAGATTTAAACTCGTAGTGAAAGACACTCCGGAGAAGTGACGGCAAAGCCAGTCTGGTCGAAGCCACACATTGATGCACCATATTGTGAGGATCAGGCATCGAACACCGTTCGGGAAGAAACGAGGACAGAGTCAGTCGTGGAGCGTTATACAAGTCAGTTTGTCTTCGGAGAAGGAGAAAGCCACAGAATAAATTCCGCGGTGGCGATAAGATAAGGCCGTGATGCCTCGGCTTTCAGGCATGAGGAATCATTTCCTCTCACGTTCTGCGGATGGCAGGTAGTTCAGAACTTCAGTTACACCAAGTTACTGATGCGATCCAAAAGTCACCCGCTGTTCTCGATCTTACAGAGAGCTCCATCACCCAGACGGGCTCGATAATGACAAATGTTGGCGCCATAGCGCCAGAGGTCATGGTATATGACTATCCACTAGGCTCTGTATGCAGTAATGGGTCATCGCGAGATCGAACTATACCTATATTTTGCTTTCAATCGTCGTCGATCAATCCCACCATAACTGCCTGGCAGCCTCCAGTTCAAATGTAGAAATTGACCGGCCAGGCCTTTTCAATTCAAGTCAATAAGCCTCGAGCCAAAAACGAAAAGTAAAAAACTTGTGCCCGAGAAGACCAAAAAAGCAAACCAACCCCAAAACTAGTGTGTTTCATTGGGTCCTCCAAGTCACCGCAAATCCGCTTTTCAAGCAGGTCAGTCAGAGTTATAGATCTTCCTACATGCATGGTTGTCATCTCATAACCAGGATTCAGTTTCTCGTGAAAAGCAACCTGGGAACCCGTATCTGGTAGCCTCGATGATCCATGAGCTTGATTGTCTTGAGACAAAACGGAAGGTTGGAGATAACTACCACATGTAGCCCTGGTACATTCATTCCCAACAATTTTGACAAGTCACGAGGCACTTTCCTTGATCAAGTTCTATGATGAATGTCCTGCGATTTTGGCTTGTCTTCTCTATACCACGACCGAGAGGTGGTTCTCTCTGGAACTGTTGCCCAACTAAAACTGCTCGCATTCTTGGCCGTTTACGCATTCCTTCCACTCCACTTGCCTCACTGAGGCGGAACTGGCTCGACATATGCCTTGCCACCTGGGCTGACATACTCAATGCAGTCTGTCGACACAAGTATTTTCTTCTTCTTCGTGGGAAAGGATCTCTTCTGTCCCCGGATCGAGATCGATTTCCAGCCACTGGTCTCGTCACATCTGGCGCATGCCCACTTCAACTGGGCCGTCAAACAGCGATCCGAGGTGAACCGCACCGACTGCTGTTGTGTAAATGAAGGTCAATGCTGCTGCCCTGCTGACATGTGATGGAGACCCTCTGGCAGACCTTGGCCAGTCTAGTACTCGCCGAGCCAAGGACTCTATGTACAAGGAGAGCTCCTCGAAACGAATTCGCATACTGCGTTGTGTTGTGTTTGGAATGATCAGCGCTAGTGGAGTCTCGTGGAATGGAGCTGGAACACCTCTTTATGGTTTTCCCGTTCCGCAGCCCGGGGATCGTCTTGGACATTGGATCCATCTCAAATCCGTTGGAACTTGTGGCTGAACACCTTTCTCAATTCCTGCACCATTTGTCTTCCTGGCCTCTCGTTCAATCGCTCGAGAGCTGGCTCACCTTCGATTTGTGTCACTCATCGGCCCTGCCAAGCTCCACCCATCATCAGCTCGAAGTGCAACTGAATCGCCCAGCTCTTGATTCTAACACGAGCTCCCCACTCTTAATCCCGTTATCGCAATCCGGCGAAGCTCCGCTACCAAAGACCCGGATTGAACGATTTTGCTGCAGGTCTTCTGCGGAATAGCATCAGAGCTCCCAAGCAGACGAATACTTGCTTTGAATGCGCGCACTGTGAAATGCCAGCATTTCGCACACTCCAGGGGACTCCGACCTTTCGCCTATCCTAGTCCCCCGAGGCGATGGCCAATACTGCGCCCCTCAGCACCAAATCGAAGCTCGTCGGCCCCGGATCCTCTCTTCGAATCACACCGTCCAACTCTCCTGTCCTTCGACCGGGCGCTCGATCGCCGAGTAAACCAGCTCATGTGTCGGTGCTATCTCTTCAGACGGTCCTAGGAACAACGAGTTCCACCCCCAATGGCTTCTCCAGCCATGAGCCGAGTCGAAGATTCGCGTTATGCGCGGGGTCCGCGGCCGTGCTAGCAGAAGTCGACAACGATGGCAATGTTTCCCAACGATTTTTTCGGGCCCGCCCATCAGCGTCGAGTGTCAATCCCACAACGTCCTTCTACAACCAGTCGGCACCGCCTGCGACACCAGACCCGCGCTCCCGTTCCCTCGCCCATATCCGCTCCAATCCTCATCTAACACTCACAAACGGCTCGCCTTCGAACGATGTCAGCGATAGTGGAAGCCCACGTGTCTGGTCATCACGCGAAAGGGTCAAGGCTGTCACTTGCGTCTCAATCAGTCCCAATGGCCGTTTCCTGGCGGTTGGAGAAACCGGATATAACCCACGGGTACTGATCTTCTCGACCGCTCTGGATTCGTCGCCGGATGTGCCTCTGTCCATCATCAATGAACATACGTTTGGGGTGTGCAGTTTGGCTTTTAGTCCGGACTCGCAGTACTTGGCAACTTTGGGAAACCCCAACGATGGATTCCTCTTCATTTGGTCCATCAATTTGAAAACCGGGCTAGCAAAGCTACATTCTACCAACAAGTGCACGTCGATAGTTCGTGAGATCCGATGGGTTGGCCAGGCATTGGTCACGGTTGGAGTCCGTCATGTCAAAGTGTGGAGGCTACCGGTCGTACGGCCCGCATCGCCGACAAAGACCAGGTTGGCTCTTGAAGGAGTCCCATCGTCTAACCCGGTGCCCAAGGCACTTTCCGGCCGGAACTGTATTCTGGGTCAAATGAACGATCATACATTCGCGTGCATCAGCAGCATCTCCGAACGGGAGGCGGTGCTGGGAACCGAGTCAGGGGCGGTCTGTTTACTAGACGATCGTGAAGGTTGCCAGCGATTGACGGTCGCTAAACAGGTGGAGTTTGCAATCACATCTGTGGCGGTAGACATCGACCGAGAGTCGATATGGTTGGGAGGCCGAGAAAAGCGTGTTCAACGGCTTACATTCGAGGACTTACGATCTTCCGCGCTCAATTCTTCCTCATTTACATTTCGGACGGAGAGATCTGCAATGATCAAGAATATCAAACCCCCTGCTCTCGTGTGCATGGGCTTGATCTCGTCATACCTAGTCACAGTGGAAGCAACGAGGGAAATTCAAGTATATCCCATTGGCAGCATTCCCGAGAACGGAGAACTCGATCGTGGGACGACTCGTGTATCGGCACATCAAGATCCCGTGTTGGGTATTCGCGCACTCAGGACGCCTAACATTCTAGGCGCGGACATTTTCTCGTGGTCCCGCAATGGCTCAGTGAATTTTTGGGATTTCAGCGGCAAATGCCTCCTCACAAGGACCGTGACAGTAGGGGAAAGTGTAGCGGGGGACGAGGACGTTCAAAACGAATTGAAAGTTCTCAGAGCGACAGATGACGCGGATTGGTTTGTGGCCGGGGATAGGTACGGCGTGGTCAGGTTCGTCTCATTTCTGCTCCCCTCTAATTTTTCGATTGCGCGAGAATCGTTTCGCTCACTCGTACACTACAGACTATATCTTGGCAAAACCTGGGACTGTGTTGAAGAGACCCGTGCTCACGGAGCTGAGATCACGGATGTCGCTGTTCAGAAAGTGGATAACTGCTGGCTAGTGGTCACTGCGGGTCGGGACAGAATGGTGCAGCTTTTTCTGAAATCGGAGTCGCATTTGCAATTGAAGCAAACAATGGACGAGCATGTCGGTGCAGTGGGACAGGTCTTATTTCTCAACGATGGCCAAAAACTTCTTTCAAGCTCTGCAGATCGCACAATCGTGATCCGGGAGCGAGCGACCAGAGAGGACGAGGGCATGACCTGTTTTGCCTACCTCATCACTAGGGTTATCACTTTGAAAGCGTCACCTGTGTCCATGGCCCTAAGTCCTGACGACTCGAACACTCTCTACGTCTCTAGCATGGACCGATGCATATTTAGATTCGACATCCCTTCTGGACGCCAAGTACACAGCTTTCGCGCATCAGACTCTGAAGCAAATGATGCTGTGGTAATGAGCTCCATGACAATCTTGGACGAGATCCCCGAAAAGAGCCCCAAGCTTCTCATCGGCGTTTCCAGCACTGACAAGTCAATTCGAGTCTACGATCTCGAAAAGGACTGTTTGCTGACTGGTGAGTTTGGACACACCGAGGGGGTCACTGATGTCCTACTATACGAACAACCCAGTCGTTCTGAGAATGATCGACCTGGCAGGCGGAATCTGATCACCAGTGGACTAGACGGCCTACTGATGATCTGGGACTTATCTGTGCAGCCGTATCTACCTATCGAGTACGGCCAAGGGACACGAGACGATGAAGGACCAGTTAAAGAGTCGGCCGCGGCTAGACCACCGTTGCGAAAGGTACTTTCGCGAAGCGAGTTGGCAGGTTTTCAGCGACCTGATAATCCTAGTCCGCTGGGCACGCCCACGCCGAGTCGCGCATATTCCCCGACACTGAGTAGAAAGACATCCCGACTTTCATTGAATCCGCCAAGCGCGCAAAGAACGTCGCACCATGAGACTCCCTCGCCACCAAACACTCGTACCTCGATTTCATTGACTTCGAACGAGAACCTGCGACGATCTCCATCGCCCATCAGTCCACGAGCAAAGCCTCACACGCCTACTCCAGCCCAGTCGAAGACTGTGAGAAGCACCAATAGGCGTTCCTCCACCGATTTCCGCTCCCGAGTCAAACCATCCAGTCGTAGTGAATTTGGCAGCTTGGATATGTCTACTGACCAGCTGTGCCGGGCTCTTCGAGCATATCGCAAAAAGCTACATTGTTCGAGAAAGCAACCCCATGCCCAAAATGAGCTTGAGCGTGAACTCTTGACTACATTGCGAGCCGTGGGCACTCGTTACCAAAGCAGCGACGAGAGTGGCGAGACAGAAACAGACAGTAGCGGTAAAGAACTGGAACGGCAACCGGCTAATCAGTCCGTCTCGTCGCGCCCGCATCAGCCGCGTCACATGCCGTCCACCCCTTTGCTTCGCCAGAGAGAGGTTCGCCCCGTGTCGCGTAGTCACTCTTACGACGCCAGCTAGTCATAGCTGAGCGTTTTCTATATTTCGATTTCTCAAACGTCTGTCATGGCAGGCAAGGTTGATAAGCCCAGCCCACGCTGACTCACAAGCCCCGCGATTTTGCAGCTCCAACAACTTCACCGAGACGGAGCACGTCAACTGTCTTTCTTCTATATCTTGTTTCCTTGGCATCAAATGCTCCATCTCTTGAGATCCGATTTGATTGCATTGCCATGCCGGTCGTTCCATTTTATTTCATTTGACAATTCTTCTTGCCCATGACGGAACAAACATGGAGCTTTTTCACATCCATGTTTCCTTCTCATCTTCAATCACCTCATCCCCAATTTCGATTCTGACGATACCCACATCATTTAGCGCCTCGTCTCATGCCCACTGAGTTTGGAAACTAGCATTTCTTTCAATCTCCTGGGTAGGTCTCGATCGGGCCTTTATACAGAAGTTACAATACATCGAGCGAATTTTATTATCGTCCTGACTTTAGAATCCAAGCGGTAAACTCATTTCTTCCTGGTATCTGCTCTCGTCAGATCTTTTATGATCATGAAATCTATAGACAGTCTAGAATTAGATTGGCGCACAACAGGTTAACGTCCGAGGAAGTCAAGAGGGTGGTTGTATCTAACTTTTCAAAAAACGTTCCATTGCTTCCTGCTGCGTCTCTTTCCCTTGCTAATGAATTCAACATGATCAAATGGAAATCGTCGAAGAATGTCAAAAATGATACTGAAATGGATTCTTTATCTCATTGCGTGTGGTAAACTGTTATTGTAAACCGATTCTCGCTGGTGGTCACCCCGGGTGATAGTAATATATTGAGCCGTCATGGCTTTGATGAAGAGTGTCATATAAGTGTCTCGATGGAATCTGTTGCCGAGAGCTAGGTCTGTAACAAAATCTTCAGTCGCTCTTCAAACAAGCACTTCAGATGATCGCCCTGTGGGGTGCCCATGCGCTTTGCCAATTGCCCGGCCTTTTCAGCCCAACGCATACAGGCTTCGTCATCCTCCGCTGAGTAGAAATCCATTGCCTGGTTGAAGGTGCAGGTTGCAAGGTATTCAAGCTGCTTGACTAGATGCGATTTTGGTCTGATCGCTCGGTGGGAGGGAGCTTCTGGGGATTCAAAGGAATGCATTCTTGGCTGTTGCTGTAGGCTATCAGCTTCAGAAGCATTGGTGACCGATACAGTGAGCATCTCATCAATCGCGAATTCGGCCATTTTGTGAAAGTCTGAGGAAGATCGCGCATCCACTTCATCACGCTGTGCGGGAGTTTCTGATTTGGCAGCAGCTAGTGCATGTTGAAATAAAGGTCTCAACCACTTAGGAAGTCCCTCGGCGTAGTCGTAGGTTGTCATCAAGCACTTCCTTCCCAATGTGAGAAGTTGCTGGGTTTCGTAATTATTAGCGTCCTTGGCCAGCCAGCAGTCAGTATGACTTACATGAAGAGTACTCGCCAGTACTGTGTCAGGCATGTCGGATCGAAGAACACAATTTGCGAGTTGTGTGAAAAGCGCCACATCGAGGTAGCGTTCATTCTCGTTCAGCATCGCAGGTAGATTGTTCCATTCCTTCAAGGCAACCGAGGCTTGGAATTCATTTATGCAGAGCTTGCTTGAAGCATCATCATCAATCAAGTACCAGGTACAGTCCCTTCGCGATAACTGACGAATTGACTGAATAGCTTTGAGAACCTTTTTGTGATGCTCATGCTAGAGAGGGTCAACGCTCTGTGAGGAGCCAAATACAGAATGGAATCTTACCTGAAGTTCAACGGCCCCGAGCGACTCAATAATCTGAGTACGTATACTGACCTCAAGAAACAGAAGTTGATAGGCCACGTAGTCGATCTGTGATTTGACTGGTTCCCAAAGCTGAATCTCATTGTCTTCCAAATTGGCGCCTTCGTGACTTTCCGCTCTCATGGACTCAAATCGTTGTCGGGCGAGCTTTTGAACCTTGAACAATCGATTTAGTGAGATATCAGCCATCATAGTCAGAGCTATGTTGTCATGGAACGAACCTCTTGTGATAGTTCAAGGATTTTTGCGGACTCGTTCTGATGAGCCAGGCGCGATGTAAATAGAACCAGATTGTAAGAATCCAGGCAGGCTCCTTCCAATGATAATATCGATTGTCGCACGTCCGATCTTTCTAGCCCTTGTCTTGCACAATGTAGGACTAGTCATTTTTTAGTCCGTCTGAGCTGTTTGAAAAATTGTTGGACATAGTACCTGCGCCGGCCAAGTTGAGGACGTTCTCTCCGGCCATGGGCTTTTGATCCTCCATTTCCGTTGCGAGCCACGTCAGCGGAATTCTGTGTGTATTAGTGCTGATCATCCCTTCGACATGGACTATAATCTTACAGGTAGTCAGCCTTGCGGGAGTAGCTTTCTGAAGAGCCTAGTAAAAGCCCGCTGACTCGCGCATACTCGGCGATATCCGCTAAACTTATTGATTGGACCTTTACTACCCTGCGACGAATAAATTCCAGTTCCAACAGCTGCACTGCAGATGAGAATTCGAATTTCTTGGGGACTGGTCAGTAATAGAGTACATTCAGCAAATTACTGAATGAGACTTACTGCTTTCAGTACGGCAATTTGGCATCTGAGCTTGTGGCATGTGTCTTGACTTAGGTTGCGCAAGTAGGCCCACGCTAAAACTTGTCAGCGAGCGCGCGATATTTCCAGCTAGCACACATCGTGAACCAACCAAGCGTGTGGCGAATATGCAATTCGAGACCTGAAGAAGTCAAATCCTCGGCATCCAGCTGTTTTGACAGGTGCCAGAGTGCAAGTTCAAGCCATTTGATTGCGGTCTCAACATTCCCAGCTTCAAGCGAAATTCGTCCAATGGAGAGGTGATCAGCTAGCATATTGCTTCGATCCCTTCCAATGTCCTCTGGTGAGATCTTGGTGATGAAGTGATCAGCAATGTCAATCTGGCCTTGTTTCCAAGCCTAGGTTAGGCAAATCGTTAGTCAACGTCATTATACCCGAAAGAAGACATTTTACCAAATGCGCTCGAAGCATGTGATAGTCTGCTGTGATTGAATCCCTTTGACTTTTGTGAAGAGTCGGACCAAGTTGTTCGATAGTGTCCAGTCGCTTAGCCAAAGATCTCGAAGCTCGAAGTGCGCCTTTGAACTGTCCGCGGTCTTCACCAAAGACTTAGTCATAGTTATCTCCTGCACTTCCAACAAGACAGCTCACCTATGCAGACCCATGCAGCTTCGATAGCTAGCTTACAAGCCCTGAGAAAGCCTTTCATTCCAGCTCAGTGCTGGCCTTGGTTCCGTGACGGGTCGGACCTTACTCACCACAACGAGTGAACGACGAAGAAATATCGAGCAATGTAGCCGCAGCAGCAAGCACTGGCGATCACCTTCAGCGACCATTAAATATCCTCGTCTTATGTCTGGCTTACCCCTGCAAGCGATTTTCATTGTGTCATCGTCGTCCGAGTGGGCTCCCTGGACTCGTGCCCGACAATCGTTCCACAGCGCTACGCCAACAGAATTCAGTCTTGATCTGTTAGACTTAGGTAACCTCAGTGAATTGGGTAATTTATCCAAAGCATATTCAAGCTTTCCAAGGCTGTCCTTGATTGAGGCTGAGAAGGCTTCTGTCGGCGTTTCGTCACGCCATTGTTGCAGTAGACTGACTGAAGCTTCTGCCCGCCCGAGTAAAGTAGCTCCAGTAGAGACAGTCGTCGGAGGAAGCTTATAAGGTTTCGTCATTGATGTCAGGGTCCAAATGGGGGTGCAAGATTAAATTGAAAATGGCACGCGGGGTATCGAGGTGGTGCTGGTAGGTAATTTCCACGAGGAAGGTTGGTTCTACCAGGTAGCTACTATGAGCCGTCACATGGTCATGAAGTCACGTTCCATAAGTCCGCGGAAGACCGTGAGTCTTGGTATTGGCACCTTGCTAATTCAACTAATTCCTAGAGACATTGGGTATCATCAGTCAAAGCTATGCTATCTTTTTTTTGAAGCCCAAGACTACATTTGGGTCAATGACCCCGGTGTCATGGGGTCATTGAGCGTTCTTTTCTTCGTTTGCTGTGAGATATCGTCAATCATGGCGCATTTTGAAGCGCAATACTTGCATAATCGTCACTTGTGCGCTCGTTGTATGGGTAGGAAGTTCCCGACAATCAGAGATGGTCTGGCGAGTGTATGGATTAGTCCTCTGCTGCATCGTAGCTCATCTGTAGTTTGGTTCTTACATATTGTGATTGTCTCTTCGAATGGTGAATGAGAAACAGCATGGTATGCCTTCGCCCGTTGGGTTGCCGGGACTCTTAAGAGTGCAGCTTGTAAGCATTGCTTTTTGGGTGTTGTCAAAAGCGATAGCGCCAAACTTTTCCCAATAGCTGACTAGCTGGTCTTCTACAAAGAACTCATGAATGGCCAATTTTCCCTGACACACCATGTCTATTAGCCACAAGTCGAGACCTGATACATTAGAAGACGAGATAAAAACTTACATCTCGCAAACTCTCTATAGGTACGTCAATCAGCTGTGCCATCTCGTTGTTGCCACGGAAAATCTCGCCAGTTCGCCGCCAGCAACAAGCTGGAATGGCCATACTGGCGAAAACGCGGTCATACTCCATCAGGCTTCTCTCAAACCACATTTCCACGAGAATGAGCTCAACGTCAGTCAAACTCTGCATTCGCTCGCGGAATTTAGGACGGAATTTGTCAAGCTGGCGTAAAATCTTCTGTCGAGACGCTTGATGCATGTTCTTTTCCATGTACTGATTCAGTTTGGCATAACCTTTCACGTAATTGAACGGCTTCAACAGTCCCGCATCGTACTTCGCTTTGAGGAGCTTGTTCATTCGCTCTTCGGGTGGGTCAGAGCCAGACGGGTCTGCAGCGGTCATATAATACGTCTCACGAGCTTTGTCATTCCCCACTGTCGTTGTCGAGCGTAGAATGGATTCTCCTTGTACATCTTGGCTCTGGGTCGCTTGTGGAGGTTGTGTTGGCGCAGACAGGCTATTGAGAACTCCGGTCTGATTTGCTGACCCCATAAGGGTTGGATCTGCGTACAGACCTTGCATGGTCTGATCTTGGAACAGCGTCCCATCGTCCAGGAGACTGTTACTGAGAAAGTCGCCTAGTAAGTTGTATTCATTCGTCACCTCTGGCGCGTTGAACATATATGACGGATGAAGTGGATGCATATCCTGAAACTGATTTTGCCCACCCAGCCACTCATTATAGGCCATCACTAGTTCTTCGAGTCAGTCCTAGCACCAGCGCTACATTACTTCGGTCCGCTCGGCTCTGCACTTACACTGCTGTTGGGTCTCCAAGCTTTGGCTAGACGAGATGATGTTTGGCGGTTGGACCGACGAGGGCGCAATGCCGATTGTACCATCCGAAAGGCTTTGAGGTTTTGCAGGATCCGAGAGGTCGACGCTTGCACGCATACTTTGTACGCTGGTCAGCTCATTGTTCGACGATCCTTCCTCATCCGCGGCTGAGTGATCCGTATCTCGTCGTTTTGTGGGCTCTCGCAGTTCGTCATGGCAAAGGTGGCCAATATTGCGTTTGATACAGCGAGTGCAAGGACGTTCCTGCAGAGACCGAGGTTTGTCAGCACGAGTTTCTCCTCCAGCAGATGGACAGACCATCGCAAAATCCAGCAAATATCGGAGTTGATACGGATGTCGTACCGAGTCGCAGGTCATGTGCTGTCAACAGAACATGAAATATATACTAGTCAGCAAGATCATTCTCCGAAGGCCGCTTGCGCCACTGAAACTCAGCCAGCCAGATACTGCAATCACCGGTCCATCGCACATTGTCGCAAACCGTACGCCAATTCCGTGCAGGCATGTAGTGAACAAGAGACTCACCGAGCGGCGACAATAGACACATGCTGAAAAAATCGAGACACGTAAGCTTTCAGTCTTAGCCGGGCGAGACTGTAATCGCAGAATCCGTGTCATGTGGATGGGACAAGCAACGGACTCACCGTGATTCACCTTGCGACGCTTCTTGGGACTGGCATGATTTCCAGCGCCAGTCGACTCAGACTTGTTTGCCGGTGCTACGGGTGATTCTTTTGGGCGCGCATCTTTCCTTGCATCCCCCGTCGTGGCTTTGGACCTGGCGGATGCGGCGTTATTCTCGGACATTGCGCCCGATGTCGGCGTTCGTTTTTCCGTCATGGGATGGAGTAGTGTCAATCAATATCGTTTCTCCTTTGTCGCTTTACACATGATCGCAGTGATGAACAAAACAGGCTAGCAAGCGGATTGTTGATCTCCAGGTTTTGAGAAGTGGGGTGGTTCTTGCATTAGAACATCACGAGGTTCTTGGAGACGAAAGCGGAGCCCGGGGCGTGTCAGTCGTCAAAATCTATGGGTCCTCCGATCTTCTCCGCACTAGACAACCTTGCAGGCCCAAGGCCCAAGGCACATGCTAGATAGCCGATTACGGCGGCCGATTTGCTACATAGTACATACCACTCTACGAAACATGTAGATTACCAACGACTCACCTTATGGACTCTAGGCAAGCTCTATCTTCAGTCCTTGGGGAGGCATGTCAATTGATTATGGACTGTATGACAGATACGCTCACCATACGCACACTATGGCCAACGACCGCTAGCCGAGGACTTGTATATCCAACTCCTTCCAGCAAAAAAAAACGGCCCCAGGTCTAACTGTTCTTTTCTTGCCCTTCCATTCGTACTTTTGGAGTAAGATTGTCATGATGCCAAGAAATATGAGCCTCGTTGCTTGGCCAGCAGACTAGGATGTCTCTATTTCGACCGTAGTGCTATCTGAAAGCCCATCTAAGAACTACCTAGACAGGACCTCTTCTAAGATTCACATTCTCAGAGAAGAATTCAGGCATGAGATGTTCCTATACCATCTTTCAAGTCGATATCAAGAGCACTTGCAGTGAGGTGCAGGGCGTTGATGATAGGTGCACGTTGAGAGCAAGCCGAGACGAAGACAACCCGATGGCCATAGGGGCATTCAATGACCGAACCTAACCTGCCACTGAAAACTTCTTTGTCGGTAGATCTGAATAGTTTAGTGTATGCACTTAGCCCTCGTTGGCGATCATGCCTCGTCACCCCCGAGCAAGAAGCCTGCTTGGAGCAAGGATGATCTTCGACAGGCGCTAGCTTTGGTCGGCAACCGAGGTCACTTGAAAGCGGCGAGGTCCATCCTATAATTGCTCATCCATAAAATTCATGGTTCGTTGTTTGAAGCCGACGGGCTTGAATTGAGTGCCGATTGGCTATGGAAGAGTTCGCAGCGCAATATGTTGTTTGCAGTTGCTCACATACTGCGGCCTCTCTCAGTCACTTGAAGTAAACAGAAGGTCCAATGCGGCTTGAGATCGCATGATTGCATCACTGAGCCCATCCAAAGGTGCTGTATTCGTCTGCATTGACTGCAGATGGCCTTGGAGCTGGAGCATCAGCTTGTGTACGTCGGGATCTCCATCAAGCTTCAAGAGTTTCAGGTTAGCATGTGATGGGAATTTGAGATGGCGACGGGCTCGAATAATAGCCCGGGGTCGTCCTACCTCATCCAGAGTGACTGAATTTTGAGTATGATTGAGCACTGCAAACTGCGCACACTCTTCGAATGAAGGCCTTTGCAAGTTATCAAGTTGGCGCAATATAGGGTGTTCCTGTCATGAGCAGTGTGAGCAGGCGAGACATGAATTGCAAGTGGAAGGTTATTGCAAAGGCAATGTACGTTGAGCAGATTACCTTTTTCAAGGAGCGCTTTCGCTCCGCTTCTGCGCCTTTCGCGTTCCTTTCCATTTCCTGCAAAGATTGCTTCTCCTGTTCAAGAAGCGATTCTTCTTTTGCAATTTCTGCACGAAGGAGGTCGGCACTGTCCTTCATCGTGGCAAGACTTGCCTCAAGTGATCGCTACAATTCGTCAGCGCAGTTACATCAGAGGCTCCCGTTGACATTTTGGGGCAACATACATGTTCGTCAATTGCAGATTCGTAGTCAAAATTCGAGTCCTTCGTTATTGGAGGAAATGGCATTCGAGGCAGACGTTTTGAAAGACTGGTATGAGTGCCTTGGGTCAGCGTACGTTTCCTTGAATGACCGCAACTGATTTGACTCCTGCCTGCAAACCGAGATCCAGTAAAGAGGACGTACTTGTTAACTACCGCTCGAACTGCGCTCTGGGCTTCGATACGCTTGCGTTCATTCTGCTGACGAACAATCACAGGACGTTCAAGGGCCAAAAACAAGTCCCGGACTTTCTCCTGAACAGGCTCGGGGAGTGTGGTCCATTTGGATTTAATTGTGTTCTCGTTAATACGGCGCACGCTCGACTTCAAATAGGCGAAGCGCTTTTGCTCGTTCTCGGTATTACCATCATCCACGTTCTCGACACTCGAATGTTTTCTTTTGGAGGGCATGATGCTTGAATGGCGACAAAGATACTACGGCCACAGCAGTGATGGCGATGTACGTATGTCAAGGCAAGGCGAGTCTGGCCCGACGCGTCGACCACAAACAGAGCGGTGGGGCGTTCATGCTCGGCAGGTGGCGCTGCCCATTCACACCCGCACGAGCAACGGCACGCAGGTATACCAACCACATTGGAATGAGGGCACCGATTGCGATCATAGCAAGGAAATGGTAAGGCTGTAGGTTTGTTAGGTAATCTCTTTACATACACTCTTCCGATGGATTTCTGTGGACAGTACCCCACTACCTATCAAGTGAAATGGAAGAGAACCGAGTAGACCTCTCAATTCGCCTTTGTTTACGACACATTTAAACAACGGACCAGGGTAACCTGGAGGTAAGGTTCTCTATGCATATTCTCTGACGCATAAGTTTCATATATAGATATTCCATTGCTTCCAGATTTGGGTCTCCACATTAAAATTGAATATAACAGGCTACTATGAACCATAAGGCAGCATCGAATAGGAAAACCATCAGGCACTATGGAGACGCTGTGAACCTTAGTTATATAGGTAAGGTAAATTTGGGCGAGAAACCACCCGGCCACAAGCCCCTGTTTGAAAAAAGATAGGGCTATCGCTTGGGCAGCGAGCTCTTGTGTGGAAAACCTCGAACGTTGTGAATGGAACTCAAGAGACAATATGTTGGCTGCCGAGGCCAGGGTAGCAAGCGCCAATTTCAATAAGGAGGTTCGACCAAGACAGCCAGGTAAATAATAGAATTTATATGCATGACAAAGCTGTTTGAATCGACAGGCATTGATTTGGTTGAATTCCACCCAGCTAAAGACAACAAATAAGAGAAATCTATGTCATGCTCTGCGCTTCCGCCAGAACAAGACTAGAGCAGAAGAAAAAACAGAATGGTATCATAAATGAGACGATGAGGGCAGTGGCTCATCAAGGCCACCTGACTCCTGGGCATTAGCTGCTTGACACAGGTTCGGATGGAAAAAACAAGACCGAGAACGAAAATGATCTGGGGGACGGGTATGCGAATCTGGAAGAAAGAATTCGTGGTCACATCACAGGGGCATAGCCTCATCGAGGCATTACGAGACCATTGATACTTTTCATGTCGGTGAGCTGGCTTCGCAGGAGCTCATTGCCACGGAGAAGGTCCTCCAACCAGTCTGCAGCTTGGGTGAGCATGGCGCTTTTGCTAAAGCCACCACCCCGTAGACTTGGAACCAGAGAGCAGAGGTCGTCAAAGCCTTGACGAATGAGATTGCGTCTTTTCTGCTCCGACAGAATATGGTTGGTTCGTTTCTGCTCCTCGGACAGATTCTCACGGGTAGCTTTAGCTCCTTGAATGACTCGCGCCTTTCGAGACCCGTCGGTCGATGCACGTCGACCCTTGGCAATGCTGGACGACCGGGATTTGTTGGGTTGTGAGCCGGGTTCTTCATCTTCGGATGGCGAATCACTCTTTCCTTTGATAGTACGCTGTCGTTTCCGAGGGTGCGAGTCGTTCTCGTCGCCCGTCGAATGATGAGCTGCGCTTGTATTGTTCGATTGAGTGGTACGCTCGGGACTGGGAGCACGGGTGGTGGCCGCACTGTCCTGAGGCTCGAAACAATCAAGTTGTCCTAGTAACTCTCTCGTACGGGTTTCCATATCAGGTTGATCAGGGGGCGCAACGTAGCCTTGGTCCATGAAGCTACCGTCTGAGCCCCAGTGAAGACCCCTGGCTTTGCGCGAGGGATGTTGGTCGACAGGAATGGGATCGCGCACATCGAAAAGCATCTCAGAGGTGTGAAACCCAGTTGGGACACGTGGCCTCGAGGATGAGGAACTCGAGGCTACTGCATGTACCGGGTTTCGAGAATCCCGTCGACCATGCGCAACGCCCAAATTTAGTGGTTGGCCTGTGAAGGTATGCTGTGCCAGCGCAGGACCTAGATGACCTCCATGCGTTTCGTTGGGAAAGAGCAAGGAAGCCGCGGCGTAAATGTCGGCGTTTGTGTCTCCTCCTCCTCCCACCACGTTGGCCTTCGAGTTCGGAGTCACAAATGAGGACTGAGATAGTGAAGTTGTAGAGCCCTCAAACGTGGGTGGAAGTTCCTGGTTCCAGCCAAAGTCGAGGCCAGGAGGTTTGTCATGATGGCCTCGCAACCAGAAGTCATTTGCCAGGTTGTTTGTGTTCATGGTGCTGAAGAAATTATCCAGCATACTCGATTCATTATCGTCAAGGAGGGGAAGCCCCGGAGGCAAAGCCGGAGGCTGTTCGAACGGTGTATCCATTGGTGAAAGAAATGCGTCTAAAAACGGTAAGCCATGGTGCAAGCAGAGAATCAGTGCCAAGAGATCGATTGGCACTCACAGCCAAAAGGTCCAGTAGGTACTGGAGGAGTTTGTTCAGGTCCAACTTCCGCGGCAGATCTCTCCATGATCGGAGAGATTTGTTCACTGCGTGGAGTTCACAGGCTGAGGGGCACGCCCAGAGTTCGACTCTAATCTTGAATTGCCGCCCTGAGGTTTCCAAGAGCAGCGCAGCACAGCCGAAAATTTCATGCCTGGGTCTAGTGAGTTCGGTGTCCGACTATCGCCCGGCCTAGGACTGAACAGGTGGGCTGACTCGAAGTAGAAATACTGCCGAGCGCAGTCGACAACAAACCGGAGCGGAAGGAGCGTAAGTTGACGATTAGATATTGTTCCCAAGGGCGATCACGTATTAAAGTCGACGCAGTGCTCGAGACGCAAGAAATGGCGTTCAAAAATGGCGAAAAGCAGCCTCGAGGGCGGAGCTGTAATCTATGTTGCGGTTCGCCGTGAGGCTGTCTGCCATCGCATCGTCGGACTGCTGCTCAGGATCACATGTGAATTTTGCTAGATTTGCTGGTCGCGTGACGTAACAGCTTGTATCGTATTTGAATTACAGTACATACATCACATGACATGATGACCCTGTCGACATCCCAGGACAATGGAACACACGCTCAGCCGCTCGCTGGCAAGTTAGCATTTTGCAAGGCACCCAAATCGCTCCGGTAATGTATGTACCCCAGCGTATTTTGGTCCACGACCGCCTGCCGTGTCCATCCTCTTGTCCGGGGAAGGCCGCCCGAAAAACATGAAACTCGGCATCGCGGAGAAGGGGACCAATCCATATGCCAATTCGGGTCTTTGTGGACTGTGAAAGTGTGGAGTAATTTCAGCCACGAAGTGCAGCCTTCGGCCTCAGAGATCAGTGAGTTAAATCTTAATGTTCAGTAGTGCAAGTCGGGCCCAGAAAAATTACATTGCAAACTCTGGAGTCTGGACGTCTAATTTCCCTGCTTAACATGATCTAGCTGCAGCCCGTGCTCTACAATCCTCCGACCCATCTCCCACTCCAGCCTGAAGCTTGAACCGCTTAACCCCTTAGCTGGCCCCACCGTGCCAGCTGGTGGGTTAAGTACATGCTCTACCTACTTCGCCTGGTCAGCGTCTGAAGTCTATGCGGCTGGCGGAACGAAAACCATTCCAAGGTCAGGTTGGCCCCTAGTAAGTTGTTGGAAGCCATTGGCAGCTGTCAAGCTTAGCAAGTTGTCACCCAGCATTTGCATGTACGATTTCCAGAAATCTAGTGTGACGCAACCGCCAACAGCTCACGAAGAAAACAGGCGCGACAGTTCGCTCCCCAGCGCGATTTCGTGCCTTGATCTCGGCGGGCGATTATTGCCGGATCAAGAACCGAGGTTCACTCTGATTAGACCACCCCACAGATCTTCTCTCTGGCATTTACCAGGACAAAGCTCACAGTCGATTCGGAAGAGCTTGTCAGACTTGTCTCAGGTCGAGCTTCGTGCAGAGGTCAGCCGGGGCAAGCTTCGAGAGGATTGACCTTCTCATCCCTGCTCAAGACAGTGGCGCCGCCCTACTACTGCGACTTGAACTGCGAAGGGTGTCAAGGCGACACTTAAGCGCTCGAGTGAGCCCAGCAGAGCCCGTGTCTGTCGGTCGGCAACTAGGAACGATCCATGGGTCGGGCCATTCAAGAACGTAGAGTCTGCTCAATATAGAATTGTGGACGCATTGCACAGTTTGACCGAGTGTGATCATTGCTAGCTGTTGTGGGAGGCAGTACTCAAGACATCTGCGATACGATGGCCGCTCCAGGCTATTTATCGAGTTCTTACAATAGGCGACTTCGCTTTCGCCTCTTAAAGCCGTGAGTATCTTCATCGTGCCGCTGAGACAAGCGTTAGCTCGTGCTGCCCATGAAGCTCTCTTCTCAACTGGGACAGCTCATGCTAATCAACTTTCGCATCAAAGGGTTTTGCGTGCATATGCCTTGAGCTATCTGTCATACGTGACGCCGAAGATTTTTGCTCGCGCAAAACAGCCGAGCCAGCGGGGTTGGACAATCAGGCAGAAGATTGAAGAGGTAAGTCGTCGCTTATTACTGTTTGCCTGCCTAGTCAGTAACTCATGGCATTGTTGCGCAACGAACGCCCGAGAGTCGATGATGGAACTGCGTTCGCGTCGTCAAGACAGTTGAGGAGTCCTCTGCTGATTCGATCTAGATTCTTCGGATTTTGCTCAAGTCGCTGCGGGTTGACAGCTTTCCAACCTTCTGTGCGATCGTGGTGGGGGGCTCAACCGTTTCACCGGTGTTGTTGCAAAGAATATGCGTCTTGGCCTTAGGAGATCAATCGAAGAGTGCTTCTCATATCACACGACGCATGAGGTCTTTCATTCAGTTCTCCACGGCCCTCTTGGCAGCATATCTAGGATTTGGCCTTCTCAACAAAAACCGTACAATCTCGCGAGCAGAAGCTGAAGCCCACTTGACTGCTAAATATGGAACCCTTGACCGAGAGTCAGGGAGCGCCGCAGCTCCTCCGCTGCCAGATCTTGCCGGCCGGACAATGGATTTGACCATCTTCTCTGCCGTTCGAGCTGCGGATGTGCTGGCATGTATGGCGTGGAACCACTGGGCCCGTCGGCGAAAAGCTCAGAATAGGTGGACAAGAGTCGAGGAACTATTTCCAGGCCTGGCTGACGCTGGTGTTTTTGCCATGAGCGCTGCAGTGGTCATGTGGGCTTGGTTTTATCTTCCAAAAAGACTTCCCCGAACTTACGAAAAATGGATTGGAGAGGTTGCCAAGGTGGACATGCGCCTGATCGAGGCACTTCGGCGAGCACGTCGTGGGATCTTCATCTATGGAAGAGATACCGGGCAGGCTCCGCTTCTAATGTCCATGTGTAGAGACTTTGGCTGGCCGGAACAATGGGGAGACCCGGCGAAAACTGCACCGATTCCCTGCGAGATGGTGCATATGGGCTGTGGACCCAACTGTGAGATACACGCTCTGACACGCTTCTTTAAAACCTTCAAAGTCGCCTGTACGACGTATGTTCCGCTGCAGATTGTTTTCCGTCTGCAGAAGATCAAGGATCCAGCTGTGCTGCGCCGTGCGGTTCTTGAGGGCGCTCGGTCATCGGCATTTCTCGCCGCTTTCGTGGGTATCTTCTATTATGCTGTGTGTCTGGCCCGAACGCGTCTTGGACCGAAAATGTTCGATGAAAAAACAGTGACGCCGCAGATGTGGGATTCTGGTCTTTGCGTGGGTGCTGGATGTCTGCTATGTGGATGGAGTGTCTTGGTCGAACAACCGCGAAAGAGACAAGAACTGGCTCTGTTTGTGGCACCAAGGGCTGCTGCGACGGTGCTGCCACGTCTGTACGACAAAAAGGTTCGTCTACAAGTCAGCACATGAACTTGAACATATCCCGGCCATTCCATTAGTTTTCGGAAGGGAACCGGATGTTCATTCACCGAAGCTCCCAAATGCTGACAATCTTCTTTTCCTTACTGCCACAGTTCCAGTACCGCGAGCGAATCGCATTTGCCATCAGTGCTGCTATTCTCATTACCACTCTACGTGATAGACCTAGATTGGTGCGAGGCGTCTTTGGGAAGATCGCTGCCCGAGTTTTGAATTAGGACGATGTCCGGATTTGAGACCATGATACCCGATGCTTCTATACCTGGCGAGGACTGGGTTTCTCTGATATCATAGAATCACCTCGATTTATGAGCGACTCGGTAGGTTGTAAGCCGTGCCACACGCTTGCTCGGTACGCCGCCGCCGCTCGCTGGAACTGTGCAATAGATAATGTTGTGCCATGTTACTCCCAGATCATTTCTTTTAGTACTAGTCCGCTACTAATGCCTCGCCTTCATTCGCAATGTAATAGAGACATGGAATGCAGCAAGTAAGTACGATGCAGTGGTACTTGTGTACAATCTAGCAGCTACTCATCTGGTTCGAGTCTCCATACATTAGTGTAGCAGTTCTTGGAGATCGGACTTACGGAACGTTTGCGGGCTGGTGGCGTGCGAAGATCGGTCTTATCGATACGGACATATGCATCACGTGATATATATCATCGCATCTCAGTCCCGAAATTCAACAACCAAGCTCTTCTACAGGCGAGCTCACAAAGATGATTACGAGGACAATGTTTTCAAGGGGCAGATGCCCCCCTAAATCCATTTTTGTTCCATCCATGAGCGCACAGAGGAGTGTTTTGGCTGCGGAAAACCGCTTTTTCTCGAGGAGTGCCTTCCAACATCAACAGCATGCCTCTGCAGCGCCCTTTAATTCACCGCAATCTCAACATCGCAATACGTCAACCATGTGTGTTTACTTGCCATTGAAATATACGGATTGAAGTCACAAATTGACAACGAAGGAACCTAGGTATTACACTCTTAGTCTCATTCTCGGCACTGTTGCACTTGCTTATGGTTCAGTGCCGCTGTACAAAATGGTCCGTCTCCCGTGTCTTCCCGTCAGCACGTCACTCAAGGTTGAGAACACAAGCTGATATCTACCCACAGATCTGTACTCAAACCGGTTGGGGTGGTCAGCCTATTCTAACTCATCGCACTGGTGACGGCGATACGGCATCCCGTGTAACGCCAGTTACCGACTCTCGACGCCTCCGAATCACCTTCAACGGGTCCGTATCTGACGTGCTCCCTTGGAAGTTCACACCGCAACAACGAGAAGTCCGAGTGCTGCCTGGGGAGACAGCTCTCGCTTTTTACACTGCGACCAATAAGGGTCCTCAAGATATCATCGGAATCGCAACATACAGTGTGACACCAGGCCAGGTGGCTCCATATTTCAGCAAGATCCAGTGTTTCTGTTTTGAAGAGCAGAAGTTGAATGCCGGGGAATCGGTAGACATGCCTGTGTTCTTCTACATCGACCCCGATTTCGCGACGGATCCCAACATGAAGGGAATTGATACAATTACCTTATCGTATACTTTTTCAGTAAGTTTTCCTATCTCTCGAGGATGAGAGGCTCTACGCTGACTGCTTACAGAAGCGAAATATGACGACAATGGGGTTTTGAAACCTATTTCATCTTGATCGAGCCGCCTGCTTGGCTATTTGATCTCACTTCGCTGGCACCAGGTGCAAGTCATTGCTTGCGCTTTGACTGTTCAACTTTGGTTCCCAAGCTGAAACTCCTCACTCTTCAAGTCGCCTAGGCTTCTGCGAGCTTCGAAACTTGTCCCTGTATTATAAACCTCTGGAGTCTTATTGGGGTAAAGCTATTTACTGATTATTCGCTTCGGCCTGTCCTGTACATACCAAAAATTGGGTGGCCAAAAAGCAAGTTCCCAGCGTGAATGTTGGATCCCACCTGTCTATAGCCTGATTCAATTCGATACAAAATTGGGTTATCGCGAGATAATAAATCCTGCAGCCGTACCTGGTTGCCAATCAAGGACGATTCGCTAAGGCTATGGGGCCAATTCGGACAGGAGGGCAAGAGATCAACGGCTTAAAATCATCCATGGAGATTGCTCAATTTATACCCCAGAGTATTTCGACGCAACGAAGTAGAGCAGGCATTTGAATTGGCGACCTATAAGCCTTGGCCGGGGTGTCCCACAACTCGATGCGGCCGGCCTTGGGACACTTCCACATGCCCTGCATAGATAAAAAGATAGTGCACGGACCATCACTTAATTGAGCGCGTCTTCCCGACGCGTTCCTTCGGCCCTGAGGCTTCCAAAGATCTTCACACCGAGATACATACGCTGATACTACGCCATTTCCGAAATCATGGCTCTGCTTGTTGACAAACTCCGTCCAAGGACGCTCGATGCGCTCACATACCACCCAGAGCTATCGGATCGACTTCAATCACTGGTACGTGTTGACCATGTCCTCTTGCTCAGCACCATGCTCACCGCGCTTTTTCGAACGTTAGGCCCAAAGCGGCGATTTCCCACATCTTCTGGTCTACGGGCCCTCTGGTGCTGGGAAGAAGACGCGAATCATTGCGACACTCAAAGAATTGTTTGGTCCTGGAGTGGAGAAAATCAAAATTGATGCGCGTGTCTTCCAAACAACCAGCAATCGCAAGCTCGAATTCAACATCGTGTCGTCCGTCTATCATCTCGAGATCACACCCGCCGATGTTGGGAACTATGATCGCGTTGTGGTCCAGGAATTGCTGAAAGAAGTTGCCCAGACACAGCAGGTGGACCTATCAGCGAAACAACGCTTCAAGGTCGTCGTTATCAATGAAGCCGACCATCTCACACGCGATGCTCAAGCAGCACTCAGACGTACGATGGAAAAGTACAGTCCAAACTTGCGTTTGATTCTTCTAGCAAACAGCACCTCCAATATCATAGCGCCCATCCGTTCCCGTACCCTACTAGTTAGGGTGGCAGCTCCGAGTGAAAGCGACATTTGTTCAGCGCTACGAATTGCTGCGAGAAGGGAAGGGTGGACGGAGGCACCTGGCCTGAACAAGCGGATTGCAAAAGAAAGCGGGCGCAATTTGCGACGCGCTCTTCTTATGTTTGAGTCGATCTATGCGCAAAAGTGAGTCAATTGATGGTTCAATTCCAACCAGATACACTCAAACTCGCTCTAATGCCTCTTCACACACAGTGAGCAAGTTACAGACGGCACAGTAATTCCCCCACCAGACTGGGAGGCTCTCATCTCAGTGACAGCAGATGATATCGTACGGGAGCGAAGTCCTGCCCAGCTTTTGCAAGTGCGCGCACGACTTTATGACTTATTAACGCATTGTATCCCACCGACCACCATTTTGAAAGTGCGTACCATGATGGTCTTTGCTTCTTGTGAAGTTGGCTGACTTGACTTGTACTAGACGTTGACATTCATGCTCGTTGCGAAGGTTGACGATGTGCTCAAGCCAGATGTCATTAAATGGTCAGCCTTCTATGAGCATCGTATCAAGCTGGGCAGTGTAAGTGTGACCTCTGAAATCATGTTTCGATTATCAATGACTGATGGAATTGCTGGTACAGAAAGTTATTTTCCACCTAGAGGCCTTTGTAGCGAAGTTTATGCGCATTTACGAGAGGTCAGCTCCCTCTCCACACGACTAACTCCTGATTGGTACTGACATGATGTCGAAACAGCTGGACAATGGGAATGGACTTCGACTAGGCTCTCTCTCCAGATGAAGCCTGGCCTTCGACTTCAAAAATCTGTCGAATATTTGTCTTTTCGACTTTCCCTTGCCGCCTGGTATACATTGTCGGACTGTCTCTAGGTGACCTCGATTTCCCTTGAGTATTGACAGACTTGGCTGGCGCATCATGAAAATTTACCTTCACCACAGGCGGTGTTTCATTACTGATCACATTATACATCATTGTCGAGACCAGCCATATGCCTTCTCTAACTGCTTATGACTTTGTAGTATGCAACTATGCATGCATACTGATAGACTGTGGCTGCGTATTGGTTGAAAAGAGTAATTGCGACTGGATCGATTGAACCATCTGATCATGTGCAACATAGACCAGGAACGACCACATAAATGTTAGTATAACCATCGCTTGAGGTTGCGTCAGTACACAATTACTCCCCAGCGGGGCGCTTGTAGATTGTTAAGGCCACCTGCAAGCCTGCTCCCGCGAATGATAGAGTTACGTCATAAAGTGATAAGACCGGACTACATAAAGTCGCCGACTGCAGACCAGACCTCGTTGGACAGATCAATACAACTCTTTCCGCGAAGACAGACTTTCAAACTCAACTTTTCTTTCTCGGGACAGATCTTCAATATCTTGATACGCACTTCACCTCCAATATGTCTGATACTAGACTAGTCGATATGGAGCCCGGCGGCGAAAACACACAGTAAGGGGGTCGTCCACGGCAGAAAGCCTCTACGTCTTGATTCTTCTTTTCAATTGACACTCTGATACAGATATGAATCTATTCGTGAACACACCATACCTCCTGCGAAGCAATCCGGCCAGCTTGGTGGTAGGTTAACTCATCCAGGACCACTATCTTAAACGTCAGTGCAAGAAAGCTCAAACTTAGACGAAAAGCCGACCTGCCCCACTCGAAAAGTGAGATGAAGACCACTCTAGACTCAGCTACGAACAATGATTCGAACGTCGAAGACGCGAAATTGGCGGAGCAACTGGGGATGGGCGAAGCAGCTGCGAACACGCGTAAAGGTGAATTATTTCCGTATATCCTTTGATTGGCAACTCCGGACACGCCGAATGGGTAGCAATCTATGACGCGCACGATAACTCGAAGGAAAAAATGACAAGTGTATAATGCTGACATATAATGTACAGAACAAGGGGGCTTTGGTACCCTAGTTGATGCGGATGCTGCGAAAAGCAGGAGAGAGCAGGGTTACGGGCCTGGCTCTGGGGTCGGAGCGTAGCTTGGGCTCGAAAGAATCGCGCCCGAAGGAAGTTGACAGGCCATAATGCGAAAGCAAAAGGCGTAACAAGATCATTGAGGGGCGTCAGGGCTCGAGGACGTGGTCTTGGGAGGATTCTCAAGGCTTTCAGTGCCGAGCGGTGGATTTCGGCGGGCTCGTTTGAGAGTTTCAAGCGTGACGCCGTTGCCGAGCTTTGTAATTCCAACAACGGGCGGATCATCCTTCTTCACGAACTCCCAGAGGCCTGGTGAATTTATCTACTTAGTATGAATCGTTTGAGACAACAACCCCAGGGTTAGTGACGTACCTGGCAGCTTGTGACCAGCCAACCTAAAAGCCTCCCGAGCGACCTTCTCGTGCAGGTCACCCTTCAACTCAAAGACGACTCGACTGACGGGCAGGCGGACGGTCCAGTAGTCAAATTTACCTTTACCCTTACCCATACGCTGCTCATTTCCCTTGGTGTAGACGCCAATGTTGGCGCTAACCCGCTTGTACAGCTTGTAGTTCATGCCCCTTAGCCGCCTCTTAATCGTCTCTTCAGCAATTTTCAGAGCTGAGGCTGGCATTCGGCGGTCATGATCCTTCATACGAAGGCCAAAGTCTCCCCACACCACCGTCGTTCCTCGGGTTGACCCTCCTGTGGCAACGTGTGGCCGACCTTTGGGAGACTTCGATCGTTCGGCAAATTTAGGTGTGAGCCAGTCAAGAGCAGGCGATGTAGTAGAGAAGCATCTTGTAGCAAAAAGTGAGGTGTTTGGTGTCGACAGATCTGTTTCCCCGAATGTCAATTGAAAGGCTTTTCCACAAAATTCGTGGCCCGGGGATTACCGGGGATTCGTACAGATTTGTCGGGCGCAGCCAAGTAAGGGCCGCGATGATAACAAAGTGTTAAAATTCATCTTGATTGTAATGGGTGGTTCTGAGTCGAACAGCCCGCAGCTTCGCGATGCTTTCCGCAGGGCTACGGCACTTTTCGATGCTCGAGTTCCCTTAAAGGCGCTAGTCTAGATTTGGTCTTAAGATGCGGCACGTGCTCAGCGTGTTCCTTAGTCATCAATCACGTCCACCGTCCGTGTCGAGCGCGTCACTTATCGTAGCCTGTACGAGCCGGAGAAGCATTTTTGAGCTTTAATTGTCAGTATTTGAAATTCAGACTTGCCAGTCAGTGCTTCAGAGCCGGCTCGCATCTGTGCAAAACATGCCAGCCGATATACGAAATTTTTTTGGTGGTAAACCTGCTCAAACGTCAACAAGCGCCGCAAAGCCCGCGAAAGAGGTAAGTTCAGGGACACCCAACAATACACATGCGACATGCAATGAGAAGCAATTGTGTCCTGCGAAACAGCGAATAGACTAACTGAGGTTTACTGATTATGTACTTTACCAGGATCCACAGAGCGTCCGCAAACGACGTAGGTCACTCAAGATTGCCCTTTGCGCCCCGTACTAAAGTCCGGCAGGTAGTAGAAAGGTCGTCGATGAAAGTGATGAAGAGGAGGAGGTGCAAGTACCAGCGAGCAAGCTAACCACAGACCAAAAGCCATCGCGTCAATCGTGAGTCTCATTCTCCCGTGGACTAATGGTGTCGTTCATAAGGTCCTGATCATCTTTTCTCCCAAAGCAGGAAGAAAGAGGAACCCAAGGGCGAGCCCACAACCAGCTCCGATTACTTTGCTTCTTCGAAAAAGCGAGGCTTCTCATCCAAACCCGGCGTCGAAGTTGAAGCCGACGTTGCTCCCGCCAAAGCTACGAGGACCACGCCACGCCAGTCGGTCAAGAAGACGACCCAGGTTGTTGACGACGAGGGCCTCGGCGCGGACGACATCTTTGCTGGAAACTATAGCAAGCAAAAGGAAGACGATTATGTGCCGGCGGACAGTGATGATGACAACGATTTCGAGGTGCTCGAAGTGAAACCAGCTACTGCGTCTTCCAGGAGAACACGAGCGAAGCCATCGCTTTTGGAGGAGGAGGGTGAGGATGACGATGTTGTGATGGAAGATCTTCCCAAGGCTGCTCCTGAAACAGCACGGGCATCAAGGAAACGCAAATCCGAGGCGGTCATTGATCAGGATGAAGATGATAATCCTCCAGCGACGAAGAAGAAGCCCGTGACCCGGGCCAAACCATCCGCTTCGCCAGCTGCCAAGAAAGCTAAGTCATCACCAAAGAAGAAAGATGCTGAATCAGAGAACCCCGAGATCCAAAAGATTTTCGACAGCATTCCGACCGTCAGACCTCCATCCCCACCTCCAGACAGCGGAGAACCGAAAAAATGGCAGTACGGTGCGCAGCGCTCTCGAACCCCTCCGACTGCTGGAACGAAGGATATTCCCGTGGGCGCCGAGAATTGTCTGGCTGGGCTCTCCTTCGTTTTTACTGGAATTCTCGATACCCTGGGGAGAGAAGAAGGCCAGGAATTGGTGAAGAAATACGGAGGGAAAATCACCACCGCGCCTAGTTCCAAGACCAGCTACGTTGTCCTCGGAGGTGATGCCGGACCCAAGAAACTTCAGACAATCGCGAAGTTCAACCTCAAGACTATCAACGAAGATGGTCTTTTCGAGTTGATTCGTCGATTGCCCGCAAATGGCGGGTCTGGACAGGCCGCGGAGAAATTTGCTGCCAAGAAGAAAGCAGAGGAAGATAAAGTCAAGAAGATGGCTGCTGAGATTGATGCTGAAGAGAAGAGAAAGGAGGCCGAGAAGGCTAAGGTTCAATCCAAAGCAACGGCAAACGGAGTTAGTGCTCGTCCATCCCAAGTACCCGTTGTGGACGATCAGCTATGGACGACCAAGTATGCGCCTACGTCTATTGGCATGATATGCGGCAACAAGACTGCAGTGGAAAAACTGCAAAGCTGGCTGAGGAATTGGCATCAAAGCGCCAAGTCGAATTTCAAAAAGGCAGGAAAGGACGGCTCGGGTGTGTACCGCGCCGTAATGATTCACGGGCCGCCAGGAATTGGCAAGACAACAGCTGCTCACCTGGTCGCAAAATTGGAAGGTTACGACATCGTCGAAACTAATGCAAGCGACACGAGAAGCAAAAAGCTTGTCGAGACAGGCACATTGGGCGTCCTTGACACGACCTCGTTGCAAGGGTACTTTGCGGGAGAGGGAAAGAAGGTCCAAAGTGAGAAGCGCAATCTGGTCCTCATCATGGATGAGGTCGATGGAATGTCAGCTGGTGACCGAGGAGGTGTTGGTGCAGTCGCAGCCATCGTTAAAAAGACTAATATTCCAATTATGCTCATTTGCAATGAGCGAAGATTGCCCAAAATGAAGCCTTTCGATCACATTACCTTCGACATCCCTTTCAGACGTCCGACTCCAGACCAGATTCGCGCGCGACTGTCAACAATTTGTTTCCGTGAGAAGATGAAGATCCCCCAGCCAGTTCTGGAAGCTCTGATTGAGGGTTCGCACGCAGACATTCGACAAATTATCAACATGCTCTCTGCAGTCAAAGTGGACCAATCTCTGTTGGATGAGAGTTCTACGATTGACTTTGACAAGGGAAGACAAATGGCTAAAGCGTGGGAGAAGCACATTATTTTGAAGCCTTGGGATATTACCAGCAAGATTCTCAGTGCACAAATGTTTGCACCAAGCTCAACTTCGACCCTGAATGACAAGACCGAGCTCTATTTCAACGACCATGAGTTCAGCTATTTGATGCTTCAGGAGAACTACCTGCGCACGAAACCTTCCCTCTCCGCCAGATTTGAAGATCCGAAGGAGAAAAATCTCAAAGAACTTGAGCTTTTCGACAAGGCAGCCTCGAGTATTAGCGATGGCGATCTGGTGGATCGTATGATCCATGGAACACAGCAACAATGGAGTTTGATGCCGACCCACGCGATATTCAGCTTTGTCCGCCCGGCCAGCTTCGCATATGGCAATATGCGAGAGCGCCCACAATTCACCACTTGGCTTGGCCAAAATAGTAAGCAAGGTAAGGGTCGGAATATTGTCTCACTGATGCCGCACACAAAAGTAAGCGTGTTATTCTTCGGCCACCATCACTGACTCCTTTTCTGCTCTATCATTATAGGCAAGTTGTCACGCTTTGTCAAGGAAATCCAGGGTCATATGCGCCTTCGGACCTCAGGCAATCGAGACGAGATTCGCCAGCAGTACATGCCCATGCTCTGGGACAAGTCAGTCAAGCGTCTACAGGACGAAGGTAAAGAATGTGTGGATGAAGTCATTGACTTCATGGATGCGTACTTCCTCACACGTGACGACTTCGACGCGATGGTTGAGCTCGGACTTGGCCCAATGGACCAATCCAATGTCAAGCTTGACACACAAACCAAGGCGACTTTCACACGGCTCTACAACTCGCGCTCCCACCCACTCCCGTTCATGAAAGCCAGCAATGTCGTCGCGCCGAAGAAAGAGTCCAAGGAGAAACCTGATGTGGAAGATGTCGTTGAAGAATCAGATGAAGAAGATGTCGTTGACGAGGTCAAAGATGAGGAAGAGGATGAACTGGACCTCAAGAAAGACAAATATGTCAGTTTGCCGAAGAAGAAGGCTGCATCGGCGAAAGGGAAAAAGGGCAAGAAAGCCGCGACTGCAGATACCGACGACTTCGTTGACGACAGTGAAGAGAAGCCCAAAAAGGGCCGCAAGACGAAGGTTAAGGCTAAGGCCTGAGCGTATTTATTGCATTGCCAGCATCCGCCTGTGCGCTGTTATGCACATTCTTTTCTCGAGAGCCACCAGAAGGATGCATTTGCCATGTCGGGGAAATACGTGCTCTCCAGTGGTACATTCTTCAACTCTTTGCATCGACATCCTGCAGATGACCACACAGTGTGTTTTGAACTTGGCACATTTTCCAATTCGCGGTCTGATTGAATCAGCATGCCTTAATTTCGACCAAATACAGGCAATCCGCCAGAGAACGACAAGGTCGTCTGATGTATCATATAAGAGTGTTTTGTGTGCGAACAGGACCAGGAAATTGTTGTTTAGTGCATCGATGCATCCATTGTATTTCCAAGCACTTGAATTTCCAGCCAAAACACTGTCCATCTCTATAAAATGACACGATTGCAAACTAGACAGCGTCGTGTAGGGGCCCTGTCGCTCATCCTAAACGCTTCTTCATTGCACTCACTGCGATGACGAAGCACCCGGCTTTCTTGAGCAGATCCACGATGACCGCCGCCCTCGCGCTTTAACCTCAAATGAGCGGTTGTAGATTGCGAAGAGGCATTCTTTTATGGCTGATCAAGTCAACCTCGTTGCTGAAGGGTGGCACCTAGATTAGCTTCAGACTTATTGTACAACTGGAATTCAACTGTCATACAACGATGTCATTGATGTATCGCGAGAGGCCTAGGGACCTCCGACCTACCGGTTAGGGTTGTAAGGAAGGCATGAGGCTCGTTTTCCAATTTCCAGTCGTATTCTAGACGGGAAGTTGGTGCCAAGATGCTTCGAAGAAGAGAATCATGCGCCTTTGGGACCTGTGGCAAGTCAAGTGACCAGGGCTGGGCATGCACCTACCTAAGATCTACCTAATTGCTGTGCCTTGGTCGACGGTTCATCAATTAAGTAGAACCTACCCGCGAAGCAGTGAGGATGGAAGTTTCATTTAGCGTGTTCGACATCATCACGATACAAGCTTTATCTGTTTCGAAGCGTCGGAGGCTTATCATGATGTTTAATTTAACTTCCTTCTACGACGTCAGCAATGAGCGTCAACTGATATTGGTGGAGACGTCGGAAAGGTATGTCAAGTCTAGGTGCATTCACGACGTCTGAATGCGCTTCTTATCTGGTTCTGCTGGCCATCCATCCACGTTCCAAGAGCAAGATAGCAACACAAGTGGAGATGCATCGAAATAATTTCCGTTGTCAACTTCTTACCTGGTAGGTGTCTGGCAAATGTTCCCTGATGGCTCGTTTGATGGCGGCGCCTCGCTTCAAATCAGTCACGCGGTTCCCAGTGGCGATCTCGCAGAGAGGACAAATCAGTTTCCGGGTCCGCATCTTTCCAAATATGATCATCGTGTGTCCAGACCAACGTACTCTATTGGAGGTGGACAGTCAACTGGCACTGGCGCTTTTCGCCCGCTCCAGGCATGGCGGCACATTGATGACTCTCCGCTTGTCTCGCTTTCAAACAGCCACCCCCTGGCAGACGTTGACTCGCGACGTGTTTGGCGTGAGCCTCGGGCCAGACGGGCCTCGCCGGTGGATGTCAAGTCTCGACTGTGGACATTAAGCAGCCTTGGCAGGAGGTTGGTTAATCGAGCTTATCTCCAAAACGAGTTTAGCGAGGACCACATCGTGAAGATTCTCGAGGGAAATTCCACCAATGGCCCAGATTGGGCTTAATACTGCACGGTTTCACTTTGCATCTCAGTGAACAACAAAGAGACCGAGAGCTGGCCGTCAACAATGCCCCTCCCCCACCCCAACCTTTCTCGGCGATGCCACTCTAGCCACCCGCTCTCTTCAGAAGAGCTACTTGGGAGTCCTACAGAGTTCTCTAGCCCTCCAACAAGGCTCTGAAGCAGAAGGTCGGAATGCCGAGCGTCTCCAAAAACGCAAACCGATACGCATCACAGGCGCTGGAATGAGCCTCGCGCATTACTGCCATGATTGTTTATTGAGGAGACTCCGCGTGAGTCCGAAGCTGAGACGGCGACGGAATATCTTACCCCGTGACAGACGGATGGACGAGATGGAGGATCCTATCCTCGTCTGACTAGCCCGTGGGTCAATCGGCCAGAGTCCCACTCGAAATTAAGCAATTTGGCCCGAACGACTTTCTGCAGAATCGAATCCCAAGAGTGCCGGCTGGTCTGGGCTTGTTCGTCGGCCTCTTTTTGTGGCCAGGTGCTGTATAGCCACCTCGTGAGAGTCGTATCTACATTGAGTATGAGGCCCGTCCAGGAGTATAAAACAAGGATGTTTCCCTCCTCGACGGATCGTACACTCCCCCCGTTCGTTCATTCATTTGTTGATCAAATATATTCATTCATTCTTCATTTTCTTTTCTCACTTCCAATTTTCTATAATCTACCCATTCATTCACTATTCTCGTACACACTCGGTGCCGATTCTCCATCATGGTTTTCAGCCTCAAACTCTGCCTTGTGGGCCTGGCCAGCGCTGCCGCCGTTCAAGCCATTCCCAACACTATGCCGGAGCTCGATGTGATTGCCACTTCCTCCCTGGAGGAGCGAGCCTCTTCTTGCACCTTCTCCGGTGCCAGCGGTGCCGCGGCAGCCATCAAGGCCAAGAATACCTGTTCGACGATTGTTTTGTCGTCAGTGGCTGTTCCCGCTGGAACTACTCTTGATTTGACCGGCCTGAGACAGGGAACCACGGTATGTGCAGTTCGAGTGTGATACGAAAAAGGGCCCTGGGCCGGTTGCTAAGCTGTGCACCTAGGTCATCTTCGAGGGCACCACCACCTTCGGCTACAAGGAATGGACTGGTCCCCTTGTCTCCATATCTGGAACCGACATCACCGTCACTGGTGCTTCTGGCTCCGTGCTCGATGGAGATGGTGCACGCTGGTGGGACACCAAGGGATCCAACGGTGGCAAGAAGAAGCCCAAGTTCTTCGCTGCCCACAACCTGATCAACTCCAAGATTCAGGGTCTCACCATCAAGAACTCGCCCGTGCAGGTCTTCAGCATCAATGGCGCGCAGGCTCTGCATCTCGATAACATCACTGTCGACAATGCCGATGGTGACTCTAAAGGTGGCCACAACACTGATGCCTTTGACGTCGGTTCCAGCACTGGTGTCTACATCACCAACCCCATCGTCCACAACCAGGATGACTGCCTGGCGGTCAACTCTGGCACGGTATGAATTTTTGAACACCAGGGACGTTCCCTAAGTAGAGCACTGACAACGATACCAGGACATCCACTTCACCGGAGCCCAGTGCGTTGGTGGTCACGGTATCTCCATTGGCTCTGTCGGTGGCCGCTCTGACAACATCGTCTCCAAGGTCACTGTTCAGGGATGTACCATCAAGGACTCTGAGAACGGTACGCTTTGGGAACAATACACTTCGATCGTTCCATCACTCGAAAGCTGACTTTGATTGATGACAGGTGTTCGCATCAAGACCGTCTACGGCGCAACCGGTGCGGTCAAGGACGTCACCTACCAGGACATCACCCTGTCCAACATTAGCAAGTATGGCATTGTCGTTGAGCAGGATTACGAGAATGGCAGCCCTACCGGCAAGCCCACTGCTGGCGTTCCCATCACCGGTCTGACCCTGAACAACGTAAAGGGCTCTGTGAGCAGCAAAGCCACCAACATCTACGTTCTCTGTGCTTCGGGCGCTTGTTCCGGTTGGAATTGGAGTGGGGTGAGCGTGACTGGTGGAAAGACCAGCGCCAAGTGTCTCAACGTCCCCGGCAGCGCCAAGTGCTAGATATCATGTCCAGGCCTGGTAGGACTTGTGGATGGGCTCGAGACTTGACGGTCTTAGGGCCTCGTTCCAGGTCGTCATTGCAGCCAAGCCAGCCTCCTTGACGGAGCTGCTTGGCAGGGTTATCTTTCTTTTTCTACCTACGTAATTGTTAATTCAAACTAAGAAAATAAAATAAAAAGCGTGCCTTCTGGTACACATGTCGACGCGATCATATTCGGAGCCCACCATGCAGTCTTTCGGCATTGTTCATCAGGTAATGGAAAGTACCTGACAACGAGCTCAAGACTCCTTAGGATTCCAATCAATGTAACCCAGCTTGTCCCAAACTTCACCTTCCATACATGGAAGGAACAGGCTGGAAGTCGCGGCTACATAAGTGCACCTCGAATAGCTTCCCTCCGTAGTCAGTCAAAATAGAATTCCATCAGAGGTGAACTCGTCTTAAAGAGGGCAGAGAAGTACTGGATCTTCCAATACATCAATAGAAGGAATGCATGAAATGGCTCCAGTCCTCCCATAAACTAACTACCTATGTGCACAGGGCATCTGCTCGGTAAAGTAAGGTTACTTATGAGATTGGCTGTGAAGGTGTTTTGCAATGATTTTCTCGAAGCCTTACCTACCGTACTCCTAGGCACTGAGATACTTATTAATAAATCGGATTCAGGGTATGCGTAACGATGAAGAGTGTTGACTACTGGTAGAGTCACATGCTGTAAAAGAGACAGTACAGATGCATTGGCTCCACTTAAATAAATGTACACGACTGATCATAGCCTCCGTAGAAACGACGAATATGGATAATTTAGTTGTCAGTTGGAGTTGTGTATAGTTTGAAGCCTGCATGAGCAGCAGAAGGGGCGGTGCGGGCGGGGAACTTGGCAATGATCTGCGGAGAGAGGATGGCCGACTAACAATCATCCTGTCGTATCGTCCCTCAGCCCTCCGTGTCAAGCCCCAGATTGGCTTCGTCTATGGTCTTTGCGAGTCAACCCAGCACGTCTTTACTTCCATTCTCCCCCCCCAGGCTGGTCCTGCACTCTCATATATCCTCTCCTTATTCAACGTTTCCTCAAACGAAGCAACTCACCCCCTCCCACCCCCCCCCGTTTACGACTCGAGATCGTCTCCCCGCGCACCGTGTCGAGCTGGCCCAGGCCTCGACCTCGTCGACCTTGAGGCACGACCCTCGCACGCTCTCCAGTGATAGAGTCGGTGTTTGCCTGACTGCCTGCCAGCGTGGGCCCTCTTTCCCTGTGAGAAGCCGCTTGCTGTCTCCAAGGTGAGCGCGAGCATGTCTCTCCTCCACAATGAAGAGTGAGTTTCGAGGGACATCTGTTTACAGCGGTTGCCCCGCCCACTGCCGGACACTAGAAGACTGACCATATACTGCAGCTTCACGATCTGGCAATTACGCTCAACCTATCTCTCCACGATAAAAGATGGGATCGGTGATCGCTTGATCAACGTGAATAATTCCATTTTGAATACCCCGGGATTCCGCGCCGCGGGCTGGTCCACCGCGTCGTCGACGAATCATCTCGTGAAGCGCACGCACTCTCCTCCGATCCCGACCACCGCCGCCGTCTCCTCGGAGTACTATCGCTTGGCAGTACGTGACGCCAATGCTGCGAGAAACGAGCTCCAGGGTCTGGGGCTCGAGGACGGGGACGACGAGGAAGGTGGCTTGGTGACTGGAAAGAACAATGTAGACGTTATCGCGCGACGCCATCCCGGACGAACAGGGAAGAAAAAGAGCAAACGAGAAAGACAACAAGAGCAATCGCGCCCGGCTGAGGTGGACGATGAAGACAGCAGTGACCTCAGTGACGAAAGCGACGATGATGTATCAAGGTAGGTTGTGAAAGATGGATAGAATTGCCCCCGATACGAAGATATGTGGAGAGTGATTTGATTGCTAATGATTTGCAGTGCCGTCGACCAGATCAAGTTCTCTCGAATGCCCGTACGCCGCGATCGCGCCGGCTCTTCGCCCATTCGTTCAGCGGAACGACGCGAACGGCCCGAGGTCATGATCACATCGCCGTCGACACATAGCCTTACGGGCCATTATCGAACGGGGTCCTTGGGGACGACCGTTTCAAACAAAGAGCGAAGACCGCGGCGTGATACAACTACAAGCAGTGATATGTCTACGGATAATGAGGTTGAGGCTCCTGGGTTTAGGCCTCCCCAAGTGCAGTTTTCCAAGACGGATCAGCTGGTAGATCGTCCGCGCAGACGCAGGGAACGTACAGGCAGCCGAGGAGCCGACAGTATCATGCTTGAAGATCTACATGAGCAGACGGAGGACTCGGGTGCGGAATCGGTCGATTCCGCAATGTCATCTGACTTTGATGCCACTGCCGGCTCTGGTTCGCTTCTGTTGACCGGTGTCGGCATGACAGGTCCTCTGAATTCATCGTCTCCCATGGCACTGATGCAAAAGCTTCCCAGCACGACGGGGCCGAGTGCAAGTGCTTCGCCGCGCAAGCCCAAGGCTGCACCCGCCAATTTGCAAGAAGACCTTCCACCGGCACGACCGATCAGTACACTCCAACCCGTCAGCTTGTTGACCTCGCAGCTCAAGTCTCGCAAACGGGCACCAAGTAACCCTGTGGAGAAATTCATGGTCCTCTCTGGGAAAGGGTTGGACGATCCATTGTTCTTGAAGATCTATCTGCCATTCTCGTCGGAGCCAGATGAGCCTATGGATCTGCCGGTCAGTCGCGAATCCAAGCTTAGCCTACATCCGGCCCCAATCACAGTGGCAGAGACGATTGGTCTAGCACTGTGGAAATATGCTGAAGACTCGCGGGAACCGGCCATCACCCGCACCAAGCTGACGGTGAATCGATGGGCACTGCGCATGGTTGACGATGGAGAGGTCGAGTATGATTTCCCTGCTCTGGGACGCAATCTTCCTGTGACAGACTTTACATCAAACAACAACCAGGCTATCAAGGCACGAGGGCGGTCTCGAGGCAAGACATACGATGAATTTGCCTTGGTCGAGGCGTCTAATGCAGAATTTGAGGAGAACGAGCGACTGTTCCCTCAGTACAGCCATGTGGTCGAGGGCGAAGATGGTGACGAAGCTGCAAGTCAGCCCGCAAGTCTGCCTGCTGCGGGAGCTCCTCCGGGCCAAACGGTCATGATGAAACGGATAATGGGTCGCATCAATCCCATATTGGGTCAACCATTCTCGTCTGCTCTCAATGATAGCTCGCTGACCCCGGCGGATCGGCCTGCCGTACCAACGTCGCACGCGACTCCTCGATTGGGCGTTTCTAAGACGCTAAAGATTCGGTTCGTCAATCGTGAAGCCTCCGCCCACGTCATGACCTACAACACATCTTCTGACAGCTATATTGCCGAGATCTTGGATTCGGTGTGTAAGCGGTGGGGTCTTGACAAGGGCAATTATCTGTTGAAGGTGATGGGGTCCAATACGATTGCGCCCTTGGACCGAACTGTGGAAGCCCTCGGAAATATTACCGAGCTGGACCTCGTTCGCCGTCGGTTTGGTGTTGGTCCTCTCGCCACGGGGGGTTCGCCAGGAAGTTCGTCTCCAAATGCTCCTCTTATGGTTGACAGTAGCAACGCGCCATCCGTCAAAAAGGGCAAGAAGACCCCTTTACCATCATCCTCTCAGAAACAAGATCTCATCGGCGGCTACTATCGGCGCTACCACGTTTTTCGCAAGCAATCCATGTCATTCACGGCTTCAAATCACTGCATTCTAACCTTTGACAACGACTACATGCATATCATGTCCGGCGACACGGGCAAGACCGCCTCAAATGCCAAGACGCGCTCGATCAGTTTCAATGAAGTTGTTGGCTCCAAAGTCAGCCATCGACATCCGAAGAGTTTCCGAGTTGTGGTTCTGCGAGGGAACGATGCTACAGAGCAGAAGCGCTATGATTTTGAGGCGCGAAACGCCCTCGAAGCGATTGAGATTGTGGACGAGATTAAGAAGAACATGCAGCAATATCGTACGTAATGTGCTATGCGTTGTATTGAATTCGATCATTGAATTGGCCCCTCGTGGTCTTGTAAAGGTGTAGCGAGGAGTTTCCGACTCGTGAGGTTATCTTATCCTCCTATCTTTAAGAAATGTCTTGTTCCAGTCCATAAGCTGCGTTCTTGGATAGCCGTCATACTCAATTACAATACCCTTTCAAGTCTGACCTGTGCATCATCTGAATGGACGTTCAATCACTCATGGCATGCTACCCTTAGAGCTTCGATTCCCCGATACGATATCACCTGCGAATCTCATACTAGTAGCGTCAACCTAGCCTTGAAATATACCCGCAGTATGCGACTGCCCAGTTCAACCCACCTTTTAGCCTGTCAGATAAGATTATCGATTAAGGTAGACCGCCGATAAGCGTAACCTTCCTTCTCCGACTAGCAACGGCAAGGTACCAAAGGTTATCGATAAGTAATCGATAAGTGTACCGAGGCTCCGTCAGCCCAAGCCATCGCCCCCAATCTAAGGAAGATAGACCGAGTACATTTTCAAGAGTCCATGTCTCCATTACCGGGTCCATCCTTTTTCACAGCGTGATCTCGACCTTGAAAGTCTGCTTGGTTTCTCTTGTTCCGAAACTAGAAGCTTTTGCTTAACACCCCTTATTGGAGCCGAATTGCATGTTCCCCACTCCAAATGAGCCAAGAATTCACGAGGCAATGAGTTCTCGCACAACAAACGGCGACGAGAACCCCTCCGGGCCTATTCCCTCAGACGAATATTCACACTTCAAGAGGAGTCATGGCCGATTCAGATTCAAGTCAAGCTCGTCGCGGGGCTTGAAGCGCCGCGATAAATCCGAAGAAGACGATCCTTTCCACACTTCTTCGGGTCATTCAAAACGTCATCGTACAAGATCAATGTCGCGCACTAGTGCGCGTTCTACTTCCTCGATGAAGGGGGCTTCTTCGACATTCGGCTTTGAACAAGAGAAAACTACGAGCACAACTGCGGATATCTCTGCGACTGCCGAGAACAATGGCGGTACGAGAGGACCAACATCCGACACATCACATACCGATGAGAAACCTCCAGAGCGAGACTCACCCTCTTATTCTCGTTCACCCGAACGTCACCATAAACACCGCCATCGACACAGTCACAGTCATCGAGATCGAGACCGAGACCGAGACCGAGTCCGAGACGACCGGCATCGCTCTCGAAGATCCAAACACAAATCATCCCCCGGGGACTCCCACCGAAAGCATACCAATGAACCCTTCCCCCAACGAGGGGCCCCGCTCTCCCCCAACGCCGCCTTCCGCGAATCCCTCTTCGACGCACTCGGCGACGACGAAGGTGCCGCATACTGGGAGACCGTCTACGGACAGCCAATCCACAACTACCCGATCCCCGAGATCCCGCGGGGTCCGGATGGAGAACTCGAACAAATGACCGATGAAGAGTACGCGGCGTATGTGCGGTCTCGAATGTGGGAGCGCACGCGGGAAGGAATGTTGGAAGAGCAGGAAAGGCTGCGAGAAGAGCGTCGGAGGGCGAAACACAGGGATCGTGGGGGTGACAAGGCGCGGGAACGAGATGCGTTCGAAAGGGCGATGGAGGAAAGTCTTCGACGGGGTGCGGAGAGGAAACGGAGGAAGAATTGGGAGGCTGTTTGGAAGGATTACGTGGCTCGATGGGAGGAGATTGCGAAAGTGGTTGAGAAAACAGCAGCGACAGCAGCAGCATCAGCATCAGCATCAGCATCGACTGATCCAACAGAATCAATAACAGAACAGCCGTCAAAAGACGTGCAACCCCCTCGACTACAAGATCTACTCTTCTGGCCCGTTGAGAGCGGCAAACGGCGTGACGTGAATCCAGACTCGGTTCGAGATTTTCTCCGCCACGCGCCCTCGGGAGATCTCCTGTCTTCATTGAAAGCAGAGCGAGTACGATGGCATCCCGATAAGATCCAGCATCGGTATAGTGTACTTGGACTGGACGACGACGTGATGAAGAGCGTCACCGAGGTGTTTCAAATCGTTGATCGAATGTGGAGCGAACAAAGAGGGCCAGCGTGAATGGAACTCCTTGTAAGGCGAAGCATCAAGTCGTTCATACACCTTGGCTTTTCATCTCTTCTTTGATCACCGCCTATACGAGCAAGAGGTTCGGATCAACAAGATCGTCCTCGGAACTGCAAGATCACACCACGTTTGACGCATCAACCGCATCCGTGTTTGGCTCTTTCCCCGTGTGGCATTTTGAAAAAAATAAAAATTAGAATAGTGTCCTTATTTATATAGATATGATACCCCCTTGACGTTTGACAGACTGAGATCGATCCTCAAATTTTCAATCTGCTCCTCGGCAGAAGAATAAATTGGCACCTCTGCTTGAATTTCATGTCGAGTCGCACTCGTAAATCGGACTCGACGCACCTGAAAAAGCAGCATTACTGTAGAAGAGGCTACAACCGAAAGCTGATACAAAGACATTTACACATAGTAATAGATCGAGTAATCATCGCTGAAATTCATTTCGAAAGAAAGACGGACAAGTCGTCGTCATAAATGTATAACAATCATGAGATAGAAAGACATTCAAAGGCTATGCAAGACTACTCGTTTGACTGGGCTGACCGTTGACAGTAGAGGGCGAGAGCGAGGACGAGGGCGAGGGCAAGGGCGGAGTGAATCACAAACAAGGGACAAGATTGGAGTGCCAGGGGCTGAAGAGGCTGGGAGAGCTGGAAAATAACAATTGATCACACATCGAGGCTAAGCCCATCATTCGACTTTTCCATCAAGTTCTACTTCTTTTTTTCAGGGATTCGTGGTGATTCACATAGACCATAGTCTTGAGGAGACGGGGTTTTAGCAAGCTTCCACGAACACGAATTTCAAATTGCGAGACGATTCAAGTAAGCACGCGAATGAACGTGCTCATCTAGAACCGTGAAGCGCGGACCTTGGTGCGATAGAATGTCCAGCCAAAGTACCCACCCACGCACACTCCGATGAAGAGGATGAACTTGACGAAGAACCATGACCAGCTGCCGGAATCGTGAGGAGTCGGGTAGCTGTTACCGCCAGAATTGCGGGACTTGGGGTCGGCCTTGCTGCCTCCAGGAGTGTGACGGTTGAGGGCATACAGATTCTCCGATTTGACGGAAATAATGTCGTGGTTGTCACTGAGCTCACCGGTCTCGGCAGAAAGACCGAGATAGGCGACAGAGGGAATGGCAATCTTGGTCTGCTCGGCGTTCAGATTGAAGCAATTGGTCCAGGTATCCTCCGTCTTGTACTGCAGGTCCAAAGACAAAGACTTGTCCTGGAAGTAAGTCAGGCGCAGCTTGGTGGGGACAGGTGCGTTGCGGAGGCCTCGAGCGGAACAACCAGCCAACTCATTGGCCTTGCCATCGTGCGCCTGATCATAGGTGGTCTCGCCGTCGCCCATCATGGCCATGACATACGGGAAGGAGACGCCGGGACGGTTGTTCTTGTACGTATCGATGAAGATCCCGAGACCCTCGAAGCGATCCGTTGAACCAAAGACCGGGCCTTGCGTGGCACGCTGCTTGGTCAGCCACAGTGCAAGGCCATCGCCATGGAGATTTCCATTGCCGTGAATTTCAAATTCCACTTCAATCTGGAGAGGACGAGATTGATTAGCTTGTGCCCTCAACTTTCGCATTTCTAATGCCAGCCTCTGAAGACGCAGCGGCCTGAATTGTGCTTTCTCTTCAGATCGTACCTCCCAATTGGTTGCCGTCAGGGGCACTCGAGAAAAGACCCAACCTTGCTGAGAGGGGCGGTCCGCGGTTAAGCGAACGTACCTAAATAGAGAAGAGACCGTTGATCAGGATCATATGTTTACAAGAACCTCGGTAATCGCCGATGGGAGTCAAATTCGTACTTATCGGCTCGAATAACAGTGTCTCCTCCGAAGTCGAACCAGCGGCTTTGGAAATCCGAGTCAAGGTAGGGCTATCCAGACAGTCAACAAACAGATCAAGCTTCCCCGCACTTTTCAAAACTGAAGCTTCGCGGAACGTCTGCGTCGGCGAGCTTCAAGAAGTGCGAATGGAGAAATTCATACCGGCGTGAGACTATGAGTTCGGAGCTAAAAGAAGGCACGCCAATGATTAGATTTGGCTTGGAAAATGATGTATACGCGCTAGAGGCTATAGGTGTATGTATGCGAGGGTACGTGGTGTTTTGACTTACCGGGATAGCTTTAATGTCGGGGTTGCTGCCACTGTAGGCATTGACAGGCACCGCAGACAGACCGGCCAGACACAGCAAAGATGAGATAATTGGGATATGCATATCGTGAAAAGTCGAGCCCAAGTCCGAGACAGCGCAACGAGAGAACAAGGGTTCAGCGTGGAGGGGCGGGGAAAGGCGGAGGAAAGTAACCAAGTGAATAGGCGAAAGAAGCTCGGTGTCGCCAGGACCCGGTGAGAAGTAAGGGTCGAAGAGGATTTGAAGAATCTCCCAGAGAGGTGGAGAAGGTTAGAGATGTGAACAGCGTGGAAAGAAGAGAGCGGCAGCCAAAACAGACACGGGAGGAATGAAAGAGGTGAGGAGCAACGGGCTTGAGGAATTGAGAGTATCAAATCAGAGGAAGAGAAAGAGAGGATGATGTCGTTTCGACAAGACGAGGGTCAGTAGTAGGTGACTAACTACTAGTGGTAGTGTCCTGGCAGTTGACTAAGGAAAGTCGTGTGTCTGGAGTTGGAAGTAAGTAGAGCATGTGTACACTTCGGCGATGCGCTGCCGGCCCTCAATTGTAAGGTGTCCACTTTGTCCACGGGAGCACGCGCCACAGATGCACCAGCCACGAGAAGGTCGGAGAGCGAGCACATGCACCAGCCACAGCTCTTCCTCCGCGGTCGGATTTCCGCCCAGCTCCGTTTCGTCCATCTGCAACTTCAAAAGGTATTCTATCATCATACACCACGACCTGCCATATACTTCGGTCTCCATACACCCTTCTTTCCACGCCTTTTTCCTCACGTCTATCTCATCACACCACCACTTACAATGTCTTTCCTTGGCGGCGGCTCTTCCTCCTCCAAGTCCAATGAGGACATCAAGACGGCTTTGCTGCAGCAAGTCCAACAAGAGCAGGCGATGAACAACGCCCGCGCTCTCATCGGCGTACGTCACTTTGTTCTTTTTCTTTCCTTCCTCTTGTATCGCGCGGTCCTCACCACCACAAATATGGCGAATGCTTCGAAGGGCACACGATTCGCTCAAGTTGGCTCATACAGGCTTTTTGGCACTTGACTGACCTGACGAATTGGCCTTGTTAGAAAATCAACGAGAACTGCTTCGACGCCTGTGTGCCTGCCCCCGGCGCCTCGCTTTCTGCTAAGGAGAACGCCTGCATGTCCAGCTGCATGCAAAAGTACATCAACATGTGGAACACAGTCAGCCGCAGCTACATGCACCGTATGAACGAGGAGAGGAAGAAGATGGGTGGTGACATTGCTGGCCTGTCTATGTAAGAGGCGCAGGGCAGAGTCGTGCTGGCGAGGTCTTTTGTCCACTGTTTCTTCTTCTTCTTTTTTCATCGTTCTCGAGTCCACCTGGGTGCCAGGCCTGGAATCGCATCGGAAATCGGCCATCACATGTGCCAATGACGCAGGTTGGCGGGAGATGAAAGTGACAAATGCTGCTGTCACGAAATATTATGTACGATTAGCACAGGTGCAATGCTCATGTATACCATACTACAATGAGCTGCGGAATCCGGGTCCAGCTCGGCAAACAAAGACGGCGCAGGACCCCGTGTATACTCAAAGAAAATGATCACCACCACAATTTCGACCTCTCGAGTCAGCTCAACTATATTCCAAGCCCGTCAACCGATCATCCGTAGTCTCCCGGGACGTTCAATGGTCCATAATACTGAAGCTCCGCGAGTCAAATCTCAGCTTCAACCCACAATCTAGGGAGACGTGCTACACTGTACTCCTGAAGAAATGGCTACGAAAAAGAGCTCGGCCGGCTGGCATTCAATTCAGTTACGGGGATTTACGGAGGGGTTCTCCGTCCCTGTTTTGCTTTATATTTTGAGGAAACAGTAATACATCGTTGCAGTTCTTGTGGGACGCCCTCTTGGCATCTCCCAGCGCAAAGTTCAGACATTGCACTCATCGCACGAGCGATTTTCGTCTCGTCGTAAATTATACAAGGTCGCTCTAGAAATCGGGGAACAGATGGCCGTATCTGAAAGGGGGAAGTTAGCACAATGCCACAGCTGAAGGAAAAGGGAAACATACGGGTCTTCTCCGGTCGCGCCATAGTGTTCTGTCTCTTCGGGATACTTGTCGTACTGGCTGGCATCACCCTGTCCACCCCGAATTGGGGGAATATAGGGCGCATCGATATCCTTCCGCGCCAGTCGATCCCAAGTGACTTCGGCGAACCACGGGTGGTTCTTGACATCTGCGGGACCTCCGTGCAAGTTGCCCAACCGCTTGGTTAGATCCGCTGTGATCAGCTGGGACAAGAGGTCCACTGCGTCGTCATGCAAGTACGGCGGGTACTTGACCTTTCCCCGAAGAATATTCTCGTAAATCTTGACGGGAGATCCGCTATCCCAGAAGGGCGTGAAACCGCAGAGCATCTCGAAGATGAGGATGCCCAATGACCACCTAGGGAAATGTCAGTGAATTCTCACGGAAAGGATAAAGAAAGAAAAGAGAAAGAGAGAGCGAGAGAGAAAGAAAAGCCAAAAGAGAACAGAATGGCAAAGTATGCTCAGGGCTCGAAAGACGCCAAATGAGCAGGGGTTATCGTACCAGTCGACCGACTTGTTATAACCCTTAGAAGAGACAACCTCGGGAGCCAGATAGTCGGGTGTTCCGCACAATGTCCATGTAATATCGGGCACCTCTTTGGCGAAACCGAAATCGGTGATCTTTAAGTGACCATGGCGGTCAAGCAGAAGATTCTCTGGTTTGAGATCACGGTAGATGATTTGGTGAGCGTGCAGGTACTCCAGAGCCAATGTCACCTCTGCGGCGTAGAATTTGGCGACGGGGTTGGGGAATCGCTATGAGCCGAAAACGAAATTCGAGGAAATGAGTAAGTAGGGTGTCCGAGCAGGGTAGATAACGCTTCGATTTCAGTGGACGCGCGTCATGTGACAGCCAAAGGAGACGAGAGTGAGCATGGCTGCTCTCTCATTCACCTCTCATATGGATCCTCCAACATACCTGTGATTTACGGAGCAAGCTGAAAAGCTCACCACCTTCGACAAAGTCCATCACCATGTACAAGTTCCGCGAGTCCTGCCAGGTCCCCCACAGGGTCACGAGGAATGGATGCCGTACACGATTCAGCATGCGACGCTCGTCATTGGTGTGCTCGATCTGCTTCATTTTAACGACCTGGGCCTTTTTGAGCACCTTCATGGCGTAGAAGCGATGATTATGTTTCGACTGCACCAGATGCACTCGTCCAAAGCTACCGGTGCCGAGGGTGCGCTGCAGCAGGAAATCCTCCTGCGAGTACTTGCCCTTGGTAGTCCGTTCAGGTCTCTGCTGACCTGCTTGGGACTGCTGCTGCTGCTGAGACTGCGAATGCGAATGCGACTGTGGCTGCGGCTGCGGCTGCGATTGGGCCTGCGCATGCGCTTGGGACGGATGCTGAGGCTGGCCTTGACTCAGAGTTGAGCCCTGCATTTGACTGGCATTGTGGGCCTGGGAGCCAACTTCCGAGGGATTGTTGATGATATTGTTAATGCTGGCGGCATTGGTGGAATGGTGGGGGGACGCCTGTGCGCTCCCGGCGGGCTGCATGGAGGCGCCTTCGGAAGAGTCGTGAGATGGATGGTCCGGGTGAGAGTTGTTGTTTGATTGCGCGTCCGTCGCAGCAGCCGGGATTTCGGACGCGAGGGTTTGGGAATCCTTCGTTCGCCGCTTCTTCAAAAGACCTCCTAAACTCGGCATGGAGGATACGACGAAGACGAGAAGGCAACGGCCATAGACAGTTGGGCGAGGGGGGGGGGAGAGATAGAGAGATAGAGAGAGTGTGGGGGGGGAGGGAGACGGAGAGAAAGAGAGAGAGAGAATGAGGATGAGGGGGAGGACGAAAGCGGACGGGGGAGGAGAAGGCAGAGAGGGAATCGGAGGAGACGGAGGAGGAGGAGGAGGAGGAGGAGGAGGAGGAGGAAGAGGCGATGAGGGCGTGAGGAAGCTTCAGGAAATTGGGAGTTGGAGGGGGCCGGGAGGGGGTGGTCACTCAGTGGATAAGTGTGGATAGAACCCGTGGATAACTGGATTTGGGCGGATTTGGCAAGTCTGGGACACGACCGGGGGATGACTGCAATGACTTGCAATGACACGTTGGGCCGGAGAGAGCCACCCGAGGGTTTGAGGACGTCGGTCTTGGGGGTGTTGAAAGAGGATGGGATGGTCTGTATCTATCTGGTCCTGAATCGATGGGGTCGACGGGTTTGACTTCTTGGGTGGAGGGAGGTGGGGGGGGGGGATGAAAGACTTGAGGGAACTATGGGAATTAGAGAGATTTAAGATTTGGATTTGGCTTGAAGAGTAATTGATTGTGCAGACTCAAACGCAATGGGACTGGGGAATGGATGGGGGAGGGGAGAGGGACGAGAGTTGAAGTGGACGGAGAGGATCGAAGGGAATCGTGAGGTGAGGGATGGAAGCAGAGACGAGGTCGGAGAGGAGGGGGCGGATGAGATGACGCATTGGATTTACAGTAAGGTTGCTGTTAGACCTGACTACCTTAGTCAGGCAAGTAGTCCGTACTACTAAGTACGGTACAACTGTACTTTAGACTTCACTACGACTCCAGACTAGAGAGTACCGACCTCCTTGGGATGGTTCTCGTGCCGGCGACGTTGAGCAGAGAGGCGGGATACGGGGTACTACAATTACTATGGACAAGACGTGGGGCACGGAGGTACTGGTAGTGAAGTGATCAATGTACTCGGAAGTTGCTGAATACTAACAGTACATGTATCACTCCTGGAGCGGTACCTCCGAACCTCGTCGGCGCATAGTTGTCAAGGAGTCAGGAAGTCCTGGAGTATATAGATATCTCAATATACTGGTAGAGCAAAAGAGTTGGTAGTCTCAAATCTAAGGGGCAATCGAACCCCCGAGACGAGCAATCCGAGCATCCCACATCCTCGATCTGCGTGGCTGGAAGGGTCCCTGATTGTCGATCGAAGAATCTTACATGTGAAACGAAACACCTCCCAAAAAAGCGACAAAAAGGGCGGGCTCATCGCCAGGATCACATTGCACGGGCTGCAACGGGCATTGATCGCGATCGAGGTGCCGTCAACCGGGAGAACAAGTAGTAGATAGTAAGTTAAGGTAGTTACTAGTTTTACTAATATCCTACTACTGTAGTTAACTAGCAAGTACCAACTTTCCACCAGTCTATCACTGCTGTGGTCGTGTAGATTCGAATAGACTCAATTAAGAGTATGCTGTTGAGGGTCGACACATTGACCGAATACTCAGTGCATAGATTACCTACTTACTTGACTCATATACTGTAGCACTAGCAACAGTGTCTGTTAGTCCGGTGCTACGGTCTCCAGTACAATCAGTACAAACTACCAACGAACGTACCCAGTGCAGTAGTACATAGGTAGTAGGTAGTGCGACTGGTGACTCGTGAGTAAGAGAGTAGTCGTACCTGATTACCCGTTGTCCATCGCCAAGTCAATGAACTTTGGATTCCCCGTATCAATCATCCGTCCAGCTGAGCGGTCCTCCGAGATCGTCATCATGGAATCATCAAGTCGACTCTCATCATCTCATCATCTCTTCCGGCGTGCCAATTCCTACAGCAACAGCCTCCCGCGGTCCCAGCACCGATGCCCACTTGGACGGCGGAAGCTTACCACAGACCCGCGAGAGCTCGAGTCTCGAGCTCGGGACATTCTAGAGCCAATGGACAGTGGACAGCCATCTCGTGCTGTGCATGGTCATCCTGCCCATGCAGTGGTATGCACTGATGCAGACATTCAGAGTTGGACACGAAGGATTGCGAGTACAGTAATGATTGAGCAGGGAGGACATCCGTACCAGTTGAACGACCCACCAAGGTTGAAAGGATGCAAAGGGAGCTCCGGTGCAGCCCAGCCCCCGGCTCCACTCGGCGACACTGGAGAAACCGGATGACGCCGATGACGTTACAAGACGGACTCGAACTGTGGACCCTCCAAAGATGCTTTTTGATCCACGTGATCCGACCCCGCTTCGGGAGGTCAGTACTGCTGACCGTGCAAGGTGCAGTTGCCTTAGTCGAGACTCGAGACTACGGGACTCGGGGTCTTGACAGAGTTACTAACTACGAACTAGTTAACTAACTAGTTAGTAGTAACTACTCAATATTAGTTCACTACTCACTTCACCAAGTCATGATGATGACGACGACGAGGATGAGGATGATGATGATGGTGATGTTGACGATTCAAAGCTTCTATTGCAGCCCAAACCACAGACACGCAAAGAGATGGACAGCAACAATGGTCGAGAGGAAGAGAAAAAGAAGTTCTATACTTCGACGCTCAACAAGACATGACATGGATGGGAGAATCAAATCAAAATCAACATCCTTCCTCCTTTGGGTATGCCAGGAGGAGCTGTCAACGTGCTGATGACGTTTGCCAGTCCAAGTCTATATGAATCCTGCGTGATGGATTTGTCTTTTCGGGACTCAGTACTATTAGGGAGAATCATTGCAATGAACTTGGGGAACTACTGCTTCCCCTAGGGTCTCCCAAGCCAATTCACAATGTAGCGGAGTCTGGAGATAGGTTTGGGTGCCCTGGATATGAGGCATTTATCATCTACAACACTAGTACCACTACTAGTATGAGTGAGTTGTATTGACCGAGTAGTGTAGTACTTAGTGAGTACTGAGTACCACTCAGTAAGAGTACATCAGTCACTCAATCGGTGGGATCATTCTAGGGGGCTGCACGGCTGCAGTCAGTAGTTCGTGGAGCGCATCTTGCAGTTAGACCCTACTTGTCCCACCGACAGCAGTAGTCACCTTCAACGTTGCTATGATGGCCGGGGCATCGCTGGGCGGGCTATCCAATACTCCATCATCATGAGTGCCAGGTTGCTCAGGCTCCCCAAGTTCTAATGGGAGTTTTCTGAATGCCTGATAAACAAGGCGTGTAAGCACATGGTCCAAGGCTGTTCATCCTTAGTTCCCGTTAGTTAATCAAAGTTCCCGTCCCCACTGATAAGTGGGCAGTGGGACGTCGGACGCTGTTCAGGTGGACAAGGTGATCCCGTGATAACAGACCCTTTTCTTACTCAATCTACCAACTTTTTCTGCAGAACATACAATCCCCACTTATCCACACTCTCCTCCCAATGGCTCTCGTGGCCTACTCAGATTCAGAAACCTCCGATGTCGAGTTAGACACCACTCCCGCCGCGCCGGCCGAAAAGCCCAAGAAGCTTGATTCGGTACCCGACTTTCACGTCGACCGCGGCAACCCGCGCAGGATCCGCGTGGCTCTGCCAGATCTCAAACCCGATCCCGTCGCTGGCGGCGATGGCGAGGACGGCCCTGCACGGAAAAGGACCAAGCTAGGAGGTGGTGCGAGTGGAGGGGGAGGAGCGGGCGCGTTCTCAGGCTTCAATTCATTCCTACCTCCGCCGAAGCGTCTGGCGGAGAAGAAGGCCCCGGCCACGTCGACGCGCAAAATATTCAGTTTGAAAACGGGAGCGGAGCCGGGCTTTGACCGTAGCGCCGACGCAGAGATGAGAAACACCTTTGCACAGGAGGCCAGCTCATCAAGCCGAGCGGGCGGTGGCGCAACGACGACGAGCGTTGATCCACCGTCTCATATGGCCCCGGAGCCGCAACCTCTGATCACAGAAGCCGGCGAGGTCAAGCTGCAGGGGAACCCGATGATGTTCCGACCATTATCGGTTGCACGCAACCAAAAGAAAAAGAAACCTTCCACGGCCGCCAGCCTTTCGTCGTCAACAGCTTCATCATCGTCGTCATTAGCAAGAACCACTACAACAACAACAACAACGACGACGACAGGAACACCAGCAGCTCCTAAAATCTCCAAGTCGGCAGTTCAAACAACGGCCGACGAATCTGCGACAGTGGCGCCGACGCCTGCACCTCCAAAACCCAAAGTCAGTCTTTTCTCACTTCCCTCATCAGAAGACAGAGCCACCACAGAAGCCACACCCTCGACCTCGACAACGGCAGGTCACTATGAACCCCTAGTATACAACACCACAGCCGAAGACGAGATCTCAGCAACATCACCACCGGAAGAGCCCCTACTCGCTCTGGACACAATGCCCACAGAGCCGTCGTATTACCCCAGCAACGCCTCCGTCTCCTCATCACTCGACACCATCGCCAACGACCTCAATCTATCCAAGGCGGAGCGCCGACAACTATTCGGCCGAAATGCGCCATCGGCAGACTCTCGCATTCTCACCTTCAATACGGACAAGGAGTACGCGTCCAACCAGGCGATCAGCGAGGCAGAGATGGCTGCCACCCAACACAACCCGGTGCGTGCTATCGCACCAGGCAAGCACACTTTACAGCAACTGGTCAATGCGGCCAGCAGTCAGAAGGATGCGCTCGAGGAGAGTTTTGCTACAGGAAGGAGAAACAAGAAAGAAGCAGGGTCCAAGTATGGTTGGTAATGTGGGCATGGTATTGGCTCTTGATTTAACCTTTCAAGTCGCTGGAAAATAAAATGTGCATCAGTGGTGTTGGTTCGCGGAGGGATCCTCGGTACTGTAAATTAGTCTTGCAACACACTTGAATGAGTTCACAACTACAACGGGTACAAATTGCCGCATAGCATCCGGCTACAGATGGATAACAGTAGTGATCAAGTAACAACGTTCGTCATAGGTTCTAAATGTACAATATTGACTTCATGTACAAAGTATAAAGTTGAAAAAGGAAATCAAAGCACGCACGCCTTCCGGATACACAAGAACGCCAAAATACATGATATAACAGAAAACCCGCAACTTTTGTGTCGCATCACCCTTTTCTTATCTTTTCATCATCGTCATGAAGACACGTCCACGACCTCCGCAAACCACTGCTTGAGCGCCGTTGCTAGAACAGACGGTAGTTCACGAACATCCCGAACAACCAAGTAATAAGGGAAGGGGAAGTTCTCAAGGTATCGTTTCATCCGCAACTTCATCTCACCACCGGAGAGGGGATCAGCCTCAAAGCTTGCCTGCGAGAGGTCGAGAATCGAGCTGCCCTTGACCGCATCCACGATGATGAAGACAATCATGATCCGCTCCTCAAGAGCCTGTCGCACCAACCGACGGATCGTATCATGGTCCTCGCAGATACCGTCTGAAATGATGAGCTGGAGCTGCCAGAGATCAGCTGAGCCAGAGCCCGGTGATCGCTTCCATCGGGCCTCGCGGAAGAGAGCGATGGAGTCGGCGATAAGTTTCCGCACATTGGTTCCAGTTTGCTGGTAGCTGAAGTGTTGGAAGACTTGCGACCCGGCCTCGGACGAGAATGGCTTGCCAAACTCGTGGGCGACACGAACGTGGTCTTCATTACCGAAGCCGAGCACGCAGAGATCGCCGACTTCCAACATGGATAGACTCTTTGCGACGAGTGCCAGCGTCTCAAAGGCAAGCTGACCGGACCCACTTTCGAGCATGGACTTGCTGTCATCGACAGCGAGCATGATTTGATAGTTGCGCTTGGAAGGAATTGATCGTCGCATCCAGATCTTGTCGCGTTTGTACTGAGAAGCGATGTACGGGATAATGCGCTTGATGTTGAGACGCTTACCGGTACGGAAGTCGCCACGGAGCTTGGTGGCCATAGTTGGGGCTAGAATGAGACGCAGTTGTTCGGTGAGAGACAAGGAGAGATCGTTGGTGGCATTCTCATAGTGAGACCAGAGACGACGAGCTTCGGACTCTGGAGTGAGAGGCGGAAGGGAGGACGAGAGATGAATCGCCGCAAGTTGCGAGTCGACTTCATCCAATTCCTCATTGACATCCTCGGTGCCGGGGGCCCCATCAGCGAGATTTCCCGATGGACGGTCCCCGGGAATGAAAGCCCCGGCAGTCTCGCCATTCGTTGGTTCGGCTGCACGATCAACTTGCATGCTGTCCTGCAGTTGATTTTCCAGAGTTTGCTGCTGTTCGTCCGTAACGTCTGGAAGCGCGTCCCGATCTCCAGGCTGATTGTCAGATTCGACACCCTTGTTCTGATCGAGACCTTGCGCCTGATCCTCATTTGCTTGACCAAGGGCCTGTGTGTCGGCGACGTCGTCATCGTCCTTAAGATGCTCAAAGTCCGCATCAGCCATGTCGGTGTCCTGAGGCAGAGGCTGAGAGTCCTCTTCATCCTGTGACGGGGTCAGGACTTCCTTCTGTCGTCGGTGCCACTGCTCAAGAATATCGCCGAGCTTCTTAAAGGCTTGCATCTGAGGCTCATTGGGTGCTGAGTCCTCGGCACCGCCGGCATCTCGACTGCGTTTGCTCTCTTCGCTCTCCTTGGCAGCGCCTGTCTGTTGCTCAGCATTAGCGGTTGGGTCGCTTGAACCACTTTCCTGCTGCGCGTCGCCTGAGGCTCCCTTGTCTTCGTTCTGATCCTGATCAGCGGCGAGGCCGCCATTGACAGCGTCGCTTGGCGCCACATCGTCTCCAGCCGCTTCATTCTCATCCCGCTGGGTGAGGAATTCTTCCTGCTCAGCCTCTTCGCCTCCGGCTTCATTCTCTTCTTCTTGGCCCTCGCCTTCGTTTGTCTCCTCGCCTTCTTCACCTTCTCCGTTCTCTTCGTCGGCACCTTCTGCTTGTTCATCGAGGTTCGTCTCCATATCGTCATCCCCATCTGCATCACCTTGCTGGTCTTCTTTCTGATCTTCTTCAGGAAGAGGGCCCATGTCCGAAAGGTCGTCCATGCCATCATCGTCCTCTCCTTCTTCACCTTCGCCCACATCATCGCCATCCAGCTGCATCTCATCGGGGAGTTCCAAAGTTTCTTCTTCCTTGGCATTGGGATCGGTGACATCCATGTCTTCACGACCGATAGCTTCTCCCTCGTCATCGGGGGCTTCTTCGTCTTCTTCCTCTTCGTCATCCTCTCCCTCTCCCTCTTCACCCTTGGGGCCTTCTTCGCCGTCTTTCTTTTGCTCTTGGGCGGCAGTCTGCTGATCGTCTTCGGCCTGGCCCTTTCCTTCCTCATTCTCCGTTTCCTTCTGCTGTTCATCATTGGTGCCGTCCCAGAGCTTCTCATCCACAGCTCCAGAATCAAGACCATCAACACTACCAACTTCTTCATCAATATCATCCTCCTGATCCTCGCCATCCTCGTCTTTGTCTTCGTCCTCGCCTTCCTCCTCCTTGTGATCACCAGTCTCTCCTTCGAGCTCTTCCTGATCCATGTTGACAGCCTCAGCAGAGTCCTGCATCTCGTCTTTCTCAGCGTCCTCCTTCTGGGCTTGTTGTGCGAGTTCTGAAAGGTCTTCATCGTCGCCGACATCCTTGCTAATGTCCTCTGCGCCTTCACCCTCGCCAAGACCTGTGCCGCTCTCCATTTTGCCCTCTTTACCTTCGTCTTGGGACGCCTCGGCGGGACTGCAGAACCCTTCTGACGCGACCTGTGTGAAAGTCTTGGTCAAAATGTAGGATGTCTTGCAGATCTCCCGATGGACCGAAGTGAAGCGAACGACGAGGTTTTGGCAAATTTCGTAGAATTTAGTGGCAATGGGCAGAATGCTGGCCACAAGAGCCGCTGCCAACGGAAGAGCATCTGAGGATGCATCTTGCACATTCTGCAGACGGTCCAGAACACCAGCCAGAGAGGTGGTGATCTCCTTCAGATGGAGTGCGCGGGATGCGCGTGAGAAGAATTCATCACTCCGAGACATCAGACCATCGAAAGCGATTCCGGTGGGAACGCTCGCGAGTTTCTGCAGACCCACCAACATCTTGTCGACAGCGGCCATGAGAGCTTCGTCAAAGCGTACAACTGACAGGCTCCCACCTTCATTCACGCCAGCAGTAGGAATATGCTCGTTCTTGACCCAAGGATAGATCTGCTCCAAAGCAAAGGAGAGGTCAGGACGCTCAGAGATCCATGTTTTCACGTCATGCTCGAGCTGAGCCAGCAAGTTTCTTGCACGTGACACGAGTTCCTTCTGGTCGGAGGAAGCTATGCCCACCGGAAGGGCAGGCTGGGACTTCAGAGCAAGGCAAAGATCGTCAAGGGCGGTTCTTCTGGACTTAAGTTCCTGGGAGAGCGATGCCACGGAGGCACCCGAGAACCGTGAATGCACCTCCACCACCCTCAGTGCTAAGGCAAGGATCGGGCTTAGCCAGGAAATAAGTCGTGTCAGGCCCTGAACTTCATCGTCGCCACAGTCACCATCTTTAACAAGCTTGGAAGAGTCAACGGTCCAGAGATTACTAGCTCTGTCTAGGGTTGAGCGCATCTCACCCAATTCTGAGAGGGCCGGAGAAAGCACGCCCCTCTGACGACGAATGATGAACAGCAAGTATTCAACGGAACCCATGCTGCGAGACACCTCGACGTTGCTGAGCTCCTCGGAATAGTTTCGCGAGGCCAAACGAGCGCGAGGCAAGAGATCCAGTAACCTATGGAAATAGGAGTCGGCACTGCGAACTAATCCCTGGCCCGCGAGGGCATTGTCGAGGTCGAAAGCAGCGCTTGTGGAAAGGATCTGCGACAAAGAGGCCTGGGCTTCGATCAAACTAGTACCAGCATTACGCTTGACGCCCATTTCGAAGAGACGCTTGAGGGTATCCGCGAAGAGACGGCGTTTCTGCACCTTGAGGTGTTGTACATCGTCCTTGTTGTCCTCTGTCAAAGTCTTGGGCGTTGCAGATTTGAACTCATTGACATTCTCGATTATGGAAGTTGTGAATTCCTCGAGATCTTTGGCGATATCGAACTCCGCGGGAATAGACGAATAGAGATTCATCATATTACGTGCTGTGCCATCCGGGTTCTGGAACCGTAGAGCCCGAGATGACCACAGCTCCGAACGTGATTGACAGACAGACACAACATCGGTGAGAGTTACATGTGTAAGGGCTGGCTGAGTTGGGATCGACTCGCCCACTGCGCCGCTAAAGTCTTGCAAGCCCTGCTCAAGTACCGCCTGGATGGGCTGAGCAAGAGCCTCGCGGTACTTGCGAACAAGCTTGAAGAGCTTGACATGCGATCTTCGGGCACTTTCCTTCAAAGCCACAATATTCGTATCTTTCCAGCTAGCCAGTTGAATTTGCTCCTTGATATCCTTCTCCAGGATTGCTCGTTTGTCGTGAAGAAGCTTGTCAACCAAAGGCTCGAATGGCCGGAAATGGGAAATGAAGTTAGCCAAAGCGTTGACCAGGGGTGTCAGACAGTCATAGTCACGCGTAAACGCAACCAAGAGGGCCTGGAAGTCTGACACAAGCTGGAGACGGCGGGAGAACTGGCCGAGGGACGTAGACTGGAAGAACTGCTCCAGAGTATATATAACACCTTGGATGTGTGCGCTCATGTCCTCCTCGCCATTCTCAGCCATTTGGAGCGGCACTGCGAGAAGTGCTTCATAGGCGATGAACCACCATGAGCTTACATTTTCATCGCAGCGTTCCTTTTCAAGATCGAGTAATTTAGCCCAAGTGGTCAACTCGAGCCGTCGCCAGCCCACGGTCGTAGCCGTGATCTCATCGTATAGGGCGGCTGCTGAATACTCTCGGCTCGCAACAAGCTGCCATTCGTGGACATAAGAATGGAGCTTCTCCAATTTCGTCAGGAACTTGGCGACAGGCTCCGTGTGCTTGAACTGGAGAATCTCCGAGCAACAGTTGATGACTTCTTGAAGCACAGCGTGTTCGGGCCAGGCGGTCTGAATCTGCGCGAACCGAGATTGTACAGACAGTGTAAGATCGACCAGTTTTCTGGCTTCTGCAAGGTTGCAGTCTGTGTAGAAGTTATAGTTCTTCTTAACTTGGACCTCAGACCCAGTCTGCATGGCATCTTCTAGAAGAAGCAGCACCGCGGGAAGATGACTCTGAGGCGAGACTGGCGTAAATGAATTCCGCTTTGTCGACCACATTGAGCCGAGAAGCTGACCAGATTCCTTGACAAACTGAGGGAGTGCATCGTCTGAACGTTGAGCATTGACAATCTTAGCGTGAAGAGATGAGAGGCGCACAGCAATCGCTCGCGGGTCAATCCGACCTTGACTTTCGACTTCGGTTTGACCGTCGTCGTAAGTCGGGAAAAGCTCGCGTAGCTCAGTGTCGTTGATCTCCTCTTCATCTTCCCATGACCCTCGATAACGGTAAAGTTCGTTCTTTTCAGCCTCCTTTTCTTGGTCTTCCCGGAGTTGTGTCTTCCACAAGTAGTGGAAATCAGAAAAGATGCGACGGAGAGACTCGCGGAAATGTTTCACATCGATGATGCTGGGATCAGCGTCCTTCACAGTCCATAAGGCAGTCATCTCGTGCAAGCGCATTTCTACTGCGTGTGCTTGGCTTTTTGGCGGAGGTGCGATGGAACTGGAAGAAAGAACAGGGTGGTGACAGCCTCCCATGAGAGGTGTGCACTGGCTCAGGGATTGAATGTCTTCCATTTCACCGGCCTCTGTGTGTTGGCTTGAGACCACGAATAAGCCAAGATCGAGAAGCTGGAGGAAGCGAACGATTGGGACAGTCATGTCGTCGTAAGATCGGTAGTTCGTAGAGAGGCGAGAGCATAGCTGAACGATGTTGTCGCGGAGAAGCTTGATCATTTCTCGTGATTCCGCAATCGTCTCGGGCGATGCGACCATCATCTCCGGGCTTCGTTTCACAACAGAGTGAATCAAATTGGTGAACTCGCCATGCAGTAAGCTGAGTTCAGATTGCTCAGGGCGGGTAACAGACGAAGGTGGCGGAGCAGATCCAAGTTCTTGAGATTCTTCACCTAGCAGGACTGAACGTAGAGTGGAAGACTGTCCAGAAAATCTGCGTTCGAAGGCAAGGATAGCATTCAACTTAGCAGTGATCTCATCGAGTCGTCGTTTATGTCGCTGTCTTTGAACGACAAGGTCAAGAGAGGGATCAAATGCTTTGTCTGGCACGAACAAACGGAGGAGAACCACAGCAAGCTGGACGGTGGCACGACCAGTGGTTTGAACAGTTTGTTCGCTTGTGGCAGCGGAGATCAAGGAAGAGATCAGAGCAGGCAGAGCGTTTTGTGCTATGCTCACAAAGTAATGGTCAGGAGGCAGAGCAGAATCAGTCACCACGGGAGAGAGTGTCCGCGGATGGTCAAAATTGCCAGATTCCAATTCTTGCAAAAGTGTGACCAGTTGATCGATCGAGGCGGGATCGAAGAGATCACTGTGACAGGATACAAGTTCCAGTGTCAGACCTGCTAGCATACGAGCGAGAACTCGAGCCTGATCCGTGGCAATACATGCAGTGCTCAGTGTGAGTGCCTCGGACAACGCCTTCTTCTCGGCTTGAAGCAAATCCATTTGTCCCAACGTCGTACTATTGACCGAAGTCAATCGATCCAAAAGGGACAAAGAGAGGACTCCTCCGATGGCCAACGCGCCATGATTTCCTGCACCTGAGAACAAAGTCAGACGATTGAGCATGTTTGGGACACGACTCCGTGCGATCGAAGCGTCTAATGAGCGTGCATGGCGACCCGCAAGCAGTGGCACCACAGAATTGAGCGGTTTCTCAGAGTGGATGATTTCGAGGTCATGATACTGGCAAATAGCCTCGAATTCGTTCGCGAAGTAGGGATATTGTGCTGCATTACTACGACGCACGGCTTTGTCAAGTGCAGTGACAGTCTGCTTGATGCCATCGAGAAGCATGGCGCCGTCCGCGCCGTTTTGCAAAATGAATTTGTGCGCGGTCATGAGCGAGTTCCAAATGGCGCTTAGCTGAGACACTTCAACACGCGTCTGCAGTGCCAAGTCGGTGAAATGACGCACAGTGGCTTCCAGATCAATCAGCGAAGTCAGCTGGTCCTGCGATGACGGCGTAACATGTCTCCACGAATCCCACATTCTTTGCATGCTAAGACCGGTACTCAATGCCCAGCCCGCCTGGAACCGGGAGAGGGCATTTGACAAGGCTCTTTCCAAAGGTCGTAAGGCCGGCGATGAGTCTAGCAGAGAAGCGCAGACGCTTCGTCCAATTTGTAGATACACCTGGAATTCGCCTTCGTCGAGCGAGGTCAAGTTTGTGACCCTGTAGATGTCGTAGCAGAGGCTGAGGACCATTCGCAAAGCAGACACAAGGTCGGTGGATTCGAGACTTTCCTCACCAAGTGCACTGAAACACTCAAACAAAGCTTGACCACAATCGGACAGGAAACTCCCAACAGGCTGTGTTGAATCCTTCATGAGTGAGTGCACACGATCAGAGGCCAAGGATCTTTCCAGCCGTGTCATCTGGCTCGGTTTCAGTTGAGATGCGGACTCGTGAGACTGTACCAAGTGCTGCTTCAGACGGTAAAGCTCGAGTTTGAACTGTTGCAGGTATGCTAGTACTATGGCTTTCGCGCGAGAGCGACTGCCTCCAATGACTGAAAGCAGAGGTTCATTGACGAGAGGGTGGACAGGCTGCAATTGCCCTTTCACAGCAAGCGAAATACCTGACATGGAAACTTGTTGATTGAGAGCGACGTGAGGCTTCCAGCCTTCATTCTCCTGAATCAGCAAAACGTGTCGCTGAAGATGAGTGGACACGAAATCTTTCAAGCCGCCTGCCGTTGTGATGGGCATAATTGCGACGGGAGACCGAGAGAGATATTCGATATCATTTGGGGACAAATGATCGAAACAGATTTCCATCATATCATCCTCGCCCATTGGCGATGAACCAGATGAGAATGCCTCCGAAGACTGCCAAGTATATCGGAGTCGGTAAAGTAGGGACTCGCACGTATATGAAGGAGTTAACCTTGTGGGCAATTCGAGCTGCTGATCGGGCAGGAAGCAAATCTCTGTGCATCGATTACGCATCGCGCGAGACAACTCACCGTGCCGAGGATCCATGGTCAAGAACAGACGAAAGTTAGGGTGAGGAACGATGACTCTCGCAGATCCATCCTGAGTCCGCTGCTCATTCAAAATCAGCGTGCCATTCGGCTCAGTCAACGAATTCAGCCTGTCCAAAACTGATGGATTACAAAGGTTGGCGTTGTCAAGGATTACCCATGATCCAGTCTGAACTGCTCGCGTGAGAGCGCCTTCTGTCCACTCAAAGCCAACCTTCATCTTATCCGAGTTCTGCATGGCGTGCGTCAAGTCTTGGGCGCGCTTGTAGAAACTCTCGAGGTTCGAATTAGGGAAAGACTGGCACAAGGAAGAGAGGGATGACAAGATCTCATCCAGCGGCAGCTCAGCCAACTGAAAGTGTTGACAGACTTGCAGTGCCAAGGCCACGGACTCGGAAACGCCTCCGGAAGCAAATGAGTTGATGACCTGTGCTTGCAAGAACGTTTGAACATCGTTGACTAGAGTTTGAATCTCTCTCCTATGATCAATTTGCTCAAATCCTCCAATCAAGTCCATGGTATCAGTGTCTGCGCTTAAAGCAAGCTCCTCGAGGCTGGCTCCATTGATCGCCGCTAACTTCTTGATTAATGTTGTTTTGCCGCAACCGGTAGGTCCAACAAGAATGCTGGGCCACGAGTTATCAATGCAGAGAATTAGCGACTCGAGAATCTGCAGATCGTTTGGAAGCACTTTCATATTCGGTCGAGAGGAGCGTTGCACAAGAGGATCTCGCCTCATTATACCCAGGCCCACTTGCATGTATTCAGGTGTCAAGTTGTGGAAGTAACTCTTGGCTTCAACTTCAGAGGTATCGAATACCCGGTCATAGATTGTGGAAACTTGCGCACGATCTTCGGCGCTTCTGAACCTCTGACTAATCACGACGTCCAGGAAATGTCTGGTTGAAATCTGGAGGTGGCCTCGATCGGCTAATTGCAACCAACGCTGAATATCACGCAAGTTAACTTCCCATGGACCTCCGACTGTGCCAAGTCTGCGTTCCGTTGCAATTGCGGTATTCAAAATGGAAATGAAGTCGACGAGCTTTTCGGTCTGGGTCGAAGGGCTTCCAGGGAAGAGCTTGCCGCAAATCGTCTTCAGGTCAGCATCAGTGAAGCTGTCCGCATATACAACTGTAAAGCGATTGACGAAGGAGGCAGGAAGGCCTTTTCTTCCACCGCCCTGGTGGTGAGGGTTCTGTGCTGCGAAGAGCACGAAATCAGGGTGGCGCTTGAATGTCTGGTCTAGTTCAGCGATGTAGACCTGCTGACGGTGATCTAAACATGAATTCAGGCCCTCAAGGACAGACTGCGAGGCCAAGTTCATTTCGTCAAGAAGAACCCAGTCACCGCGCTGCATGGCCCGCAAGAATGGGGCATCACGCCATGTGAACTGTCCAACATCTCCACCTTCGACGGGAACATCAGATCCAAAGAGATCTGTCAGGTCGGTTTGCTCTGAAAGATTTATCCGAGTAAGCGGTTTGCCAAGCGCTCTAGCCAGCGCCGTTACAAGGGTCGTTTTGCCAACACCCGGGCTGCCTTCCATGAGGATAGGTTTGGAAGACTGCAGGCCACGTGCAATTCGGACTGAATTCGAGATCGTGGTCGGTGCATCCATAGTGAACTGTGGATCGGGATCCGCATCGCCAATAATCGGCAATAAAAACGGGCCAACCTTCAGGTGACCAGGTTCGAGAGACACAGTCGAGTCTTGCCAATAGATATTTGATGCATCCACGCCAAATAGCTTGCCGAGTTTCACAAGACATTTTTGACGATTGTCATTCAGATCGCTCATGGAGATTGCAAGCATGGCAGCCGGGTTTGCACCCAGTGTATCAACAAAGACCATAGCGGCACCTTGCACCACAGCAAATCGCACGTCCTGATTCTCGCAAGTATTCACGAAATCCACCCACGCAAGAAGATCACGAAGGGAAAGTGATGTGGTGGACGTGTTCTGGAAGGTGGACTTGAACCATTTGGCGAATTGAAGCATAGACCTTGCAATTCTCTCATCTCTCAAGGTCAGTCTCATCTGGAGAATCGGTAGGATGTCCTCATCTTCAGACAGCTGTGGAGCCCATATCTCTGTCATACGGTTTCGCAGGGCCGCTGAGAGCTCACGCTTGCCATAATCACCACCAGGGTTCATGGTGGACATGAACTGGAACCCTGCATCAGCCACGACCATCGAGTCGATAGGACCTTTCTCCGCCAGAAGAATCGATCGGTGAGGTTCCAGCACACTGTTGAGTCGTTCGAGGACAGAATCATCTGCAAGAGAAATCTCATCTAGCAGGAAAAACTGGCCGGTCTTCATAGCCGTGATCAAGCTTCCATCCGACCACTCAAAGAGAGCGTTGCATCGAACTAAGTTTCGCTCGATGCGGTGCATGAGGCTTTGGTCCAGCTCCTGTTTCTGCTGGCTGTCGAGGGAGGAGAACTCCTGCTTCAGCTGCTCAAGTGAGAGATCTGCAGCTTGCTGTCCGGATGAAAGACATCGGAGATCTTGTAAAAGCTGCTTCTCAATAGCAGCGCGGTTTCGGATGGGTCTTTGTGCGCCTATTAAATCTCCAGTCTCCAGGTTTATATGCGCGTTCACAATGTAAAGCTCCCGCTTGAATGCTTCTGCAACGGCCTGGCACAGTTGTGTTTTGCCACATCCAGTTTCTCCGACAAGAAGAATTGGCTCGTTGTTTTTGATAGCTCGCGAGACGAGGACGAAAAGGCGGCGCATAGCTTTGGTCCATACGATCCCAGATGGCAATTCTGCCGTTTCTGGCACGCTCTGCTTCAACTGAGACTCGCTGTAGAGTAGGTCGTCATCCAGTTTGACTTTCATGACCTCTTCAATCACACTTTTCACTGCAGCTTTCTCCGCGGGATTACGGACGCGCTCGGCAAGAAGCATGTACCCATTCACGGCAAGCTGCTCTCGGTCATCAGCATCACGGAGGGCCCAGCGGAAAAGATCACGGAGGGTGGCAAAACTGTTCTTTTGCTCAAAGAGGCGGTTTGATTGACGAAGTAGAGAAAGTCTGCGATAGACTGAGACAATTCGACTGCAGAAAGAGGGCGCAATTTGAGAGCGCTCTTTGAGAATGAATTCAAGTTCACTTTCTGGGATATCATCAAAGTGAAGCTCAAGGAAGCGATTTCGGAATGCTCGAGAAAGAACCTTCCTGCCTCCGTAGAGACCAGCGGGATTTTGCGTTGCAAACAGCATGAAGTTCGGATGCGGGTGAACTACCTCCTGGGTCTCTGGAATGAAAAGCTCTCGATTGTCGTCAAGAAGACGATTGAGCGCCTCGAGGACATCGGATGGAGCCAGGTTCAGCTCGTCAAGAACAATCCAATATCCGTTTCTCAGCGCCTCAACTAAAACACCCTCTTGATATCGTAGGCTGCCGTCGTCGGATGATATATATGAGCCTAGGTACTCCTGCAAGTCCGTGTGTTCGTGGTTATTGATACGAACAAACTTGTTGCCGGAGACTTTGGCCAAATATTCAATCATACTTGTCTTTCCTGCTGACGTAGGACCCTGCAGCAAGACGGGAAAACGACGTGTTGAGCTAGCCCTGACAAGGTTCTTGAGATTCTTCTCAATAAAAGGCGTGATAATGTAATGAGGCTGCTCCTCTGGTCTCAATGGACCACGTCGCATCCAGTAGTGTTTGAATTGGACGTAATCTTGACCATCTTCTGGGGCGCGCGGAGTACGCCCTAGGAGCGACTTCGCATTCTTTGCGTTTTCGAACACATACTTCTCCAACAAAGGCACGACAGTTTTCTCTGATTCCAAGCTGAGTACTGTGAGGAAACTCATGCTGAAGCCTTCATAAATCGCTCGCCTCAACCCATATACGTGTGCATGATCAATTACATAGATCAGAGCTCGTACGAGTGTTCGAATGCTGAAATGCGGGCGCTGCCCAGCTCCATCTGTCAGTTTGTTACTGTTGCTGAGCTTTTTGGTCTCCAGGTACAGCTGTGCAAGATCTGGACCGGCTCTTTGGTCTCCAATTGTCAATGTGCCAAGATACTTCTCGATCAGAGCGAGTAGATCGTCAAGCTCAGTATCTGGTGAATGAACGTAGAACTCGGTGAATCGAGAACGCAAGCCGGGGGGCAAATCGCGCTTTCCAGCGTCTGTGGCAGGATTCATGGCCCCAAAGATGCGAAATTCGGGATGACCGAAGACACGTTCCACGTCTCCGGCTTCTGACAGAAGGACAGACGGCATGCCTTCACTGCCGTGATTCAGAAGACTCGCGATATTCTCGAGGGTGTCGGGGGACGCCAGGTTAACCTCGTCCAAAAGCACCCACTCGCCGTTTCTCAGAGCTCTGACAATTTTTCCCTGCACAAAGGCAAAGGCAAATTTGGCGTCACCCTGAGAGACTTGAGCTTCAAAGTCTGAAAGTTGAGACTCGAAAGTTTGCCATCGTTGTCTTAACTGCTGGTATTTTGGGGATTCCAGCTTTCGCTTCTTTGCTGGCTGCTGCTCATCGTTATCGGCATTGACATTGCGTGCAGGATTGAATACTCCGCTAGCCAGGCGGACAGCCTCATGCCAGAGTGTGACAAGGCGGACCCAATTTCCAGAGGCAACGCTTTTGGAAACAGACGCAAGGAACTTCTGGTTCTTCTTGGCGGAGAACGTCAATTCGAACAGCTGAGTGAACTCGTCGAGCATGGGTACAGCCATTGTACGAATGCTGACGGGCTTGAAGCCTCCGAGAAGATCTGTGCTCTCAGATTGCTGAGACAAATTGACGACGGTAAGCTTTTGACGCATCAGAGTTGCCAACTGTTGGATAACAGTGGTTTTGCCAATTCCTGTCTCTCCCACGAGCAATACGGGCTCTGCCATCTGCACAGAGGCAGCCACCTGCTCCATGATGGAAAGCGCTGATCTTGTTGAAGCAAATCTGGATGCAGCTGCCGCCAGTCGTTGTGCTGCACCACTAGGTACTCTGATCTTTTGCAGAACCTCCCTACCGAGCACCAAGGAGTTACTTTTGTCGTTGTAGGCCGGAGCACGCTCCTCGAGGCAGAATTGCGCACGCTGAGGTGAGATCTGAAGAGCTTCCGCGACAACACCAGCCAAAGACCTTTGCATTGATTTCTCAGGAAGGTATTTGAGGAATACGTCCACCATGTCTAGCAAAATCTCATCTTCGATACTTTCTGGCGCGGCTTCGAAACCGGTCTTTGCGCCAATGAGTTGAAGTCTTCGGTGCAGTCGGTTGCATAGCTTGATCAAATCACGAAAGCCCGGCGTTCGCCCTTGTGACCCTTTAATTGCTAAGCTTCCATGGAAAGCGAAACAAACACCTTTGTAGACTTCCATGATTGTTGGCACACGAGATTCCAGCAATGGGAACTTTCGCAAGATAACATCCCTCATCTCATCAACTGACAAGGATTGGATATGAACTCTCTGCCACAGGCGACTTCCGAGCATGGAATTGTTCGGCGCAATTTCCTCCCCGGAGATGCTGTAAGAGGACTTCATGGTCGCAATTATCTTGAAGCCTTCCGCACATTTGATACGCTCTCTTCGGCTGGCAATAGTGAGCTCCCCGCGCTCGATTATTGGAAGAATGAGACCAAGAACTTCGGACGGCGCTCTGTCCAAGTCTTCAATCAGCACCCAACGACCTTCCCGGGCTGCTTTTGTGAGAACACCGGGCTGCCAAGAGAACGAGCCAGTGGCAGAGGATGTTGCGTACATTCCGAGCAAGCTTTTGGCGTCAGTCTGCTCGTTCAAATGCAAAGTGATCATCGTTTCAGCTTGGCCCATGTTGCTGGCAACGTCGTTGATCAATGTCGTCTTGCCGGAGTTAGGCAAGCCCACCAGCAAGATAGGCTTGACATCTAGCAGTGCTCGCGCAATTCGGCGGATGTTTGCCACGGTTGTCGGAGTGTTGACGACTGATGATTCTCCGGCGACCACGTCTTTCGTTCGGGGTACCAAAACGCCGCAGATATTAGCAGATCGGGTTGTGAAAGCATGTCTCATTCGATCGACTAGTCCCGTCTCCCCATCTTCAGGGGAAGATTCAGCTCTGGGCCTCCTGCGATGTTCCAAAGTCTCCCATCTCCGCTCTTCCCAGAGTCCTAGAAGACGATAGTCGATTGTGATGCCTTCCCAAGGTCCTTCGACAGGGTCCACACCGGTATTGATGCGCAACATCTTCTCAGTTGCGGCATCAGCAGCATGCATATAGAGTGCGAAACACCGAATCGCGAGGTATCGGATGACGCGGTCCTCGTGAGGAAAGAGTGACTGAAGTTGAATTGGTGACACGACCTTGGCAAATGTTTCCAAGTCGAACGACATTAGGCGGAAAAGTGCGAGAAGTATCTTGCGAATTCGGCCCGTGTCTAGCTGTCGTAGTGTCAGCTCCTTGGAGCCTGCAAGGGCCGAGAGGCCACCAGTCTGCGAAGAGGCATGTTGGCTCGCGAATGGAAGAAGGTATGCCGCAATTGGTAAAATACGGGCAAAAGCTGCCAGAACATCAATTGGGTCAGCTCCTCCATCTGGCTGAAGCCATCGGGCTCCTAGCTCTACGATGAGTGGTTCGTAAAGCCGAAACACGCTTTCTGTAAATTGGCTATTGAGTGCGCTAATGGCGAGCGCGTGAAGTTGTTGAGTCTCCGAGGCCGACTGTATCAAGCCGGCCAGCTCGGTCGGGAGTTGCTCAAGCAGCTCCGACTCTGTGAGAATCCTCTCGTAGACGGGCCTTCCATTCATTCTGAGCCCGACTGCAAAGAGATTCTCTTTGCGTAGCCAATGCAAGTTGAGAATGAGGGTAAAAACTCTCCGCAACTTTTTTTTCTGCCGCCACAAGAGCACGCCCCACTGAGATGAGATCTCAGTCACCGCCTGGCACCGTACATCCTTCCAGGCCGGTAGGTAAAGGTCCAGCCTGGCGGGCGGGCTGCCAGCCTGCTTGAACTAGATGACTAAGAGACTGGAGCCTCCCGGAGCCTGAGCCCTCCTGTCTGAGGTCCAAAGTAGGCCGAGGATCCGTTCCGCCTGGTGCGGGACCTGCGGATGCCAAGCAGCGCCCGCTCCGATAAGGAACGATAGGAAACCCAGCTTGCCTGCGGCCACGGGATCATCGTGACTCTGTGCCCATGTAGGAGATGCTTACACCCTATGGCGCGCTAATTTTTACTCAAAATGTCGCCAATCGGCCGGTCGTCGAGTCGTGGAAACCAAACCTACCAGACTGATGAAGCACCACCAGGACACGAAGCAGGTGACCCGCGATCTCAGAACCAAAATGAGGACACGGATCGGTTTAAACCGTGAGTGCGGCGTCTTTACCACAATGCGCACACGCTGACAAAAGTTCTTGTGAAGCATCTCATTCAAGCGAAAACTGAAAACGTCGTCTTCTTTCAGCCTATCCAATCTGCTCTCAAATACCGCGGGCGGTTCGAGTCGTATATTTTCCTCCCAGAGAACACGCGATCAAGCCAATGGAGACACCTCGCCCCTAGAGTCTCAGGTTTTGATCGATCACAATGGAGATTCGAATTCGAAGGATGACGGTCCACGAGACTGGTATGTTGAAGGACCGGGTCGGCGGGTAGGCTACGATGATTTTACCGCTATCGACTGGATCTATGAGTACACAAAGGAACGGCAACGGAAGCGACTTCTATACTCAACCGGCCAGGGTATACTCGGTCATTTGAGACAAATCCTCGAAGCGAGTAATGTGTGGTTTGTCTTGATCGCGACCGGCATTGCAGTAGGTCTTCTCGCTGGCGCGATAGATATCACGACGGATTGGCTAGGGGACCTCAAGACCGGTTACTGTCGAAGTGGCAGCGGTGGTGGTAAATTCTACTTAAACCGGAGTTTCTGCTGTTGGGGTCTGGACGGTAAGCACGCACCTATACTGCTATATCGAAGCCCACTTCTTTTTGTTAGCCAGAGCTAATTCCTCCTCGTGTGTCACGCAACAGACCACTCCAAGTGCATTGGCTGGACGCCCTGGAGTTCTGCGCTAAAAATTACCTCCAACGCGGGCGCCTATATCACTGAATATACTTTCTATGTCTTTTTCTCGGTACACTTCCCCAATAATTTCAGCTATGAACCACGTGTTAATATCTTCAGGTTGTTTTTGCTCTTTGCGCTTGTATTCTGGTTCGACAATTCGCGATCTATGCAAGGCATAGCGGTATTCCTGAGATCAAGACCATTCTTGGGGGAACTCTCATCCGTCATTTCATGGGTCCATGGACGCTGGCTATCAAATCTCTCGGCTTGGTATGTCTTTGGGTTTCTTGAGTCAATCCAAACGCCGCTAATCTCTGTACCAAGTGTCTGGCCGTTTCGTCCGGTCTTTGGCTCGGAAAAGAAGGCCCCCTGGTACATGTTGCATGTTGCTGTGCGAACATTATGATGAGGCCATTTGACAGCCTCGCTGGAAATGAGGCAAGAAAACGTGAGGTCCTTTCGGCCGCCGCCGCGGCCGGAATCTCCGTAGCCTTCGGCGCTCCCATCGGAGGAGTTCTCTTTAGCCTGGAGGTAAGCGCCTGCTCTTGTAACCTCGAGAAGTTTTTTTTCCTCGATAAGTCTCACTCACTCGCTCCAGCAACTATCATACTATTTTCCGGACAAAACAATGTGGCGGAGTTTTGTCTGTGCCATGGTAGCTGCGGTCACCTTGCAAGCAGTAAACCCCTTTCGTACAGGAAAGATTGTGTTATACCAGGTCACATATACCCGTGGTTGGCACCGTTTTGAAGTCATACCATTCATCATTCTCGGTATCACTGGTGGACTTTTCGGCGCATTTCTCATCCGAGTCAACACTAAGATCGCTCGGTGGCGCCGAAGCCGTTCTGCTTCGCGACCCGTGTTAGAGGTCACGATCATAGCACTCATGACTGCTTTGATCAACTTTCCAAATCATTTCATGAGGGCCCAAAACACGGAGCTGGTTCAAGCACTATTTGCGGAGTGCACAAGCGACGCTTACGACCGCTTTGGACTTTGTGTCACCGGACCAAGCGCGTTTGGTATAGTGACCATGCTCCTCCTAGCTGCCATGCTGGCTTTCCTGCTTGCATCTATGACCTTTGGTCTTGAGATACCCGCTGGAATTATATTGCCTTCAGTTGCCATTGGTGCTCTATATGGTCGTGCACTTGGGATACTCGTTCGAATGTGGCAGGAGGCCTACCCAAACATATTCCTGTTCGCCGGATGTGAGCCTGACATACCATGCGTAACGCCAGGTCTCTATGCCATTATTGGTGCAGCATCTGCTTTGGGCGGTGCTACACGCATGACGCTTTCCATTGTGGTCATCATGTTCGAACTCACCGGCGCACTCACGTATGTCATTCCCATCATGATTGCTGTGATGCTATCCAAATGGTGCGGCGACATCTTCGGAAAACGAGGAATTTATGAATCCTGGATTCAATTGAACGAGTATCCATTCCTGGACCATCGCGACGATACCATTCCCCCCGATGTTCATGCTCGGCGGGTGATGACGCAATTTGATGACTTGACTGTGATCATGGCGACTGGGCACACCATAGGGTCACTACGCATGCTCGTGGCAAACACCACGTATCGTGGATTCCCTGTTGTCACAGAGTCTTCCAGTCCTGTCCTTCTAGGATACATCAGGCGAAATGAGCTCTCTTTCGCCTTGACGCACTCTGCCTCTCCTCAAAATCGTAACCTTGCCGAGGACACGCAGGTTTTCTTCGTTCACCAGCCGTTTGCGGATCCCGTTGAAACCTTAGATCTTCGGCCTTGGATGGACCAGACTCCAATCACCCTCAACGGTAATATTAGCTTTCTCATTGTGCTTCGGATGTTTCAGCGGCTGGGCCTGGGATACGTTCTCTTTGCCAACAAGGGGGTTCTTCAGGGTCTCCTGACCAAAAAGGATGTCTGGTCTGTGCTGAATGGAGCTGAATTTCGCCGTCAAGAGGCTCTACGTGAGAGGGACCATGACGACAGCCATGAATCCGAAGAAATCGGTCTTCTCCAGAGCCAGGCGAGAAGTAGTCTCAGTGACTCGGTGCCGCAGAACTCAAGATGATCCATTAGACACCTTCGGTGCTATTCTGGGTGAAAGTGCTCTTGTACACACTCTTGATAATTTGTTGAAACAGGATCAGCACTGCTGCGTGTTATGATCATTTTTTACAACTCTACTCACGAAGCCGTAAATAGATTGGTAAAAGTGATTTGATATTGGGTTTTCACTCATGTACCTATGAGCCGTGGATGTTCTGGTCGAGCTGTTTGAAGGGATGGCAACCTTACCCGATAGGTAGCAGGTACCTGAGGTCTAGCTACGACGCTTACCAATTAGGTTGTTGACGCAAGAAAACAGCAGGTGGATAATGATATAAATTTGAGTACATGTACGGCTATGCCGTGCTTTATTGCGAGATTCATCGACGGCGACAACACCCAGTTGACTTTCGATTCTGACCCATATTACTAGTAGTGAGCTTGAAACTGGATTTAGGTTATGTTTCAGGTCCATTCGGTTTGATAGTTCTCATGTTTCAAATACGTACTTGTCGTGCCGTCCATCCACACCAATCTTACCAATGTTTTCATGGGATTGCGTACTCAGTACTGTATGTTGCTGAGGCCCCCGCCTCGGCCAGGTTGTCACCGCCTTGATGACCGCTATTGAACAGTGACCCAAAAGACGTTTTCTGAGAGATCCGCCTGTGAGACCACCTTTGCCAGCTAATTCCCGATGCTCGATTCAGATCTGCTGACAAGATCACTCGGCTGTCAAGATGGTCGATCCATTTGAGGTGCGCATGCGCTTCACGCAGCAGCTTCAACACCTCAGCGCATCTGTGACCTCGTCTCAGAAAGCCGCTCAATATGCGCTCAAACATCGCGACTGGGACGAAGACCTCCATTCATGTATCCTGGAGCAATTGGAGCGGGTAAGACTATGCACAATGCACGGCCATCCTACGCTCAAGTCAGAGACCATCAGATCTAACCAAACGCGCTCCTAGAACAACATGAACAATCGGGCAAACATAATGTCCTTTATCGAACAGTTCTGCGACATGGCTACGAAAGAAAACCACTTGCCCTATGTCCGCATGATGCAGCGCGATATTCTCCGTGTCGTGGATGCGGTCGTCCCACCCGACGGATCCGGTGCAGCCAACGTCAAGCACGTGCGCCATGTACTCGAAACTTTGCGAGCCAGAGGGATGTTATCCGCCGAGAGTGTGGCTGAGATTGACGCAGCGCTCAAAGATCGGGATGCCAACGGCGAACATTATGACCTTGAGGATGAGGAAAAAGCGAGAGGGGGAAACGGCACTTTGTCGCGGAGTGGAAGCCCTCGGCACGTCCGGCCACCCGACATGCGCTTGGACAAAAGACAAATCGAGCAACGAATCGAAGAAGACCGCGAGCGAAACAAACGTCTCCGGGAGAGCATGTGGACCGTTGGTGGTGGTGAAAAAGACGAGTTGCAGAAGACCAAGGACGATCTCAGCGACCTTGATTCAGACGACTTTGACAACACTGAAGAAGAAAAGTCCGAACGAGATCACGCATCCGCTGGCATGCGCGGTGATCTCTGACTTCGTGCTGCATTATCTATGTAAATACAAGGCGTTTGGGCATGAACCTGGGTCAAAGGATACCATTGGGTAGCATATATTCGGCGTTGGAATGCGAAATGCAAACAAGGACTAATCATATTCGCGAACACTACAGAATCGGCATAGCATTCTGGAAGCCCCTGTAAAAGGGCAATACTCATGTCTCATTGTGAGCTTTAGAAATATCCTTACTAGGTTCAATTTGCCAAGTTCCAACAAGACCCCAGAACCGAGGATGACCCAGGATACTTACTAAACGCATTTTTGGGGGTTTTCTTTCGTCACAAGTCAATGTCAAATGTCGGCTACCTCAAGATATTTGGATACTAAATTGGATTCATAACGATTCTGGGTACTAGTGACAGGAGCATAGTATCTTTCAAATCTATGCACAGTCAGTCGAGTGCTAAATTGAGAAGCCCAGGTTTGATAATGCTGGAACGGCACATAGATCACCTCGACCCAATAAGGCGTGCCAAGAAACGTGTGGAGATAGCCGGGAAATTTTAAGGCCGAGCGAGTTTTTTTGGAATCGGTACATCATGATCTAACGATCATCCACCTGAACTCTGTACAGGATCTCATAACTTTGACTTCGCATTTGCTGATCTGCAATATTTCTGCGGATTCTATGTTCTCAAGTCTTGCGACAGCAGCCAAGGGTTTCTTCACACGACAAGACGCCGACGACGTACTAGCCGATCGAACCACTGCTTCATCCGCAAACACATCCGCCATGGTTGTCGCAACCCGAAAAGGGACAGTCGCGTCTCGAGAGAAAGAAAACTTGGCGTCAAACGACGCCTCTCAGCAAGGAAAACGTAAGGCTCAGCCGGTCGCTACAGAGAAGACGGAGGACAAGCAGAGCAAGCGCAGGAAGAGGAATGCGCAGGAACTTGAGGATGAAAGTGCCGAAGACACCGCCAGTGAAAGATCAGATGAGCCATTCATGAATGGCGGCGAAGCAGAGCCCAAGAAACATTTCCGGTTTGGAAGTGAAGATGCGGAACCATCAACGACAGCTACACAATTGGAGCCGATCTCATCCCAAGGCGACCAGGACGACGATGACAGTGATAGCGACGACGATGCGCCGGAGGCATTTGACAACGCAGCGGCTCTTTTGAGAATCAAGGAACAAGCTAGAAAGCAAGAGAAGGCAAAGCAACAGTATGTTCAGCAATCCTCCGTTGAAACCTTATATCTCATCGACATGCCTACTAACATAGTATCTCTTTCAGAGAGGATCAATTGCGAAAGGACAGGCGGCGAAAGCTCGATGAAATTCGCAAGCTGCAGGCCAAGTCTAAGCCCACCGAACGCACAGCATCTAGCGAAGATCTCTTGTCCGAAAGTACCACAACCTTACTGGGAGACAACACTGAAGACGCCCGACGACGTGCCTTGCCTGCATTGCTTCCAGATGACATTCTGAATGCCGAGCCAGTGGCTCGTCCCCCGACACCACCGGCCGACAACTTCGGCTTTGCCATCCCTCGGAGATCCAACAAACTTCGATTCCTGGAAAAGTCTGAGAAGCCCCCGAAAGACCTCCAAGTCGGCGATGTCACAATCCGAGTTCTGGATGCGCCGGCCACAAAACAAAGTTCCAAGCCTGCGCTGCCCCCCAAAGCCTCCAAGAGTGGACGAGGCACCAGAGAGGGATGGCTGAAGCAGGAAAAGAGCACGGCGCACGTCAATGGTCTGCGAAGGACAGCGGGCGGCTCCACAGGTTTCAAGCGCCGATGAATTCAATCATGGGCGATTTACACAACTTGGACAGATTATATTCTACGGCGCATCACGGTTCATGGGTAATGGCTGCATTTTTATATCAACCTTGTATGGAGAGGAATTTCAACCCTTCTGACTTGCACATATTGTCAAAAAAGCTCACTCGGGAAATGCATGATACCTATTGGCAACGTAAGATATTCTGTGGATCTCAAAGCGCCAGATTCTATACCAGGCTTCTCGGTATCATTGAGGCACCGAATTATCTAAGATTGAACTAGCCTCGTTCATGTACGTCCTTCCTGGAAGACTGATAGAGCGATTCGGTAGAGGCTTCCATGAAGCACCTTAGCAATGGATTGAGACTGAGCAGCCAAAGTCAACATGACCTGGAGGCCATTGCCTGCGTACAGTACATGCGCGTGAAACGTCTCCAGTAAGTTATTTGTGACAATCTCTGGGAGTACAATGTATTGCGTGTCTAAACTACCTGACCTTACCCACCATAGGTATTGCATGGTGACAGGGCGATCGAATAGAACCTCCTCATACATTAAACTCAATATGGATCGGAGTATTTGAAATCTGAAGGTTGTACATTACATGCAGTAGTACCTCTGGTTCTCTGCAGTCGAGACTCGGTAGTCCTGCCGAAAGTAGTACTTTCGGACTTCCTGGAGCGGCTGCCGTCACCTCCAGATGATCGAGAGTGGAGACCGTCCATTCCCTTCGCAATTCACGTGGGGAGCTCTGACCTTGGAAGCTTTGAACTTTTTCCCAACGTCACTGATCAATTCCTTCAGGCGTTGATCCGTACACTCCGCGAAACCATCAGCATGTCTCCGGCCGCAGAAGAAGCGCCTTTGCTGCCCCAAGTCAATCCGGAGTCACCCAAGTCCGCCAGGGTCTCCCGGTCCGTGACGTTTAATCCACTGACGACGATCAGCACCTACGGCGGAACCACCTCCTCCGACCCGACCTTTCGCCCTCTCCAAGCGAGTTCTCCGCCGGTTCAAAACATCAATGCCACTGGAGGTCCCAGTAAACCGGGCAGTCAGCCCATGCTGTCGGCATTGAACAGCAAACTTCGACGTCGCAACAGCCACGGCGCTCCCTTCACTGCGCCGTCCACTCCCGCCTCGAAGATCGGACCGCAGCGAACTACGAAAAATGCTCAAAAGCTCAAGCTACTTCCAGACCCGATCACGGCGGAAGAGGAGGAATACTTGGATGGAGACTTTCCACGAGATGTGTACTCGCAAATCACTCGCATCAAAGAGCCCGCAGCTCGCAGTCACGCCGCGCGGCTGGGGAAGGCTGACCGCGACCGCATCCCACGAGTGACAGCATACTGCACGGCCAACTCCTACCGACTAGAGGGGGTGGTGAAATTTCTCAAGTCGCGCGCAAAGACACGCGGTGCGAATCCCAAGTTGTTTGACGAATGTGTCTACTCTCCGTTCGATTACCAGTATGAGGAGAAGCAGAAGGGCACTCGGTTCTTCTCTAGTACAGGCGGAAACGGTCATCACGAGCGCCGAACCAGTGAACGGAGATACTCGGACAGCGTTGTGGAGGTGGAAGACAATACAAAATCCAGAAGAGAGGATCTCATCGACTTCCGTGAGGATGCCGGGCATGCCGGTGACACGACTTCAGAGCGCGCGGTGTCAACCCCTCAGTCAGACGAGCCTTTTGACATCGACACTACCATTCACACACCCGAGGTCTTCTTGTTCGACTACGGCACGGTCGTGATTTGGGGCATGACACCTGCACAAGAATCACGTTTCTTGTCTGACATCTCGAAATTTGCATCCTCGATTTTAAGCCCCGACGACACCCAGATCGAGAATTTTAATTTCTACTATGCGCGAGAATACCAAGCGAGGATATACAACGATTTCATCTCACTGCGGGATCCGCGGAACCACATGATCAAACTAGCAATTTCACATGCCTTGGCTCAATCGGTCAAAACATCGCTCTTCGAGGATCTGTTGTCAGAGACCATTGCCGACACCGCACCTCTACCAGCTCAGATTGCGCAGACTGGCAGTGTCAATTTGACGCGGAGACAGATCAACATGCAGATTGGAGAGCTGTTTATTCTGAGAATCAACATCCACTTACAGGGATCAGTTCTCGACAGCCCGGAACTCTTCTGGGCGGAGCCACAGTTAGAACCCGTTTATCAGGCTGTACGCAGTTATCTGGAAATGGACCAGCGGGTCAGTCTGTTGACGGAACGTTTGGATGTCATTGCCGATCTTTTGGCCGTGCTCAAGGACCAATTGACGCATCGTCATGGCGAGTACCTGGAATGGATTGGTAAGTCAATCAAGCGGCAGCTGGCCGGATTGGGATGAAATGGCAAAAAAAACAAACCGATAAGCTAACATGGACATTCACAGTCATTGTATTGATCGGCGCAGAGATTCTGGTCGCGGCCATTAACATTGTTGTCGACTTGTACGCTGGTGTGGACTGATTAGCGAACTCCGACAAAGTCGCCGCACTTTGAGCGTGCGGTAAACGACTTTATAGAGTGTGATTACATCCAACCTTCGAGGCGTCGGTGCTTTGCGTGAACCCGTACTCACGCACGCTTTACACGAGCCACACCGCAATCTGTAATCTGAAGAAAGTACTGGACCAGTGTAGTCTGTTGCCCGTCTTTTCATATGTGTTTGTTTGTTTGTTTGTTTGTTTTCTAGTCCATTGTCCCTATGTTACAGCGTTGGATTTTTACCGGGCTCAAAATGATCAAGGCATGGAGTTGAGGTGCTAGATATGACTCGTCCTGTTGATATGATAAATATTTCATTGCTGTCTCTTTAGGTTTACGTAGTCATCAGAATGTACCTTCTTGGGCCATCCTGCTGCAGTGGTTTTCAACAATCAATTTATTAGTCTTGAAGCAGCTAATGCTGTTACGGACCTCGTCTATTGCCAGATTCCACGCTACTGCACCTTATTCTGGGAGTGAACACAGTCAACACACAAAGGATGACCCCAACCCTACGTCTTTATCGGCCGTTTCAAATCTTCCCGGTGACCAGGTAACGATACTATCGATTACTGTCTCTACTGCTTGTAGACTAGGGGAGAGGGCAGACGAAGTTTCAACGGAAAGTTCGCGACGTACAACCATCGTCTGTGTCCTAGGACTGAAGCACACACGGCAACCTAGATGAAGCAATGTTTGATCAACATGTCGAGACCTGCGTCAACCATCCATTTCATGTGATCCATTCTGCTCTGTGTTTCTGGAAATGAAAGGTAAACTAAGCAGATACTGCCTTGAATACGGATATGATCCTGCAAATTGCCGAGGCTCAATCGAGTACCCAGTATTATGAGAGAACTCGAGATCAATAGCGAATATCCTCAGAAAAAGTGGGTAAGAAATAAATTACCAAAAGAGGATCAGACAGACATGTCTGTCAGAGAAGAGAGAGAGAGAAAAAAAAGAGAAGAGGTTCCCCGATATTGAATTCCACGATGACAAGACAACGACCCAAGAAAAAGGAGCAAATGAGAAAAGATAAAAGACAATCGCTAAACACAATCTTCCGTCCTTCTCACCCTTGCTCCTCCTTCGGCTCTTTATCGTCTACCTCCATCGGTGTAGCTTCGTCCTCGGCGGCATCACCGGCTTGTGCATCTGAGCCAGCATCACGATCATCTGCCTCTACGCCGTTCTCGCACTCTCGTGCTCCGCTGCCTTTTCGCACGCGGAATGAGGAGGTTAGGTCTTTTTGACTTGGAGCTGGAGCAAGTCGTGGTAGAGAAGAGGACTTCGTGTCTGCGTCACCTGCTTCTCCAGCGTTTTCTTGGGCGGCATCATCTGCGTCGCCGCCTTCGACGGGGAGGTTGGATTTTCGTGAGCGCTTGACGCGTAGTGGACGTTCCTCGGGCTGTTTAGTAGAAAGGAGGGACATGATTAGCAGGAATACTTCATGGCGATTGCTGCGAATTAAAGAAGGAAAGAAAAAAGATCGAGAGCATGCATAGGTGAAATCCGAGTACAAGAGGGCGTGGAGGACAAATTCTATAATAGGGCAACGAATATAAAAGAGAAAAAAGAATCGTAACATCAAATCACAAACATACAGTCGGAGGTTGTTCATCCGAACTACCTTCAGTTTCATCATCCAAATCCGCACCCTCTTCCCCCTGTGCACCAGCACCAGCACCAATGCCATTCAAAGCCGTCGCATTGGACATCATCGCGGTGGCACGGGCACGCAATTCCGGGTCGGCTTTACCTGCTGCCGCCTCGTCGGCCATGCCGGTGACCTTGGCTAGACGTTCCAGTAACATGCAGGACTCGAGGCGCATTTTCTGAATGTATTGGTATCCTCGAAGATTGCGGGTGCGCATGAGATCATTTTCTGCCTCGACTTCGGCAAGGCGCTTCTTGAGGGCGGCGCATTTGCGCTTGTATGCGATTTCCACGCTGGGCGGGTTGGTCGTGACGGTCGTGGTGGAAGTAGTTGCGGGTCGGGCGTCCATGATGAAAAAAGAGAAGATGGCGGAGGGTGGGGGAAAGGTGAGCTTGAGAGATGGAAGAAGTTGAGGCGATTGTGGGTGAGCGCAAGATGGAAGCTCTGTAATGAGGGGGTTTGGTGTGGGGGTTCGTTCAACTGAGCAATGAAGGGCGGTTTGGTTGATTCTCGGAGATCCGGGCGAAGTATGGGCAACGAGCGGAGATGCCAATGGGAAGGCAGGTGTGGATAGGCGTAGGGTGGATGAGCGGTGACAAAAGTGCAATGTAGAGGTTCAGCGGCAGACGGCAATTGAATGAGCTGTAGGTAAGGACCCGACTACACCGTGGCGTCTTACGAGGGAGTGTCGGGAGAGAGAAGTTACTGGGGAAGCTGGGATCCAAGGGGACGCGGAGCTTGGCTTTGCATCTCTCCGCCGATGCGATATTTCGGTTCTGCCGCGATACCCCAAAAGGCGGTGATTTCGGAGCTCGGAGGCCGCTTCATTGGAAGGATCCTATAATTAAGTGTTGAGTTGTCATTCATTGAATTCCACTCACGACTGAGTAGTGAGTAGAGACTCGGAAGTACAGTGACCCTTGGTTATATTTCGTCAGGCTTCAAGCTGGCCTCATTACTTAAGTCTATTGTCAAACATGTTTTGATCCTGTTCATTGACGGTATGATGGATTACTCTTTCATTTCATGACGGGCATCTAAAGAAAAAAGAAAAAAAATAATAATAATCCAACACCTGCGCTAGTAGACAGACGTGAAAAATCGATCAACAATGCACTATCAATTAGTGTCCACCGGTGGTGGGAAGGCCGAGGAAGACCTTGAACGAGTCATAGCTATAGCGATAGTTAGTGGCCGGCAATGAGAGGTCAAATGACCCATTCCTTGGGGTCTCGTAGTGAAGCAACAAAGAACTTACATCAACCATTGGCAGCCAGTCAAGGTTCCCAGCATCACGATACGCACGGGGAGTCCGTTCCACAGTCCGGAGAAGCCGATGTTGCCGTAGATGCGCGAGACAGCTTTCATGGCACCCTCGCCCGCTGTACCCGATGGTTAGCAAAAGAAAGACATTCAATGTTCCCCTGTTCAGAGAAACCTTTTCAGGGGAAACAGGCAATCGGTCTCAACTCACGCTTGCGATCGGCATTCAGCTTGCTAACCATGACATCAGCGGGATGGCTGACGATGGCGCAAAAGATCCCCGCAATGTAACCACCCAGGAAGCTCACACCCGTCTGGGTCAACTGTCCATAGCTCTCCTTGGGCTTGCCCAGATAGCGATAGATCTGATTGACCGTCTCCTCAAAGGTGGCGAACTTGGTCATGGTATATGGGATCTGACGTGCCCACAATGGGTACAGTCCCTTGTAGAGGCTGCTAATGCCCTCCTTGGCCACAACTCGACTCCAACCCTCGCGAAGGTTATTTGCGTAGGGCGGCAAGGTGGTCTGCATGCGGACTTTGATCGATTCAAGGGGGCAGAGTGCCATATCGGCAAAGAACTCGGCTGAGGCCGAGGCACCGAGGAAGACCAGGGTGCGATTGGTCTCGGGGAACATGGTATCGCCGTAGAGATGTTTGAAGTATTCGTAGAGACCGTATTTTCCGGCACCCTGGAAGGAGTAGCCGATGAAGGTGGGCGACCATCCGAAGAAGACACCGCGCAAGCCTTCTTTGGCAAAGATGGAGCGCCATGCAGAGATATTGGAGCTATAGATCTTGGGGTCGACTTGACGACGGCACTTGACCAGATCCAGAGGGGTCACAGCGGTATGTGTTGGTCCTGGAAGAAGTAGGTGAGCGATGGGAGTTGACAATCCCATGCATTGGTCTGTTGAAAGAGCAAGCACGCGGCTAGGATTCCATGTCGGGTTCGATAATCATACCACAAGCTGCAGCGCGTTTCGGTCAGTTTGGTTTCTTCCCCCTCGAAGATGGCAGGATATGGGCTAGAATTGGGCGGAGTGAGCACTTACCAATGATACCACCGAGGCCACAGCTGAGGAAGTATTTCATGGAATTGGGCTCGATCTTCCCAAAGGGGAGTTTACGCTCTTGTGTGGCCATCTTGACTCGGTAGAGGGACGATCAGGGTGGACGATCGGGTGTGACGTGGAAGGTTGAATTATGAAGGAGAAGTAGGTACTCAATGAGGCCAATGCAGAGTGGAAAGTCTGTATAGAATGTACAAGAGAAGTCGCCGACTCGAAAATAGTCACACCCGGGGTTTGGCGAAAGATAGAAAATCGAGGAACCTTCAAGCGCAAGGATGTCGCATCTTTTAGAGGAGTGCACGAGGGAGTCTAGTCACAACCCAACGATGGCGTCAGTAGTACCCACTGTCAAATGCCCCAGCCATGCCGGGTTTCCCCTCTCGAGCAGTCAAGCATAATGAAGAATATGCACAAGCTGCCGGGGAGAACGAGCTGAACATGTGCAGTCGAGCATTGTGCCAGTCAATCGCAGCACAGCACTCTTATCGGTTCCCCACTTTGGCCCATGCCCTGGACTGGCATGCGCGGCTATGACGGCTTGCCCTTCTTTGGAGGCGGATGTGAACAGGCATGATAACATTGAAGGTTAGCTAACTAGTAGCTGAACTATTAAGTGACACAGTGACCTAGAGTCGTAGTAAGAGAGCATGCACCAGTGCGCTCCACTATGATTGAATCATGCTACAATAGGGTTGACCCTGCGAACGGCTAATCCGGCACCACTCCGGGTCTAGCAAGCTGAGTAGCAACCTTCAACTGCCTTAGTGCCTTAATCCAAGTTGAGATCGACCGACAAGGCTGGCAGAGGGCGGAACTGCGCAGCCGAGCTGCGAAGTAGGGAGGTTCTCACCGCTGCGACCGGCCCATGATGTATAAGACGGCTACATTAGGAGTAGGGACGAGGTGGTCATACTACTACCTAGTACCTAACTACCTACTGATGTACAAGAAGGTCACAAGTCACAGACCCGCTACCATATCTGGTAGTTAGTTACGAAGTTGCGATAGCATGAAATCCATCCGTCAAGAAAACCATCAGCCGAAGCAACTGTGCTCATTCACCATAAGAATTCGAGGGTTGTAGAAATATTGCAACACGGTACTGGCGATCTCGTCTCCAGTAGCCCGACCAACAGCGCGTCCAACTGTGATGGCTACGTGTTGCGGTGATGAAACCTAAGGGAAACCCGTTGCAGCGAGTCCAGGCCTCGGCAGCCATGACGTCACGAGATCCGACGGTGCCGCCGGCTCCACCGAAGCCCCGGACCCGTGCGGCGGTTCGTTGCCCTTGGACGGAGGCGGAACCTCAGTCAATAAGGTATGCACTTTGTGCCGTAAATGGAAGTGCAGGGCAGGTACCCGTTGGTCCAGCAGTACAGAGCCGACCCGGTCATCTGTCATCCAAATGAGGTCCGAGTGTAACCTGAAAAATTCCATTAGTCCAACAGATACCGTCCATATTTTGGTAAAACACCCGTCAATGTAGCACCTTGTAGTTATCCTTCTCAGAAGACGTTCGAAACTACAGAGTGTGCAGTAGTTAGTAGTTACTCGTCAGCGGTCACATATACCGAATTGAACTAGAAATCTAATGACTTCTTCTATGATACACTTCAGCTGGATTACTCGCCAAAGGGGAGCCTTAGGCCTGTCCAGATGATAAGATTCTTGGCTGCAATATACACAAAGATGTCAAGCCCAGGTGAGGCGTTGAAAGCTCAGGACCTCTCTTCAAATGGCGATTAATTTCGATGCCGCTGCAAAGGGGGTTCCACACGGCCATCGATCGTCCCGTTGGCGTTCAGCTTCGCTCGCCAACATCAATGCGAGTTTGATTCCATGGGCGGACCCAATCTGCGACAGTACAGAGTACAATTGCTGCGTTTGGGACGGGGTGGGCATACCGCTGGACAGCATCAGCCATAACGGCCACATCATGACATATCCTTTTGCTGCACGGTATCGCTGCGACGGATTCTCCGAAAAGGCCTGTCGCCCGAGACTGTCGATCTCGGCCAAGGAGAAGGGAATACTGCGACAGGTGTCCGTGGTCATGTCTTGACAGATGGCGATCAGCCGGGTTTTGTCCATCTGGCCTTGTATCGTTTGCGCGTCCGGAGAACCGGCCTCCTTTTGTCGAATGGAAGTGTAAGTTTGATCCAGGGTGAGAAGAAACCGCTGTAACATGACGCGGATGGCGCGGTACCAGTACCAGATGGAGGCGTGGAGGTCGTGGTTGTAAGTCAAGAGGGATTCCCCGGACGTCGTGTAGACGGTGGTGGGCAGCCAGCGCGGTGGCAGATGCAAGGGCCATTGGCATAGTTTGGCATCGCACTCTTGGCTGATGGTGATCCACCCTTCCACGGTGGTTGGATCGGGTAGGCCGGTGGAAGCTTGCATCGAGTGAAATACTCGGCTCATCGTCGTGGCGATGAGCATGAGGCTCTCAATGGGATCGTTTTCATTGAAGAGCTCCGGGGCCCAGACATCCTCATCTTTGAGATTTTGTCCCAAAACCAGGATCTCGATATACTGCTCACAAGGCAGGGGGCATAAGCATTTGTGTCTCTCTCGATTTACTCCGGATCCCAGACAGGTGGCTGGCCGCAAGGCAAGACCAAAAAAAAAAAAAAAAGGAACAAACAAAACATACCTTGCGTGTCCAGCCAAAATTGAACATATCGCGTCCACATTGATTCCACGTTTGACGCTCGCCTCTTAATTTCATTAAAAAGTCAAGTCCTGCTGTGTGTGCACTAAACAATCCATTGCGTTCGCCCGTGATATCTTCATAGACAGAAAGGACCATGACGGCCGCAAAGGTTTCATCTCGGATTGCCTGCTCAGTTGATGCCAGGGCCGTCCGCACATTCCGAAGCGCCTTGCCATACGCCTGACGGGCCCTCGTCAGCAACGGCAATGAATGTCTCTGTTTGGCATTCATCATCAACCCGGTTGCATCCACCGCCCATCGCAGGCAAGCGGCCGATGGATTGGCGCCGAAGATACTAGCTTCCTGGGAGCGTGCATATAGGGCAGGCACATACTCCATATGGCCTCGACCATATTCGTGATCAGGGTCGAGAATATACTGGTCGAAGAAGAAACAAGATGCGCGCTGTTCCCAGGTAGCGTCTGCCATCTGATACAGACTCAATGATGGCTTCAAGGCCATCAAGGCTTGCTGACTCGTGCCGTTGAATCCCACTGTGGGTGTGAGTGCCTGGCTCATCTGACTAGGAGAGATTGAAACGAAGTCAGACACGGTGCTCGCACTGGCGCTGGAACTATCGCCGGAGTTGGAAATGGCGCTAGACTTGTCTCTCGGGCTGGCATCTTTCTTCAGCGGTTGCTCAACCTTCCCGGTCTCATTGCGAAAAACAGCACTGGGTCGGTAGCCAGGACATGGGCGCCCATAGATGGAGCAGTTGCGGCAGCCGGGACGTCCTTCATCACACTAGAGCAAGGTTAGTCATGCATGACTGCCGACCCCGGGAATAGCATCGATCTTATCGATTGTTGATCACGTCAAAAGACAGCGCCATCCTGCCGTATGAAAAGTTTAGAAATGAAAACTCATGACGAACCTTGATCTTTCTCTTACGACAGAGATGACACCCGGTACTGGGCTTCCCGCCATAGACCATTTTCTACCACCAATCGTCCTTGTTCGCGGAAAAGCCCATGGACCACGAATGTCACAGTACACACTACACGTCGTACACACTCGATGCTGCTGCTGCACCGGCGCTCGGGGCCACTATGACAGCCGCGCCTCAGGAGGAGAACCCGAGGTTCCTCAAAGGGGACTGGCCAAGCGCTTATCAGGGAGGGGGACCGGAAGACAGATGGAGGTACAAAGGTGATTAATCAAGTCGGCTGTCAGAGCTGAGTGGAGGGTGCCTCCCACTGCATTGCAAAAGATAGAGGATCAAATTGGCTTTTCTTTGGAACAGCCCGCTGACACAGTGACAATGCTTTAGATCGGGCGTTCAACAAAGTCAAAAGAAACAGGGCATTGTGTGAGAAGATCAGCTCGATCTTGCCTGGATCAGCTCATTCTTCGAATTAGCGGATCAGGGTAGGCGTGAGAAGTGCTGGATGAGAGAGCCCTGACGGTGGATCCAGGATTCACGGTCACTTGCAGTGAGCAATTGGTACCTCGGGGATTTGAAGTAATCCACAGCCTGCAGGGCCTCCATCGGTTTTTCCAGCCGCCCACCGTTGCCGGATGAGTCAGCCTTTTGCGGCCCTCGGCCGGACAAATCGGCCTACTGGATGGTGGATGCACCATGTACTGGTAGCTTACTACCTGGAGGTTACAGTGGTAACCTACCTAATTACAGTAATAGAGTAGTACGACTTCAAGAAAGCAGAGGTGCTTCGTCTCCTTACCGACCCAAGCTAATGCAGCAGTACTACTAAGCTATGAAATAGCGTGGTCAGAAAGTACCAGTACAAATCGTAAAGAAATATCTAGCTGTCTGCCATAATACTTGATGGATGTCACTTCGAGCTTGTGGGTAGTACAGGATAAGATTCCTGGAAATCGTAGGCTTTGCAACCCAAACTATCCTTTATTCTAATAGGGTCTCTCACTACGACGAAGACGCCAGAAGAGGCCTCGAGTGCCTTCATCGTCGAGTAGAGCCCCTCAGTTGCGGTTGATGCAAAGAGATTTTTATCTATGTTTAGGTGGATGGGAATTGGTAGCCACGATAAAAGATTTACTTGGAAGAAGGCCTAGTACGATTGGTCGCAAGTCGACGTAAGAAATTGATTATATCGCCTATCATGATCCGGAACACGATCTGACCTGGTACAAATTCCAACCGATTTCGTCAGGGCTCCCCTGCATCAGTGTCGATTGGGGCTGCCCGTAAACAAAACATCATATCAAGGCAACACCGGGTATGCAAGGCCCTCGCGCGATTCCCCTTGGCACGAGAGGCGACGAGAGGCGCAGACGCGAGGACGTGAGGTCCAACTGAAGATGGAGATTACCAATATCATCTGCAGGCACGAAGGAAGCTAAGAATGCTGAACGGAGGGGTAAAGGGGGAGAATATATTCAAGAACGAGGTCCAAACAAGACGGGTCGTCGTTCAGTGCTGCCCATTCGGATGTGGCAAGTCCATGGTCGTTAGATAGGTGGCGGATTATATCAACAACGAACTAGATTGAATGAGTGAGGGAGTTCATGATGGCAGAGTCTCAATCATCATGACGACGCGTCGTCCATAAGCTGATCATCATCTCCGGCGGATGGAATCATCAGCGAAGGATCTGCGAATAGACTGCGACGGCGGGTGTCAAAGGTAAGCTCACTGTCGTGGGCTGAACCAATATCCGGTGTGCTAGATGCGCTTTCAATGGCGACCCCGTCCTCAGCGTCTTCGGGTGGTGGAGAAAAGGACCAGACCTGCAATGACTCGTTAGGATTCAACAATAACAGAAATGAGAAAGACAAGACAAGAAGTCCCCGTAAACAGTAAGCAACAAAGATGCAGGGGGGAACGTACTTCCATAACGGTACGGCCAGATCGGCTTGCCATGATGACAGCCTTTTCCTCCTCAAATGCCACCCTCCATACAGCTTCGGCTGGACTGCTCAATTCTCGCAGCAACTGGCCGGTGGCCAGACTCCACACCTTGACACGACCGTCACTACCGCCACTCACGATTCTTGTGTTATCGAATTGAAGACTGGTTACACTGTTATCATGAGCGGCCAATCGATGAATGGGGGCCATCTTGGTTAAAGACCAGACACGGACGGATCCATCTGATCCACCAGTGACCAGAGTATCGCCGCGCATCTGTAACTGGCCGACGAGAGAGGTATGTCCCTGCAGAATCGCAAGGCACTGTCCGGAATGTGGGTCCCAGATACGCACGCTGGTGTCTAGGCTCCCGGTTGCGATACGCCGTCCGTCAAACGCAATGGCGTATATTTGACTGAAATGACCAGACAAGGTTCGCACACAGCGACCCTGAGGGATATTCCAGATCCGAGCCGTCGTGTCGTAACTACCAGAGACCACAAGGTCGCCGTGAATGGCCAGACATCGAACACTTGCCTGGTGCCCGACCAGGACGTTGCGGCATGTCCCCGTGGCCAGATCCCAGATCCGTAAAGTGGTGTCTCGAGAGCCCGAGATGGCGGTGTTGCGGTCGGACATTTTAAGGCAGCGCACTGTTGATGTGTGCCCGCGTAGCAAGTGAATTCCCGCTCTGTAACGACATAATGATATAGGTCAGTCATCTCGTGTCTCCAAAGTCGCGGCCAGACACAGAGCGAGGTGTCATAAGGTTCTCCGGCTTACCCAGTTGCCATATTCCACACGCGGACCTCACGATCGCATCCGCCGCTAACCAAAATGTCGTCCCACGGAACCATCGCCCACACGCCCATCACATGGCCCTCCAGCGTCTTTTGGTTATCACCATTTGTGTCGTAGACATGAATCTTGGCGTTATCCAAGGCGACCACGATATACTTGGACGTCAGATGCAGACTGGTGACGACCCCCTGATCCGGGGTGATATGGTGCTGGGTACACCGACCGCCCTTCTTCCAGGCTGATTCAACCATGTATTTCTGCTTGAACTGCGAGCGATACGAGATGGGCCGCACTCGACGTCGTCGCGAAGAGAGGGATGTCGGAGGTAACCATTCGCCCGACAGAGTGCGGGGTAGCGTAGGAGGCTGACGGGCGGCCGCGTGTTCGGTCGATGCCGTCAATCGACGTAAACTGGCCATGGCTCGTGTGTCCACGACCGGCTCGGTATAATGCACGGTGGTAAACGAGTCCAGCTCGCCGTCCCCTGAGTTGCGCCGTACCGAGTAAGCGTGCTTCACACAGAGATTCTTCCAGGTGATATCGTCGTTGAGCAGTTCCCTCCAGCGACGGGAGACCTGCGATGATCGGGCAAGGGTTTTTGGGTCATCGATAAAGGACAGGACCTAGAAGACGAGAGTGGAAAGAAAGGAAAAACATGGTCAATAATGTCCGCTTCTAACGACATGTCACCACTCTTCGATGTAGGCGCCTCGGCAATCTTACCCTCAAGCACAACTCGTTAGGAAACACCTGGAAGGGATCCTTCCGTAACCTGGGACCGACATAGCTGGACACGAAGCTCAGTTGTTGACTATCGCATCCGTCCAGAAGATACTCCAACAGCTTCTGTTTCCGGGAGTTGGTGAGGGTGCTGAAATGTATGCGTAGGTTGACGAGGAAGGCCGACTCCTCCTCGTCGCTCGATCGCCAATCTGCGAGGCGTTGATGCGGTGTAGGACTCGGCGCGGGGGTCGGGGGCGAAGCAGGAGCCGATGGTAAAAGGTTGGCAGGAATCGAGGTGACGGCCTTCTTGGATATGCTGAGAGAACGGGTCGGGCTGTGAGTAAAAGACGGGATCGGGTCGTGATTTGAGACCAGCGGGGACTCCAGCTGATGAGCCATCGACCGTGAGCTCATCGGCACATCGGTGTCGCTGTATGCTGGATCAGAGTCCATGGCGAGCGCTGGCCGTGTCCCGGGGGAGTGAAGACCGAGGGCCAGCCCGTCGTGGAATATGCGCCGATGTGTTGGATGCTCTGATGACAAGATCGACGGACAAGATGCGGTCGACACGCCTCGCGCTGAACGCACATATAGAGTCAACTGACGACTAAGGTAGATGTTACCAGTTCGGTCTCACGGTCACGAAACGATCGACAGTGCAGTCGCACCGAGCCAAAAAAAAAAAAAAATTCGTCGACGGGGCGCTGTGATCGGGTACAGACCACGAGGGGGTGTCGATATGGTTTTTGGGGGATCGGGAGAGCCTGGGCTGGCCACGGGGGTCGACCGAGGGAATCGCGGACGAAAAGTGGGCCTGAGTCGAGATGAGGCGCCTAATGGATAATAATCTGTTCCGACAAACGAACGGAGCAACGAGTGACGGGAGCGATCTAAAGCGGCTGCTTCCTGACCGATCGAAGCAGAGTGTGCCAAATATTGGGCGACTCTGGGTCTGCGGCTGATGAGATGGTCGAGGTGAATCCGATCCAATCTACAGTCCCGGAGGGGTGTGGTCCTTCGTGAGAGTATGCGCTGCTTGTCCCTTTGCCGGGTGTCTGAAAGTCTTCAGCTTGCTGCCCGAAGCTTGACGGAACGGTGACGGTCAGCAGTCGACGAACCCACGAAAAGCGTTATGAAGAAAAGGGTCACTTCCGGCGGAGTCGATGTCGTGACTAGTGGGGGCCTGCGACTGACAAAGCTGCCAAGCTCGCCCCGAAAGGACTCCACAAGCCGACCGGATGAAATCGATGGAGCTCCCGGTTCAGTTACAGTTATAGCGACGTAGCGATCAGTGACCCGCTCGCCAGTGGACAAAAGATCGAGGTCCAAGTGAGAAGCTGTGAGTTGCAGCTCCCGGGGGCTCTGAGACATGTGCGGAGGATGGACACAGCTGGATCGGAAAGAGACAGTTTCATCAAATCCGAGTCTGCAATTGCCCCTCCCTTGGAATTCCTCACGCCCGAGTGAGCGCGATGATGCGATATCGAGATGGCGAATCTTCGGCAGAGAGGCAAACGAGGCAACGCAGCCACCGAGCTGGCAACGGTGCACCTGACGAGGGCAGATCAGAGAAGCAGACGCTCTGGCGTCATGCGCTTCAAATGCGGTCTACCTGAGTTTGGCAACCAATCTACGAGGCCCAGCTGGCGCCCAGCCTTCACGCCCTTTTTACCGCGCGCTTGCGGGATCGCAGAGATCGAGAGGTCACGGGTCCTGGCAGCGAGGTACAGTGGATTTGCTTCGCTGAGTCAGGTTCATCACAATTCACAGGTACCTGGTAGGTTCTCCAAACACTCAGGAGATGGGGCAGACCGCGTCGGAGCCTCGGGCAAACCATACGGATCAATACAGAGTTCTGCAACTCAAACGGAACGGATGAGATGTGAGATTGATGGATGGTTAAACGTCCAACCATGTGGTCGGTGCCGTGGGTGACCGGACGGCTCACAAGGCGTCGACCGTGGAACGCTCTCCTGCAGGTCGCGATGATGCAAACTGACGAGATCGAATTGACGAATACTGTCATCAGTCTCCCCCCCCCCCCCCCGCCTTCCAGTGATTTAAAAATGAGCCGGGCCCGCGAGTCGAAAGGAGTTGACACTAGAATGCTGAGGGGTCTGACGCATTATATACCACAGTGATCCGCTCAAGGTGCTGACTCGCGCTCAACGTCACGCTACGTCGGTGTGATTTGTGCAAGAGAGGGAAAAAACCAACAGATGCGATAACTATGATCCCACCTGCCGCCCACCGTCCGTAGTATACAGCAAACCTAGACAATCTATAAGGTACTCCTGATCTCCTCGCAGGTGGTTGGGAGAGAAAAAAAAAAGAAGGGAGAGAAAAATTAGCCAAGCAATGCGAACGACACTTCTAGAAAGGACGGTGGAACGCTCAGACTTCCACCGCACTCGCTCAAGGTAGGGGAAAGCATCAAAGTCCAGGACATCGACTGGACCCGAGTAACATTATGGAGGTGGCGCAGTGGCTGACCACGGGGAGAGTATGTTAAGAACAGATGACGAAAAGATCCAAACAGTGGCACGTGAATCGCAATTGATAATCAACGTGGTCCAGCAAAAGTCGCTCAGTCAATTGGAGATAAAGTGGCAGGTTTAGTGTGCGTGGCCGACTTGTAGGAAGAGTGGCAGGATCATTCCCAGTACAGATGCCACGAGATCGCGCATCGACTTATCGGATTCTTTCGGCGAGTCACGCGACTCGGTGTACCCATTTTGCGGCAGCTCGCGCGATCCAGAAGAGTGTCCATTTTCTTGCATCGTGTGCACGGCGACGTACCTAGACTCCGGGTTAACATTGTTCACACGTCCCTGGTGAAATCGAGGCAGACTTACAAGAAAGTGCCACCAGAGAAAAGCAACAGCATCCCGGTCCGCCACAAGGACGCAGCCTCGTCACCCCCGGCAGTCCCAAGTAGATGGGCGAAGAGGAAGGTTACCAGGGCACCTACAGGGGCAGCCAGGCTGAAGACCAGTAGATGCGCTCGAGCGGTACGGGTCGAGAGCCCCTGCTTCAGGAGAATTGAAGTTAAACCGAAGGAGGCGGGGGCCTTGTGGACCATAATGGCAAAGAAAATGATGAAGCTAAGTCCCTTGTCCGTGCTCGAGGCACCTAATGCAATGCCATCTGCGGCGGCGTGAATGACCAAGCCCATGGTTGTCGCCATACTGTGGCTGTGCTGCTGCCGCGAAGGACCTGTTTCCAGGAGACCATCGGGTCGGGAGGGAGAGGAGCCACGCCGTAGGCCTGATCCTAGGTTGTCGAGGGAGATGTGATATGGCTGTCGATCGGACTTGGTCGGTGAAGCATATTCGGGGACCTTGTCTATGAGGTACATGAGGATGAAACCGCTGATAAGGGCGACACCAATCCAAGCATGTGGCGAACTCCCTTCTTTCTCTTCCTCCTTCCCATGCTGTTCTTTGGCGCTCGAGGTCTCGTCTTTGCGTACGCGCAGCGCATTTGAAGACTCGAAAGATTCGTGTCGGCGGGCAAGCGGTGATTTTTGCTGGGGTTCAATGTCCAGGAATGGCACCGGTATGCTGGAGGCCGAGGGAGAGGCATGAATATCGTCCTTCGCGATGACTTTTGAAATGGGACCTTCAGAGGACCACTCGACTGCGTTTGCGCGGGCGCCGACAGTCTTGCGACTGACAGCATTGGCGCTATATAAGGTCTCAACCCCTTCGGGGATGATAACGATCAAAGATGTACCGACTAGAACTCCCATGCCAATGGAAGATATCAATCTTAATTGCGATGCGGAGAGTGTCAATGCTAAAGGGAGAGAGCCGACAACGAATGACCTTCACACGAAAAGGGAATACAAGTCAGCGATCTTGGCCAAGAGGATGGTTTTTGGAGTTTGGATGAGTATCTCACGTCACCGCCATCACGATGCCCAGCGCGAGCAAGGTGAAGAGTCCCTCCATGCTGTCCGGTAGTGGTTGGTGATGTTGTCCTTTCGCCGCTCGTGTTGAGCTTTCAAATCGGTCACGTCAGCTTTACACCAATCCGATCATATCCCGATCATGGCGTTCTGAGTAGCTGCTAGACGTATTGATTTAGCACCAGCAAGGGTTCATTCTCGTGAAGCCCGTCCTGCGTGCAAATTGGATGATGAATTCACCAAGACGTGAGAGGGTGAGAGTTTGGAGGACCCACGCGGCCTGAGGTTCTCCGAACCCCAAACGGACGAGGGTGGATCTGCTTCTCAGGTACGGCACTGCGCCCGCCACATACAACGGGACATGGACTTTGTCAACGCATTGGAGCTTCTAACTTAACTACTTATTTGGCTGACTCAATACACCTCTGGTCTTACCCCCGCCCATGGATGAATGAACGCCGGCGAGCAACCGAAGGATGCCCACAGTCAACTCAGATATACCGTTGCCCACGTCATTTGGTTCGAAGCAGCCACTCTGAATCTGCGACCATAGCCGAACAGCCCGTGAGCGGACGACAGGTGAACATTGTATTCGCAATTTAGCATACAGTCCGCTGAGAGACTACGGGGCTTACTAACACTGTCCCTAGACCTATTAAATCCAGAGCTACCTACCCCATTTTTGTATGCCTATCTGAGTCGAGTTCAGGGCTCAGGATCATATGAAGACCAAAGTGTCATTGAATGGCGTTGCATGACCAGTTGGTCCATTCCAGCTAGGACGAAGCGCGGCCAACAGGAGCAGGGCAGCTGGCGAGGAGCAAATGCAGAGCTCAGGCTCAGCTACATATGCATGCATCGAACGCTGCAACCTCGATCCGCACGTAAGCATCTGCACGGATAATAGGAGAAGGGGCGTCTTCCATTGCACGTGGATGCTATCTACACTCGCATGTAGCACAGGCTGGCCCAACTATACACACTAGCATGAGATGTACGGATCTACCTAGGCTTTGGCCAGGCACATGCATATTTTATCTCCTGTCTCTAGATCTGCAAATGGTAAGGTTCACTTTATCAAAATTATGATTCAACATCTAAGCATAGTCATACTACCTTAAGTACGCTCAGCGTCGTCCGAACAATGCCAGAGCCGCTGCTACAATGTCAGGCGGAAACATGTTAAGGTAATAATCACTTCTATCTCGGTGCCTTTGCTTTTCATGGCCACAACGAGTCACTCAAGAGGTAAACATCAGGCACATCAACTGCCTGGATAAAGAGTGTCGAATCACGCACACCGTGCCGCCTGGAATTGTGCCTTTGAATAATGATTCCACCGCCAGCCTGACGCACACTACGCCCTTTCTTCATTTTTGCCCCCGATGGTGAAACTGGGTGGATAACCCAAAAACTGCCCTATCATTCCACTGGGCTTCAAGCCGAGGCCCACTGGGCATATTTTCTGCAACGTTGAAACAACTGATCCAGTGGGTTGATGGATGCACTAACTCATGTCACTTGGTTTTTTGTTTTGACTGACTTGACCTGACGTCGCCAAATTCTCCCAGCCAGTAGAGGCCGTAGAGGGAAGTTGGAACAGTAGTAGCGCACAACTCATGCACACTTGCACATTACCTTATCCTACTGTACTAGATTACTAATACCAAGTAGTTAACTTAACTAAGGATCGCCTGTCAGAGAGGTGAAAATTTCAAACAAGCATGAGATTCACAGAGCGACCCGTCCTCAATGAGACTTTTTTTAAGAAAGAAAATTGTCCTGCATGGAGATACCATGCTGCAATTTTTTGTCGCAGCCTCAAGAGTTCCCTTTACTAGAGATCTGCTCCCATCTGCCCAAGCATGCATAGAGTCTGGGTTGCAGACGAAGTCATGCATAATCATTGGCTTCGAAAGCGGCCCAAGCGATTCCTCGAACTCCACGACACTAGCGAGGGGGAGAAAAAAACTCTAACATTCAAGGTTGATGATCCCGGAGATTTTCCGGCACACAGAAATAGAACGCCGTTGCGACAATAGACTTTGGCGCTAACTGATATATCCGAAACGTAAGCCCTGAATCAGCGAGACGAGGGGTTCATCACGTCTCCTCACTCTTGGCGAGTCAACACCGGCAAGAACCCGTTTATGAAATTTTATGGTACCTCGTTTCCTGTACATTACTAGTTCCAAAAGATCGACAAGCGCACTATCTGCAGTCTGCAGTCTGTAGTCCTGTATGGCACCCGGCACACACTTCAGGGGCCAAGCAGGACGGCCTGGAATCGTGGCCAGGGTCGTCTAGTTATTTAGTTAGTGCCGCGGCTGGCTCTTCTCCCAGTAAACCAGGTTGTGCGCAAGAAATCACCCAGTCGTACGGCGTGGTTTATTTCAGTTGCCTCAGCCCCCCGGGACTTTTATTGTGGGGACGCTCGTGTGCCCGCCTGCCCGGTAATACGTGTAGCAGTCTGTCTTAGAATTCTAGCGTTGTGGCCAGAAGTTATCCATGCTGAGCTAGTTATGTACAAATGCACACTGAGTTGTGAACAACAAGTAAGCCGCATCTGCTTGGCGAGGTTGGCGCGGTCGAGACACATTGTTAGTCTCCAGGCAGAGGCGCGTTCTCCCGCAAGACCTGCATCGGCGACGGCGACTACGCCCAGAGAGACCATCATTGTCCTCGCGGGAGGTCTGGTTCGTGTGTCATTGGAGGACCGACTAAATGTCACGCTCCGAAATCTTACTTGTTTGCCCCTGAGCAGTCCCCTTCTCGGTGTGCCAAGCTGCAACCGTCGATCTTTTAATTTATAGTATATACTATATACTACATAGCCCCTCTGTGCCTCCCCATCGGTAGCTGAATAGATGAAACCAGGGACGATGGCGCGAGGGCGGGTTCTAGCCTTTGAACCTGGAAGCCAAGATATCTAGTGCATGGTCATTCATGACCAATGCTGCCAAGCACAAGACATGGCGGTCAGACACACGGGACTTGAAGCAGAGAACTAATGTCACAGGAAGGAAATTTGATATGATTCGTCAAAAGTGAAAAGCAAGATTCCGGGACGGTGTAGGGCTAACTGGGGAGTGAATGTGGAAAGGGTATATGGATATTGGTACACAAGAAAACGGAACAAAGGAGAGAAAAAACGACTGCCAAGGATTTTAAAGTCCCGTGTCAAGCGCGATTGGCGCCAGTCGAGGCAGAGAAAGATTCGAGTGGGCGTAATGCAAGCGTCTCAAACACGCTCCTTGCCGTTGACGTCCACCAGTTCAACCACACTGTGGGTCTCAGAGCGATTATGGTAGTTCACCGAGTAGCTGACAGACTTGTTGATATTGCTGGGGTGGCCGGTGTGTCTGCTGTAGCCTTCCATGGTGTGTGTAGCGTAGGTGCGGCGTTCAGAGCCAACCAAGGCAGGGAAGAAGCGTCCGATAAGAGCGCGGAAAGCAGGCAAACACGCACACATGACGGAGATCTCGACTTCAATCAGGGACCAGCGAAGGAGTGGGTACAGACCCTTGGTCTGGTTCACGCCCCAACGATTTCTCCAAAACACGACCGCGCGAATGATGGCAACAACAGTCAACCTGTAATGAAAGTCAGTATCACTGCGACCGAGTCTCCAAAGGGCATGCTTGTTAGCACAGAATTGAGACACGTACACTGAACCGACAGCGAACATGGTGGCAACAGCAATCTTCTTCTTCAGGGGCAACTGAAGTTTGACCACTTCAAAGACTGGCAGCAGGATCAGCACCGAGTCAACGGCGATGTTAGCCAGGCAGTTGACCAGGATCGAGACGATAAAGTTGATGCAACGTCCAGATTCCTCTCCCTGCCAGCCCAGCCAGGTCAGACGAGTGGGAATGCAACGAAAAGAGTCGACAAAGGCCCAGCAAAGGCCGATGGAAGCATTCGCCAGGATAAGAAGGTAGGCGGTATATCTGAACGGACGAGCGTGGAAGATGCGAAGGAGGAAAAGACACACGGAGATCTTGGCGAGAGAGATCTGAATCTTGTACATGATGGCGATAGCTTGGAAGGACTGTCAAAGAGACGTTAGATTTGTATTGGCCGCGATATATTTGTTGGTAAACTAACCTGGTAAAACTGGTTGATGTGGTCGAATGGAATATCCCAAATGTTCATCCCGGAACCGTGAACGATTGCTATCTTTGATCAGTGGTTGGGCTTGACCCGGGAGGACTGCAGACCTTTTCTGCAAGAAGCTGAACTCACTCAATGTATATCCGGCGTAAAAAGCAATTCCAAGAATCTGGAAAAAAGAAATGATGAGAGAGTGGCCTCAGTGGCATAAGAGTGTAATGAAGACGACTTACAAAGGAGACAATGATCGTATAGTCATCCCACCCCCATCCACCTCCGAGACCGATAGCCTTGGCATAGATCCTGGCGAAAAAGAAGAAGATGGCCAGGATGGTAGGGATCAAGGTTGAGGCGGAGACGAGGGGTGGGCCTTGCATTTTAGGGATATTGCACACATCCTCATACAATCTATAAGTGGCTGGAGACTGGATTAGTCGAGAAGCTATACAAGTCGCAGCTATCGCAGAACTTACTGAAATAGTCCTTCACGGAGCAGTGGGCTTCAGCGCAATCGAGTACCGACGACGCAATATCCGCATGTTGACAGAAGCATGATTCGTTGGTCGCAAGCGAGCAGTTAGATGTTGTTAATTGCGTGTCGCAAGTCAACTGTTTGTCAATGGTGAGTCAGAAACAGACCGATGGCACCCTCATATCGAGCAGTCACTTGCCGGCGGGGAATACTTACTGTGCAAGAAGGGAATGTGTTGGTCTCGAATTCAAAGTTCACGGCTTGGACGCCACAGACGAGCAGAGTCAAGCACACCAACAGACACTGTTGAGGCCTCATTGCGACCAGAAGACGAGGTTGAAGATTTGGCTGTACAACGGTCTCTGAAGGAAAACCTCTCCTCTGATACTTGATGGGGGAAATCGGTAGCTTTTGTTTCGAGTTTCGGCATTAATGACCCAGGCCAGCAGACGTGGAGTAATGTTTCGTGGGCATCAGCCCGTGTTCATAACTCCACACGCCTCCATGGCGCCGTATCTCGATATTCACGGCGTGTGGTGCCCCATTTCGCCCGATTGCCTCGATTTGTTTGGTCTGTGCATGAGTCCACTACTGAGTCCAGTGCACTTGGATTTCACAACCAGGTCCGGTCCAAAGTGGACCTTGCCCTAGACTGGCTGCTCTTCGGAGCGCTCTCAATCCGGAAGTTGACCGGGTCCACCGCGCTCCTGAGTCTGGGCGGTTTCTTCGCGGTTCTCCGAATTGAAGGTGCCGTATAAGGGAGTTTGCCCGCCCAGTACCTGGCCCCTGCAGCATGTTAGTAACAGTGGCATCGTTCAATGGAAGATTGGCCCGCTTGGTAGTAGTGCGGTGCATTATCAATCGCTATTGTCTTCTCCAGCCCTAGACCCATGGCTTCGCTTCAGCCTCATTGCGATTATTGCTGGCCCTGGCTCCCCGAACGACCAGATCTGGACATTGGACACGATGTAATGAGCTGGGTCATTCAAGCTGATCCGTGTTGACGGGTCCGAGCCCAACTAAACCCCCCAGAAACGAGTCATGCGTAGCTGATCCCAGAAACTTGGACTGTAGCTCTCCAGCGAGTGTGCTTTGACTGCACCACGACGGGAAGAATATGATTATTGTCAGGGTCAGCTGATGATCACAGGTCCTGCTTGCAAAACCGCCGGTCTGGTAAGCCAAGCGTATGGAGCCACCTCCTGGAAAATTTGCGCTGCACCATGGGCATCGGACACGGTGTATGACACAGTTGGCTTCCTATTGAGTTTTGTGCTTAATCGTAAGTTGAGCCAGGTGGGTACCGGTGGTCCGGTTAACATAAAGAGCCTACCGAATCACTAGTCTAGAATTTACAACATGGATACAAGGCTGTAGCTACTAGCTAGTAGATGACTAGATGCTCAACTTCTATAACTTCATTTTTGTCAAGTACAGCGCGATGAGTGTAGCGGAAGGATGAATTGGAGGTTCTTCATGTGATGACTCAACTGAAAGCCCTTCGAACCATGGAATACGGCTCCTGAATTTCAGTCATTGCAATGTTCGCACACATACATACTACCTACCTACCTAAGCCTTAGTAAGCTCAAATCCTAGGTACCGCTACGATACTGCGCGGTTGGCTAGCTGGTATGGCAGGCCTTGACTGATCTTGATCTTTTTGAGATGGAAGTGGTTCAACCTATTTCGCCCCTTTTTCACTGATCTATTCTCCCCACCGGTTCCCCCCCGATCTTAAGTACATCGACAATATCGGCAAACATATACGTAGACAGCCGATCGGTCGCTAAGCTACCCCAAGCGTGATCTAACACGTCAGAGATCGGGTCCATCTCCATCGCGTTGCTAGCATTCTTGTATGTGTTGCAGATCTTTCAAGCGCCATTCGATTCTTTTCCACGTTGCAGCAAGAGAATAGATCGACTGCACAGGTTTTTCGCCCGAAGATACCCTCTGTTGACCGACCCACTTGTTTCAAGCCCACCAGAGAAGTCGTGGCAATCCGATCTTTAGGAAATGGGGCACCTGGTGAGATTAGCAGGAGATCTTTCTCCGGCAGGCTTGATTTGACAGTTGAGGCTCTGACTCCCAAGAAATGGAGGGCTCGCGCGCGCGCCTCAACACGGAAAACTCTTTCAGAGCTGCTCATCACTTCTGGAGACGGTCTTCAACCGCGATTCAATTTTGAGTGTCAAGTCGCCCCTCCCACTTTGTATTATTCGGCACTTGAAAATCGGTAGACTTTTAACTTTAGCCACGTGCACTAGTGTCGCCATCGTGACAGCCGTCGAAAAAGACAAGATCGTAATCGTAGTGTTCATTGTTCAGTCATCAGTGTCACTGTCAGTGTCTAGTGGTCCACTACACAGCACACACTACACAGTGAATAGTGAGTAGTAGTAGACTAGTAGTACTACTCGGTGACTCAGTACACACTTCACAGTGCTTCGACCGTAAGACCCCCTTGAAATGAGAGTGGTTTGTCCAGCAAGTCAAGGTGGCTAACCTTGGGCAAGGTATTCACTTGGCTCTTGAGTCATGCAGTCAACCTCATGAACGCACCTGGTTAGCTTGGCCTGAGTAATTCATTTTCTCTTCCCATCGTTCCCAGGCAGAGAGTAAACCGTGTTAGTTCTTACGAATCATCCACCCTGCGACCGTTTTTCAAACGTCCAAGGACAGTACTGTAGTAGTTGTAATCAGTCCCGTTCCAATGGCCCCAGACATGCTATTATCATGAGTCTTATCATCCGTTTCATGATTATGCCCAGTTTTAGCTTTCTGCTACCTTGAGGGACCACCAATGGCTCATGTCAACCTAGTTCCATGAATCAAAATTTTGATGCCGAGGAAAGCTCCCAGTAGGGTGCCAAAGCCGCTTGACTCAAAAACGAGCTTTGAAGCTTGAAGCGGTCCGACCGAACTTTGGCTTTGTTCAACCCCAAGACTCCGATGTTGGCGTCCCGTATTACTCCTTTACCGGGTCGCCTGTGCAGGTCAGCATTGACCTCTGATTAGTTCGATGAACCATGTTTAAAGCTTGATGGTGAAAATTGCCGGAGGATTTGGCGGAGAGACCTGAAACACGAGAATATTTTTGGAAGCATGACGAATTGATTCGACTTCACGTTTGAGTGACCTTGTGTCAACTACTTTTCTTGATTGTCGTCAAGGGCCACCGTAATGGAAGTCTTCCCTAAGCTCTCGACATAATGGATGGATGGATGACGATGCGCAACCTAACCTTCGCTAAATGTCACAGACAAATCGCATCTTACCAGGCTTAAAGATAATGGCATCGAAGGACAAAAATGTCTTGAGATTGATCTGCGTGAACCAAGATCTTTGCATCTACGGCCTATCTTTTCCTGTAACCAATACCGCCCATCACTGAGGTACTTACCCGGATAGTACGTACTGGCTAGGTACTGGACTAAAAGATTCCGCTCGCGTCTGCTAAGAGAGAATAAAGGAGTGGGAGGATGCCTGTGCCAGATACTAGACAGTGAATAGTATCTTCCCAAATCTTATACTGATAGGAATGATGATCTGTCGACGAATTCGAGTTTAGGACGAGTGTCTGAGGTTGGGATACGTAGAGAGATCTCAACGAGCTGGCAATCCCACCTCATCTTCTAGCTGTCTACTTTAATAATCGGTTTCAGACTTCCGCACTACAGGACCTTAAGCTGGAGGTGCTTCTCTTGATCTGATCGACATCAGAGCAAAGGCCACAATGTTGATGGAGAAGACTTTGTGAAGGGTGAACAAAATCGACTGGTGAGTTTGAGTGAGGTGATAGACTCCATCATGCATGCAGTAGCGGCTGGCAGAATCGCCCTGTCACACTTATCTAAGACTGATCTGCAAGTTAGCTTGACCATTGGCTTCATTACCAGGAGTGAGCTAAGAGAATTGAGTTCTCATGAAGAAAATACGCAATGTTTATCAGAAATTCTCTGATAGGTGGATTACTATTTTGAAATTAAGAAAGTGTTATTGGGTTCTTTTTGAATTGGATGCTAATAAAGCACAGTCATTTCTCACCTTTATTAATTTTAATTCTGCAGCAGTTGACTCACCACACATGGAACCACCCGACCTGCATCGATTCAGTACCGCCTCGGGCGCAAGGGAATTTTCGCCCACGTTCATCATATGTACTACTAGTAGGTTAGTAGGTAATTACCTAATATTGCCGTTTCTACCTTCAGGCGAAATTCATGAGATCCTACTCCATACGTCGATGTCGAACCATAAGATGACCTTCTAGAAGCAAGCTGGAACTCGCCAGGTCTCAGTCGTCTCTGCATTGAACCACGGATCGAATCAAAGCTGAATTTTCGAGCTTTCGCCCTTCCGTCTTTTCTGCAATCATAGCCTCGGCAGTTTTGTCTACATGACCAACTTAGCCCCAGATCTAATGGATTGAAGAATCTGACCAGCCTGCCTGGGCCGGGCCCACGGAGCAAATCTTCACCCGGTCCTGTGGTAAGCTAATCACGCCAACGCTGCATCTGGTTCCGTGCCTTACGTGTGTCTTCACGTGTACCTGGCTAGCGCAGCAGAAGCTCGGTGTCGCCTGATGCTGAGTAAATACTAAATACGTAGACAGCCACAGTCGCTTGGGCATATTGTACAGGGCACTACGAGAACATAATGTGGTTTACCTGGCTGAAGGCTTAGGCACAATCTGCCCAATGCACTGAACGATTAGGCAAGGAAATTAGTCGCAGCGTTTATGAACGCATTATGAAGAGATTGGTTCTTGTTCACGAGGAGCGCCTTGAAATTTCGCAACTGCACGTGGCACGTTTAGGTTTGAGCTAAGGGCATTGCAGAGTCGATCTCCGCTTTGGGTGGATCGCATGACTCGAGAGGTGGTGAAAATTCGGCTCAACGTGGCAAACTCTCCGAGATGTCGGGACTCGGAAACACCAGCAGAGCCGGCGTGTGACCCGGAAATCAATCCAGGGACAAAATCAATGAATTTCCAAGAACATGAATTGATAGCAGAGTAAGTGCGTTCATTGGATACGTTTCTACACAAGTTGTCTCAGTATCACTATCAACATCATTCAATCAATTGTACACTCGCTTGTTTGAGCGATTACTCCGTCAAGCTCAGCGAAAGGCAACGGTTGATGGACAACCGATAAACAGACCACTCATTGTTTCCACCTCGGTGATTGCCATCTCATGTTCACAGCAGGTAGGGGGAGAAATCAAAGGCGGCTTCGGCATTGCCGGCAGCGAGACCAGCAGCCTTGAGAGCATCCCAGTTCACGTCGTTGATGCCAACCTCATAATCCCAGCCGTAGTGAGGGTCGGCGTTGGGCAGAATCTGCCAGTAGAACCAAGGAATACCAGCAGCGGTGATAGACGAGGCCCATTCTCTGATATTGGAGTCTCGGGTACCCGTGCTCAGGGGGTGCCACTCTGACAATTGTGGTTGGAGGTGTCGGTGTAGCATGATCCCCATTCCTCCATGATGAGCTTCTTGCCAGCATTCTGAGCCTTGGTGACATAGGGTTGCAAGGCGCTAGTGGCGAAATCCCCAACGCCGTATGCGTGGATGGAGAGAACATCGAGCGCGTCGCAGCTAAAGTAGGGGTCGAGAAGAGAGTTGGCCAACCAAGCACCGCCGCCGGTAGCGACCAGGATGTTTGAGTTTCCGTTCAGGTTGTCCTTAATAGATTGGGCAATGGTGCATTGCCACTTAGTCAAGGCATCCGGATTCTCCTGATACTGGTGTTAGCGGCGTATTCATCGTGACTCCTTCACAATTTGTTCTTACCTGATCGTGCATGGCCTCGTTCTGGGTCTCAAAGGCGAAAATGTACTCCGAGCTCTCGCTCCAAGCCTTACCAGTCTTTGAGTTGACGTGACTCAAGACGTGAGCGACTCGGTCCTTGTAGTACTGAATAGCGTTGGCATCGGTATAAAAGTAACCGGTGCCATACCACTTTCCGTAAAAGTCCACATTGTTCTCAAGGGCATTGTAGCTATGGATGGAGATCAAAAGCTTGATTCCGTAGTCATGAGCCTTGACCATGAGATCATCCAAGCGTTCCAGCACCGTATCATCGTAGGGAGTAGGGTTGTAACCCTGCAAACCAGGGAATGGATCGATGTTGGTACCCTTCTGACTATCCGATTGACCTTCATGACAAATTGCGTTAGCACACCGGGGCCGAGTCTCTTTGCATTCGGCGGTCGTGTCACTAGATCATGGGTGCACTCTACCATCAAGCCAAACACGCAGGACCTTGACGCCCGCGCTCTGAAGACCCTCCAGCAGGGTGGTCGACTGACTGTCGGTCAAGCCAGCAGCATAGTACAGGTTGGATGCTGAGAAGGATTTGGCAGCCAAGGCTCCAGTCAGGCTGGAGATGCCGTACAGAGCCGCAGCAAAAGAGAACAATTTCATCGTGACAGGAGTAGCGTTTTTCTCAGGATTCGAAATGAACAATTGCTGAGTTGGAATAATTCAAAGATGAGGCTGATGATTATATGTCTCTTCCAGGGCGGCTGGCACTATGACTTAAATAGCCTTGAGGCAGCTTGCAAGGTGTCTTGCAAGGTGTCTCGCAAGCCTGCGACATCAAGAAACAAGCAACAAGGTGTTATGATATGGCAATGTAACATCAAGTCGCCGGTTATGCAGAAGGTGACAGGTTCACGTCCAGAGAACCACCCCAAGCTACTGGCGATCTATAGGATTGAGAGGAATGATCGGCCGCTCTTGGCCCCCAGCTTTCAGGACTCTAAACCTAAAGGAGCCTAGCATGGGGCCACCACCGTCGATCACTGGCACTTTCGGACGGCGTTGTTCGAGGTCGAGGTCCAAGTCATTGTCGTGCATTGAACAAGTTCACCAAATTCCATTTCGGGTAATTTGATGGAATCCTTGACGCAAAAATTCCCACGAGTCATGCCTGAACACCGATGAGGTATCTGGACTTGTTCAAGCTGTATACCTTCGTTTACTAGACGAGTTTCCTAAACAGGAGACGGTGTCGGTTTCTGAGCCGGAGGTGGCTGGCACTTGGGGTTTGTCTCGAAACACCTGTATGACAACCACCTCCGATGTCTAGATGACAGGCTGACACGAGATGGCACCACTCCAGTAGACGTATAGCTCGGTCCGATCACAGTCTCGCCAAGCTGGTTGGCTACGAAGCCGCGCCAATGGCAAAGAGAGCTCATTGAGTACGAAGAACCATGATCGGAGGATCAAGTGGTACGAGCTTCGTAACTTCGAAGCGTCGTAGATTGTTTGTTTTGAAACCCGAAGGATATGGTGCAAGATCCAGTACACCAGCCTCAGGAGATTTGCGCATGTTACTGTATCCATTCCCCGATCCCATATAGATCATGGTCGATGTTGTCCTTCACTTGAAGCCATGATCCAACATCAAACCAGATGGAGGAAGTGGAGACATTGTCGAAAGTGGAAGGTTTGTCTTCCGCCCATCCCGTGCTCAATTTGGGGCAGTAGCTCTGCTAAACAACGGAGATGGTCATTCGCCAAGCACGCTCCACTTCTCGGCAGATAACAGCCTAAAAAGGTAAAACCACTCTTTGGACCAGGTGAACATCATCAGCTGGATGGAGCATCGAGAGTGCGCTTGGATCCCCCAGACTTGGCCCACCGGATGACAGATGGGCTAGACCAGAAAGGGGAATTGAGGAACTTCAGCAAGTATTATAGTACTACCGTGTCTCTAGTATCTACGTCCTGTATCAGGTCTCCTCCATTGCGATCTCAGCCCACTCGCCCGAGTTACTACAAGCTTGATATTCAAGGTGACATCGCTAGTGTTGCAGAACAGCTCATCAAGGAAGGTCGAAGGGATCATTTCTTCCTGGGAGCAAAATAGGATCCACATCTCCAATGCGGGATTTATCGTCCGGCGATGATATCGTTATGCATATCATCATGCCGCGTATATTTCTGTTGCTTTGTGGTGGCAACTTCGTGCAAGCAAGTCGTCAGTTGACAGCGCACCTTCAAAGAGGCAAGCCTGCGATAGGAAGGTTTCACATGGTATTCAATTTGGACGTACTCATATCAATCACGACTACGATTACTTGCGTGGGCAGCTGTGCAGGTTTTCAATGGCTAGCTCTACATTCCATCTCCACAGATTGGGGCTCAAGGTTGCCTGCTGAATCTTCCATTGTTCCTCGTTAGGTTGGACGAAGCTACTTGAGGCTACTGAATTTCAAGCAATACACTTGATCCATCAATGTTCACCATAAGGAATGATTGCAGTGACAAATCTGGAGGCGGAATCCAACTGCTTTCATCATCATGGCAAATCAAATGAGGTGCCGCATGGGAAGAAGATGCCTGTCACCTTTGATCTGCCAAAAGTTGATTTCGAAGGACTTGACAGACTTGAATATCTTGGTCCTGGTCGTAAATCCTGCCCATGGGCAAGCTCAGCTACTGGTCATTTCAGACCTATAAACTAGGCAGAGCCCTGTCATAACCATGTGTGATGTGATCTACCGGCGGAATGGCGCAGCGAAATCCATGCAATGCGCAACCTGAGACAAGTGAGTAAAAGACATTGCTCAGCCCAATGCCATACAACTGCCGGACGCGGCTCTCCTACGAGTCCATGGGTCAGGAGACTCTCGACAGCTCTCGAGTAGAGTGCTCGACTTCAGACACTCTGCAGTACTATCTATCTGAGCCACGTGTAATTGTTGCTGTCTTTCATGGCAGTTTCCAGGTTTTGCCCAGCGTTCACCAACAAGAATATCAAGGGTACGGACCGACATTCTAAGACCCTGCCCACATGGCCGCGCGAAAGTCCCAGAAAGAGTGATGGCTGCGTTCAATGAAAATAACCTGAAATCGATGGTCAAGAACTGCCAAGGATATGACCAACATAGCAGTATAGACTGGAGTTATGTCGATCGGGAATCTGATCGCTGCTTACTTTCTCCTATTGAGCTTGAGCTTGGCTCACGTAGTTGAAGGTTCTCAATCCCAATCGGCTGTTTCATGTTCGCCAATGCCGTTGCAGGCCCGCTTGCGCTAGTCCAGTTGAGGTAATACTGAAGTGGAGATTTCCAACGCGACCCAGACGCGCTTCCTTTCTGCCTTTACGTATCGCCCGTGTTGCTCACCCTGTCGAGCACCTAAGAAGGACCTTGTTTCTTTCCCCCTCTGCTAGTCAAACTTTCCAGAGATGGCGCTAGAAGACGAATGTATGAGAGAACCAGGTCCAAAAATACGCATTAAGTCCATTGCTTATCCATTCCATCTACTTCCCAGGGACCAGCGACGCCAACGATGCGCTCCACATCACGATGGTGCAGCCGGGCGAGACGAAGCCAAAAACTCTCTCAGCTTTTCACCCCCAGTTCACATATCCCATATTCGGCGACGAGGAGCAGATTTTCGGCTACAAAGGTCTCATAATACGCTTACGGTTTGCCGCCCACGATTTACGCCCTCATATCCATATTTCATACGAGGATCGATTCAAGGCTGTTGGTGAGGTGACTGCTGCGGATGTCCTTGGCATTCTGAAACAGTTTGCCCCAGAGGGTGAGAGCCCCAGCTTTTTGCCCTATACTAAGAGGCATTTTGCGCCGATACAGGACTAACTCGTCAATAGAAGCCTTCATAACACTTCCAGACTACGAGAAGGCCGTGCAAGATGACACCGATGCGAAGGACTTTACACCACCTGGCAAGCTTGTCTATGCCTATGACGCAGATGAACGATCATATGAAATCTGGGCAGGGTCCCTAGCAGATCCTGCAGTGCGACGTATTCTTGATCGCGCGCAAATTCTGGTGTCACTTTTTATCGAGGCTGGCACGCCTTTGGACACGGACGACCCGGAGTGGACTCTTGACCGGTGGATGATATACTTTGTGTATGGGAGTCTGGTACAACCCGCGTCGTGATTTCGACGTCGAAAGCTGACGGCCACAGGTATGAGAAAGTGAAGCCTCCAACACCAACGGCATCGTCATACTCGATTGTTGGATACGCGACGACCTACCGATACTGGCTCTACCGGCGCGATCGCTCCATTACCCCAACCGTGAAAAACGACCCCTTTCCACCCCCGGAGATCAAGCTTTCTGAACTTCCAGCACGACTCCGTATTGCGCAATTCCTCATCCTTCCTCCACATCACCGCGCCGGTCACGGTACTCACCTTTACACAACTATTCACGCATCATGCCTTGCGGATCCGACAATCATAGAATTGACAGTCGAGGACCCCAACGAAAGCTTCGACGCTCTTCGCGATACCGCCGATTTTTGTCTTCTGCAACCAGAGTTCGACAAGCGCGAAATTAACATCAACCCGGACCCACTTGGTGCTTACTCCCACAAGAAGCGTCTTCAAGATGTTCCTACCGCGGACCTCATTCCGAAGCAAACCTTGGATGAGATTCGGACAGCTTTCAAGATTCAGGAAACGCAATTCGACCATGTTGTGGAGATGTACCTCCTCAGCCAGATCCCCGAGAGCCACCGCTTGGCTGGAGGGGCTAACCTGGCCCGTTTGTTGATCAAGAAGGCTCGCGCGGACGACCCGAATGACCGGAGATACTATTGGTGGCGAACGCTTGTAAAACAGCGTCTCTTCCGGAAACACAAGGAATTGCTGCAAGAACTGGAGATGACAGACCGAGTAGAGAAACTCGATGATACGGTGCGCAATGTGGAGGAAGGATACGAGATCACATTGTCTGCTCTCCAAGAACGGCTATCAGGAGCTGCAGAGGGAGAGCAGGGGGCGTACCTTCCAGTTCCCGCCGCAAGCGCAAGCTTGCCATTGAAGATGAGGATGATGAGGAGGATGAGGATCCGAGCGAGGCCGAGTCAGCCAAGCGGTCCAAACCCAATTAATCCAAAACTGCAGCCTGCTTCTTTCGCATGCTGAGGGGTTCTAGATATATGTTCTGTTACTGCATAAGGCTAAGAACAGTATAAGTTCCAAAAGAGGCACAAGAGCCACATGTTTGCCACACACGTTAAATTGTGCGCATGCTTTTCCTGTAGCCAGCTAGATTGAACCTCGTGAATCCTCGTGACTGCCCGCTGCCCGCTGTGCCCAGTAGCGGTAGCATCCTGTGGACGCCGGAGGATATCTCGGAAGATCGATGTTCCGCAACCATCCCGCATCGAAGATGCGGCGGAGCTCAACCACCGCTTGTGGAAGCTTGACGATCTCCAATACACGATACTTTACGCTCCGGCGATTTGTATAAGAGCCATTAGCCTGTCGATTCTCACAGGCAATTGATACAGCCAGATCTTCCCCGCTTGCCCTTTTGTTCCAGCCTTGATCCCACGTCCACGCCTCGTGCACGTCAACATCATTGACAATGGTATTGCTCTACCCTCCAATGCGCCCATCAAGCTTCATGCGCTGACATAGTATCGAATAGCTTCCTTTGGGTCTTCTCACGGCCGCGCAAGGTCACCCAATGCTGGTAGAGCTCAAGAATGGCGAAACACTCAACGGCCACCTGGTCACCTGCGACAACTGGATGAACTTGATCCTCCGCGAAGTGGTACAGACTAGTCCTGAAGGCGACAAGTTCTTCAGACTACCTGAAGTCTATGTTCGCGGCAACAACGTATGTCACAGTCATCGCATGCGCGAGCCCGCCTGGAGCAAAATGAACTGTTTATTTTAAGGTCATCCGCTGACAAAGTCGATAGATCAAATACCTCCGCGTCCCCGATGAGATCATTGAAATCGTCAAGGAGCAGCAACAAAACCAACCACAAAATCGCCGCGGTGGCCGAGACAATGATCGTGGGAGAGGTCGCGGCCGAGGTGGCCGGGGTCAAGGTCGGGGCCGAGGTGGGCGTGGTGGTGGTGGTGATCGTGGCGATCGTGGCGATCGTGGCGGTCCTTGAAATGGGCTCTGAGAAGCGTGATTGTGCATCGCCTCCTCGAAGCAATGTGAATGAGATACCCTACAGCATAGATTGGCATGAAAATTGCCTTGCGAGAAAGCCCCGAGGGATTAGGTTGGATGAGCATTGCCCTGGCGTACCTGGCTTTGTATGTGTTCTACGACCTCGACTGAATTAAATAGTCCACGACAAACAAATTGAAAGTTTATGAATGCACATGTATTATGCTCGCATTCGATTCCCCTGCCACCACTTCACTATGTACCCTGGCCGGCGCAATTGCACCAAATACTGCTTAACCTACTACTGTAGCGTCAAGACTGGATATTCGAGGCGGCTCTGCGGGACAGTTAATCACATGACTTGAGCGGAATCGCGGCCGCCTGTCAGTCGCCGTAACTTGGGACTAACTTTGAGTTGTGAACAGCTCCGAAATGTCACGTCGGATGCTCGTTCTCGATGGGCTTTGGTACACATTATGCCCCTCATTCACTCCGTCCGCATTGCAACGACCCAACTCTCTATGGACCCGCCGACAGCCTTCATCATTGACCCCCCGTCGCACTAAGGCGCCGCCGCGGCAGCGCTGTCAAAGCACCTACGCATATCAACCCGACAATGAGCCCCGGAAACAAATCAAGGCTGCATCAAAAGCCTTGGAAGATATAGCAAAACCTGTCTCCGCATCCATCTCGCTATCAGATGAGGTCCTAGAGAATACACAAGCAAATCTCGCACCCAGGGACCGGTTCGACAAGATCGACCAGGAGTCAATACCTTCACGGCGGAAAAAGGAAGTCAACAAATGGCCAGGGATACCAGAATATATTGCTGGGAAGAGCAATGACAGTCTTGAGGCGCTCTTACAAACCGAAATGGGTAAGAGGCCCAACATTACTTCTGCCACTCATATCCTGAGGTTGTTGATAAGGGACCGTGGAATTCAACCATCCGCGCGTCATTACAAAGCTCTTATCGTGGCCAACTCAGACGGGATACATGGTTCACCGAATTTTGTCAGAAATCTCCTGGAGGAAATGGAGAGATACGGCGTTGCAGCGGATTCGGGGACGCTCCATGCTGCCTTACAGGTGAGTACAGCTAATTCTAAAGTAACGGATGTGCCCGAACCGATCTGACTCTGCCTTCTTCTCTGCGCAGGCCCTCGCGGTACACCCAGACTTTTCCCTCCGCCAGGAAGTCCTTCAGAAGTTGCGTGACCGGTGGCTCACCTTGAGCCCGAGTGGGTGGCATTTCGTTGTCGCCGGTCTTCTTCGAGAGCACAAATTCGAAATGGCGCTTGAGCAGATTTCGTTGATGCTCCAAAAAGATATTCATGTTGAAAGCTGGCTCCACAGCTCAATTATCTATAACCTTTGTGATATGGAAGAACTGGATGAGGTTCTCCGTTTGATGGAGGTTCGTGTGCACCAAGGCCACGACATGACATCAGCATTGTGGATGCACGTGCTTCGGACAGCAGTCGAAGCGCAACATTACCAGCTGGCGCGCTTTGTGTGGCGGCGTCAGGTCGAGCTTGGTTATCTTCGTCTTCCTAGTGCTGCATGTAGCGATGTTCTTCAACTTGCAGCGGAGAACAGTGACCTCGAAGTTGCCCAGTCAATTTTTCGCTATTGTGCTCAGCGAGCGCTAACACCTACTGTCGAGGATTTTGGACAGCTCGTACTGGCCTATGTTGGCGCAGACAATGTGTACGCTGCCTTTGAGACTCTCTGTACCATCAGGGAAGCTGGTCTTGAGGTGGATCAGTCGACCACCCTTCCCATTTTATCTTACATGATTCAAAACAAGACCGATCGTCGCGAGGCTTGGCAAATGCTCAAAAAGCTACACAATGATAAGCATGAAGTTCCCCTTGCAGGTATCCGGGTGATCGCCGAGCTGTGTGAGCATGATGCGCACCATGACCCGACGGTGGTCGACGATGCTGTTGGTTTCTATAATGAGATTCACACTCTCTATTCGCGAGGTGCCGACCTGGAGGTTTACAACATTCTGATTCGAATGTGTCGAATTGCTGGCAAACGGGAAGCTGGTATCTTCCTCGTCAAGGAGATGGCCAAACTGAATGTCATTCCCGACTCCGGTACCTTTGAAAGCATTATTCTGATGTGCCTGGACGCGGGAAACTACAAGTCTGCGTTGATGTACCTGCTGGATCTTTCTAAGCGAGAAGGAGCTGAGCTCAGCCCTGGGGCGAAGCAAGAGATTCGGAAGCTCTGTGCCGAGTCTGTCAACGAGTACGCATTGCGACTACAGTATCACCCATTACTTCAAGGTGCTGAAACATCAGTCTCGGACGCGGGCCCTGAAACAGGCTCGCCCTCTGACCCTACGCGGCCCTTGCGCCATAAGCTGGGTCGCGAGGAAAGAATCGCGTACAACAAGGAACGGCGACAAAGAAAGCGACGTCGACTTGCCTTGGAGAGAATCGCTGCCGAAGGTCAGGCGAGTGCGGAAAATTCACGCTGCGTCGCGGGTGAAGACGACGATGAATCCAGCGAGGCGAGACATCCGTCTTCTCAAGATTGAGGACATCTCACCGAGATCGAGGTCTTGCACCGCTTCCTGCTCGCATGCGGTGACAAAGAAGACAGGGGAGATACTGGACTGACGGCCGCCCATCATTTATGGTCAAGAAGCACCCCCACGGCCCCTTCTCAATTCGATGAGACGAAAGGGAAGAAGCTGTGGGACACATTCCATGCCGAAACAAACTATGAAACGGCGGATGGAACCTTTGTCTCAATTCTGGACTTTCTGAGCCGAAGCCTCTTCAGTCGAGACATGTATCATTCATTGGGAAAACCTCATCCTGTATTTCTATGTACCATATCCCGAGCATTGAATTGACATGATTGACATGATATTGCATTTCTAATTATTGCACGGGCCAAACAGTATGATATATGCTGAAGTAGAGTATGCTTGATCCCCGTCACTACTGCGCGCGTACGAGTGTCCCACGATTAGCTTCGCTCAAGAACTGCTTTGCGTGATGATCGAAGGACATAGTCGTTCCTGTGACATACTTTCAGTGTCAATTATTCCGTGCAATAGAAGGGTTGCAATTCGACCCCGGTGTACAGAGTAAATCGTCCCTGTGCAGCACGGAAACAAGAAGAACTCAGCACTGGCACGATCCTAACGTGGAAATTTCCATCGAAAAGACTGACTTTGACACTTTCAAGGATCTGCAAACCTGGCTGATTGGATCAACGGCTGGAGATTTCATTTTCCTGGGAAATACTAGCACCTTGGAGGTCGTCTACTAAGCTCGAATCCTATTTCGCTATCTTGTTTACCTTCATGTTCTTTACTCGTCCACCATTGTCTCTTTCATAGCGTGTCTTCCTTGTCCGCTTGTGTCTGCCACTTGATTTTGTCATTCAACCCTTCTTGTAGATACCCAGGAGCGGGCAGCGTAGGCCCTAGTCGCTGGGTATATGAAGAGGTCTTCCTTGGCGTTCGGCGAATTGGAGCACAAGCTCATGCGATGGTGTCAGCCGCAAACCATGGCGCTCACCGTGCGCATTCCTTTTCACATCTCGGCGGAGGCACGACCGCGCCGTTGCCGTCTATCTGGGCAACTGCAGCTTCCGCCTCCAGTTGCGGATGAAAGTCCCTTCAAGACCCACCTGGCTTTCCTAAAATTAGGACACTCGACGATCGTGAAACACGCGGGGCAGAAGAGATCGACCGGTTGAACAGGAGTTGAGTGGGTCCGTTTGACCGGTCGAGTATGGAGTATGGACCATGGGAGTGTATCAAGTTGTCAAGAATAATCAACAAGGTCGGTTTCTGGTCGAGCTCATGCCCGATTGTGCTCGGCGACTTTGTCTTCCCATGCTAGGCTTCTAGTGTTGGGCTACGAGATGCAGTCGAGGCACAACCCATATATCCGTATCTTCCACTTGCAGGTTGTGATCTGAAGGGAACGTCGAGTTGGTGGCGGACTGGGAAGAATAATCCTGATCACAGAGGCAGGTACACGACGACTACACGGAGCATGAGTGCACTTACACTCCCATGGATGGAGTCTATGGACTCCATCCATTGATCTCAGGTACCTTATGGCACCTGAGATTATGATAAAGACCCTGTCACATGATGGAACATGTGGTCCAAGTCCCTGCTACTGGTCATTTTGGGTGTTGCACCTGCGTCCAACACACAGTCCCGACTCCCTAGTACCTGATGACATGTTGTTGACAGGCGGGCGAACAAGGGCAATGCATCGACGGGGATGCCCAGTCTTCCCGGTGGAGGCGTCAGGGCAATGTAAAGGATGCCGTTCGAGACGATCCCTGAATTTCTGGTGCATACCGCAGAGCCAAGGGGCGATCTGACGACGATCTGACGAGACAGCGACCCGTTCCAGCCTCTCACAACCGAGACAGGGCGACCCCCTCGTCCACTGCAGCAACTGGTCCACCGCATGCGACCTGACGATCGGGCCAGTTGGTCCAGTTTGGGCACTGCGCCACTGCCATGCCCCCTCGACGGCCGGAATGGTCATCGTGTTTGGGATCTGTTCCGTTTCTTATTTGTGTGGTGAGCCGGTTTCTGTGACTTGGGGTGAGAAGATCATCACCGCCAACCGCTGACTCCCCAACGTCTACCAGTTAATATTGATGCCTCTGGGCTTCGGTTGATTTTCCATCTCCCACTACTTAATCCCGATCAATTCTCCCATTCATATCCGGTTCAGTTCAATTATCGTCTATCTCATCACCCGATACAGACTCCTCTGCCATATCTCCGGTCGTCTATCGACATTGAGGAACTCGTACGACCTCTCGCCTGTGGCAATTGCCTCGTCCGCCCATCCGCAAATTCATCATCACTACCACCGCCATGCAAATCTCCCTCTTTTCCGTCTTTCTCTCCGCCATCGGCTTGACCAGTGCCCTCCATAACGGTCTGGCCGCGACGTGGAACGCCACCAACTTTCAACTGGAGTGCTCGCCCGGCGGCTGTGCCTATCGCTTCAATATCTCTGCACCCCCGACAGATAATGCGCCGGGCTTTGACACATTCTGCGAGGGTCTTACCCCCAATGCCACGGTCTGTAACGACACTACGATCACCGCGTCAGTGAGCCCCTTGACAAATCCGCTCTGGAATGTCAAGGTACAGCACGAGTGGCACGAAGAGGAAACGGACTTTGACGCGGAGGCAACCTACTGGCAGGCAGGCTCCACCAATGTCACGGACACCAATTCGACCTTCCTCATCAAACCGAATGTCTTCTACGGAGTCGCCTAAGACGAGGCTGAACTCGCCAAGCCGACGTGATCACAAGCGTTCATCCGGCTCTGGATGCGCGCCCTACGGTGTGTCTGATAATGTTTGAAGTTTAATCTGCATGTATCTGGGCAAGGACATCGACTTGTCCCAACCGTTGCATATGAGGTGTCGCACCATATTTCCGTGCAAAGAGTTCTTATCCATGAATGTTTGCGATTCTGGTACCTGACGTGCCTTCGAGAAGATTGGCGTGAGTGCGCGTTGGAAGTGCCTGCGGCCCGGTTTCGGACAGCCCCTTGCTGCGAACCTCAGGAGTCTGACCAACAAGTGGTGGGAATCTTGCAACTGGAACTCGTCTTTTTGTGTGCAAAGAACTGTCAATTGGAAATCCCAGACGCGCCCACTCAGGTTTTAGTCAGAATACAAACTCTGTACATAGCAATCTCGCTTATTATACTCGTATAGCCATATGCATTCTCCGTGGTCAATTTGACACTTGCATAGTTCCAACTTCCGAGCGTTTTCGCGCTAATCGATAATTAAGCCTTCGGCCGCAACCGTCCAACAACAATGACATCATACGCTGCGCCCCCAGAATGGACGCCCAACGACCAACGACCAACGACCAACGACCAACATTGGATACCTTCCCCCAGTCGTTGTTGGTTGTATCGAACCTCTGGGACCAGGTACCACGGTCGCGGTCGTTGCAGATTATCGACTCTTGTGAATCACTAAAAAGACGCGACGAAAATACGCCGCTTCTGAGCTGTTCGAGGGCACAATTTCAGCGACTCGTGAACGTGACTGCATATTCGAGCTCTCCGAACAATCGGTGAGCTCGATTCGCTCGACTCACGTGCAACGTCAACATGGTATCATAACCCACATTCACAGCTGAACAACCTCCATTCTTCATAAATGACACCAATGCTCATAATTGCGGTGTTCTCTAGGCCTCCATTCTTCGCCAGATCGTTGCTGGCCCACGACTCAAGCATCCCGAAGCAGGACTAGATCTTTGCTATGTCACCGACGACAGTAATGTCTTACCCCTCTCCTGCGCCCACTAGCTTCACGGTCACTATTTTTCCCATTTGAACTGGCAGATAAACAAAAAAACGCGCTTCTTGTATGCATTGATCCACGTTATCTCTGACTCTGGATTTCTCGCAGTCATCGCAACGTCTGGTCCTTCCGGTACATACCCGCAACGCGCATACCGAAACCCGCTCGATGAGCTTGTCAAGTTTCTAGACTATAAACATGGTGCGAATTGGTGTATCTGGGAATTTCGAGCGGAAGGCACTGGGTATCCCGACTCGGAGGTTTACAATCGCATCCATCACTTCCCATGGCCAGACCACCATCCCCCACCATTTGCGCTTATTCCCAAAATCACGGCCAGTATACGGGAATGGTTGCGCCCGGAAGAGACTCAGCAGAAGGAACATGGGCCGATGGCGGATGCGAAACAAGAGTTCTCTGACAAAAGGGTTGCCGTGGTACACTGCAAAGCAGGGAAAGGTCGCAGCGGGACTATCGCCACATCTTACCTGATCAGTCAAGAGGGATGGGCCAAAGACGAGGCGTTGCAGCGTTTTACGCAGCGGCGCATGCGAGTCGGCTTCGGGAACGGAGTGAGCATTCCTAGTCAACTTCGGTACGTCGGGTACGTCGACCGCTGGACGAATCAGTTAGGGAAACGCTACGTCGACAGGCCAGTGGAGATCCTTGAGATCCATACTTGGGGACTGCGCGATGGTGTCAAGGTCATCGTGCAAGGATATGAAGAGGAAGGGCGGAAGATCAAAAGCTTCCATCTTTTCCACCGCCACGAACGCACTGTAGTCGAGGCAGGCGATGACGAAAGGCCCATCGAGACGGTGACGCTTCCAACATCAGGGCAAGCGGCCACGGACACCCAACCGTCTACGACTTCCCTTCCTGCTCAAGTCGGAGTACCCAGTTCAGCATCCGAACTCTCAACCCATACGACTGCTACATCGAATCTCTCGGCTATCATCTTCCGTCCACAGACGCGCATCATTATTCCCAATTCTGACGTGAACATTGACTTTGAACGTCGCAGCAAAGCGTCATATACCGGTTTTGCTATGGTCACTTCTGTTGCGCACGTCTGGTTCAATGCCTTCTTCGAGGGGGGCGACGAATTCGACTCGGGCGTGTTCGAAATGGAATGGGATGCGATGGACGGCATTAAAGGAAGCGCGAGAAAAGGAATTCGCTCCTTTCAGCGAATGAAGGTTGTATGGAAATATCCTAGTGATCATCCTGCGCAGGCCGAATCTCATCCTTCTGCAACCGAGCAACCGCTTAGCAATTCAAAGCCTCGTGACCCAGCAATGGATTCGCATGCTCCTTGGTTGCGCGGAAAAGGGGACGGTTCCTCAGCAAATAATGCACAAGGCTCCTCGCCGTCACAGACACAAGGTCAAGAAAAGGTAACTCCCTCGGAAGAAAATACTTCGAATCCCACAGATCGCATGTTGCTTGCTGTTAATGAGGGCTCGCTCCATGAGCTCCAGCGACAGCTGGGCCTACGAAAGCAAACCGATGAAAGCAAGGACGTCAGCCTAGCAGGCACTGATGACGAGACTCGAGCAATGTTGGAGGAGGAAGCTTTGCACAAGAAAAGGAATGTCGTCAGTGACCGTGATCACCCAGAAAGCGCTGCGAGGCACGAGGAAGATGAAGGTATACAGCCTTACCTTGGCCATGAAGGCGAGGAAGGCGGAGCTAAGACACTGAATTCTCGGGCGTAAGAGCACCACAGGGTTATTGGACGATTGAGCGTTGAGCATTGTACATATTTTCAATTCGTTGTGAAAGTTTTCAATTATCTTTACTCCACACACATACGGTATATAGTTCTTACGTGGTGCATTATTGAGCCACCAAATTTACTCTGCCCATGGACATGCATTTCTCAAGCAAGGCTACACTCGAGGCTGTTCTCATTTTGTATTGCCTGCTGCTTTGGTAGTTTCGACCTATGATAAAGTATGCCCGACGGAGGGCCTCGTGAAATTCAATCTTATGGAATGCCCGACCTGCATAGTATGCTCACGAATAAGCCGGGGGGTTCCTATTACTTTCAGGTAGTAGCACACGACACATGCACGCACAGAGTATCATTTTATCATCCTTCAATTACGGTTCATGGCCTGCCTTGAAATGAGCCTTCTAGTCGCCCGTTTGACAGGCCGGGCCCAGTTGTATCTGCTTGAATATCTATTACTGAGCTATTATACATTGTAAAAAAGTAGAAATCGGGACTGATAACCTCCAGCTCATCAGTACAGAATCGCAAGCACAAACCAGAAAGAAATCTAGCATATCACTTCCATGCAAGACCCCCCCTGCTCCCAAATGCCTTGTTCTCGAGCTCTGTGCCTCTGTCTATCTCAAAGTCACAAGAAGCCCTCCATGCGCTTGCGCGAGTCGCGAGCCTCGCGATCAAGTCGGTCCTTCTTTTTGCGTTCATATACAGCACGAACTACGCGACGAATCTGATCTTTGCCCTCGGCGAAGTTCGCTTTCGCAAGGCCAACAACGGAATCGACCTGGTCGGGTGTGTAGATGAAGTTCCAGGTAGAAAGGAAATCGTCGACATCCGGATTGATTGAATTCGGTTTTGGTTTTTCCACGTCGGTTGAGTAAGACGAGCTCTCGTTTTCAGCTTGTCGGAGCGACTCAGCTGCAGCGAGAGGTCGAGTGTTCTTCTGGGCGGGAGCAAGTTCGGGGGCGGAAGGATTGGGAAGGAACGGGAGATAAATGACGGCAACGCCAGCGTCGGGTCTCATTAGGTGGAATTCCGATTCGGTGGGATTCTCAGAGTGGCCGTCTTGAAAGAGACGCTTTGATGGAGGAGGCTCGTCCTCGGCAACAAGTTCCTGTTGGGTGCCCACCCAGACATTACAGTACCCGAGGTCGGTGTTTGGATTTGCGCCCGCGCTTTTGGCTTTTTTGTTTTGGTCCGATACGACGCTGTTGTCTTGCGCTTCGGCGACTTTCTGTTCGGCTTGCTCTGGGGTAATGTTTTCGGGCTCGCGTAGGATTTCCTCAGTCTTCTCGAGAGGTTCGGTCTCTGGAGGCCAGCCAGCGCCGATTGGCCATCCTTTGATTCCGCGTTGGCGCGCGTAGCCGTCCACGGCAGACAGCCAGTTTTCTTGCTTGATGTCGGCTGAAGCATCAAACGCGACGATGATATCCACGTCTCGACCGGGTCGGATCAGTGGATAAATGGGCAGATTGTTGCTCATGCCGGAGTCCATAAGACGTAAATGTTTGTCTTCAAAAATAGAATCTGGGCAGGAAGAAGGCAATTGATCCTTCATGCCCATCACAAAGTTGGGAATGGCGGCTGGATCAATTGGGTGTACTCGAATGAGATCTTCGTTCTTCCCTTGAATGAGGGAATCGATGCCACCGAAACCAGCAAGACCTTTTACCAAAGGTCGGATCTCCTTATAGTAATGGGATAGCGTTGCACAGAACGCGCTTCCCCATATCCCCATGAGTCCTGGAACACGGAGTTCGGGAATGTGGGAGTCTCGTTCATCAGTTACATTGAAGCCCTTGTCAAAATGACGGCCCAATGCCCATGTCGGAATTCCAGCATTTAGCTCTTCGCAGAAGAATTCGTATGGAGTGAACTCGAACCACTGGAACCATGACTCCTGTTTGGCTTCCTCGATCACGTCCTCCGAGGTCTTGTGTAGGTCCTCCGCGGATTTCTTTGCCGCAACGGGAATTTCATGACGCACAGCAGTGTAAATCGGCATCGGATGGGAACCGTCCAGCAGATTGGCCCGCTGGTTGGAAATTTTGAGGTCTCTGTTACAGACGCCCAACTCCCCTCTGGGAACAAGCAAACGTGCAGCCAACAGCATGCCATAAATGTCAACCAAGCCAAAATCCGCGTTGGGATCTGCCTTGAGCTTCTCCACTAAACCACTGAGGAGAAACTTGTTCGTTGGTGCGGTGGTGAGCAAGTCAAGAGCAGCGGGCGGGAAAGCGATATGCACTCCTAGCCTGTTCTTTAGATGATCCACGAGTCGATGAAAGTTCCCTTGCGCAAACGACGAATGGTACAGGGTCTGCAGCCAACAGCTACCACTTACACCAGCAGTGTATGTGATACAGTCCCATAATCCAGCTTCTTGTGCCGCGAGGTAGGATCCAGTTCCCGCAACGAGAGCTCGTAGACCACCGCCCGAGCCGCACATTGCCATGACTGGAATATCATCTGGATGAATTTCGTCTTCGGCAATGTCTAAATAAGATGCCAGTGCCTTTCGCACGCGTTGCTGACGTTTTTCCCTAAATTCAAGCTCTTCGTCACAAAGTCCCGCACTGACGCGGACGCGAGCGTCTCGTAAAATCTCCGGGTTGATCTCCGGGTCGTGGGCCTCCCTCCAAATCTCATCTGCAAGGGAACCAGGAGCCATTGACAGTTCTCGCTGTAGTTTCTGAGCCGTAGCTGGAAGATATTTTGCCCAGTCAGGTAGAATCAGCTCGGTGATGTTTCCTCCAAGCTCTCCCAGGGCTCCAACGCCCACGGTTTGCTTGACATTGTCAAGCTTTTGCGCAACTTTCAGCCAGACAGAATCGGGATTGTTGCTCTCCGACGTTCCCGTACCATCAAAAAGGCTGTTTCCTGACTTTGGTTCGTTCTTAGCCCAAGGAGATGAGGAGAAAGCGGAACCATTTGGTACTAGTCGATTGCGGTCTTTCGTAGAGTAGACCGCGAGTGCAGCGGGTGGCAGAAGCCAACCAAGCCGCGCAATCCTTGAGACACCCATCATGGACGTGCGCGGAGGAGGCGAAGATACTGCGCGGAACATGCAATGTAGAGAACAGTGAGGTGTGGCTTCCCAATGGCCAGTCACCCTCTGATGTGCTTACTACAATGTCCCACTTGCTTGGGACTCGCGATCGATGACGACATATCGTGTGAGTCTCATGTGATTCGGGAGCGATGCGCCGGGCTTGAGGTCGGTCCGAGTAGGGCCCATTCGAGTCAAGCGCCAACTAGCGTCCGGGGCGGAGCTTATCGAGATACAACATCGCTGTGCGGTCGCCGAGCATCCCTTGCGGTCCCCACACTCGGAGGTCGGGAGATATGACGGTTCCTGGTCACTTGGCCTGGTAGCTCTTGCGCGACTGAGATCATGGTGGCCCCGCGGAACACCGCATATGCGGAGGAGAGTGCCGAGGTGGAAGTGCTCTATGCGAATCTCGAGAAACTCAACCACCTCACCAAGAAGATCCAGGGCTCCCTAGTGCGTCTCGAAACAAGCGGCAAGGTCGTCAAAGAGGCCATTGGGCCAATCTACAGCAACACACAATCCCTTCAAATTACCAATAGCAACATCGACAAGGTGAACGATGCCATTGATCGGTTGCGTCAACCTCTTGACGCGAAGAGCCGCGAGGAGGGCATTATCCGCGCAGGGTATGTTTTGCTGGCCCTGGAGTCACGACCAGTGAGCTCGGGAAACCAATACTGACTGGATCATGCCCTGTATAGTCCGCAAAGTGCAGGTATCTCGCAGTACATTTCAGCGATGAAACGAGTTGAGAAAGCGCTGGTCGACCTCAACGCGACAAACCTTCGGTCGAATCAGAAAGCCATGTCCGACTTCAACGCCCTCCTGAGTACAGGCAGCAACATGCTGCAAGATACCTTCAGGGCTGAGCTGGGACAACATGCGACACCCATCGAGCCGCTACATTATCTCACAAAAGGTGCGCAGCACAATCAGACTGTTAACGTTGTACGGCTCGCAGCCGTGGCTTTGGATCACAACTAATACAGCTCACACAGACTTACCCTTTCCAAGCTTGGCCGAAGACACGGTGTCACACCTTACACAACTATGCTCCGCGATCAATTCAGCGGCAATGATTGGGCCACAGCGGGGAAATGGTGACAGTCCTGCTATAAAGATTTATGGAGACGTTCGCGGGCCGTACGTCACCGGTTCCCTTCACAATTTGTCCCTCGCATCCCTCAATACGGTTAAAAGACGACCAACGGACGGGCCTTACAAGCAGGGAACAAATGGTATCGGGATCTATTCGAATGCTTTGGAAGCTTTCATAGTCGCCGAGCATGGAATCATCATTCAGGTGTTTCCAGCGGACCAACAAGGACTCGTGCTTCAAGCGACGTTCCTCGGGGCAATGGGAGAGTATTCCAAGACGCTTCGGGAGTTGAACCAATACATCAAGGCGAACTTGATGACGGACTGCTTTCTGGCCTTTGAAATCATTGACATCGTGACGGCCATGTCCTACCGAATTGATTCTAAGACCGCCGAGCTGAAAGGCCTTTTGATCGAAGCTTTGCGGCCTGTGCGCGAGACTGCCAAGTTCTCACTGTCAGAACTGCTTGAAGAGATTAAACGCAAGGCCAGCAATGCGTCACTTCCCGCTGACGCTGGATCGGTCCCGCTGGTGGACGAGGTCATGAGTTCTCTGTCAACTTTGACCGGGTACTCGGGACCGCTTGCATCCATTCTGACTTCGCTGGGGGATGGCAATTGGCGAACCGATGCCAATGCCTCCGGGGCCGCAGTACTAGATGTTGGGCCCAATAGCGATACCCTACTTTCTCATTTCATCTTGGACATGATTGAGACCCTCATGAGCTCATTGGAGCAACGCGGTCGAGCTTTTCACCGATCCAAGGTCGCACTTGGTGTATTTCTGTCTAACGTGTTTTGCGTGGTTGATCGATCCATCCGGTCGAACTCTGACCTTGCGCGCTATCTGGGCGATTCGGAGTGTATCGCGCGAATTGACGCTTTCCGCAAACGAGCGACATCAACATATCTTGACGCCTGGAAAGACACCTCACAATGCCTTCTGGACGTACAGTACACGTCCCGGACTGGCGCGAGACCCAGTTCAGGCGGAGCCGTTGATTCCAGTGCTATTGTGAAAGGTCTATCTTCGCGCGACAAGGACGCAATCAAGGAAAAATTCAAATCCTTCAATGCTAATTTCGAGGACATGGTATCTCGCCACAAGAACATTCACATGGAACGCGAGGTGCGCTCTGTTCTTATCAGGGAACTCCAGGGTCTTCTGGAACCACTTTATTCTCGATTCTACGATCGCTATGTCGAGATTGACAAGGGCCGAGGGAAGTATATCAAGTACGACAAGGCAAGTCTGGCTGTGCAGTTGTCGCAACTGTCATGAGAGCTGGCTTGAACTCTCTGCCTGTGAACTTTCGAGGGCTCATCTTTCCGTGTCTACACTCTACAGTACTGAGGTCATATGAAGAATAACCGCCTTCTCATTGTCACCATGTCCAACTTGAAAATGTAACTTGTAATGTAATGGTCAAGGCTCAGTATATCATCCCCGCAATAGCATACGTAACTCCTTCGCGTGAGTATTGCAGACTCGACAACGGTAATACTCCCCCACTTATGGGCGCTCTTTCCCGCATTGCAATTCTCCTGTCACGGGATCTGCCCCACGCTCCGACTTTACGATAACGTGATAAGCCCCGCTAGGCCCGATGATCGCATGCAAAATTTCCGTGGTCTCTCATCCCACAACTCACATCTACATGCTTCGCGTGGCTTGTTCTTGTCTTGATTAGAATTCAATTCAGACCGGTCATCATGTCTGCCAGCAATGACATCTATCAGACTCCTCTCAACTCGCGCTATGCGAGTAAGTTGAATCTCCCGCTTTTCGCCCTCGAGAACGACCTGATTTGAGGAAGCAGACCGGGAAAACAAATCGCTGACCTCACTTGACTCACGATTGATCAGGCACTGAGATGAAGTATCTTTTCTCGCCTCGTATGCGCTTTTCTACGTGGCGCAAGCTTTGGATCTGGCTTGCCGAGTCCCAGAAAGGTACGATCATCTAGAAGGGAGGGATACTCAAATGGATGAGTCAGTCTATGAGACCAATGTACCGACATCGGATCTTCGAGTTGCGGAACTACGAGAGGCAGTGGGTGAATCAACTCAGTTGTTCAATTGACTCATTTGCAATGCTTAGAGCTCGGACTTCCCATCACCGACGAGGCAATTGAGCAAATGAAGGCTCATGCCACCATCCAAGATGAAGAGTTCAAGGTCGCCGCCGAGGAGGAGAAGCGTCGCCGCCACGACGTGATGGCCCACGTCCACGCCTTTGGTCAGGTTGCCCCTGCTGCTGCGGGAATCATTCATTGGGGTGCTACATCTTGCTACTGCACTGACAATGCCGACTTGATCTTGCTTCGCGATGGTCTGGATATCCTCATTCCCAAGTTGGCTGTTGTCGTCGACAAGCTTTCTCAGTTCGCGCAGCAGTACAAGGACCTGCCTTGCTTGGGCTTCACCCACGGTCAGCCTGCACAGCTTGTGACCGTTGGTAAGCGTGCCTGTCTCTGGATCCAGGATCTGCTCATGGATCTGCGTAACCTCGAGCGTGCCCGTGATGACCTGCGCTTCCGTGGTGTCAAGGGTACTACCGGTACCCAGGCTTCCTTTTTGCAGATCTTCGAGGGTGACCATGCCAAGGTTGAGAAGCTGGATGAGCTGGTAACCGAGAAGGCCGGATTCAGCTCTGCCTTTATCATTTCTTCCCAGACCTACTCTCGCAAGATTGACGTGGACGTCGGCAATGCCCTCGGCTCGTTTGGCTCCACTTGCGAACGCATTGGAATTGACATTCGTCATCTGGCTATGCTCAAGGAGGTTGAGGAGCCTTTTGAGAAGGATCAAATTGGTAGCAGTGCTATGGTGAGCTTCCCAACTGTGGTATGGGCATTTATGGGGGTGACCGTCTAATTGTTCCCTAATAGGCCTACAAGCGCAACCCCATGCGATCAGAGCGTCTCTGCTCCCTCGGTCGCCACCTCCAGAACCTGCCCAAGGATGCCCTGGACACCTACTCTGCTCAGTGGTTTGAGCGCTCATTGGTGAGTTTGCATGAAACCAAGTTGGCGATGATACGAGCCAAGATATTGACTCTGTTCTAGGACGACAGTGCCATTCGCCGAATCAGCATCCCCGAACTCTACCTGACCGCCGATGCTTGCCTTATTCTTCTGAGTATGTGAATCGAATCGGCAGTTCTTTCTTGTTTTTTCTCTCCTCCCCTGCCAACGTGAAACCATGAAATGGATATTAACACGTTACAGACAATGTCAGCTCCGGCTTTGTCGTCTACCCGGAGGTTATCAAGCGTCATGTCAACGATGAACTTCCATTCATGGCTACGTAAGTGGATCAATGACTCTTCAAATCTTGGCGAATGATCCTGAGCACTGACATCTTCTTAGTGAGAACGTAAGCAAGACCTCACATTTCAGCTGAGTTGCGACTATGATTGGAAGCAAACTAACACTTCTCAGATCATCATGGCCTGCGTGAAGAAGGGTCTGTCTCGTCAGGATGCCCACGAAGAAATCCGTACGTCACATTCTCCTGAAATCACATAGCTTTCAGCTTTCTCGTGACAAATGAGATGACCTCCACTAACACCCTACTTTTCCCATCTCTGTCTAGGTGTTCTCTCCCACCAAGCCGCCGACAACGTCAAGAAGCAAGGCAAGGACAACGACCTGCTCGACCGCATCCGCCGCACCCCCTTCTTCAACCCCATTCTCCCGGAGCTGGACGCCCTCCTGGACGCAACCACCTTTGTCGGCCGTGCCCCTCAACAGGTGGAAAAGTTCACCACCACCGAGGTTGCCGCTGCTCTCAAGCCCTATGCCTCTCAGATCGCCAAGGGCGAGACTTCTTCGCTCTATGTCTAGAATTGTCTCACGAAACACGCTGTCGCCCGGATGTCTTCAGGAACCACAGCATCATCATGCACCATGACAAGCGGGGACAACGGAGTCTAGGTTCAAGACTTCGGGACACGGGTCTCGTTCATCCGAGCATCGTCTGGGCCGTAGCTTCAATTTGACGGAATGTATATCACCGATCTTGGAAAGAAAAAAGATATTCGGGGGGGGGGGGGGGTTCGAGGGGGTTCGAGAAGAAAAAAGCGAGGGCCAAAAGCTAGAAGCAGGCTGTTGTCATTATGGAAAACAAAAAAGGTGTACTTTGAGAGTGGAACTCGGTGGGTTGTTTAAATGGACAGAAATACCCAAATAGAATATTTTTCATGAAGATCCCTGCTGGTGATTGTCAAAGTAGAAAAAAACGACGTATCGATTCGCCCCAAGCAATGGACCGAGGAAACATGTGTAGAAGACAAGAAGTCATCAATTAGAATATCATAGTCGGCCAAAGATCCCTGTAAACAGGAAAAGCGGATAAAAGAAAAAAGCAAAAGAAAAAAGCAGAGGTCCTCCCATCCATTTCTAATGAGAAGACACCAAAAAACCCCGCCAGAAAAACGTGATCAATATCAAGAGGTGAACTAAAGCTGACGGGGGTCTGAATCGGATCGGTCCACACCATCTTCGGTTTTATGGGCGCAGCCCAGAGGCAGAGGCGGGGGCGAGTAGGGGGCTTAGACTTTTGAATGTGTAGGTTCATCTCATATTTGCAAACAGGGAAGATGATGGGGGAATTTTGAGAAAGGGACCAAGAAATAGAGCGACTCCAGAATGAAGAGTACATATCAATTAGAGAGAAACAGTGGGCCAAGAGTCAAGAAAGTGAAATGGTCACATCATGAGAGTACTTTTCAAAAGGCATCATAGAGTCAGCTCAAAACGGGGGGGGGGGGGATAGTCTGAGAAGTTAAATTAGTGAAAAGGCTTGCCGTGGAGTCTTTTCTCATTGAAGGAGGCCAATGACAGACACGGAGAGTAAATTTGAGAATTTTGGGCAGAAGACGAATTGAAGGTGGGAAGAAGGGTGAATGGAAGAAGACAGAGAATAAGAATCATGGCAAAATCATTCGGTCAACCTTGTTGATTCGAGACCTGGCGTCGACGACTGAGAGATGGGGTCATGGAGGCATCGTAAAGCCACACGACAGTTCAAGGATCGCGGGTAAAAAGATCCAGGTACGGAAAGAGCTGCAGCATTTTGCCACGCCCTGGACTCCAGGACTGCGAGTCGAAACAACCATCGGTTGCGACATATACCCAGCCGGAATCACATATCGTAGCATTGCTTTCGGGGGTTTCGCAGTAACCGCTGAACAGATCCTCCGGTGTCGGCTCTTCTTTCTTACACGTTGGGAAAGCCCATGCGAAGCGGCGTTTCTACCATTCCAACCGTGAGAACGATGAATGATCGCTTCGGTCCAACAGTGTCACGCAGTAATGATGGCGAGACTGGCTTGGGTAGGCAGTTCTAATGTATGGTCCTCAACGACCGCCGAGAGAGCTGTTAGGTTAAAAAGGCGCCTGTCGGGACGGCAAGCATGGGCTTTTGATACTGCTCGTTTGAATCAGGGAATCACTCCAGTCGGTCCGATAGCGGCTTGGGAACAGCCAGCTGGTGAAGATTGTTGTCAATTCGACATGGACTTGATCCGGCCGAGGGGCGTTTCAACGCGGCCTGAGCATAGTCGTCTCAAATCCACCCTTGCGCGGGACTTCTGACTTCGGGGTCTTGGTCAGCATCATCGAGCTCTCAGCTGCATTGTCCGGCGCTGGAGACACCTTATGATCTTTGGGCATGGCCGATGTCAGATGATCATATATGATCCAGCTCCTCGAGCAAATCAGTCAAGCATGATGACGGCAAGCACAATGTGGGCAGGGCACGGATCTGAGAATCTCCTCTTGTCCCTGCAACGTGTGGCAGTAGTCGCACCCCATGGCTCGTCGGTCATCCTTCCCCCCCCCCCCCTCCAAATCGGGTCACGTTACCCAAGTCGCACATGTGCGCTGTCCACGTGAAGACCACGTGGGCAGTCACGAGCAGATCGTGTGATGTTGCTTGGCGAGTCGGACTGTGTGGCCCCGGAGAATCGTGTCGGGAGAGATTTGGCGATCTTCACGATCGGTCTCGTCCGTCTGGCTTCTGCTGTGCAATTGCGCATCGCTTGATGGATTCACTCTCGTTCTTCACCCACCTCCTTCCCGCCATGTTGTGAGGCCGAAGTCGCTCCCATCCACTACCACCTCTCGTCTCCCTCTTCTCCCTTTCTCCCCGGACTCGAACAGCCGCTATTTACCTCAAGGAACAACAACACAGAAATCGAAGCCAAACATACGTCGCAAACGGAGATCAAACTCCCCCCAAAACGAAACAAGGTTCTTTGAGACAGCGCTGTCGTTTCATCTTTCTCAATCATGCAAATCATGGGTGAGGGAAGTAAACAAAAAAGAAATCAAAACAGAAAAAGAGAAGGATTAGACAACCCCCCCCAAAAAAAAAAAAAAAAAAAAAAAAAGTTTCATGCATCCAAATGCTCAATTCGACAATTGAACCCAAAAAGATCACGCGAAATATCATGCGCAAGGCTCAAGCATCTCCCGCACCGGGGGGACCGGGCTCTGCAGGCGTAAACGGTAGATAGAACAGATCCCGAATCAGCCAGAGAATATACAAGACACCTAAAACCCATAGTGAAGCCATCAGCTTGTATGTAGATGAGCGCCAAGTGACGCGCCGAATGAGACGGCGGCCATCGGGGCCCTCGATGGGCCCTCGACGCGGTGCACTGGACGCCATTTGCGAGTGCGCATAGGCGGGAATATAAGATGCGGGAGGGTATGCGGCCTCACTCATGGGCTCGCTGTACGAGGTTCGACGGCGGGACATGATCAAAGGATTCGGAAAGAAGACCGCAAGGAGACCGCTGACGGATGATGATGAACGGGGAAAGGCGGTTTGTTTAGGTTTGACCAGGTTGGGTTAGGTTAGGGTAACTAACGGGGGGGGGAGGGGAGCCAGTTCTCTTTTTTTTTTTTGTGGTAGTTTTGGAGGTGTCCTTTTTTTTTCCTTCTCTTAAGTTGTGTCAACGGCCAAAGGCCAACCCGACGGGAAGAGAGACGATTTGGACACGAGACACACCAGGGATGCAAAGGAGAATCCGAGAGGCACGAGGCAGAAAAGAATGAAGGGGAAAGGAAAACAAAAGAAAAAGAGACAATTTCAGCACTCTTGAAGAAAGAATACTCGATGGTCAAAGAAGGAGGGTTGGGAAGATGAAGAAGAGAAAGAGGAGGAGAGAGAAAGGCGACAGAGTTGCGATGGTGTTCTTTAGTGGTGACAGAGTGGGGTTATGATGGTGGTGGTCACTGGAGGAGGGTGAGGTAGTTCAGGTTACTAAGTTAGTCCTGATGGTACAATTCTGGGGGCAGCAAGTCAATCGCACCGGCAATGATGAGGACTGATGATAAGAGCCGGGAAGGGACAGATTGATATCGACCGATCGTGCAGAAAGCGATCAACGCTCTGGAAAGGCCACGATGGTGCAACCTTACCCGATGGGTCTGGGCAGCATCCAATATCGGCTTGCGCGGTGGGCGACAGTCCGTCTACCACGGCCGTTTCAAGATGCGCTCGGAGAGGGAATAGTAGTAGTAGTAGTAGTAGTAGTAGTAGTAGTAGTAGTAGTAGTAGTAGTAGTAGTAGTAGTAGTAGTAGTAGTAGTAGTAGTAGTAGTAGTAGTAGTAGTAGTAGTAGTAGTAGTAGTAGTAGTAGTAGTAGTAGTAGTAGTAGTAGTAGTAGTAGTAGTAGTAGTAGTAGTAGTAGTAGTAGTAGTAGTAGTAGTAGTAGTAGTAGTAGTAGTAGTAGTAGTAGTAGTAGTAGTAGTAAGATAGCCGGCGGATTTGTGAATGATGCAGTGAATTACCCAAAATGGATGGAGGGACCAGGATGCGATCCCGATACTCGCGCCAACTGGTCAGGTGGAGGGGGGTAGACGCCGGCTGGGTGCGCTTAGGGCGTATGGTATGGAGTCATGGACTCATGGAGAGAGGGAGAGACACGGGCACGAAACTTGAACTGAGTGACAAGACAAGACAGATTGATGACTTCAAAGTTCGTGTTTACTTAGTTACTTACAGTGTGTCCGTACGGGTGGCAATGATTCTCTGCTGCCACCACGATCAGAGCGACAGGACAAGGAGAGAAGTGGTCACCTTGGCACATGACGAAAATGTAAGGTCAACAGACCGGCTTCGGGAGGTGGTGAGTGGGAGAACGCGCAGTCCCAAGTCTACATAACCGGAAAGAGATGGATCATGGAGCAGATACTGCTAGTACGACGATGGCGAGGAGCCAACAGTAGGATGGACCAAGGAAAACACTGCAGCAGGGAATAGCGCACCCTCAATGGATGGACTCAAACCCAGACCAAGAACGATAGAGACCATCAAGAGAAAAAAAAAGAATAAAAAGAAAAAAAAAAGAATGACATTCCCCTCCACACACTTGCCCCCCGCGGTGGGGGGAGTCGAACAGAAAATCAAACCCAGATGGAACAATCGGACAATGGACAGGATCACAAGCACGCAGCCGGAAGTTGCACGAGATTCGACTCGCAATCGAACCCGTCGCCGTGGTTCACTGAAGAGACCGAGTTGCCCACGAACAATGGGAGCCACCAGATGGCCCAAGATGGACCCAGACGGAGCCAGATGGACACACAGGAAGGGGTCCCACCACCAGACCAGCAGCAGAACGCCCAAAGGGGCAATTTGCTGGTCTCCGGACTCCACGGATCCGCTTGGGGGGGGGGGGGGGGGGGGCGCTGATAGACGCTGTCAATGGAGTCTAGTCCGACCGGTGTCGAGACGGACCGGGCCACACCAGATTGGAACCGGGAGAATTTGGGGTTGGGGATGATTGGGAGAGACTGTGGCAGAGCTGGAGTGAGATAGCGCGGTGGCCCAGTGGAGGACTGTCAATAAGTAGTCGAGTAGTCAAGTAGTCGAGTAGTCAAGTAGTCGAGTAGTCAAGTAGTCAAGTAGTCAAGTACGGTACCCACGAAGTTACGGTAGGAGATACTGAGAGTCATATGGAACAACCTTAAGCGGAGCCACCGCAATGGATCAGCGGGCAGATCGACACGAGACGGGAGACAAAGATGCCGAAGGAAGAGAGAGAGAGAGAGAGAGAGAGAGAGAGAGAGTAAGCAAGACAGAAGAGGAAAAGCGAACGGACGAGCGACCGATAGAGAGAACATCGGGCACTGTTGTTCAATGATGGGCCCCGGGGTAATGAAGATGCTACCCTTCCATGGAAAGAGCAGAGAAAGAGAAACGTGAAGGAGCGGTCAGAATGTTGAGATATCATTGCTGGAAACCGGACTTCTTCGTGGCAATGGGCAGCCTTCATGGTCTGGTCTTCCGTTCTAGCCGTTTGGACAATTCATAATTACGCCGAGCTGAAGATCCTGTTCGGTATCTACCTGAGTCCCTACTACCTACTAGGTAGTACCTAGTAGTCCAGTAGGTCGTAGAGGCTCAAGGAGTTGGATAATGATGGAAATAGCAGTAGTAGTACTAGTACTAGTAGTCCTCCTAGTCTCCTACTACTGCCTGGTATGATCAAAGCGACGATCACGATACTTCGACCGCTTGGAAAAGAATGTCACGAGTCTGGACTCCAGAGTCAACAGTTGCTATCTTTGACAGCTGGTGTTTTTGGGGCATCACCTTTCTCCGGGACCAATTAGCCGTGACAGATTCTCACCAACCCAGCATGCGGGATCGACCGACCCAAGCGTCCAGATGCAGCGCGAGCAAACCCATCTTCAGATGAGTAGGACTCGACGGAGTCTTGGAACTCTGGAGTCTCGACGGCCTCGGCGGCTGCTGAAGAGACCGCCCCACATCTCTCGGTCAAACGGGTACTTCCACATCGCGGAGAAGTACCACACGGGAATATGGGAATATGGGAATATGGGAGAACGGGACGTGGAAGAGAGCTGCTGACACGGTGACAAGGTGACAACCTTGTCATCCTACCTGTACGTATGCCGCATAAGACCTACAGCCTAGAGTATAGAGTATAGTATATACTCTACTATACTATACACCCAACATAGGTGATGGTACTTCTAGGTAGCAAGTAGGATTCAATGTGATGTGCCCCCCCCCGGGTCGGCAGATAGTAGTTCACGGACATTGCAAGGAGTACTGAGTCAGTACGCCTTGCAATGTCCTAATAGCTTCCTTACATCCTTGACTAGACGCGTGCAGTAGACTTGCCAGAAGACACCTCCAAGCTGCACACGAGATTTCGGGGCAATAGGCAGAGATTCAATCGGGTATGGATGCGAGTAACTTGCGGGTGTAGGGACTTTCGTGGGCCAAAGAGACGTGATATTCGATCAGAAAGGAGGATCGTAGATGGGGAAGAAATTGCAAACTACATCAACTGTACGAAAAGAAAATGTAGCAAGGCGAGCAAGAGAACAGCGGGGTGGTCAATGACTATGATCAATTGAAGTAGTATAGATGGAAGTACCTAGAGAATCGACACTCGACACTGACAGACCTTCTAGGTACTTAGTACTGACTCCTGGTACCGAAGTTATCTGGTCGGAGGTGACGAGGACAGGTAGATATCCACTGCGTTCGGTTCATCGGAGCGCATCACCATATCAATCAACATCTTCAGGAGTAGAAATTCAAAACAAGCAGACCCGCAATTCCATCGTCCTGAAGATATGTCATTGGGCGCTCCGAGAGTTTCCCTCCGACGCCGGAACTGGTGCAAGTGCGGGCAAGCCAGGGGAGCTTCATGTCGGAGCGTGACATCGGAGTTCCCCAGCTTCTCATGAGTCAATCGCTCTCGAGTCATCTCGGTAGGCTTGAAAGGTGTCGCCCATGCTGACTCGGGTGCACTGGATTCTTGTCTTCCACTTGTTCTCCCGATTCACCTCAATTCTTCACCAACCTCCTCATCCCTATCTTGTGGCTCACGAGATCGCCAGGAAAATCAAAATCATTCGGCCTTCTCCAGTCGCTCGGGACGCTTCCAAACCAGAAGCAAAGACGAGCCAAAGCCTAACCTCGGCAGATCCGTGCGGGTCTGCGCGACTCATCCGGTCTTCGTCACTGCCCCAAACTCTCTCTCCGCCAGCTCCGATCCGTCCTCGACTCTTTCCCTCTACCACGCGACACCACTTCGCATTCTCCCCCTTCACGAGAAGAGACCAGAAAAGAATCCCGTCTTCCACTTGGAGAAAAGTCCGAGAGTAAAGACTCTTTCCGATTCATCCTCTCTTGGAACGTCCTTCTCGGCGGCCGTTCGGCCTGAATTGCCCGCACCATGTGGAAGCCGTCAGAGAGTCTGATGGAAACCATCAGGCACTATGCGAGCTTCCCCGCAACCGGAGTCTCGCTCAGGCAGATGGTTCAATTTGGCGATCGACCCTCGACCGGTATGGTTCCCCTTCGTTCTGCTGTGCCATAAGCCCTTTCGTTCCTTTCGCTTGGGAAGAGCAAGGAAAAGAAAAGAAAAAAAAAAAAAAAAAAAAAAAATGGGAGAGAATCCATTCGTCATTGACGCCGCGGTTGACTGACCACATCGTCGGTCGCAGGCACTCTGTTCCGAGCCTCGCAGTTTCTCTCCGAGGAGCTCCCCATCCGACTGGCGCACCGCGTGCAAGATCTAGGCGAGCTTCCTGATGGTCTCAGTTCGATGCCCTCCATTAAGAAAGTGCAAGATTGGTATGCGCAATCATTCGAGGTATGTCATTTCCACTCGATGCTGCCGGGTCGGCTCTTCCTCCAAACTCCCAATTTACCTTCCCTCAATCGCTCCATCCTTCCCAATGTCCTCCATCTTTCGTCTTCGTCCTAGCCTCTCCCTCCCCCAAGCTTGGGCTCCCCCCACGGAGGACCGTTGACTCACTCGCGGTGGATCCGTATCTAGGAAATCATCACCCTCCCCCGACCATCTCTCACCCAAGAAGTCAAAACCCGCCTCCTGCGGCCCGGTCGCGCAAATGGTCCCTTTCAATCAAAAATTCTTTCCGAAGCCACACAAAACCCTAGTGTCCGAGAGGGCCAATACGCCTCAGCCACGACTGCGAATGGTTCTCTTAACGGCAATAGCAAGTTGACGGCCGCTGCCGCCGCTGGTCGGCGGTACTTCTTCCCCGCCGATGGGAACGCAGACTGGCCCCCAGAGCTCAATGACTACAATCAGAGATTCTCTCAAACCCTGCAACAGATCAAGCGACGACACGACAGTGTGGTCACAACGGTGGCGCAGGGCATCTTGGAGTGGAAGCGGGAGCGGCAACGCATGCAAATTGACCCAACTATCCAATCATTCCTCGACCGATTCTACATGTCGCGAATCGGCATTCGAATGCTCATTGGACAACATATTGCCCTCACCGAGCAAACGCATGTGAAGCATCCCAATTATGTCGGCATCATCTGTACCAAGACCAATGTTCGTGATATCGCTTTGGAAGCCATCGAAAATGCGCGGTTTGTATGTGAAGACTACTACGGCCTCTTTGAAGCGCCAAAGGTGCAGCTGGTCTGCAAGGACGACCTCAACTTTATGTATGTGCCGGGTCATCTGTCGCACATGCTCTTCGAGACCTTGAAGAATTCCTTGCGTGCGGTGGTGGAGCAGCATGGCGCCGATCGGGATGAGTTCCCCGTCACCAAGGTCATCGTGGCCGAAGGCAAAGAGGACATCACCATCAAAGTCTCGGACGAAGGAGGCGGCATTCCCCGCTCCTCGATTCCCCTGGTCTGGACCTATATGTATACGACCGTGGAGCAAACGCCTAGTCTGGACCCAGACTTTGACAAGAGTGATTTTAAGGCACCCATGGCTGGCTTTGGGTACGGTTTGCCCATCAGTCGCTTGTATGCGCGCTACTTTGGAGGTGATTTGAAGTTGATCAGTATGGAAGGGTAAGATAGAGTTTTTTTTTTCCCTTGAGCCTCCTTCGCCCAATGTTCTTTCTTTGTCTTAAATCTTCGAGCATGATGTAAAGAGTCTCGGCGCGACAGGTGGGGGTCGTGAGATTCACATGATTTTCCTTCACCAACGACTGAATCGCTACCTGATCATTGGGCCATCAGCTGACCATCGGACCTTACTTCCTTTCGCAGATATGGTACCGACGTCTATCTCCATCTCAACCGATTATCCTCCAGCTCGGAACCCTTACAATGACAACTACCCGTCATGAGAGACGGCCGGACCCGGTTCAATACCTCGCACCGCCTGCACCCAACCTATATCGAACCGGAACCCAAGTCCGCGTCTTCTCGAGGACTGACACTTATGAACGTTCAGGCACATCGGTCCCGCATGCGCAATCGTGAAGTTTCTGAGCGCAAACAAGTCGGTGACGCAGAAAGTCTATTCCATTCGGAGCAACGAAAGACCGACGACGAGGAGGACATGTAAGTAGCCCAATCGTCGACTTGTTCCTCACCATGTTTGAGATTCTTTTGGGGGGTTTCGTTCTCTTCTCCGTTTCTCAATTTGACCTACTCGCCGATGACAAGATCTGGCGTTCAGAATGCGTTTACATGGGCAAGAATTATCGACGAATTCATGCTAATCAATAACTATCTCCTTCTCAACAGCGGGCAATTTGCACGAGCCTCGCCCTTTCTACTTTTAGTCATTTCGCTGGTCGTGGTTCACATGGACAATGGCCGGTCCTATGAACGAAACACGGCGGCTGAATTCAACACGACATGGGGATGGAACCCAACTTGAGCTTCAATTCAGCAATCTATTCATTTAATGACCAGGCTGGACTCGGGGAGAATGAGATGAATGACTCTTACATGAAACTTGCATTGACAAGCTATCCAGGCACGATCAGGCCATTGCTTTATTCTTATTGACTTCACCAACATCATCGTGATTCATCGGTTGTACCTCTTTGCTTTTGGCGTGGAGTTGATGTGGCCGGCGAAGGATGGTCTCGAGGTGTGTCTTGGAATTCTGAAGTCTTCTTATTGTTCAAACTTTTTTTTGTTCAGCGACCTCCACCTCAATGCTTCTGCATTTGGGATGAATTCGTCGATGAGATCTCCCACTTCGGTCTACAGACCCACTGGTTCCTGTACAATATTACTGTCTGATGATGATGTGCCGGGAGATAAGGACAGAACCAAAGTGTATTACATCAAGCCACCCTGGGCGATTGAATGAAACTCGGATATACCACCCATCCCACGTTTTTCAATTATATCTATTGATTGCAGTCCGCCACAGGATTCAATGTCGCTCGAGGTAATTTCATAGATCCTTGAACACGAGACCACTCCGCTTGCAAGAGCTTTGATCTCGATTCACCCATTCCCCATTCCCCTCCAACTCATCAACCTCGTCCCACCGACCCAGCCCGACTAACAACCCTCGAACTCCCTTCACTCTCCACACTCAACGAACTCTTATTCCCGGCTCGATTCACCCCCAACCCACGATTACTCTTCCTCTTTTCGCGCGGCTTCCCCTGCGGCCACCACGATAGATCCCCATCCTCAATGACCTCGCGATACGAGCCCGAGATCAAAAACGCGATGGAATTATCCACGCCCGATGCTGTCTCATATGGCCGAGATACGCCGGTCCCGGTGCCTCCTGCGGTTGAGGCAGAGGTCATGGGTGGGAGGAACTCGGATTTGGAGGCGGGGATGACGAAGCGGGAGCCGTAGAGCTCGTTCTCGAGCGTGGGGTTGTCGGCGGCAAGGAGCTTGGCTTGGAAGCGTCGGCGGGTTTGGGGAATTGTCTGTAGACTGAAGGTTAGAGATTCGGAATGGGCCTCGCTCTCTCGCTCTCTCGCTCTTGGTACTTCGTTCATCGCTTCACTGTTCTACCCTCTCAGAGATGCATGAGTTTTGAAGTGACTTACGCGGTGATTGTTCAGCGCATGTGTAACGAGCAGCTCCCAATTAGACAGGACTGCCAGCGCGGCGTGCTGCTCCTCGGTGAGGTGGCCCTTTGTGCGAAGACGTCGGGGTTGCGGTCGAGGGCGATTCTGCTGAGCTGGGAAATGCCCGAAATAACCCCGATGTCCAGGCTGCGAAGGAGTATTGTGTGCGTTTGGAACAGATGAATGTGGGTTGACGGGCTGAGCAGTGAAGTCATTTTCTAGAAGATGTTGTTAAGTGTCTGTGTCAATTATCCTCTGGAGAGAATTGAGTGGTCGTGCCAGTGAAAATCTTCCAGACCAAGATGCTATTGACACGTTTGTTGGGGGATGAGAATGTACCATTGCGCTCTTCTTCTTCGAATTCATCGTCCTCCTCGTCATCCTCGTCGGTCACGTCATCGTCATCATCTCCTGAGTTGCTGCTTTCTTCGTCTTCCGATGCGTCAATGTGCATGCCATCTTCCATTTCCGCAAGAGGCATTTCTTGGTCGGCCACATCCAGTTGCATTCCCCCATCTTCAGAGTCAGAGTCAATGGAGATGTAGGTCCGATGACCCGTATGGGGACCAGCCTCGGATCCTGAATCTGTGTCCATGATAATGATGGGTGATGCTGGATGGGACGAATGAGTCACGGTGGTGAAAGAAGAACGAATTTATAGGTAGAATATGATCAAGCTGGTTCAAGCAAGAACGCAATATCGAGCGGCAAGAGAAGCGGTGGACCAGAACAAGACGATTGAATCCAAGTCCAGAGTATGGAAATTGCAAGCTCGCACAGTCAAGTGAATCTAAGAAAGGCGGTATCACTTGGTAGCAGCTGGGCTTGACCACGTGCAATCATTCAACCATCAATGAAATACACACGTTCTCTCGTTGTTTGCAGTCACACAGCGGAATCTGTTTGCTTTCCTAGGGGCTATACCATTACCTAGTGGAAATCTGCGTGTGAATTCTGATACTGGCCAGGCATCGTTTGTCGTGGCCGACTGGTTGATTGCGCAATCAGACTCAGGGGAAAATCCAAGTCAATGATGGATTGTTGCCGCGAGTTTTTTGACTCTTGAAGTTATGCAGCAAGTGTTCAGGTAGTGGTGAGCAAAGTCACGTAATCATCTAGTTTTAATGTCAATTATGCAGGTACTTGAGTTGAGGAAGCCCATCTTACAGAGACCAGTGGATAGCAGCTAGCTGGCTTTCAGTTATGCAGGCCTGTTAGACTGCCAGATCCTGCTATTGAGCTGTAGCTTCTAATATATGCAGCACTTATATGAGCGTTGTAGGTCGTATTGCCAAACTTGAGAGGATGAAGTAGACGTGAGTTCAGCGAAGAACTTGAGAGTATGAATGTTCGTGTCGGGGCTGATCTCCCACTCTTTGAATGCCTGAGGCCACGACTTCTCCCACTTTGTGGAGGCGGGGGGAACTTCCACTCCCAAATCTCCTAATTCTGCAACCGCGCTAAGCCGAAAAGAAGCATCGTGAGGCATTCAGGGTTGGTGCTATGAACGTGGGAAGTATGATCTGTAATTGTCCTTCTTCCTATACATGGTCTCCTAAATCACCAATGTAACTGATACTGGGATTATGTACCTTCTGAATACTCTTTTCACCTTTTTGAGAATTGTTCCAGACCATCTTGAGAGGCATTACAGAGAAGAATGCACAGAAGTTGGACACCGTTCCACTCCACGAGGGACTTATCTAGTATTGTCAAGATGTTCGGAGATGCATTGCTGTCTGAAGTGCCAGAACTCTATGCCTTATTATGGAATATAAGAAGCTTCACGGTGAAACAGTATACTGCTCGCAAGTCCACTGGTACTTATTACTATCAATCCTCAATTCTTCAATTTAGCATCAGTCCTCTACTGGACTTGCCGTTCGGCTCATTCATTCTTCTGCACCAACAGTGTCACCGGTGACCAATTGTAGATAATCCCATCCGCTCTTTCCAGCGTCAATTGGTGCAATTGAAGCTCTAGCTCCGTAACGGACAGAAGAGACTGACTTCCCAAAAGACGCTTGATTCCCTGGAGGATTTCCCGAAGAGCCAACAGATACGTGTTGGTGCAGAGATGTTTCAAGTCATGGTCGAAGGTCTTGCGCTCCGCTTCGATCATGCGGAAATTCACTTGACGCATTTGGTCTGCTAGACGAGATACCCAGCTATATTGACACAAGTACACACGTGCGTCTTGTTAGCAACCGTGGCCCATATGATTGTCATAGGCCCGGCTACATACCTGTAATCAAGGCCGACCTTTTCGAACACTTCGTTGATTTCACGTTCAAACGCTTCGGCCTTGGGCCCTTCGACATATTGGTGGACCAGGTCGGCTTCCTCCCACTGGATGAAGCCACCGGGTTCTTGGAAGCCAAGATCAGCATTGCACAAAGTAGGAGGAGCAGGCCTTACATCACTGAGGGCGTTCCATACTCAACAACGACTTGACATGGTTGATCAGAAGGATTGTATTCTTGCCCCGTAAGTTGCTTGCCCACATTCTCAGATGCACCACGTCAAATTGGCCGGCAAGTGACGCGGGCGGTTCAGTCAGAGAATCCAGTGTATCGAGAGTGACATTTTTCGGCCAGAGCTTTCGGATTGGGAATTGCGCATCGGAGATGTCGAATCCATAGAGGCGAATGGTGGATGGAAGTTTTCTTGCGAGATCGAAGATCCACACACTGGCGGAAAGTGTTACTGGGACATTGCTTTCAAGGCCGGATGGGAAAGACAACGAGGTTCTTCTTTTGTTTTATCGAAAGGAGAAGAGGCTAACTTACGCCGTTCCAGTTCCCACCTCGGCGATCTTCATGTCGTCTGTGACGGGAATTCCTGGGTGTAATTCATATCCCGTGTGCATTTTCCAAAGTAAATGCTGCGCATCTAGCCTGCTAGTTTGTTAGTAATCTGCGTGTCTCTTAGACAAACGAACTACAAACTGGACCCCCCAGTACTGAGAACTTCAAGTCAAGCAATGATTTACCGGATAGAGTCGGAGATGCTCCGTCCCAAAACATAATCGTCGTCTTTGGTCATGATTTGCTGCTTCTCAAAATTGCTTCGTAGTAGATCAACCAGACAGTTGTGGGTGAAACGAATTGCTTATTCGGAGAGGGCCGTTGGAATAATTGAAACCATTCGGACCGATACTATATTGAGATTTGATGAACTGCAAGGTGAGTGGTGATGTGAAGACCTTTATGTCCGCTACAGATATCCAATGATCCATTGGTGGCTTCAACCCAACATCAAGAATGACGACAACGAATTCGAGATCGAGAGAGCCGTGAGGCGTTCAACTCGATTTACGTGCATGAGGCAAAGAAGACGAGGAAACATGGAATAGACATGGAAAAAACATCCATCGGCAGACATACATTCCAATCAAGTTCGGGATAATCGCCTGACTCCATAGCGTTGAAAATCAGAGATAAGTGACCTGGAGTAGATCATCCAGGGCTTAACAAATCAGCAACGTGCTGCAGTAACTTTAGAACACTCCAATGGGATCTTTCTGCACGAGGCCTTCAGCTTTCTGGTGGCTTGCTCTCTGGTCATCGAGATCTCTCGCCCTCGTCAGGCATTCATGCGTCATGTACGTCATTCATTGAGACAGATAAGCTTTATCCAAGGAATGGTCTCAGTGTTTTCTTTTCAGACATCGAGTGCGACAGTCTCTGCAGTACTGGTGAGGACAGGGGCTCATGCACGAACGAGATCGGTCGGCAAGAATAGAACCTGAAAAGGAATGCTAATGCAAGCAACATGCAACTCTTCATGCATCACTCATGCACCACCCCCACTTCAGTCTTCTTCAATGGAAGCCTGATTCAGTCTTAGAGAGGAAGAACAAATAAAAGAGGTGGACGTGACGTGGTCGGGACGACTTCTTAATGACAATGATAGGTCCGGCAAAGGAGAACCGATGGGACGGGCGGTTATATTGGACATGCCTTTAGTCAGTGTAGCCTGACTTCTGTGGTAGTCTTGCATCGATCGTCAGCTGGAACATTCTCCATAAAAGGAAAAGGCTTATATGTACACAGAGATTCAGCAGACAGTGGCGTTGACAAGATGCATCTCAACAACTTCCAAGGGAACCTGGAAGCCTGAACGAGGTAGAAGGTCGAGAAGCAAGGCCAACCTTAAGCTATAGGTAATTTATGTAATGGTTTAGAGTTAAAGAGAGAGTCTTTTTGCTATACTAGCTGCCTGGTCCGAGTCCTGAATGACCGTACGTATCAACGTATCAATAACTCAGCGATCGTTTTGCAGAGTACTACATTGTAATGAACAGCTATTAGTATAATCATTACTCAGACAAATCTTAATATCAAGATCAAATGAGCAGAAATTGTAGATACAGATCACAAAGGGCTTGGTATTATTCTGAACTGTCAAGGCAATAATTCAAGGGAGCCGAAGAGAATCCATGAGAGCCGAGCAGCAAGCCCAGGCCAGACTATCTCAACGATCAAAAACTCAGATATGCTCACGCCCAGTAGCCATAAGGCGTTCAAGCCACGTAAAGGCTCACGGTGGGGTCAGTTGAACAGTTCAGGCGCATCTTGACGACAAGATCGCTTAGCAACGATGAGTTGTTCAAAACTTAGTTCTCTATCAGCCCGAAGACGGCCTCCTTACGGAGTGCTTCCGCTTTCTTCCCAGATCATCCTGGATCTTCGTCGGCCAAATGAGCCACAATCGTATCGCAAGCCAGAGTCTATGTTCGGTTCAGAAGAAGGGACATGAGGATATATCGATGATAACATCATCGGTTCCTCTCCTCCACACACTCTGTAAAATTTACTTTCTTCGAGCAGGTTATTCAGTGCAACAGTCCCTGTCCGATGGGTTCGAAAAAAGGCATCATTGGATAACGTGCCTATGCATGATGATGCAGCTCATGATCATACTCCTGCTCAATCGAGTTCGAGATGATGTGTAGTCTCGCAATAACCGATGACTTCGTGGCTCTCACCGACTGTGCCACAAGCATTGGGGATGGCTTAACAAAATGCTTTTATAGTTTGAAAGCCTACACATCAGTACGAGAATAGTCTCATTATACCATCATATTTCTTTTTCTCCGAGTCGGCCTATCTTCCAAGATGACTGTCGACCGGACATCTATCACTTTCACTTTCCGAGGTGATGCGCTTGAAAAAGTAGCTGCAGTGCTCGCTCAATTCTCCCATGAGGATTATTTCGCGTATGAACGCGAGGGAGAGTGGTTCATTGGCCTTGGAAACCGCTCAACGTTGCTTATTGACCCTCAAGGCAAGACTGTGACCACCATCACAGGGTCCCAGGAGAACTCACGCTCGATGGGTCAAACTTCAATCTCTGATCTTGCAAGAGAATTCGTTCGCACCAACCTGAAGGCCGGCGGCAAAATTTTCGGCCAGGCCGGGTTCAACTTTGCCTCTCGCTTGCGAGGGAAAGATTTCAAGGCTGGTCAATGGCCACTGCTGAGCCTTCTGGCTCCGACGACCGAGCTCACGTTTCGACGGGACGAGATCACCGTTGCTGGTGTTGATAATGGTCGAGCCAGACAGTTGCATGACTTGATTCAAAGTGATCAAGTGCATTTTGACAAGTCGTTGCTCGGCAGTACTGCTCAACCCAATACGGAAGAGAATCCGGAAGAGTACATGTCCAGGGTTGAGCAGGCTTTGCTCGAGATCAACGAGGGTTGCTATACAAAGGTGATTGTATCGCGAGCGGTGAATATCCAAAGTCGAATCAATATGCCAGCGACGCTTCTCCTAGGTCGACGGGCCAAAAATCCTGCCCGAAGCTTCTCACTGAATCATGCTGGATTCCAAGCAACCGGGTTCAGCCCAGAACTCGTCATGTCAGCCAAACAGGGAAGAGTCATCACCGAACCTTTAGCAGGTACTCGCTCTCGCAAAGGATCTCCAGCTGAGGTGGAAAAGCTCCGTCAGGAACTACTGAACGATCCAAAAGAAATCGTCGAGCATGTCATCTCCGTTCGAGAAGCAGTGGAAGAGCTCAACCGACTCTGCGTACCCGGGTCGATTAACATTGACGATTTTATGTCCGTTCGCCCACGAGGCGCCGTTCAGCATCTTGGCTCTCGAGTTGCAGGAAGGCTGTCGAACGACAAAGATATATGGGACGCCTTTGAAGTCCTGTTCCCTTCAATTACTGCATCAGGCATTCCAAAGGATGCAGCCATTCAGGCCATCCAGCGTCTTGAGCCTCAAACTAGAGAACTTTATTCTGGAGCCGTGATCATGATCGAGGATGAAGAATCTTTGGAAGCTGCACTCGTCTTACGCAGCGTGTTTCAGGATACAACGCGGCGATGGATTCAAGCTGGGGCTGGCGTCATTGCGCAATCAAATCCGGAACGCGAGCTGAGGGAGACTTGCGAGAAGCTGGCTAGTGTCGCACCATTTGTTGTCGTAGATTCCGAGCGTTGAGGAAAGCCGGGGCAGGAACTCAAACCCTAAGATAGGGTTGGACAATGTGTGCAAGATTTCCTGCGGCGTTTTTCTCCAAATCACATGTTTCAAGTTCCTTCGTTTCGTGCGCACACTGTCGCACGTGATACGTCGTAAGAAATTTAGGTCATCTGATAATTTTGACACCGGTTGAATCGAGGGCTCTCAAGTCGGCAGCGTATGTCGATTGACACAACCAGATCAGCCAACGGTGGTAGCCGCAGCAATGAGGTGATCTCCATCAAAAGACCGTTTCAAATCTATTCTAGCATCCAAATTCTTCATTCGAGCGCCGACTGTGGTCGTCTTGGTCCGAAAGACGTGAGCTGGAAGTTGCCCCCTCACTAGGTAGTTATCGCACTCGATGCTCCAAATGCCCTCCATCCAATGGACCCACGACTACATCAGAGATGGAGAGCTCAACTCAGTTGATCTTTTGAACTTGTATGACAGATATGAGTATAAAGGCAGAATATAACACTTCAGAATCCGAGATCGAGTGATGGATGTCCAACGCCAAAAGATAATGCCGCTAAACCCGACATGAGAAAATATAACAATGAAAGAGGCGGATATGCAGCAACGATTCTGCAGATGTAATTACGAGCAGGTATTCATGTAACTATTCTTGGGCCATTCATAGCCAGTATCCGCCCTAGAATATGAGAAGATGTGAGTCGGCGAATGTCACAGTGGCTGAAACAACATAGTAAAATTCAAGGCCGGTTTTGACTTACCAAATCGTCAAATTGTGGTTCTCGTACGCCTTGATATGTTCTTTGATATAGGCCGTAGTTTCATAACCAGGTGGGTCACAAGTCACACTGATGTCGTTGGGATCCTGATAGATGCGGACATAGTCAAACCGCAAAAAGGCCGGCATGTACTCGCGGATGCTTGAATTCTGAGGCGCAAAGTTGTCTGCCATACCCAAGTTCATGATCATACTCATCGGCTCCAGGGGAATCATTCTTTGGCCAATGTTGCCATTGGGGCCGATGGCACGGCCATCCAGTGTCCACGTCTTATTCTCCCCGATGAACCAGGTGACATTGCCGGTCGCTCCTGGGTGGTATTCAAAGCCAAAGCTTTGATATTCGGTGCCGTTATACCAGCGGCTGTTCAAGGTCGACATGCCCGACATGGCTTGCTGGTAGATACCACCACGATAGGCATTGATCTGAGTGATAGATGTATCGTAAACGGCAGTATAGTCTAGCCAAAGGAATATTGTTAGCCGCCGGGATCCCCAAAAGAACTGTGCCTGGACAAGGAAAGAATTGATCAAATACGCACCGTAGTCAGGCATGTACCACAGGTCAAATGGAGCTGCCTGTAAAGACTGGGAAGCTGTGCCGACAAAGGGTCCGTTTTCGTTGAGAGGGGCGGTGCTGCCTTCGATAACATCGATTTCAGGCGCGCTTCGAGCGCGACCCGGGGTCGGATGATCGGAACCAGGGCATGCACATCCCGGAAGTCTCATTCCAGGGAGGAAATTGATACCATCGAGAGAACTTTGGTTGGGAGTGATGCCGGCGTCGCATCCATCGTGATAACTGTACGGCCACATGCCATCGGTGGTCGCCGCATGGCCAGGACGACCCAGGTTGCCCATGGCCCAGAATCCAGGCCAGAATCCTTGAATATGACCGTCACCTGGAAGAGAAAGACTGGCTTCTAGACGACCTCCTTTGAAGCAGAGTTTGTTCCAACTTTGGACCATGCCAGATCGATACTGAAGGCCATGGTTCTTGAAGTTATCGAAGCGAATCTCCATGACTCCGTCATTTGTAGTAACCGCATCAGGGTCGTACCACTATGTCCAGTCAGATGGTTCTGTTCCTTCAATTGCTATAGCAGTAAGAGTGTGTACAAACCTCTTTGTCCATCGTCACGCCATACCAAAGGTCGACTGCTTGAAAGAAAGGATCATCTTCGTCGTAAAAGGAGCGACCGGGCATATTAAACTCGTCCGAAAACTTATCACGTCGTTAGAACTGATGCTCAGAAATCTCATCCTGGGTCTTTTTCCTCCTTCACTCACCACTAGCTTCCACTCCCTGCCGTCGGCATTCATCTTGGTCATTGCTTCCTTGGGAGTGTCAGGGTCGATCAATCCGCGCCGAATGTTGTTGAGTAAAGGCGTTTCCCCCACATCGAGGCAAAGATAGTCTCCATCTCTGCATACTGGAGCAGGTTTCGTCAAACCCTCGACCCAAGTGCTGTTATGGTGATAATCAGCATTGTCGGACTTTCTCGTACCTGACACGAAACAGAATGCCACTTACATGACTGGGTACCCGATAAATAACACCAAGATGCCCACGGTCAGTAAGACAAGCCCTCCGAGATTCACCATGCCCCTTCGATTCCAAATATCACAGTCCCGGTCCTTGTCGGCAGGATCGGGGTTATGCAGATAATCATCCTTCTCAACGTCTTCGGGAAACAATAGCAAGCCATCGGTAGGCATTATATTGAACTTCTCTGAAACAGTCTGCGTGTTCACGTCGTATTCTTCGCTGTCGGTACGACTTGGCGCCAATGAGTAGTCCTCGAAAGGGTTGAACTGGAACCGGCTTTCCCGACTCAGGGAGCTGACACTTGATTGTCCTCTTGATCGTGAGGACCACCTGTCCGGCGATCCTGATCGGTCCTGGCCATCACGCGGCGTCGGTCGCAATTTGGGCGGTAGAAGGAACTCGGAGGAATCCGGTGCAGGTGCACCTCCGTATGGAGAGACGCCTTGTGCGCCGAGAGGCAAATGCGCCTCGGGTCCATTCGAGCTGATAGTCCGATGCAAGCTTGACCCATTGAGCGGGCTTAAACTCTCGTCCAACTCGTCGAACGGATCATGGCACCCGGAATTAATGCGAATGTGAGGCGTCGCCTGGCTGACAATGGTCTGATCCGAGTCACTGCCGGGCATGTTGGCGTTATTGTGTGTACTCCCACGGCGTTGAGGTTGATTCTTCACACGATCCGAGATTGCTCTTCCCAGCCGAACCGAAATCCCTACAGACTTCTTCTTCTTCTCCACCACTTGGTCGTAGAAGTGCTGTGCCAAGCTTGCCAATTGCACCGAAATGTTGTGATATCGTCCGTTCAACTACGTCGAATCAGCCCCCGTTTCCTCTCGACGTTCCCAGCTACTGGCAAAGTGTCACAGCGTCACAGCGATAGAAACGCACAACCGATCCACCGATCAGAAAGCCGAGGCGTCCTTATTAGAGCCCTTCAATTTTTGGTGCAGGCGATAGGCGAAAGAGTGGACAGGATCACTTGGACTGTATCCAGAGTCCCAGGCGCAAGACGTTTGGACCAGCAGTGATGCAGAACGTGGACTTGACGCAGAAGAAAAGAAAACCACGAAAGCCACCAACAGTAAGCGACCGCCTAGACGGCACCCCTCCAAAAGGACTCTTGTTTTGAGTCGCCGAGGGTGTGGAATGCCTCGCCTTTTGAAGCCAAGGGATCAGCCTTGCCAAGGTATGCGCGGCAAGTACCTGTGAGGTGCTAGGTCTATACACTTTCACACGCCGTTTATTGACGAATGAATGATCATCTGTTTGATGAATTGATTGAAGTTGCAGACTCAGCTCGCTTTCTCTTTCCAGTGTACAGACTGTGGCAGTTGTTCAAGTAGTTCATAACGAGCTATCTGTGCCTCTCGCTCGAGTCGTCCCTTGGTGAGGGTGTAGCGTGCCCAGGGTGAGGTACATTCCGAAGACCTTCCCCGGGGGAGCGAGGAATGAGAGCATCGCGAATACTTGCCAGGAATCTGGCGATCTGCAAAGGACTCCCATGTTCTATACGGCTGTCTTCCAACGGTCAGCTGTGAACGGCCGGGGTTCCATAGGTGCATGATACCACTCATGAGCTGTGAAGAAGAGAGGGCGGGCAAAGCCAAATAAAGGCCATACGGACCGCACCGCAGTCTTGGCGCGAGTAGTCCTGTCAAGTGATCACGGCTCTAACACTACTCTCAGTCACCAATTTTAATCCTCGTAGAGGAGACTCGTCTCTTGAAAAGATTAGAGGAAGATACCATTTGATCTCTATGCTCTTGCTTACACTTGATGCATCGTGCGTCGCATCAAGTATCACAGCTCGGGTGCTTGAGCAGCAGCTAGTAGCTACTGGCCATTCCCTGCGACGCGTCCCTACTTCAACCCCCCTCCCGCCCTCGGCGGAATGTCTCCCGAGTCTCTCCAGGAAAAGACGCAGCTGTCAGAGGAGGCTCAGGCAGGATCTGAAGGGCTTGAATCAGGAATACAAAAATTCTGAGTTTACCTTGACTGTAGATCTCTCTCTTTCCAGTCAAGGCTAGACGTCGCGGAGATGGTCATTCCAATCCATGTCACAGTCGAAAACGTGGCCATGCGAGAGCTGGTAGTGAAGGCTGTGCAGAAGTACCCTATAAGATACGTGGATGCTATGATTATCTCTTCATCTTTAGCTTTTTGCAACCCTAGACGGGATCTGCGCCAACTGATATCGTGCAACCTCCGAAAGTCAGCTGTGTCCCACCGAGTGACAGTCAAGGCATTATGCTTTGTATTTCAGAAACTACAATCATTCCACATGAAGATTCGGGTTTTCCCATCTCGTCTTAAGACTCGACCGACTTGGCTCGAAGACCTACAAGACGGCCCTCAGCTCCGTCCAGCGCCACCACCCAGTACTCCAACTTGGTGCTGGTCAGCTCGACACGGTAGACCTTGACCTCGACCTTTGATTGATCGGCATCGGTGTCCTGTTCAACTGCCGCAGAGCGTACAGCATGAAGCACCGAGCTGTATTGATTCTTCGGGTCGAATGAAGATGGGCTGAGAGTGGAAATTGCCTTGGAAAGGTCAGTGTCGGGGGAGACCAGGCTCGAGAATTGTTCTAGATAACCAAAGGGCTGGTCAGCGACTCTCATATTCCAGGTAGGACACGCCTCCATGATATCGAAGAGGTTCGTCTATATGCCCAACTCCTTTTTCGCATGCAGGAAGTGTCTCCCATCTCGGGCGCACGGCAAAAGGCCGCAAGGAGAAAGGAAGCCAAGGCCCTGGATTTGGGGTGGGGGGACAAGGACTGAAATGTCAGATAGCATGAAGGTGTGAAGCGTACCTGCATTGGGCCAGTCGCCCTTCGATGCGCCCTCCCAGCGGAGGGCGACAGGCTCGAAAGGCTCATCGGCATCCGACACGTAGTATGCGTCCACGGACTTCAGAGGTGCAGGGACTTTGGTGTTGGCATCCACCGTCTCGGTCCGGGCGGTATCGCTCGTCCCTTGCTTCTGAGACTGGCCAGCATTGAGATCGGAATTGGCCTTGTCCAGGAAGGACATGTAGGCATCGTCGGAAGACATGGCGTTGGAAGTTGTAGAGAAAAGTGCTGCGGGGGTGGCAGTTGTGACTCGTTCGAGTGAGCTTTGCGCGCGATCAATACGGGGATGGAGTTCTCGTGGTAGTCTGTGGGCGAGTGAAGGCGAGTTGAATATGTTTCGGGCGGAGAACGGACGGTCGATGTGATAATTCCGAGCGTTTGCAGATCGAAGAGACGGTCGTAAACAGTTGCGTTTCGCGGGGAGCCGCACACCGGCCGTCACAGGCAGTGCAGCGGATATATTTCCAAGATACCGTGGGATGACGCAATGGATTCGAGACGGGCGCATGACTGCAGATCCAAACTCCGTTCTCAACGCGCCCGGTTTATAGTAAAGTGAAATGGAATACCAGGGCTGATAAGGCCACCGAAGCTTAGAATTATGCTTAAGCTAGTGTTCCGATATTGAGGTAGAGGCTCGGAGAATCACCTGATGGGTGCAAAATATATCCCTGAATCCTTAGACCGGAATTTGAGGAGGCAGCGAACCTAGAACCTAACTGGAATGCCATGGGCGGTAGAGGAGAAAAGTTGCAAACCTCCTACGTTCGGCCACCATATTCGGCCACGAAACTTTTTCCTACTGTGGCAGACAAGTGTGGTAAACATCATTGACAATTGAACCGAGCAGTTCATTGAGATACAAGTCTACTTCGGAGAGATAAAAGACACATTGAGAGATTCATCAGGATATTGTTCGCTTTTTTATTGAACTGAAAATACGTCACGGACACCGGCCATCCCACAAAACACCTTAAACAGTCTGGATAAGATCCTTCTTGAGAGTACCCATGAAGGCCTTCTTCTCCTCGGCGGTCTGGAAAGCACCGTGACCGAACTTGGAGGAGGTATCGATCCACTTGAGGGCGACCTTCTCGGTGGCACGGCGGGAGGTCTGGGGGTAGAGAGTCTTGCGGAGAGTCATGACACGCTTCTTGACACCAGGGACGGAACCCTTGAGGAGCAGGAAGTCGTTCTTGACCTCACCGTAGTGGACGAAACCGCCAAGACTATGGAGAGGAATATATTAGCAACCTGAAGTCGAATGACTGAAGTAAGACCTTTCAGAGGCAGGCAAGAGGGTGGGACATACGGAGTGATCTGCTTCTTGGAGATATCGAACTCAGTAGAGGCGTTACCCTCATCGGTACCCTTGCCAACACGGAAGACCTTGTGGTTGCAAGAGGTACGGTGGTGGTAACCCATCTGACCGGCACGGGCAACAGTCCACTGGACGTGGCTAGGGTGCCAGGCACCGATACAAGCGACCTTGCGGAGACCCTTGTGAGTCTTACGGGGAAGCTTGGTGGTACCCCAACGGGAGGTGACACCCTGGAAACCGTGACCCTTGGTGACGGCGATAACGTCGATCATCTCGTCCTGCTCGAAGATGGAGTCGATCTCGATGGTCTTCTCGAAGAGGTTGCGGGAGAAGTCAACCTTGTCGGCAATGGAGCCACCGTTGACCTGGATCTCCATAAGGTGGGCCTTCTTCTGCTTGATGGGGGTCTTGCGGATCTGAGTGTGGGCAAGGACACGAACAACAGTGCAGTACTTCTTGATGCGCTCCAACTCACGGGTGATGGAGGCACCGGAAGACTCAGCGTGCTGCTTGGCGTACTTGGTGAAGGCCTTCTTCTTGGACTTGTACCAGTTCTTGTAGAAGCGACGCTTGACCTCGTCACTCAGGTGCTCAGCCCAGACAGTGGTGAGGGAGCGGAGACCACGGGGAGTCTCGATGTAACCGACAACACCGACAGCAACGAGCTAGAAGAAGAATTGATGTTAGAAAACACGCGCAAAGAAAGGATCGAAATTTTCATAGTCACGTACAGGAGGGGTCTCGATGACGGTGGCGGCCTCAACGATCTCCTTCTTGTGCATCTTGGCACCGGGACGGTCAAGGTCACGGACGACGGTGGTCATACCGGCCTTGTAGCCCATGGAGGCAGTCAGGTGGACGGGCTTCTTGGGGTCATCCTTGGGGAAGCTGTTGCAAAGAAAAAAAGTCTTAGTACACGGTCCTCCCATGCGATCACCAAATTGAGAATTTGGCGTTAAGAAAGCTGGATTTACGCACCTCTTGACCTTTCCGCGGTGGCGGGCAGCGCGCTTGCGCGGGAGGTAGGCCAGCGAACCTGAAGTCCATGTTAGCACGGTCGAACACGGCGGTTTTATGGTGGTTTCGAAATTTGGTTTGGCGGATCGAAGTTTTCGACTCGGCGCAAAGGAGCAGATTTTGTGGGATCACGAACCGTGGCGGGGGGCTTCGAACTTCCGGTGACTCCTGAAATGGCAATTGATATCAGTATGTCGTTTTGCGATGTATTCTCATCATCATGGCGAGGTACAACTCACATCTTGACCCTGTTGTCGTTAGCGTGGTTAGGACGTCGAGAAAGTCACGATTGAAAGTGTGGAAAGCATTTTGCGCTTGCCGAGTTGTGGGCTGAGTCAGCCGGTAAGCGACCCCACCGCATGATCATGTTCCTGGTCTTTGATCACATGACTCTGAGTGACCACGTGATTGAAGAGCTCGCGGCCAGGCCCACCTCTTCTTCCGAGGCCCAAGTCGCATTCGGGTGTCTGACTCTTCCAGCAATGTGCATCATAAGTGAACCGAGAAAAAGTGTACAGATACAGGGTCTTCTAAAAAATTTCGATCAACGAAGATTCCCGGGCTGCACATCTACAAAATAACATGGTCTTTCGAGGACTTTACAGCTCATTTGGGCTACGTGTAGCAGTCCATGGTTCCAACTTCTAGTCGCTCGCTCACCTACCGATTTGAGTTCACGATCACACGACCTCTGAAGTAGTGTTGTTGGAAGCTCAAAATTTGTAACAAAACCATAAAATTGAAGATACACGCAAGTACGTAGGTCCGTCCGGACATGGGCCAGTATTCGCTCTTCTCAAGCGCCTAGCTCTACAACGTGGGTATCCTTGCTGGGGCCGGAGTATATGTTCCATCTGTCAAGAACTTAAGACAGGTTGCCGCTCGGATACCGCGAGGAAGGGTTCATATCCAGTCATGACAGTCAAGTGGAGGATAAGAGTATCTCTTTCCAGATCTCGAAGTGGAAACCTCCCGGACAAGAAACCGATCTTATACTGTTCAGTCTCACCACCTGCGAAGGTATTGGAGCGAGGTACTGACCTACTCGGTCTACACATGAATCGAGTCTACCTGACCTATGTGGTCTACTATACCCGTCGTTGCCTACAGACGTACATTCATTGAGAAACGACACTGGTAGAATCGATATACTTGGGCAATCGAATCAAGCACGAGCTTTACGCACGAATTATCTCACAATTCAAAGGTTGCACAAGCTACGGGCAATACTACGTCTAAGACGTCTAGAGTTCGTGAAATTGGGGAAGCATGCCACTGATCTGGAAATATATATTCTTGCGATATCATCATGATCATTAATCAGCCTCCAGCTGCGCGAATGAACGAACACGAAGTACCTTACTCTATGCACCTGAGACACTAACACGACCGGATACCTAGTAGACAGGAAACATGACGTTTGCCCAAAACTTCGCGACTGTGACCTCAAGACCTCGGGGCCTCTGTGCTAGCGCCTACATGCAGGAGGAGACGGAGTAACTTAGATGTCACTACCAGAGACTACAAAATATTTAACCTGATTTCATCCTCAGCATTGTCTACAGCGTGGAAAATGTACGTTCGAATTACAAACATGGCTGAATTGCTATCATGGAAAAGCCCCGGCACCAAATCCATATCAAAAAGACACATGTGAAGGGATAAAGTCATTTTCAGGTAAAGAGATCAAGGGAATTCATGAGGATTGTGGAAACGATTGGAGATGCAGCACCCGCACCAAACTGCGCAATAGATCTACCCCCGGATAAGGAAGAGTCACCCGTGGGATTAGTCCTGGTGTGGATGTGGAAGTTAAAAAGACAAAATATCCCGCCCTTGGCAAGGAGAAGGGAATTGAAAGAGGTGTAAAATGCAGGACTGGCCGACAGAGCGAACGTTGGTCTGGCTAACGTAGTGGAGACATTATGTTTTAGAGCATGTGGTTTACATCGCGTGGCTCACGCGAGAAACCACAGATGATACACATGCCTTTGAAGTACTTTAGGCAGTCTCGGTCTTGGAGGGAGTGCCCTGCCGACCATTACCCATCACGTTGGGACCGGCGCCGGCAGCGCTGCCGTTAGGGCTCGCCTTAGCCACACCGCCGACCTTCTTTTCATCATCGCCATCATCATCATAGTCCTCATCAACATCCATCTTTCGCGCAGCAGGCTCGTGGGACGCAGGCGCTTCGGGACGAGGAGCTTCCTCCTTGACAGGCGTGCGAGCAGCAGGTGGAGCTGAAGGAGGAGGACCATTGGATGCGGATGGGGGAGGTGCAGTGCCCTCTGCCATGGGAGGAAGTCCTGGACCACCAGCTGCGTGAGGAGGCATGCTTTGAATGGAAGGCAACGTAGGGGGGTGGTGAGCCGCCTCCGAGGGGTGGTAGTTATCATTAGCACGGCGAGTGTCTTCGCGACGAGCCTCGGAGGAACTGCGGCGCTGCATTTGCCCAGGAGAAGGCAAACGGGCCGGAGGACTGGGGCGGCGACTGTTCTGGTCATCGAGGCGGGCTCGTGTCTCATCGCTGGCTTGCTTCTTGATGGGACCAGCCTCACTCTCCCACTCACGACCACGCTTCATAGCAGACGGAGGACGGTCATCTACCCGATCACGGGCGGCAGCATCAGCAGCGTTCGACGCGGACGCAGGAGGGGGCGCGCCTGTCGCGATGCCAGTAGGAGCGCCGGGGGGAGCAGGGGCCAGGGGACCGTGGTGATACTGCTGGTGAGGATATCCCGCGCCCGGGGAAGAAGGCCGCTCGTCGCGAATCGGGCGAATTTCGGTGGGAGGAGTAAATGGACGGTGTGCGTAAGGAGGGGCGGGAGCACCAGGAGCCACACCAGCATTGGGGCCAGGGGCGGGAGCCCCAACAGGTGCAGGTGGCAAGTGTCCACGACCGGCAGACCCGAATGGAGGATTGCCGCCACTAGGACCCCGCTCATGGGTGGGAGCCGGGCCGTTTCCCAATTGTGGCAGAGTATGATGAGGAGGGTAAGCACCAGAGCCGGCCATCTTGGGCGAGCGAGTAGACGCCCCGGGGCGAGATGGGTCTGGGAATGCTCGGCCAGGATCCTGGCGAGGGCTGGCTTGGGAGACACCAGGACCACGCATGGCTTCGCGCTGATCAACACCATTGCCGGCAGCGAGTGGAGGAGCTTGCTGAGGGTGCAAGTCGCTGGCACCACGACTCCAGTCAATCTGACGTGGAGGGGCGGGGGCTTGGGGAGGAGGACCGACTGGCGCCGGGGCAGCAGCGGGTGCTGGACCACCCCATTGAGGAGCGGGAGGAGCTCCCACGCCTGGTGCTTGATAGGCCTGAGGGTGAACGTCCTGTGGCTGCGGAGCTGGAGCGTTATTCTGCTGGGCCGAACCCGACAGCTGGCTTTGCAGGAGCTGCAGACGTGCCTTGATGTGAACATTGGTCGGATCAAGGTCGGCGGCCCGGCCGTAGGCATCCAAAGCATCTGCGATCTGATTGTTGCACGACTCGTAGAGGGTACCGAGGTCATACCAGACCTCCGAGATGTAGGGGTTCAGTCGGATTGCACGAGAGTATGCGTCAAGGGCGTCACGGTACTGGTTGATTTGGTAGTAGAGCACGCCGATAGAGCACCAAAATGTAGGATTGCGACCGTCGCGATAGACGGCCTGCTGATAGGCTTCATACGCCTTGGGATACTTTGCCTGCGACATGTAGCACCGACCGAGAAGATACCAGCTTTGGGCGTCGTTGTTGTCTTTTGACAGAGCAACCATTGATTAGTCTTCTGGATTGCGCTGCACGAAGAGAGAGACGTTGGAGACTTCACTTACCAGCACTGACAGACTTCTCCAGGTACTCAATAGCCCTCTCTTGGCTCTCGTAGCTGTTGCTTTGCTGGTGATACAGCCAGCCAAGCTGTTGAAGGACCTTGGCATGGTTTGGGTCACGTTCCAGGACACGACGATACGCAGCTTGTGCCGAATCGAACTAGAGGCATGCTTTAGTGGGAAAAAAATTTAAAGCGGCGCAGACATGCCGGGCCAGTGTGAAGGTAAGAGACACGACTTACATCTTTCTGTTGTTCGTGAACATGGCCCACCTGGAACCAGATGTCCTCTTCAGTTAGAGGACGAGGAGGATCCTTCACAATGTATTTGAAGCACTAAGTATTGCCATGGTCAGCTGCAAAACTCACGAGTGGTATTTGGAAGGGTAATGTTCCCAGAAGCTCACTTACGTCGAGACTCTGGCTGAATTTCTGCTGCTGCTTGTATATTATACCAAGGCGGAAGTAGATCTCATTGGCCTTCTCGAACTCGGGCGCCATGCGCATGACCTGTGAGAAGGCCTCTTCGGCGTGGTCCAAGGACCCGTAGCGATCGTAAAGGATGCCAATACCGTACCACAGTTTGGGCTCCTAACAGAATTCATTTTGATGAGTTATCGCACTATTTTGCGGTGTGGTCAAGATAGGACATCGGCGCTCACTCACCTTGGGATCGCGCAGATGGTACAATGCCTGCTGATAAGAGGTGTACGCCTCTTGTAGGTTATCCATCATGAGGTGACAGTGGCCGAGGCTACCCCAGGTCTCACCGCTCGTAGGGTCAAGCTTGAGAATGTTTTGCAAGTATTCAATAGCTTTGGGGAACTGTTCCTTGGTGCGGAGAATGCATGAGATTGCGTTCATGGCCGGGATAGACCATTGATTGTGACGAAGCGCTTGTTCGTATGCATTCATCGCGCCATCAAGATCACCCATCAATTCAGTGAGACTACCTAGAATAGGCACGGCGTGTCAGTACAAGGTGGACATAAATGCTTGATGAAAGTGGACGCCGCTTACCAATTTGAAGCCACACTTGCTCGTTCAGAGCGGCGATTTTCTGAGGCGTCGTCAAGGGAACTCCCTTTTGGCCTTGCGCGGGAATCGCAGCGGGGGGCATGTGTCCATTGACTGGGGGATGCGCCACCATCACGCCCGGATGATGCTGCGCCGGCCCCGCGGTTGGGGATGGCTGGGTGTGCGACATGGCAACTACTATGAGGCCGTAGTCGAGAGCTTTCTTTCTTGAGGATGCTTTCGAATTGCTCTGAGGGGCCCAAGACCTAGAAATTTGCAATCAGGAGCGTAGACTGTGGATGTACAGCAATGGCCGAGGTTGGGAAAGCCAATGCCGTCAAAGAACAGGCGCCACGAGGTGATGGTCGCGTTGCCCGTGGAAAGCGCAGTGTGCACAACAAAGGTATTTCCGGCCGGCGGTGATTTTCGCCCCCAGTTGACGGCGCGAGGGGGGTGGAGAGGTTTAGTAATACGACGCGTGCGAAGCCAGTCGATGGAGACAGGCAGCGCGAAATTTGACGTGAACAGAGGTAGGAAGCCCACCCAAGATGTAGCCGGGAAGTTGATGATGGTTGAAATGAAGAGCACGAGGATAGAATCACGCAGAGGCTGAAGACGAGCGAGCAGATTCTGAACCACGAGAAAAAGAAAATTGGAAAATTGGGAAGGGGAGTATCACGGGAGGAAGGGTCACGGAACGGGAAGAGGATGAAGCCCGGGAAGAAAGAGAGAAGGGAGAAGTGTCGAGGGGCGGGTAAGAAGTGTGAAATTCGCCAAGCGGCGCTAGTGGTTGCGCAGTGGCTGCTGCGGCCGTCACCAGAAGAGATGAGCGGGCAGCGGCCCAGGCGGGCAGGGCCACGGCCGATGGGGTTGCTCCATGATGACACATCCTGGATGTCATCCACTGCCATACCACAGACTTGGGGGGTTGAGCAGGAGGGGACCGAGCTTGCATCGACCGCACCTCCTACCAAGTTACCAACATAGTGTACAACTGTGCAACTACACGGTACATTCTTACTGTACTTGACGCTCGGATGGACATCCAGATTTCTTCTTTTCTTATTGAAATTGTTATTCTTAAAGGTTTCTTGGTCGCAGATGAGAAGCTATCGTAGTCATCAGGTCTTTAGCAGTCGACTCGTGGGGACTGGGGAGTCGGAACAGTTCTCGCATTGTTGGGCCCTCTCAATAAGCTGCCTCCCGTCCGGTCGGCTCACTGACAAACTGTTTCTCTTGCGACTCAACCAAGGAAAAGAAAAGGAAAAAAAAATGGAACAAGCCGGACGCTGTGGGGAGCTCCCTCAGACGCTAAGTTTACCGTGTGCGAGTGAACGGAGTCGGCAGTGGGTCCTGCGCAACGCCAACATCACCATTACTCCACCAAGCTCAATTTCGGGAAAAGGGAAAACTATCAATGCTCCGTGTCATTCGCGAATCCCCAGGCGGGATCTTCCCCACTACTTCCTAAAAGAAGAAAAAAGGAAAATGCAGAAAAGCAGAAAATGCAGCATCCCAGCGGACTCCACCTACGTTGTCCCCTTCGCGGACTAGCTCAGTGGGGCCGATCTGAGGCGGTTAGGCCCTTTTTTCTAGGCTTTTTCCCCTTCCCCCTTCTTTGCAGAGCAAACCGCAAGGTCATTCCTCGGTCGCGTCATCAAAGCCAGATGGCAGCTGTCGGTTTGGAAGATCAATAGCAAAGAAATAGCATGTACATACATCAGACAACCCTTTGGGAGGTCAGTACTAGATGGCTCCATATCATACTGTATCTCAAAGCCTCTTTATTGGTGCTCGCAACATTCGACAGGCGCCCCCGACCCCTAACTGAACCTCCCCTCCCGCCTAGTGTTTGTAGTCTCGCTTGAAAAATGACATTTTCTCTCAGCGAGTGGCCCTCGTGACTTTGAGGGTTCTTCTTTTCTTCTATGGCTTGTTTCACATGCTCTACCACCAATCAGTCGGACTGGCTCCAGATGAACTCCAATTGAATCTCCGAGCTTGCTCTCATGCCCTCGACGAGTCCTTGAAATCCCTTCGACGTCAATCCGTGTTGTCGGCGTGCTCCCTCTTTTCGTTCATTTAGGGCGATCGACTGGAATTCTCTTTCCACCCAGATCTCCCCGACCGGATGTCGGTTCCTTTGAAACCCACCCACATGTCAAGAGATGACGAGCAGGCTTTGAGTCCACGCTGTGGACCTTTCTGCAGTCATCCGTCTTCGGTTCTGATCAACCATGTATGAGATGCGACAGATATGCCATATGACGGGCTTCATCTCCTGTCCACTTATCCTATATACAGTACATCGTATATCCTGAGCAGTACAGTCTGCTGTATGGGACTCCTTCCATACGATCGCAGTACAGGACCCAAGGTCACACAGTCTTCCAGCACCCGTGCGGAGCTTGGCTCGAAGGGAACACAAACTCCCCGGCGGCAAATGGCTCCCTTCTCCTTAGTCGCGCCGAAGTGGGTCTCATCCGGGTGGACACCGTCTTCCCGTGGTCGCCCGGGGGCTAGAGACCACGTGATGATGTGGTCACACCTTTCCGGCTAAGCTTGGGTTCCTTGAGGTTGCGGCGATTCCTCATCCCTGTGGCCTGTAGTGCCTCATTTCCGTCTGTCCCAGGTAGTGGCTGCAGCCAGCAGCCACTGCTGGCACTTTGTGGGCTGGCAGTGGACCAGGATCCAAGCTGACGTCTCATTGATTGATGGCGACGTCGATTTATATTCTGCAGAGCCTGATGGCCACCTAGAGTTGTCACCGACTCGACTGCACTATTGCCCACATGAGCAGCTCCAGTGGCTGAAATTATCACTCGAGGTACCTGCGCATACCTACTTAACACCTAGGTAGTTAGTAGTTAGTCACTTACTAGTTACTACTTACTACTACCGAGTCTACTACCATGACTACTGAGCTTCAGCCACCGAGATACAATCTACACGGTCTAGACGATATTCATCACCGATTTCCATAGGGCTCGCGAATATCCTGGACGTTTTGGGGGGTGGGAAGGCAAGACCAGTTGGACCACGAAAGAGGACTACGGGGGTGTCAGGCACATGTATTCTCCGGACCAGTCCGACTGGGAATGTGCTGGTTGCGTACGCCCCCCCTCATTTATACTTTCTCTCCTTCTCTTTTTCGGTAAACAGGCTGGACAAATGACAGCAGGCCTAACTAGGTTAACTGGGTTGGGTTGACTGGGTCTGCAGTTGGGCCGTGCAGCCCAGTCGACCCCGTGCGTGATCCTTACCCCTGGTCGGCTCCTCCCAGTGCCCACTGCCCACCCTTCAAGCCTGCCGTGCAGCCTCGGACTCCATCAACGGGCCGGCATGGGTTCAAAAAGGTCGTAGTGTACCATTGTTGTTGGAGAGGATGTCGTACTACAGCTTTGAACTTCACAGCACAGGCGATGGGCAGCAGTTACTTTGCATCATGACTGTACTACATGGAGCTTAGTACATAAGGATCTTTCCCCTGGTCCCAAACGCGGTCATGGCTTGGCATCGCTCTCGGCCTGTCTACATTGAGTCCACAGTCCAGTCCACACCTGTCCATAGACTGCACATTATATCTATTGTGCATCAGTACATAGTGTATACTGAAGAGTACATTAGTACTGTAGAAAATTGACTGTATTCAACTAGTCATTCCCTAGGACACATCACGGAGAGGAACCTCCTACCTCAGGAGAGGCATATGGCGCCTCTATCTTGAGAGACGTAAACTACCTAACCCGATGGCCAAGGATACTGCACGTTCTGCTGGAGACCTCTAGCTAGGGTTTCATACCACTAATATTGACGCCCAGTGCCCATGATCATACTATAGTCTATAACCTAAGTCCCATGTTACCTCGTCTATTCTAGTCAATTGCAGCACACCTGGTGGCAGCATACCTGGATCTCTCGGGCCTAGACCGAGGCCAGCAACTACTGTATATCTATCTAGACAGACTATTTCGGGGTCTATGGAAACTTCCTCTCAATCATCATGTTCCGTGATCACAGGCCAAGACTGATGTCCCCAAAATTCAACTAATGCCTGGTGAGGGTGGTGGGCAGTGGTGACGCTGAAAAAGGCTAACTCGCTCCATTAATGTACTTGAATCAGAATCAGTCCTGACTCGTGTGTCCTGACTCTTGACTCCTGACAGCCTAGGTAACAGTCAGAGAACCAGCACCTCAGAACAGCGGCTAGACGCCCGACAAACTCGGATCATTATTCCCCATCCTGACGAGCCAATGAGGTTAATCAAGCCAGACCAGAATTCGTGCGCTCACCGGCTATTAACAAGCGCCTCCTCCGGGACTTCCCCCGGACCCCAAGTAGAAGACTTGCGGACGGACGGGGCCTGCATGAGGCACAGTATGAGTACAGTAGTAGTACGCCCTGTCCGGTCGCTAGTGCCGCATCTGGTCGGGACCCGCGCTCGGACACAATGCTTCTGGACGGAAACGCGGAAAAGAGCATGATCGGAAGGGGCAAGGACATAGAGACAAACAACTTCACTCATACGACATGGTACATTGAGTATGTGAGGTACTAAGAGGAAGTACTAAGTATATCTACTGTACAAGAAGGAGCAAGACCTGAAAAGGAGAACAGAGCACGATCTTACCAAAGGTGGCCAAGGCCCTATCACGGTATCCCTGCTTCACCACTGCCCGACAACGGCACCCGTCGTGTGTGGCTAAACCCCCCACTTGCAAAGTTGCAAGACCTTCCAGCGCCAAGTCATGTTTACCCACCTTGGGTACCTTTGGTACTGCGTAGCGCGTTGTGCATGAATGAGTCTTGTGCTGCAACATAAGGTACCTAGTGTAGCTCATAACCTGCCCCTCCCGCAAGGTTCAGCGCAGGCAATTCTCGCTGCTAAATCCACACGGAGTAATTTATGCCGAGAGATTTCCTTGTTTGCAGCTGTGCTTCCGACTTCGACCGCCTGTCACTCTGGTCCTTTTTCAGCCGGGGAATCGCAACTGACCAGTTGATGGGGTTGTGTTGGTTTGTACGGTGATTCTGCCATTCACTCACCGCTCACCACAGCTCAGACAGAATCTCTCCTCAGCAGCAATCTCATATGCTTATCCCTCTCCCATTCGATACAGCTGCCGTAGCCGTATCTCATCGGGTTGAATTTACAGTAGGGAGATACACTGTCCTTGAAAAGTGTGTAG